CCCCCCTCCCCCCCCCCCCCCGGGCGTATTCTTCAACATCGACGTCAAGGGCGAGAAAGGTGTTTTCTTTGGTGAATTAACACGCGTCCAAAACATAGATCTGTGAAGCATACCTAGCCTTGGTCTCTCAGCTTTAAAGAGTTTCTATCTACCTAGCTATATACAGGATTGCGCAGCAGAGTACTGTTCCTCCTAGGCTGGACCTATGATGTGTAGGTGAGGTAAGGTAAGGTAAGGGAGGTAAGGTAGTTCTCCTATTGTATATTTGATAGCGGCCTACTGGCGGTATGGTTTTCCATTCTGCCCGGAGCTTCTAAGGGATATACATAAATATATAGGTAGATAGATCGGTATTTACCTGTATTATAGATCGATAGGTCACCTGATATACTCTGGCGTGCCCTGGTCCGAACAGAATGGAAGAGGACCTGATGGGGAAGGAGCATGTGACTTCGCTTATATTATGTATATACTATATAGTAACGTCTGAAATCCTGAGAGCTTCATCCAACTTCATTCATCTTCATCCACCTTCATCCACCTTCATCCACCTTCATCCACCTTCATCCATCTTCATCAATCCACAGACTTAACACAAACGATCAAGGAATTGAACCTTACAATGGGGAAGGAGCGCCCTTCCTTAGCGTCCGTTTTCGGATGCAATTGTAGATGAAGTACATTCTCTACTCTTTTTTTCGTTTTTCCTTTTCCTCTTCCTCCAGAAAGAGAAGAGTTAACAAAAGTAAGTGCATTCCCTTCTCTGCTGTGTCGGTGGACTGGCCAATGGTCATTGTCAATTTGTCATTGCCTGTCAAGCGTTGGGCCATTTAGACAGCAGCTCAATCTGTCTGGTCACTTGACGCAGAAGCTTCCCTTCCTCCTTGTTCTGTTCATGTATATTAACGTTTGAATAGTGGAAAACTCTAAACATACTCTTTCAAACAGCCTCATATTAGTCGGCCCTTCAGGGTCGACTACCTCTTATAACATCATACCGGACGCTCCTAGCGACTTCCCGCCCAATGTCCCAAACTTTGGGGTAAGGCCAGCGTCCCATCCGTCGAAGTCCCTGCGAGCCTCCATCGATAGCATCATCATCCAGCCCAGAGAAAAAAAAAAACAAAAGAAAAAAGGAAAAGCCCGAAGCGCCATCCTAGCCGTCGACGTCCCTGCGAAGCACCGTCGACCCTATCATCATGCATCCTAGAAAAAAAAAAAAAGATCCGAGGCACAATTCTACCAGGCGAACAAGCTTCGACCCACATTCGACCATCATTCGTCCTTAACATCATCATTATCACTATCCTTTCTACCGTCATTTTCTTCGCCATCACCATTCCCGGCAGCATCTTTTGGTTCTTCACTGCCCTCCGATCGTTGCAGATCATAGGCGTGCTACCTTCGAATCAGCGGCGACTTTGCTTCGAGGAAGGGATACTTACAACTTTCTCGAAATGTGCCACGTACCTCTTAAACACAGCGACGTGGTCACGTTGCACCTGTAACGCGTCTTCGGCAATCTGATTTCTTCGATCCGCCTCTGCGTTCGCTACCGTTACGACTTCGTTTCGAAGCTCTAGCTACTTGGCAATTTTAGCCAGATGTGCTAACTTCCTCTCCGTCCTCTCCTCCTTCTCCGCCTCATCGCTTCGAATTCGCTTCTCAGCCGACATCGAGGACTTCGATTTCAAGTGTTGAAGACTTTGCTCCATCAAAGCGTTCGGTAGCATGCAAACGATGCCTCAATCAGATGGCTTCGTGAGACCTTCGGGGTGCTGCCCCGAAGTGTGAAGATGATGACTGTAAGTATCCCTTCCTGGTAAAGAGTGACGGCCTAACAGCGTGGTAGCTGCGTCGGCGAAGTGCGTTCATTGCAAGAACTTGAAGAAGGAGTACTTTGGGGTAAGGTCACCCGCTGTGTCCGGTAAGCAAAAGATTCAGCATATAGTGATGTGTACGTGGACATTTTAATAACACTATTTATGAAGTCTCGCCCCCACCCCCTCCCGCCTGGCCAAGCGACCGGCGTCCCCTCTCCTTCCGTGTCAAAGCGGAGGGAGGAGAGGGTTGAAAAGACCGAGAAAGAGGAAGAGGAAGAGGACGAGTGGGAGAGAGAGAAGGAGAGGAGGGAGGCTCGCCTCCAAAAATATTACAAGGAGAAGGTAGAGGAGCGGGCGGCACAGGCCCGCGAGGAGAAGCTCGCCAAGAAGCGGGCATATGCCGCGGCAGTAAGCAGGGGAGAGAGAACAGTAGTGGCGAGGGGGGGGGAAGGGAAGGGGAAGGGGAAGGGGGGTAAGAGGGAGGGGGGGGGCTTAAGTTTGGGATAATTTTTGGTAAACATGTGGATTGATGGAAGCTATCAGACGTTACTATATATACATGACTAAGCAAGGGGCACATGACAGGGGGAGGGGGGAACATGAACGACGAGGGTATTTTTTGGTAGACATGTCAAACGGTCAAACAGTCAAACAGTCAAACAGCCAAACAGTCAAACAGTCAAACAGTCAAACAGTCAAACAGTCAAACAGTCAAACAGTCAAACAGTCAAACAGTCAAACAGTCAAACAGTCAAACAGTCAAACAGTCAAACAGTCAAACAGTCAAACAGTCAAACAGTCAAACATAAACACAAACACAAAGAGTAACTCCTGGTTGTGCGTACAGAATCAGCAGCTGCCTTCTCAATCTTACCTATCTATAAAAGAGCAGAGGTATATCTCTTCCTTTTCCTTCTCTTCCTTATTCTTAATTCTAGCAAAGCAACTTCTGGCTCTGGCCAATATAACCACAGCATCCCATAACCCTTGGGCTATTTCTAGCTGTTTCTCTTTTACGAAGCCAAAAGCATTTTGGGTTCCACGACAATGTCTAACTGTTGATCAATCACAGACTAACGCCCTTGGTACTCGAGGTTTTATTCCAAATATACAAAGCCACGTCACGGTTACCTCTTAAGCAGACAACATATTCGTTGATTTGGTGAGAATCCTGTAAGAGACTATGAAGGAGTTAGTTCTCGGAGTCAGATATCCATTAGGCAGGCTCAAGCTCTGAGCCAATAGACACGATACCATAGTGAAAGGTACGTCCACACATTCAATTGAAGGGTTGAAACTTGAAGTGTCGCAGGCGCTAACATATCAATAGCTATGAAAAAGTGTGGATCATACCGGTCTAGACTTTAGACGCTACCAGAAGCGCAATGCAAGATAATATCTTCTGGTCAACCTCGACAGCCCGGGATATGTCTTATAACATACAGAAGAAGAGAACCACTGGTATATGGAAATACTGGTGGTATGTAGGCAAGTCTATAGACACGGCCTCTTGACTTACCGTTCATAAGGCCGCCAATACCAAGGCCAATCCATATGCGACTATAGGAAATCACTACAAAATGGCTCGCAAGGTACTTGGGCATCCAACTGGCGATTATCGGTTTGAAATACTAGTCGAGTTTGACAACAGCATCATAGTTGATCAACCTCGAGTCTAATATGGATCTTTCAAATTTCCAAGCACCCTCCACATTAGCCAATTCCCCTGTTCAGGCCCCGCCTACATCTATTTCAGGTTTTGCTTCTCGGGCAAAAGAGTTTCAGTGTGCTAAGGTAGTAAGCGCATTAACGCATCGGCTTGCGAATTCTGTTGGCTAGAGGATACACAATGAGGTTGAGGGATGCAACTGGCTAATAATGGCAATGTCAGGGTCCACTATGAGGCCTATAGGCTTATACACGCCGACTAAGAGCCGTCATACGATCGTGTCTTCCCTTCAAGCACAGATCTATTTGTCATGGAGGATACCGTCAGAGGTTGGCATGGGGGAAAAGGCTCTTTGGTTGCGTCACGATTTCCAGGAGGCTACTGGACAGGCAACCAAGTCTCATTTTTACCGGCGCCAATTTATCGGGCGTTTGAACAGCAAGGGAAAGCATAAGGACGGCACGAAGAGAAAGGAGAGAGTTCACTTAGTTCTCTTCAGTCGGATAGTAGTTGGTGATGTGAAGCGACTTAGCCAGGTTTTGCTCCACCTAAACATGGCATTGTTCACGGCGCTCGAGTTATCGTCGTTATTGGAATCATGGCCGAAGGCACAGAACAGCCCCAGTTATCAGGCTGATCAAGGAGATTATGGAGGAGGTGTGGCGCGGTCTCCGCATCCAGAGAGGTGCCCTAGAGGCACCAGCAGAAGCGAACTTTGACGACTGAATTCTCCTGTGAGTATTCGATCTCTTATACTAATATTTATACTAATTAAACAATACTCAGTAACCAACCTAGCTACGATCTACATCTATAGTGTAACGATCTAGCAGAAAGATATGAAGTTGGTACAAGCGATGAGGAATGGAATGTTAGGATGCTCGATGCTATAATACCGTCTACAAAACTACGAGTGACGAAGAACTAGCTACTTGGTAAAGCCCGACAGTTGACCAGGATGGTCAAGCAGAAGCCTAGGGCGTGGAAGCTGTACGGACAATGACTTTGAAGCGGACGGCCGACAGCCCGGGGAGAGCGAAGCTGAGTATCAAGAGCGTCTTAACGATTCTCAAACGCCAGAAGAAGGGAGTCTCCGATGATATTGATGAATTCTTGCCATAATACACTACAATCGAGGGTGCATACTCTTCCGTGTTGATGGCGAAGATCATGTCTGCGTCTAGCAGGCAAAGGAAAGGAAAGCTATCGGATCAGGGTGCATTCTCAGAGGCAGTGCTCTCGTTCTACGGTGCAGAGCGGCTTACAGACGCTGGACCCAGGACAAAGGGTCTTTCCGACCATTGCATGACTGTGTCGGGGTGGGCAATGACGATTGCCGCCCTCGGGATTGCCGTACTAGGGCCTTTATGGTCCTCATGCATTCTCTGGGTGGTTCGATGCGTCAAGAGAGTCTACGGGTCATTGTTTGTTAATCCGTTTGATTACTGCTACTAATCCTTTACTTTTATAGCCTCGCGACCCAGACAGAAATAGAGGGCGCGAGGGACTAGTGGCAGAAGAAGAAGGAGGAGGAGAAGTGGGTGAGGGAGGCGAAGGAAGAGAGGGAGAGGGCATTGAAAAATTTTGTCATCTCACTAGATGGCAGCCCGGGAACTGTGTCAAGTGCACCCATCTTGTCCCGAAATCTTTAGAGTCGGCAAGGAGACCATTTCCGAGCTGCTCGAGATGCAGTGGTTCCTGCAGCGGGTTACTGGCATCGCAGGTGCCGCAGATGTGGATGTAGATTTGGGAGAGGAAGGCCCGGACGATGATATTAAGGATCTTCAAGACCTCAACTTGATGAGATGAGTGGGAGAATTGCGAAACCACGTTGACGCTGCAGTTAAGAAGGGTACAATCCAACGCATAATAAGATCCGCGGACTCGTTCCTGGCTGTGGTTTTTGACACTACAAAGCATCGGGACGCTCACTAAATCGATTGCGTGAGAGAAACTCCTTCGAATACAACAAAGCTAAGATCGCGGTATCGGCCTTCTCGTTTGGAGACAAGATCGGAGGGAAAGTCTCGGTGTGGACGTTGCGGGACCAGGTCAAAGAGCCAGCAGTGCTCTTGTCGAGGATTTCACTCCTACGCCAAATGCAGACAGGTACCGACGCCTTAGTATAGAGGGATCCAGGTACAGCACAAGCGGCTTGTAACTATCTGCAGCAGGCGCTAGATATACCTAGATATATTCACGCCACCTACAGTCCTCATGCCAGCGGCGACTTTGCGATCCCCAAGAGATAATCACAGATTCACAGAGCTATGATAGCCGACCAGCATTTCAAGGACGGAATAACAATCGGCGAACTTGAAGGCAAAAGGAACGAGAACGAGATGTGACATATGCTTGATGTGGATCGTAGTGATTCTGCTGAGGAAGGGGCTTGCTATGGCGGTTGCAGACGCGGCGCGTATATCTTACCCCTCTCTCCCTTCTCTTCTCCCCGCGTGACAAGAAAGAAGAGATAGCTGACTAGGAGGGATCTTGACGATAGTGATGGTAATTGGAAGTATTGCACTCAGCCGTTTACTTCTTCTGGCTAACTTTTAACCACAGACGCGTACGTCCACCACTGGTGTTGGTATATCCTCGGATATAGCTAAGCGGCTGGCAAATATCCATTGTGTATAGAGCTCTGATTTTGCCGTTAGATCTTCAATCAAGAGAATCACCACTCGACGCCTGGCAATTGGGAATTTTTGGGAGATCAAGTTATTACTTACGTCGAGCCGACAGAGCCAATCTATTGGCTCTCGCATCCGTCCTCAGGTTCTGTAGCCAGCAGAATTGGGATATAAGGGTTTCGTGGTATTGTGTCTAAAGAGAAAAGAAGCTATTCTAATGGGGAATCTGGAGATGTGGGGAATCATTGGTGTGGTGCCTGAGGCTAGAAATAGTCATATGCTTAAATTGGAACTCGATTTCTATACCTCAAGGTACCTAAGGTAGGTACCTTATTAGTAGTGATCTTGATTGTGTGTAAGCATAAGTGGGAACTACATGTCAATTATATCAGGTAGAACACTCTCATAGTACTCGTTAGATTATTCAATAGAGCAAGGAATCACTGCTACACATAAGGTAAAAGCTCCTTCAGGTACCAGGTACCTAGGTACCTTGAGGTGAGGTAGACTTATTACCACGTGATCCTTTTGGCGAAGAGGGACTCCTCGTGAAGTTCAGACAAAGGTGCGCACAGTCTATGAAGCATCGGTTTTACATTCGGAGAACAGCATCTGCTCCACGGGTAATAACTTGCTCCTTTGCCCCCATTTAACCAAGCAAGAACAGGATGAACGGGGCTGCTGCTGCTGCCCCGTCGTCTCTAGATGCCGGTAAGCTTCAGCATCCCCAACTTACCTTAAGCTTCACTTCAGACAGTCCTGATCCTAACAATGATCCTTCCAGTCGATTATGATCCAATCGAACACCTCAATGCGATATTCTCTCACCCCTCGACCCTCGCATCCATAACCCAAACCAGAACCGCTCTCCAGAACCACCAGAATGACCTCTCGACCTCTATCTCCGACCTCGTGGCCGCTCAAGCCTACGGCGACGATTCCAGTCTGGCCCGCATGCAGTCTGCGAAATCCGAGCTTGCTCTCCTCTTCCGCAAGATCGAGTCGGTGCGTACACGTGCGATCGAGACCGAGCAAACTATCACCTCCATGACTGCAGACATCAAGCGATTAGATGGCACGAAGCGCAATCTCACACTGTCTATGACAGCACTCAAACGACTGCAAATGCTCACAACCGCATACGAGCAACTACGAGGACTGGCAAAGAGCAGACAGTATAAAGAATGTGCGAGTCTGTTGCAGGCGGTGTTACAGCTGATGCGGCATTTCAATAGCTACCGGAGCATAGACCAGATTGCGACGCTGAGCCGGAATGTGGCGGAGTTGCAAAGAGAGTTGCTGGAACAGGTGTGCGAGGATTTTGAGCTGGCCTTTGCGAAGGGGGAGGTCGGTAACAAGAAGTCGGTGCTTAGTGAAGCGTGCTTAGTTATGGATGCGCTGGGGGAGAATGCTAGAGCCAGGTTGGTGACGTGGTATGTCAATACGCAGTTGAGGGAATACCGGCAGGTCTTCAGAGGAAATGATGAAGCGGGCAGTTTGGACAATATTGGGAGGAGGTATAGCTGGTTCCGCCGGATGTTGAAGACGTTTGAGGATGAACATGCGGGAATTTTCCCCGTGAACTGGAGAGTCAATGAAGTGCTGGCAAATGCGTTCTGTGAAGGGACAAGGGATGACTTCAAGGGTATCCTAGAAAGGAGCATGAGGAAGCCGGAAGGAGCAAGAGTGGATGTCAATTTGCTTCTGAGTTGCTTACAGGAAACCATGGACTTCGAGCAAAGCCTGGAAAAGCGATTTGCCAGTGATCCAAGGGCGAGTATCGACACCCTTAGCTCGACAGAGGAAAAGCCCCTTACCTTCGACCGATCCATTTCAGAGGCTTTCGAGCCGTACCTCAGTCTATGGGTTGATTCTCAGGAAAAGCAGTTAGCTGGAATGATACCCAAGTATCGCACAGCTCCTCTCCTCAATCCAGATGAGGAGTTCTCTCCTCAAGCGGTGATACCATCATCAATTGAGCTATTCCATTTCTACAAAACTACTCTTGCGCAATGCGCCAAGCTTTCTACTGGAGAACGCCTTCTTGACCTTGCCAGACTCCTGGCAAAGTATCTTGATGAGTATGCCCAGCAAGTACTTCTCCATTTCCTCCAAATGCCGGGAGGCCCGTCTGTCAAGACCGTAATCCTTGTCCTCAATACAGCGGATTACTGGCACATGAACACCCAGCAACTTGAGGACAACCTGAAGAAAAGAATAGATGCGGAGCTAGGTCCCAAAGTGGATTTATCTTCACAATCCGATGCCTTCATGGGCGTCGCAAGTGCAGCAGTATTGTCATTGGTGCACAAGGTAGAAGTGGATTGCGAACCGTCATGGAGAGAAATGCGGAATACGAATTGGAGCAAGATGGAAAGTGTTGGAGATCAAAGCTCCTATGTTGCTGAATTGTTACGCCATGTCAATACCAGGACAGAGGAGATATTACCATTGGTGGGTAAACAGCAGTATGCTCGTGCTTTCTGCGACAACCTCGTGGAGCATCTATCAACTACCTACGTCACAAATATCGTTCAATGCCGACCTGTCTCCGAGGTTGGCGCCGAGCAGGTATGTTCCCGTCACTCCATAACGATGCCTGCTGACCTTTCTAGATGCTACTCGACAAATATGTCCTGACCAAAGGCCTCACAACCCTTCTCTCACATTCCCCATCTGCCTCCGCTTCCACTACCGCCCAGACCGGTTTCGTGAAACGCGTAAACCAGAGCATGATGCGCCTTGACCCTCTCCTCAAAACCCTACAAGTCCGTCCCTCACCCCCCGAAGGATTAGTCCAGGCATACCTCATCCATATTGGTGACCGTTCCGAGACCAACTTCCGCAAAATCTTGGAACTGAAAGGAGTGCGAAAGCTAGACCAACCTGCTCTGGTGGAACTATTCGTTATTCATAGGGATGGGAAGAGTAATGAACAATTAGTACAGATGAGTCCGTTGCTTACACCTCTGATGAATTCCGGCGGGATGGGCAGCGGTGGTCTCGGCATCAGTGGCGCTGCGCTTGGAGGAGGGGCTTCAGTGCAGCCAAGATTCGACCCGGCAGGCTTCGGGGAGAAATTGTTTAGTGCAGCGAGAGATGGGGTAGAGAGAGCAGGAGGCGGGATGGGGGATCGGATGGGCAGCCCGCTCGGTGAAGATGCAAAGTCAGCAGTGGAGGGCAATCTGAAGAGTATCGGGAAGTTCTTCAGGCGGGATATGAGTGGCTTCTCGGGCATTGGGGGCCGGTTTGGAGGAAGGAGAGATGTCAGCGGTAGTGGAGACGACACGATGAGATGAGCACCAGGAAACTTAACGGATGGGAATGGGACATTGATGAGATGAATTCAAAATGTCGGCGGGCACACACACAGGGTAAAATAGAAAGCTGGACAGATCACAACAGACCCGTGGGTAGATTCAAGAGACTCTTGTGCCCCCAAGGGCATTTACAGGAACTCGGGTGAGAAATAGGGGGCTGCTGGCATTTAAGCGAAGAAGTGGCTTACGGCCTTGTGAGATACTGTACCTGAAGAAGAGGGGGAAGATCTCCACAAATAGCAGACCCCGAATCCAATCATTTCTCATGAACCGGAGAAGGATGATCTCATATTCTGATTAAGATGATGATAAGTAAGACACGAGAGCGTAGAACCTTGCCACGGGGCGGGCTGCTGACAAACAAGGGGGGGGCCTCGCCAGTAAGGCTGGGCCAGACCCATTTGGTTTGGAATCAGAGACGCCAAATTTTGGCGGGGCGAGAAAAGGATATTTATTTATTATTAGAAATCAACAACACCAGAACTTTCTCCATTTGATATCCAAGACCACCCGTCTACGACCCTCCACCCGCCTCCTACAAATATAGAAGAAGGGAGCTGCGCCAAATCGCCGCTCTCCTGAACCCACAATCGCCGCCAAGAACGAGGATAACTTCGGCCAAAACGTTTTCCTCAACTTTCAGACGAACGCTGCGCTCGGGTGCTTCAGGTTTCTCCATAGCCGCTGCGGCAAGTATACAGCAGAAGCCGGCGCCGCAGACTAAGAGTGCGAGTCTCCTGGTTAGGAGTGCGGAGAGAAGGATGCATAGCAAGGTAGTCAGTAAGTGTGCCCGTCTCGCAAACCCCCCCACCCCTCTAGGCGGGGGACACATTCTGGCAGATGAATATATATGCTCACCAGTATAACAGTCATTGGCTCCGGCCCCGCAGCGCACACTGCAGCTGTGTACCTCTCGCGCGCGGAGTTGAAACCCGTGCTGTACGAAGGCTTTCTCGCGAATGGCATCGCAGCAGGTGGGCAATTGACAACCACGACGGACGTGGAGAATTTCCCGGGGTTTCCAGATGGGATTGGAGGCGCTGAGCTTATGGTATGCGGTAGAGCGGTTGTTTTATGCGAGACTCGAATCATGCTAACGCTGCCTGTTTACAGGATGCCATGCGCAAACAATCCGAGCGATTCGGTACCAAAATCATCTCCGAGACGATTGCGAAAGTAGACTTCTCACAGCGCCCCTTCAAATACTGGGCCGAGTACGAAGAGGACAAGGAACCCCACACCGCCGACGCCGTCATCATCGCCACCGGGGCTTCAGCACGCAGATTGCACCTCCCTGGCGAGGACAAATACTGGCAGAATGGGATTTCAGCCTGCGCGGTCTGCGACGGTGCGGTTCCCATCTTCAGAAACAAGCCGCTGGTGGTTATTGGCGGTGGAGATTCCGCGGCCGAGGAGGCCATGTTCCTGACGAAGTACGGATCGCACGTTACGGTTCTGGTACGAAAAGACCATCTCCGAGCGTCGAAGACGATGGCGAAGAGGCTGCTGGCGAACAAGAAGGTTACTGTGAAATTCAACACCGTGGGTGCGGAGGTCAAGGGCGACGAGAGAGGGTTGATGAGCCACCTGGTTATCAAGGATGTCAAGACAGGAAAGGAGGAGACGATGGAGGCAAATGGATTGTTCTATGCTGTCGGACACGACCCTGCGACGGCATTGTTCAAGGGCCAGATTGAGACGGATGAAGATGGTTACATCATCACGAAGCCGGGGACGAGTTATACCAATATCGAGGGAGTGTTTGCCGCTGGTGATGTGCAGGATAAGAAGTACAGGCAGGCTATTACGAGCGCTGGTAAGTCTCTCTCTTTCTCCTCTCCCCAAGGGAGCAATGCACCGTACTGACAGGTCGAAAGGCTCTGGATGCATAGCTGCACTGGAAGCAGAGAAGTTCCTCGCTGACCAGGAGGCGGACAACGATCTGGAGGCTGAGAAGGAAGCTACCAAGGGCAACAACGTTGTGGTACCGGAGTACAGGGGGAATCCTCTGCTATAGATAAGAGATATCCTTTTTGATGGACATGACATAGACATGGAAGCGGGTTACAAGTCATCATGAGAAGAGAGAGAGCAGCGAGAAATCCCATTGATGTTCTCATCAGTCCGTCTTGCCCTTTTCATGAACACGTGATCGATATTCCCAATCCGGGTAAGACCTGCCTCCCAACATCATCGTTGCCCTCCTGCCCCAAGAGCCGCATCCCTGCACATCCCGAACCGCCTCTCCAAACAAAGATAAAGACTCGGTGCTCCCCCATGAGTTTTTCCAACCTTTTGCACACCAAATCCTCGCTCCCCCAGCCCCCCAGCTGAACTCCTTCGTGGCCCAACTTCGCTTGACCGCCTCAGTTTCCAACGCCTGCATCTCGCCCTTTGTGACACTGCAGCAGCGGCCACCAATACGATGGAGCAGAACCAGGGCAACACTGATTTCGACTCCGACTTCTGGGCCTCATTGGAGGGCGATGATTTCAATCGGGACTTGGCAACCAGGTGAGTGGCCAAAAAAAAAGACACGCTGACTTCAGGGCAAAGTTGCAATTCCGGGGAGCTTAAGCTTCTTTTTCAACATTTTGGGTCCCAGGTGATCCAGTCTGCGGACGCCCCCTTCCCTGAGAATCCGACCTTCGTTCCGTCGTACGCCACACGCACTTATGAGGAACAACCACAGAACCTTCTATGGCCAGCTTCGGGTCCTTCAGTTTGGAACCCCCTTTCAAACGGGCCGGTCTTGGGCCCCATTTACCCGTCTACTGTGGGCAGTATCTCAGGCAGTCGTGCCGAAATTCAATACGCAAATCCGTTGCCTCCTCCCAGTGCCATCGACGCGTCGTCCTCCTCTTCCCCATACAAGCTTGATCCCATGTTGCCAGCTTCGCAATTGCCTGTCGTAAATCATCATTATCCTGAGCAGCAAAATATTATATCGGGCTTTCCTGTGGGTACGGCTCAGGTGTGTGTTGCTCAGCCGACTACAGAACCATGTGTACCAGAAGCTTCAAGTACAACTGCGGTAGTGAAGCCCGAATCAAAACCGAGGGCAAAGTGCAAGTATCCGGACTGCAGATCAACATTTGCACGAAAATATGATGTCGAGAGGCACGAAAGGAACGTTCACGACCGCACAGTAAATATACTTTGCCCAGTATACGGGTGCAATCGGGCCACAAAACCGTTTGCCAGGCTGGACAAGTTTCAAGAGCATTTCAGGCACAAGAAGCACGTCTCTGCTGGAAAACTCATGTGCCCAGTTGATGGATGCAGCTTTGGTCCCGGAAACCGTACGCAATTAGAACAGCATTTGATTTCTCAACCTCACCCTAGTTGTGCAAAACAGCCGCATCTTATAGGTATCATAAGAACGTTACAGATCAGGGATCCGAAGTATCTTCTTCAGCGAAGATTGAAAGGAGAAGACGCTTGTCCTTTGAGGATAGCGGGATGCACCTTCCGGCTATCGGCCGAGGAGCCCGACATGACGAGCCACGTCAATACACATGAGCTCGGTGAGCGATTGACGTACTACAAAGAAATCCAAGGGGAACTCGGTACAACACGGTTCCTCCATGCTTCATGCCCTCTTTGCAAGGAAAAGACTGACTTGTCTGTCTTCCACCGGTTCTCCAATTATTTTACCAACCACCTTGTAAACGTCCATACTAGGAGCGACTTGATGATCCATTCCTTGGAACTTTGGAAGATGCTCCACCCTCTTTACTCAGGTGCCCCGCATTTTATACCTCTTTCCTTGAGGAAAATCTTCGAAGAAATCAGACCAGAGGCAGAACGTACCGAGAAAAGTACCAATGATCAACCAGGCGACAGTGGATTAGCACTCTGATGAGGCCAACAATTCGAAGCTATGACCAGGCAGTTGGAAGACGACCTTTCAAATGTCCTCATATAGCAGAGCCCTCATAGGGAGAGATCGTACGATCGCGACATACCATGCTTCGCAGGCGCTTCTGGCTCGGTAGAAGACGCGGGGCATCAATCTTGACCTTCCGAATCCCGTTTCATTTCGTTCGATTTCACCATCACTCGGTTCTGTTTTCGCACTTTGCTTCTCGTCGCCTGGTTTCCTAACTATCACTCATGTCAACAGCCCGTTCTCATTTGTTCGCACCTATGACTTGTCTCCTAGGTACCGCCTGCTGTTCTTTGATTTTGATTTCTTTGGTTAGATGGCAGAAGGATGGGAATATACAAACTCCTCAACGAGTCAGAGACACCACGCACAACAAAAGCAGGCACTTCAACAGTCTTGCTGGCAATGGTGGAGGGTCAAAAGTTCTTGGTTGTAATTGCTTGTAGCTATGTTTTTCGCAATACGAATCTTATCCCTTAGCACTTCAAGAAGATGCCTTTCCTGATCTCGGCCTCCCGAATCTCGAACATGACCTGTATGCCGACGAATAGCGCCAATGACGCCGTGACTAGGAAACTAAGACCTATTTCTCACATTAGCCTCTCCCCACCTTTCCTTTTGTTGCACGTGGAATGGAGAAGGGAGTGGGGAACGCACCCGAATAATCCCTAAAAATCCCATGGATGATACTTTTCAAGCCATCAACCCCCACGGCAAACCCTACCAGATTAGCCATCATCATCATCATCAGGTTCCCCACAACGCCGACGCCACACAGCACCCGATAGGCCGTGAGGTTATTCTCCCACTTGCGCCTCGGGAACAGATAACCCGCGATGACCTCGGGCAGCATGAAGAGCACGATCAGCCATCCCCAGATCAGGAGGTTGAGCGAGATGTCATGCCACAGCGCCACGAAGGTGAAGACGGTGGCGTAGTTGACGGCGGTGCGGAGAGTGGAGGTCCAGGTGCGCGCACTGGCGCCTCCGAGCGGGATGTAGATGTAGCGGATGAGCCAGCGGTTGAAGCTGCGGTGCCAGGCGCGCCAGAAGCCCGTGGTGCTGGGCGTGTTGGAGATGCACCGGATCATGTTCTCGGGCGCGTCGATGCCGTCGATGGTCGACCACAGGCGGAAGAAGCGCCATGGCAGGAGGAGCTTCAACCAGAGCACGTGCAGGTTGAAATAGGAGAGGAGGCTGAGCTGGGCCGGGGTGTAGTCGGACCAGTCAGGGTCGCCTTTGGAGATTGCCACGCAGTAGTCGAAGTGCAGGACAAGTTCCATGGCGAGGAGGCAGAGGAGGAAGCGGATTCCATATTTTATTGTTCGAGACCTTTCAATGGTCGCCGGTGGGTATTTGAGTTGGGAGACGTAGTCATTAAAGGTTATTATTGGACCTGCTAGGTATAAAGGAGCGTAGATGACATATCCCACGTAGTTGCGGAAGTTGTAATCTTTTGCGGGGGCTGGGGTTTTAATCCTATCGCGTTCGGACAGATTTGCAGGGTCGAGTTGTTTCTTCTTGTGGGAATTCATTAGTAGGAACTCAAAGGGGGGAATTGCATATTGACCAACCTCAATCGGATCACCACCCCTTTTGTCGAGACTAAAATAATAATCCATGTTGAAACTAATAAGCCTCAACACAGTGATGTTGAAAAGAACCTCCCATCTCGACATGATCCCGCCATAACTATCTAGCCACGCGCCGAAACTGTAAAGGCTGGATGCTTCCCCAAGCGGTGTAAGATAGGCGGCTACATTGGCAAATCTATACCCCTCACAGAGCTCATTCGCGAAGAGTATTGATATGTTGAAAATCCAGGTCGCAGCTGGGATGAGCTTTCGAGGAAGACGGGTCGCGATACTGAAATTAATGCATAATATGAGGAGAACCTTGAACGCCGAGAAGCCATGCAAAGCCACCAGAAATAACAGTGCGAATGTGAAGTCGAACGTAGCTCGTCGGTCCAATCGTGCGTCTCCATCTGCGGCAGAAACATATGATTTATCATTTATTTTCGAAGATCCAATTCGAGATGGTAGGGGTCGGGAAGTCTCGTATAATCGTCGGAGGAGTGGATGGAAGAGGAGGAGCGTCGCAAGATATGGCAAGTTGCCACGGAAGGTTGAGTACTGGGCATCAGAGATATCCTGCACGATATTAGCTTCTGCAAACTGCCAATTCTTCTAGACATACAATCTTGCGCCCCGGTACCCATCCTGGTGAGAGCAGGTGCTCGTATTTGTGGTAGTTCTTGTCAGAAGCTGCAGAGCAGGTCAGATATCGAACTCAAGGTGTTACAACTATACTGACGTCTAGAAACATCATACGCAACCCAGAACATGTATGGCACAGTGATTATGAAGACAAAGTAATAGACGTAGAATTCCGGGGTGTTCCATTTCGAGGGTTGTGCTACAGGCTGTCCATTATCTGTCTTCGCGCGCACATCACGAATCAATCCTTTAGGGGAGTTGGGCACCGCAGGACTAATGCGTGGATCAACTGACTTATATTTGGATGAACCCGCAAACCGCGTATCGATCGTGTCGAGAGCGTATATGCTCCTTATATAGGAGAAGATACTCATCGTGCTAGCATCGCTCGGGGTTGGGGTTCCAAGGCCAGATTAGAGAATGAAAAGCAGAGAGTATACCCAGGGATCGTAAGAGGCAAAATAAGACAGAAACGAGTGTGGTGAACGGGGCCCCCTTATGATATATCTTCGATCGCGAAGATGTCGTGTGTCCTGTAGCATTTCCAGGGGACCGCGACCAAGGACCCAAAATCTCTTAGCGCGATTTTTACCCCGGCCAAGGAGAAATCAACCGAGGCCCTTCAACCTCCCCCCTTTTCTACTCCGTATTTCCATGGAGATGTTAGCCAAAGGCAGACTTTTAGATATCTCATAGCTGAATATTCATATATAAAGGTATGGGATTGTATTCATCACCTATTCGTCTTGTGCTGTGCAACCTTGTAAATCTCGATCATCAAGTTCTTGAATATCAGTTTAACCTGCAGCTTCTCAACTGGACGAGTCTGGACTCTCGATAATTTTCAACACCCTGACCGAAGTATTCAGACTAGAGATATCTACATCCTCCACTTACTTCTAAAAACAAAATTTAACACTAGAAGCAATATAGCAGCCATTATTTTACCTCATACTGGCCATCTCCTTTTCTAGATACTTAGAAACCTCACAGATGACCTCCTCCTGGACAGCACCTTCGAGCCATGTGGTACTGATTGTAAGGGGCCCATTAGCTACGCTGACCACGTTGAAGGAAAACGCTGCTCCAATTCCAAAGCCCGACTGCGAGAAAATCATCTCCTCAATCCGCCAGCCATGCTCATCGCCCTCGCACTTACAGCTTCCCAAGTTTGACACCGCAAATGTCAGTTCCCTTGGCCTTCCTATCTGGGATCTAAATATACCGTGGTAGTTTTTGACGTACGTCAGCAACCCAATATGGTTATCTCGTGGTAAACGTGAGAGCTCGACAACGATTGACTCGCGAAAAGACCTTGCTATTGTCCAGATATGCTGCCTAAGCTGTACAGAACTGTGTCGACTTTTAATAATAGATGAGATATGTTCCAAAGGATACGTAATTTCGTATGATGAGACATACATGCCCATATCTTCTTTCCTCGAGGGGTCGAGGAGGTGCCGCAGAGAGTAGGGTGTTAAGGTGTTAAAGCTTCTAGCCGTAGGAATGCGGAGGGCCAAAGCAACAGTAATAATTCCATACAAAAGACCCGTCAAAGTGCTCCTCTGTTCTCGACAGTTGTGGAGGATTATGCTAAGCTGCTCCGGGGAAATAGAGAAGACCTTGACTCGAGATCTGTAAGCTTGGATGCTTTGAGCGGATGGAGGAAAGCCAGCCCAAGGACCACGCCCTAGAAACGTTGACCATTTCGACAGCAGAACGTGCCACACTTCCTTTGCCAGAAAAGCCCAGGAAACTTGGAAGTTGATCTGCTCTTCTGTAGGAGGCGGGAGAGCTATGGAGTCTGGTATTTGGACGATGTGTTTGGTGAAACCATCAGAATCCGGCATCTTTGATCTATTCAAAGCTTCAAGCATTGATTGATGAAATACAATGCCACTACTCCCATCACCGAGGGCATGGTGAAATGCAAATATTGCGTCGAAGACAAATCTGTTAGAAGAGGCTTCGAAGGAGCCTTCCACAACAATCAATTTCCAACCAGGTCGAATGTCCAAATCTGACCACGATTGGCTATGTTGATGTTCCAAAATACCTTCCAGACTCTTATCATATTCCGCTTTAGTTGAAGCAGAAATAACCTTGTACTCGAGGCATTTCGAGAGGTCAATTGAATTTAACCGAACGAATGCAGCATCATGCTTGTCTTCGTTAACAATTCCAACACATAGCAGGGGATGTTGAAGAATGACTTTCGACAGAGCCAATTCAAGAACCCTGGATAGGTTCGAAGGCGCATAGCCGGTTGCATGTCTCGCAGTACTGGTAACGCATCTGTAATATCCTAGATGGTGGCACGCCGTGGAGAAACGTTCCCTTGCGAGGTCAGCCGAATTAACAAATTCTTGAATCTGATGCTTATTACTTACAAGTTCCCTACCGGTCTATACATGACAATACCTAAGGTATGTTGAGAAATTGTCTTCGCGCATAGAGAATGCTATTATAAGCCAATTTTCTATGTAAGCACAAGCTGATTCGCTATTGTTGCCAGTATTGTTTTGGCGACCCTGCTTGATTCTCAAAGAAATGATCGAAAATGATCAAATTTGAAAGAACTTGCTGTAGCTTCGCAGTCTGATAGGGTCTCTTTGTATGTAAGGGCGAAGATGGAAGGGATGTTGAGGTAACCTTGACTGGCGAAAAGAAGCGAGGAATGTGATTGTACATGTACGTATACCACAATGTGAATTGAGATCGCCAAACTAGACAATGCCCTTATTTGAGCCTGGCACCAATGAAATTTAGATGACTGCTTGGCCAGAGAACCCTTTGCAGCAAGCTCTCAGGAGGTCATTCCTATCATTCGCTTCATCCATTTCTCTGCAGGGACTTCCCTACCTACATACATCGCCTTCAGACTGTGGCATGAAAGCTCGTTTCAGCTTGTCATCGCACTGGACACTTTTGCAACTGAAATCCCAGTACCTTATAGCAACCAGTCGTCGCCCTAACAAATCTGAGACTGCCAGATAAGTCATACCCAACCTTCCTTTTCTCTTGTTCAGTTTCTCAGTCGAGTTGTCTACTCAGGCTTCCATTTACGTGGCTCGAGGCAATGCTCACGTGATCAGTACTTTCACAGGGTACCTACCTACCTATTCTACAGCCCATCAAAGAATATTGGTTGATCACAAAGAATATCCTGTTTAAGAACGTGGCCTGAAATATGAACAATAAGGTGTGCCTGGTATACCTTGCCAGTAGTGCGCGCTAATGACATAAGCTTAAAGCCACCATATCCGTACCTGGGAAATCTTGCCGCTGGACTCCGATATCGATGTCCCATGGCCGTTCTTCAAGACGGGTCTTGACACGGATTTTGATAAACGCCGCGCACAGTTGGAAGGTTGCAAACAAGGTCTTCTTGGAATATCTGTAAGCTGGATCTTGCGCCGACTACCTATGGAAACAGGAAGAGGCCATCTCGGGATAGGGCGTAGTGAGTCTTTCGTCCTTGAAACGAGCAGTCCAGCAATCAGTCCAAGGATGTGTGAAATAATAGAGCGAAAGTCAAGCGCTGGTGAGCGCTTGTTTCAAATTCTCCTAGAACGTTGCCCAATACTTCCCAATCTTGTTGCCGTACATCGCGACAACATCAGACGGGCCGGGCCAAGTCTGGATCGGCCCTGAAACCACCAGGTAAGACCCGCGAGGCCGTTCATGTTGGATGTAAAATTTGCCTCATCTTTCTCGCATGTTTTTAAAACTCCAACATTGCTGTTATTCTGGTCAATCTAGCCCGTTTCTGCAGCCCAGCACTACGGACATCTGTCGACGACATAAATCTCCTGTCAGTTGTATTTCCGGAACGCCAGCCTCCACAGAAAGCGGCTGATGGTGTAGTATCTTGAGTCTTTACATCGGAATCCAATCAATTCAGGATGAACAATTGCTATGAAGCAAGTGCTTCAGTCTGTAAGTCAATTCAAAGTTGCTCGATTGCAATACTCAATTTGGGTTGAGGCCTGAGAATTCCATCCTCTACTATATAATGAGACCCTCTGTCGTGAGCACAAAGTTCTATAAAAACCATCTTCAATCGTCTCATGTGGATAATTGCTATCTTCACAATGCCTTACATTCATCATTTTCCTGTTCTGCCTTATCGCTTAATCCAGGCTGAACCATCCCGTCCTCCTTTGATAGCCGACATTGCATCGAGGTCTCCGAGCAATCGCCATTCTGCTGCTTCAAGAATATGCATCTTTGGGCAACCTCAGAAGGAAGACAGGCTATACGCTGCAAGGAGATATATTAGTCGTACGAAGGAGATATGCCGTGAACCCGTAAGCCACAGAACCCCGCGAAGCCCATGAATCGTCCTAATCATTCCGCAGGTTGTCGTCTCTAGGCCTGAGGCCGGGAGGTACTGGCTCAGCAACAGAGAAGCGGACTGTATCTCTCTTGATGTGCCTCGCAAAGACGGCGGTTACACTTCGGAATTCCCAAGGCGATATTCAAAGGGCAAGGAGCTTTTATATCCGGGGTGGAACATTCATCTCGACTACGCACACACAAAACCCGGCCTGTCCCATGAGGAACGTGCCCGGTTGAAAGGACGTTTCTGCAACGGTCACCCGGTTGTGGTGCCGCAAAGAGACCTCGAGAAATATGAGGTTGAAGGGAGGAGACCGCACCACGGCATTCGTGCTGTTACCGCTCGGCCAAGACAGGACTTTGCTGGGCCCCATCTGAAGCGGGTGGTATATTATTGAAGAGGGCACATCATATTGGGGTTTGAACCCGTTCACATGAAAGTGTGACATGGGAGCGGATGACGAATGGTGACATTGGGTAATGTCATAATATCAAGGAATTGAGGGAGGAGCGGTCTCGTTTGGTGTTTGGGGAAATTTATTGATTGGAGGAGGTACTTGTCTGACGAGTGTTCTAGATCAATCGTGTCTCTTTGCTTATTTATATCCTACTCTTAGGGAGCGGATATCTTACATCCAGGGTTTTGTTGCATATCGCAGATTGGCTTTTATCTCACTTTTGCCTCCCTTTCTTAATTATCTGACAAGTGAATAGTTGACAAATAGGTTTTGTTGCATATCGCAGTTTGGGTTTCATCTCACTTTGGCTCCCTTTGGCTCCCTTTGGCTCCCTTTGGCTCCCTTCTCTATTGTCTAGTAAGTGAATCTTTTATAACCAGGGTTTTGTTGCACGTCGCATTTTGGTTTTCATCTCACTTTGGCCTCCCTTGCTGAATTGTCCAAGGTAGTAGTGAGTGAATATTTTACAGCTATGGTTTGTTTTGTTGCACATCGCAATTTGACTTCATCTCGCTTTGGCCTCTCTCCCAACATTTCTCTATTGTCTGATGAGTGAATATGTCAGTTACATCTAAGGTTTTGTTGCACATCGCATTTTGACTTTGTCTCACTTTGGCCTCTTTCAGTCTTTCCCAACCTTTCTTACTTGTCTGATGAGTGAATGTTTTGTAAGTAGAGTTTTGTTGCACATCGCAATTTGGCTTTCATCTCACTTTGGCCTCTCCCTCAACCTTTCTTGCTTGTCTGATAAGTGAATAAGTTACTTCTAAGGTTTTGTTGCACATCGCATTTTCAGTTTGTCTCGCTTTCGCCTCTCTCTCAATCTTTCTTACCTGTCTGATGAGTGAATGTTTTGTAAGTAGAGTTTTGTTGCACATCGCAAATTGGCTTTTATCTCACTTTGGCCTCTCCCTCAACCTTTCTTGCTTGTCTGATAAGTGAATAAGTTACTTCTAAGGTTTTGTTGCACATCGCATTTTCACTTTGTCTCACTTTGGCTTCTTCCTCAACCTTTCTTAAGGTACTTGTCTGATAAGTGAATATCTCATATTGGTTTAAAGCTAGTTTCGTTGCATATCGCAGTTCGAGGGTGAGCTCACTTTGGTTCTCTCCCCCTTCTTTCTCCATCTTTAAGTTATCCAGTAAGTGGACATCTCATCAAGGTCTACAAACTCACAAGAGGTTTGTTACACATTGTAATTTAGATTATCTCAGCTTGATCCTTCATTCTTCTTATTCCTACTTGATGACCCCTTCTCTAAGGTAGATACTGGCTTTCTTTTCTGCTTATTGTATCTGTTGGACAGAAGAGAAATTAATTCATGGATGATCACGGCGTATTAGTTGTCTCAGGTCTAACTCCGAGTTTTCCTTTGGGGCGAATTGTATACGCACTTTAAGACCAAACTTCTGCTGAATATTCAACAAATAAGCCCCCTCCCCCTCCCCTTTTTTCGAAATTATCTTCTAACAAGGAGTTCAGTCTCACACTCCTAGCCACAACAACCTAATATCAACACCTTCCGACTACATACTCAACAAATCTTTATTATTCGCAAGCATCCATAATAAGTTTTCAATACCTACCTGTCCACCTATTAACCAACTCAGAATCGTTCGGTGCGCTCATCACGTGCCTTTCCGCCCCTCGCTTCCTCGGGCATAAAGTCTACAATAAGGCCACCGCTTATCAATCAATCAAAAGCGGCTCTCTTAGCTCAGTGGTAGAGCGTGGGATTGCAGATCCTAAGGTCACTCGTTCGACCCGGGTAGGGAGCTTATGTTTTTGTACCTTTTTGGAGTTTCTTCTGGTGGGATGGGGTTGTGTTGTTGAAGATGGGTTTTGGTTTTTTATTTTCAGTTTCACTTTTTGATTTCGCGGAAGAAGAGACACAGAGTACAACGACATATGTCATGAATATCGCTGGAGTTTTGAAGTTTAGCTGGCTATGACGAGTTAGGTCTTACGTTTCGAAAGGGGAAATTCTGATTTTCGCACCCGCGATCTTCTTCTATACTCGGTCTGTGGATGGGGTTATAGGGTTACAGTTGCCCGCGACTTGTGTTTGGGTTTTGGTGGTTGTATGCACGATTAGAGGCGCTGATAGGATCGCCCAGTGCCTCTTCCAGGAGAGATGCAGTCAAAAGCACCGCGCATGCCTTGTATTGAAAAAGTACCGGGGTAGGTGTAACATCTCGTGTATTGTAGGCTACAGACAGTTGCAGTCTTGCAGATTCCAGGTATGGATCTACTATGTATGATGGAAAGGGAAAAAGTAAAAAAAGTGTTATCCTAGTCCCTGTAGAGATGTCGTAGTTACTCTTGCATATATCATCAATAACAGCGCCCACAATGGCCCTGAAACGTCGACAGAGAGGCTGTCCACTGCCCATCAGTGATATGCGGTAGGCTTTCGAAGACATCCCGTGGAATAGGGGAATTCGAGATGCATCTTCCGGTTTCTTGCTCACTGAGCGCCTGGACCATGATGAAGAGGACGGTGAACTTGTGGTGGGCTCGAAGTCGGGCTCTTGAGACATAAAAAGCAAGACCTCAATCTCGACTGGAACCCACGGTAGGTATAACAAGAAGGTTTCGAGAAGCTGGATTACATCTAATGGTTGGGCCGAGGAGGAATTGCTATTGACGTGCCAGGCTCGTCGGGATTGAAGGCAATTGAGGTTGAAAACATATCTCTTGCACCGTAAAAAGAGAAAGCGAGAGAAAAAACATATAAAAGAAAAGAATGCCTTCAGCGACGGTAGAAAATGGCAGAGGGCACAGCAATCCCTGGGAGAAGACGTGGCTGGTCCAGCGTTTCATATACTCTATAAAGCAGGGAGAACTCTTGGGCTAGGGTACCTGGAGGTCAGCTATAATCAGTTCCGCCTGTCCTGAAAACATGTAGCACAGCATGCCAGGACGGCGAGGCAGGACCGCTGTCGAAACAGAAGACGGCAGATATATAATAAGAAGCCGCTCGAAGGATTCTAGGATGTGTACAACGGCTGATAGATTGGACGATAAACGGAACAAGCGCGTCGGGTTTTCCTCTTTAGGATGTATTGTACGCCGCCTTGCCATTGGTCATACAAATGACGATGTCGAAGTGACCTTTCTCCGGCCGTGGCGGAGGTTGATCTCGTGCAGTGTAGCTATAACTGGTCTTGGCGGAGATCATGTCAGATGCGGAGGAAGGCTGAGACAATGATGGCAAGAGAAGGCAAGGAGGCGGCGAGGCAGCGAGGCTCCGAACTCTAAAAGTCTAAACCGGCGGCAGAGAGGTGCGAGGAGAGAGGCAGATTGGCCTTGGCCATACGAGGCGCGGAGGGTTGGAGAGAGAGGGATTGAGGGGATTCGGCGAAGAGCTGCGAATAGACGTTAGGATCGTGATAGAGATTTCTGGACGTTGATGTAGGCATTGACAAAGACTTACGACTGTACGATACCGCAGTGAAGACGACGATCGTCAATGACATACAGTACCTTACCTACCTAAGGTACTGGCGGAAACATCATTGCGATTCTTGGGGCGCTGGCCAATCACGATGCGGCTCTGGACGTTGGTGCCAGGGGTTTTACTCCGTAGAGGCTATAGCAGATATTGTACCTTATAGTAGGTAAGTCAGGGGTCCAGCGCGCCATTCTTGCCGGCGGGAACCCTGAAATAGCATCATGGACCCGCGGATCCAAGACCCTTGGAGTTGAAGGGGTTCTTCAAGGCTCGTCCAAGGCAAGTCAAGGCAGTTCAATTCAAGGGCCTTTCATCTCGATCTCACCTACGGAGCATACCACTATACTGCCATACCGCCATACCGCCATACTGCCATACAATCACCAACGTCCCCTTACACCAAACTCGAGCCAATCTCATCAGGATGAGCAGTTCTGCGTACTAATCAAAGGGATCGCTCCCTCCTATATGCTCCTCTGCTCTCTTCTATTCTTGTTTCCTCCCGCTGTCATCCTCCTCGACCATCTCCGACAGAGGTACGTCTCTCCATCCCATACCTCCCTCCCTCTCTCTCCCTCTCCAGTCCTCCAGTTCTCCCGCTGACGCTACGCAGTGCTGCCGCCCTTCTCTGACAGATTGTCGCTCCCTCGACGCTCGCCTCCACACAATCCCTCCTGCGAACCAGCGTCCCACCGCCTCTCCCCCAAGGACCCTCACTGTAGTGTCTCCCGGTGAAACAAACCATCAGCACAGATCCCGAGGACCTGCAGCTGGCTCCTCGTCAATCTACTTGCCGATCCCACCTGGAATCAACCCTAGAACGAACTCCGGACAGCCTACAGTCACTACGGACGCACAATCTACGCAGTACAATAGCGAACAGAGACCCTGCCGGCAGCAGCCTTGTGGAATCCTGCTCCTGCTCCTTCCCCCTCCCCCCTCCCCCTTCTGCGCGCACAGAGGCGCCCCTTCAGCCCACCTGCGAGCCAAGACAACAAGCATCCGGCGTCCTGCTATCGACAGTCTGGCTCCGTAAACAGCCTGTACCCCCCCTTACCGATCTTCCGGCCTCCTCTGCACTCACCCGTGCCGCAGTCGTCGAGCCTATTGCCCGCCTGCTGCTCTGCTTGGCCCTGTACCCCGACACGGCTATCCCCTTTTCGCCTTCCCCTCCTCGCCGCGACCAAGCAGATATCTGAAATCGGCCTCTAAGAAGCACAGCAACAAATGCGACCCCTCCAACAATTGATGTCGTGGTACATGTACCTACGCCCCATATCCTCTCCATAGAGCGCCTCCCGATTACGTTCCCCGAAGGATGGGGCCTCCAAATGGAGTCGTCTCCTCTGGAGCTGAAGATGTCCCGATCCCCATCGCCCTTCACGCCGACGACGAGATCCAACCCCCACGGAGCCCTATTGCCCAGAAGACAACGGCGCTGGACGTGGACACGATGAAGGAAGTTGGCGCGCCCGTTCCCACCCATCCCATACTTTCAATGCAGGGGGCCTTTGCAGAATCTATGCGGGAAGCCTCCGAGAACGCAACGTCTAGCATACCGAAACCCAAACTTGGGGACGCCGCTGCACGAAGACAGATCCTCATCGAGCAAGCAGCCTCTGACGAGACCCATGCAGCGCGATGGGGGCAGAGACCCGGCCAGCAGTACCACCCGCTCTGGAAGCTGATGGCCCAGATCTCCTTCGGCATTTACCTGTTGTTGAATGGCATTGCGAAGGATGACGAACAAGTCATGAGCATATTGCAAGGACATGTGGACGAGGTTGACGAGTTTCTCGAGACAACTCTGGAGGACTTCGATCTGGCACAATACGATATCACTGAGCGGCTAAGGCTCCTCAAGCTGCCGCTTGAGAATATCGACATTTTCGACGGGATGCTCGAGGATCGAGATTTTCGCTTGCGGATTATCACCGGTAATGAGAAGATTGAGCACGTTATAACGAGGACGGAGAGAGCGATGCGTGACGCGTTGAAGGATGTACAGCAGGGTATGGATGCATGCAAGGAGTTTACCCTTTACTTGGCTGAAGAGCAGGATGAGACATGGAGGGACGAGAGGCCGGATATGGAGACGGTATTCGACGCTATGAAGGGTAATGTGGACGGGTGGTGCAAGGCATGTGGCTCATTGCAGAAGAAGGGTAATGCTCTTGGTGTAGCTCTCGTACAACTTGGTTCGATGGTAGCGGAAATGGACAGGCGGGCTGGCGAGGTCAGTCGTAAGGCCCGAGTATGCCCCTCCACTACTGTTAATATTTATATTTATTGACAGACAACATAGTTCAGCACTACATCTGAATCCTCACCAACATCACAAGCCGCTTCCTCACCGCCACATCCTTCGAAACAGACGCGTCAGTCAATAGTCAGAATTACCCCGCCAGACGCAGATATGACCACAGAATTTCAGGAGCACAAACAGGACCCCGAGCCAGCAGTCCGCGAATCTTACTTGGATCTGGACTCAGACTCAGAAGAAGAAGAAGAAGAGAAGGAAACGGAATATATTCTAGCGCCGCGAACATACACACCCATTCCCCCTCGACAACCATCTCCGGCGCGGGTCCAGCAAGCTACTCCACCTCCGGAAACAAAATCAAGGAACTCCCTTCGACAACGCTTCTCTCTCAATCCCAAAGAAGTTTCCCCAGGGATGCATAAACATCCTACATCGAGAAATACTATCAACAATAATGATGACTATTGGGATCCTCAAACCGCCATCTTCTCAGTTGCTGAAAACGTCCAAACTCATCGCAACAATCGAACTACCATCACTAGCCAGCGACACATACCGCCTATCACAGTCCCCACCCCCCACGAACTCGAAGCCGTAGTTCCACCACCATCTCGCGGCATGGATTCTGCCTACTGTTCCGATTTAGAGAAGCCCTTTTCACCGCCCTCAGTCCAATCTGCCTATGCGCAGACACCAAACCTGGGCTCCCATCGAATTAGTGGTTCTCCACGGATCGTTGCCCCTCCAGTGATGAGAGATCATGTGCCTAGTCCTCGAAGTGCCCACCAATTCTTCAGGCCTGTCAACGCATCTCCGCACTCACCATTGCAGAGACCCTGGACGGCAGCCCCGGCAAGTCACCACACGCACAATCATTCCAACCTCAGTAACCTCTCGAAACTCTCCAATGGCTCAGCTACCCATCTCCCTCCACCGTCGAGTTTGGGTAATCGGCGAGCAGCGCCTAGCGCGATGGGACTTAGCACGATGAGCGATATCACCACAGTGACGGAGAACGGTCAGAAGCTCAAAAAGAAAAGGAGTGCGTTCGGGTGGTTGAAGAAAGCGTTTGCGTTGAGCGAGGAAGAGAAGCAGGCGTTCGAGGAGAGGAGGCGGCGCACAGATCAAGAAAATCTGTACTATGAGCGGCCTCAACAAAAATGGATCGACGGAAAGCGTGTACGCTGATGCAACCAAAATGCAGACCGAGAAAATAAAATTCTAGCAGAGCTAGGTAAAAAGTTTTGGGGCCTAGGAAAACAAAAGATAAAGAGTGAACGGGTTGGGGAGGGGAATATATTGGGAACGAAGAAGAAGAGGGAGAGGAAGAGATACCCATTTATCTGTCTTGAACGTATATTTGTAATTTCGGGCATTTTGTTTTATTTTACTACCTATATTTCCTTCTTCTTCTTATATATTTTCTTCTTCTCTTCCTTTCAGCGAGGTGTTTGGCGGATCTCCATCTGATCTGGTCCTACGGTGGTACAGTAGTCACACCCACACACATATATCATATTATCAAAAACTCAAAGATCGGAGCCAAAAGGGATTCCAGCTGGGGGCAAAGATACTAGCTGGTTAGATTTTAATGCTATAAATAATGTTCATGTTCCAACGTTTCCGCGCGCGCTCTCATCTGATGTGAGCTAAGCGGTAGGATGATTTTCTTCCTACCTATCCAAAAATCTAGTCTAGTCTACAAGCATTTCAATTCATTTCAGCCATCCATTTCATTCCATTTCAATTCATCCAGCCAGGCGTCAAGCGCCATTCCCATAACTCTTTACACGACTCCAGTACAGCGGCTTCTCGTTTTTGCGCGAGAACTCGGCCCAGTCGTCGGTGAGGCGGTTGTGGAACCAGAAGGCGGCCCAGACCAGCTTGTTGTTGCGGGCGCCGCGGCCGGCGCTGCGCAGCGACAGGTCCATGCGGTAGACGTACTTGGGGCCGACGCCCTCGGTCTCGACGCACAGGGCGCCCTCGGCCTCGCGGAGGTCCTTGTCGGGGTGCGCGGGCGTCAGGTGCCAACGGCCGCGCAGCGCGTTCTGCATGACGGAAGAGGGGAGGTGGGGGTTTGCGCCGCCCTGGTGGGTTTCCAGCAGCTCTTTGGTGAGGTGCGGCACGACGTCGACGGGCTCGGTCGTCGTTAGGAGGCTGATGACGGTGCCGTCGCGGAAGAAGCGCAGGTAGCGGTAATAGGTCACGATGTGCACGGGGCTGTTCCACGACACCTGCGAGGGCGAGGCCTGGCCGGGCCGGATGTAGTTGTTGGTGCTGATGTAGCAGCCGTTAAAGCGGATGCGCGGTCGGCGCCGGAACATCTGCTGCCAGGACGAGGAGTAGACGCCGTGCAGCAGGGCCTCCGTGATGGTATCTCGAAGCGGGAGAGTCATCTCGGGGATCTCTGCGGCTTCTCCATCCGTCTCCTTGAGATCTGGGAACACCTCCTCAAGTGGTCCGCCTAGGATCTCTCGCTGCCACTGGTAGTGCATGGCTCCGAACCCAACTTCGGAACCTAGACACACCCGTCTCCAGATCTGTTCCTCGGTGGCTACGAGGTATGCCATGCGCTTGCACACTTGTGCAAGTCTCACGAAGGAGGCCACATCTTCAATCGCCACTTCTCTGAAAATGTGAACCAGTATCTCTTCTGGGAGGCTTGCCAATGGACACGGCGGGGAGGGGTCGCCTTCAACGGCCGGGGGCGCAGGTTCAATTGAGAGCCCTGCGAATCCTGCGATGAGTTCTTTTATCGTTGGTGGGGGCCCGTCTAGGGAATGGTGGGCAGTATTGGGCACAGTCGAAGAGGCATTTGAAGGGTTGGCGTTGGCGGCTTTCGCAGCAAAGTAGGATGGCGGGAAGTGCTTGTTCTTGTATTGTAAATCGACTCGGTGGTCGAGCTGGGAGCTTATGTCAGCCCACAATTGTAAGACAAGAGGAATGAATATCTGGAGGCTTACCTTGAAGGCTTTGCGGTAGAGATCAAGACTGTCCCCTAAACTGCCTTGGCTTTCCCGCTCTACCGCTTTTTCATAGTGTTCCAACGCAGACCGTGGCTCTCTGCTCGCCGTCTTGAAACCCTCTCCATCTTCTGCCACCAAGGCACTCGACGCGTCCAATCCGCTGAAGACTTGAGGTTGGACATGGTCGTCGTCTTCATCCGGCACTTTCGACGCCTTGTCTTCTGCTATTCGCGGGGCCGGAGGGGGTCTGCGCGATGCTTTCGAGGGGCCTGCCGACGATTGCGCGGGTCTGCTCCCTCCTCCGGCGTTCGAAACCCTTGCGGTCACTTCAGCTTTCCATTGTTGTCTAAAGGACTCTAATTCTGGGTTCGAGTCTTCCATAATGCGCAACTATATCGTACAACTCCAAGGAGAATGAAAATACAGGAGGAGATTTCTCAGGCAAAGCTCTCTGAGGCAAGGCCGTCTGGCAAAAGGCGTGCAGTTGTGGAGATGTCGCTTATCAAGACTGTTATCGCCGGCTCGCTCCCCTAAGTTCCTAGGTTTTGCTTGAAATGTCCTAGCTCCGCTCCTCGCCCTTTTGCTCCGTGACAAATTCTAGAATCCCGCTATCCAGCGACCAGACATCATTGCCTCCAACAATCGACGATAATGCTGCAGGATTCCACTCTCTAATCAACACAAAGCTCTTGGAGGTAGAGGAGGTCAAATCGAGAATTCACATCATGTCCAGGCGTTGGGACCATAACGCCGAATCGGACAGCGAGCTTGCCACCGCGTTGGAACGAGACCGGAGTCACAGAGATGCAGGATACGACAGAATACATGGAGACGACCCAATCCCCGGCATATCATCGACGATAGCCATGACCGGAGATGTTGAAGATGTCGAGGTTGATATTACTGCGGGGCAGAAGATGCTATCAGCAATGTCTGGCAGCTTGCTGACTTCGCTTTTGGGTAAGTTGTCCTCCCCCTCTGGTAGTTTACATACTCATCTTGGGGTCTGCAGTAACTCCTCTTGATGTTGTCCGCGTCCGCCTCCAATCCCAACCAACACAGTCACCCCTTGCATCCATTCAACGGCTGGCGGCCTCCTCTCGACCCTTCAGTACGCTTCCACCGGACCTCGGAGTTGCGGCGTGTTGCCGAGAAGTCTTCTTTGCGAATAACAATGCCGAGTTTTGCCTGGCTGCGCCGAAGATGGGGGAAGTTAATTCAATAGGTATCGCGGAATGTGCAGTGCAGGAGCATCAAAAGCGGACATTCAACTCCACGTTTGACGGATTACGAAAGATCGCGCGAAACGAAGGGTTTACCACACTATGGAGAGGGCTGTCACCGACGTTGGTTATGACAGTGCCGGCGAACATCATCTACTTCACCGGGTACGAATGGTTACGATCCAATAAGCAAAGCCCTATCTATCGAACCGTCTCGGATAACTACGCTCCATTGGTAGCGGGAGCGACGGCTAGAATACTTGCTGCCGGTGTAGTGAGCCCAATCGAGATGTTGAGGACCAGAATGCAAGCAAGTCGATCTACCGGAGGATCACATTTCATGGAGGCAATGAAGGGAATCGGCGAGATGGTGTCTAGCCATGGATATGGCTCTCTGTGGCGCGGGTTGGCATTGACGCTTTGGCGAGATGTTCCATTCTCTGGCATTTACTGGTGGGGCTATGAGAACATGAGAGGCGCTTTGACAGAAGCACGGGAGCGAAGTCGAGGCCGAAGTTTGGAGGTCGAAGGGTCTAGAACTCGAGCACGAAGCAGATCTCAAAGCCGTGAAAATCACACCGCAACCTTCACAGACAGCTTTATTGCGGGAGCAACATCTGGGGCTGTTGCTTCCATTTTAACCATGCCATTCGACGTGGGAAAGACCCGAAGGCAGATTTTCAAAGACCCCGGTTCAACCCCAGGCATAGAGAGGGTTCTGGCCCCCGAAGAACGATCGATGCCGAGATTCCTTTGGCACATTTTCAGAGAAGAGGGAATTTCAGGCCTATGGCGGGGATGGATCCCGCGGACATTGAAGGTAGCGCCAGCGTGTGCGATAATGATCAGTTGTTACGAAGTCGGGAAAAGAACATTTCGGAGCGTGAATGAGAGAGCAGAGCGAAAGCGTTTAGCGGCATGAGATGCACTTCCCTACTTAATCTGGCGTATGAAAAGGGGTTTGTCTGTAATACCAGGGCTTGATTTACTTTGCATAGCGATTTAGGCGTCTTTGCACTTAGACTTGTATTATATTATAGAGGCTATACAGAGATCTCTACCTATTCTATGATTGATATTTAGGAAGCAATTCAGCTCATGATTCTGCCACTATGCAGACCTACATGCTCTGAAGAAAGAAAACGGCCGTGCTGAAGAGTTTCCCCCTGACTTAGCGAATCACGAAAACCACTCTACGCGAAGACGCGTGAAGACGCGGATCCGCGACCTCAGCTTTCCAATCGCCTGTTAGCTATTCAACAACTTCTTCGACTACTCCAGACCCCTATCCCACATTCAAACTGTCTCTCTTAATATTCACCCTTCTCCGCCGTCCTTCCATAATGTCTTTGAAACGAAAAGCCTCTACCCTCCCGGCCAATGACGCCAAAAAGGCCAAAGCTGACGGGTCTATCACCTCGTTCTTTGGAATTCCCAAACCCGTTGCCTCAGCTCCCAAGACCATTTCCTCAACTACCGAAGTGAACGGCACTTCCATCAAGCAAACTACTGCTACGGAGGCTCCTGAATGGGATAAAGATGCGTGGGTGAAGAAGCTGAGTGATGAGCAGAAGACACTGTTGGCGCTGGAGATTGAGACGATGCATGAGAGCTGGTTGAAAGTATTGAGGACCGAGATTACAAGCCCCGGGTTCTTAGAATTGAAGCGGTTTCTACAAAGGGAAGCCCAGGCTGGGAAGAAAATATTTCCTCCTAGTGAGGACGTTTATTCTTGGTTCGTCTCCTATCCTATCCCCTTCTGTCCCCCCTCCTTTACATTTCTGGAGAATGAGGCTGATGAGCAATGGGACAGGTCACGACACACACCCTTTAACACCGTCAAAGCCGTAATCATCGGTCAAGACCCCTATCACAACGTCAACCAAGCTCACGGGCTCTGCTTCTCCGTCCGCCCCCCTACTCCCGCACCCCCTTCGCTAAGAAACATCTACAAATGTCTCCAAAATGATTATCCTGACTTCACCCCACCGCCCAACAACTCTGGCCTCTTGACCCCCTGGGCAGACCGCGGCGTGCTCCTCCTCAATACCTGTCTCACTGTCCGCGCGCACGAAGCCAACTCTCACGCGAATCGCGGCTGGGAGAAATTCACGCAGAAGATCATCAATCTCGTGGCCGAGAAGAGGACACAAGGAGTGGTATTTCTGGCGTGGGGCACACCGGCTGGGAAGCGTGTTATGTCTGTGGATCGCAAGAAACACCTGGTCTTGCAGAGTGTGCATCCGAGCCCGCTAAGTGCATCGAGGGGCTGGTTTGATTGTGGGCATTTTAAGAAGACAAATGAGTGGCTGGTCACTAGATATGGTGAGGGGAGCGAGATTGATTGGAATCTGGGCGACAAGGCAGCTGCTGCTGAGGCCTAGGGAGATGTTCGAGGGTTGCAATGGGTTTTCGGAGTATGTGAGCGAGTTTGGCCACGCATGAAAGACAGCGCCGTCTAGAGATGATGATATGTTCTGTTGTTTTGTATGGAGTCATGGTGTTCTAGACTTTTAGACTGAGAATTATCCCTTGATCAAGGTCACAACTGGCGTCCTACATGTAGTATTGCATAGATGAGGAGTCGAAACTAAGGATTGAAATAGATCAAAGCCTCATAAGCTTTGTAGTACGAAAAGTCATTTTCAAGGGTTTTGAGCATCATCTGCTTGATTCTATAAGCTAGCAGATTTATCACTCGTGTTTTGGTAACTGCTTGGGTTTTAGTTATTCAGTTCAAATGTTACTTGGATAAGACATATCCTTCTCGATAGTTTCTGTACACTCTATGTCGCAGCTCTATCTAAGTAGCCGTTCATTTATTTATACTTCAAGACACAAGCAAGCAAGCAGATTATCGCATCAAGGCAGCCTCGCCTCTGATATTCCACACCTCCAGCATCCAAGGTCCTCTAGAGTATCTAAAGAGAGCAACTATCAAATTGTCATTTCCGCAAACAAGAAGCAGCCATCGAGACAGCCTATGAATGGGGCAGTTAGACCTGATGTCAGCACTTATTCTTGTTATGCGGTTTGATACAGACTTAGGCCGACCTTGAACAGGCTTTTTAATCTGATATTCATGTTGGGAATAGAGGTACTGTTGCGAACTGCCAAACCGTTGTGGATAAAGGATGTGAAACCGCGATATGGGTTAATCGTTGATTGACTGACTGTCCACTCAGGGGATAATGCCTATTAGGGACTAGTCTAAGCTTACCGCCAACAACAGATGTCAAAAGTGTCTCATGACCTCGTTGTTGCTCGTTCGTTGGAGTTGATACAAAAGCTTCACGGCTTCCTCTTTTATATGCTGAATGCTTCACCGGCATGATGCTGTTTTTGCATCGCGAAGTTCCCTTACAAGAACCAAAACTACCTCGTATTCACTCCTTATCATCTACGCGCTAGTACCGCTCTATCATAGTATCTAAGATCCGGCTTTCCCTCAAGTCTTATCCCCTTCCTGGGGTATCGGCCTCTTCTTACACGGGCCTTCATATTCGGCATCATTGCTCCTACGTCAACTCCGTCGTCCTGAGCCCCGCGCCACCAACGTTTATCACGGCGCGCACGAGGACGGAGACCGAATATTGTTCAACTCGGCATCCATGATTGATTGACTGATTGATTGATTTATTCATACACCGATCTCAGACTAAAAGGCTTATGCGGAATCTGACTACGGCTGTACGGGACCCTCCGTTGGCAAATGTTTACGCTACTGCTCGGCATCCATGAAGGTAAGGTAGGCAGTGAGGATTGACCGCCCGTACCAACGGAGGCCAACGGGCCGAATGGGAGAAGGTAGAAATCGTGGAGGATGGGGGGCAGCGAGGGCTTCTTCTTTTCTGCAGGCGGTGACAGTGAGAGCGCGATCAAGCATGGCACCTGGGGATACGGAGCAGAGGAATCCCGGGAGAAGATATGAAGAGGCTGGATGGTCTGTGAATTAATGGGCGGACATCCGCAATTTGACCGACATGCTGAAGGGGGAGCGGTCTTTGCCATCGCATATGGATCGTGCGCAAAAGGCTGCGAGACATGCTTTAGATGTGGGTTTGAGAGCTACCGCTCCTTGACCATGTGTGAGGCAATGAGGCCATAACTGGGTACTTCATGTGTGTCAAGAATGCTCTCGGCGCATAAACGCTGGGCCACGAATTGGTCAAGCCACGAATGATCTGCAACAGTATGACGACAAGGTGTTAAGGGCTGAAGTGTACAGAGTACTTTTTCATGTTGGCTTTGGTCCCTGCTTTTCTCCTGGGAGAATGTATAGCCCGGTTATGGGTCAGGAAGGGCCTTCCCTTTACATTTATCCCATCCACTGGCTGGGACAAGGACAGTGAGGGAAGAGGTCCATGTACGTTGCGTAGAGATATGTGTTGGCAGCCAGCTTGTTGGGCTGAGTTGTTCAAGAACCGGGGTCAACAGCCAATTGGCCCCAGCTATATTGAGCATAAGTATTGCAGGTACAGGAAGACTGAAGGGCAATATATACGGCATATTATTATTGCTATCCCATCGCTATCCGGGTCCTTGAGTCTTGACCGCATTCTTGCGAGGCTCGAGCCATTGCTCTCTAAGGTAAGGGCAAGTATGTAGTAACTCAGCTCATGCGTGCCGCCTTAATGCGCGGCGGAAGGCCCTGAAACCTTTGCTCCGCAGTCCGGCAATTGTTGTCCGTCCGGCTGTTCATAGATCTGCGTATCTGTGCATGTGTCTAGCCGCTTAGATATTCAACACACTCTTTGTCTAAGGTATCTGGGAATTCCCAATTGTTCTCTCACCTTTTGAGGTATCTTGCGCTCCGACGTTTCTCTATTTTACATGTTTACATATTACTCCGTAATGCTGTATTGAGGTCGTTAGCCCCATCGCTTCTTACCGCCCTGGCGGATTGATGCGCCCTTAAATGATACTTTGGCGCTAAGTGGCGCTAAATAGCACTAAATAGCGTGAAATAGCACTAAATAACCAATCTGCCGCCGCCCCTGAAATTATCCCGATAAACTTTCCTGACTGTCCCTTGCCCACCTTGCCCCTTTTGCAGGACCAAGTTCTGCTCCAGACTCCAGATTCCAGACTCCGGACTCCAATTCTCCAGTCTCCTGCTCCCCCAACGGCCATCTCGCAGATCCGGCAGAGGGGAAAAAAGAACGGGGAATATTTACAATTCCTCCTGCTCGTATTCATTCACTTGTATCTGATTGCCCCCCCTCGATCTTACTACCTTACCCCGTCATCGAGGCTCGCGTCGCGCAGACGAAATATTTACATACAAGCAAACCGCCAGATCGAATGAATGCAGCTGCAGCGCCAACACAATTTCTTCCTCGCCCCAAACGCTCGTTCGAAATAGACAAATAGACAACCAACCACGATGCCGAGTTTCTTCTCGCGCCTGAAGGGCAAAGATGGACCCGCGAAGGCACTGAAGTCGAAAGGCGCACAGCAGAGTACCGCCAATGACCCACCCCCGAAGCCGCGATGGGATGATGCGTGGACGCGAACGTCGGTTGAACCAGAGGAGGTACAGGAGCTTCTGAGAGGCTGCACCCTGGAGCTGAAGTCAAGAGGTATGAATCTATCTGCTGCGTTCCCGGGATCCATCATGCACGATGCCATCGCGATCTGTTCCCGCGTTGCACAAGCTAATTGACCGCCCCGCGCAGCTTTGGACATGCCATTCCTTCTTCTCCCCTTTCGACCAACCTCGGATCCCAGCGCGGCGCGTTCTTTCATTCGGCATTTTTTCGATTCGGACCAGAGATTACAGGGAGAGGCTTTGGCGCAAGAGCTACGACTGACGGAGCCCATGGTGAGCCCGGAACGATCTGGGAGAGTAGAAAATTGCTGATGCGCAACTAGGTTCTGTGCAGCGTGGTCAAGTGGTGCTGGAGCAGATTACCTGGAGGAGTAGTATCATGGGATGCATATGAGCTGTTTAAAGTGGGAGAGATAGGTATGTTTGCGGGGAGCTGTACGGTCTCATGCTAATTTCGTCCAGATTCGAACATGGCCAAGGATTCCTTTGCGACCTTTATACCCCTGAGTGTTGATTCCGATGCGCGCACAAAGATCATCTTCGATTTCTTCGATCTCCTCTCTGCAATTGCTGCGCACGGCAAGAGCAACGGCTTAGGTGGGCGCAAATTGTCAAGATTAGCGGGCTGGTGGGCCTTTGAGCATAAGGAGGAAGAGTTTACTCAAGAAAAGGGGTTTGATGTAGGCTACAAGGCTTGGGTGACGTGCGTGCTTCTACGGATTCTCGTTCTACCATCGTACTAACTACGTTACAGCGCTGCAGATGCTGCAAGTCATCTGTTCTTTGCCTACCTTCGATCGCTATCTCCAGGATCTTCCAAGGGGATAAATGGCATATCCACTCTTCCCATGTCTCTTCAAAAGCTAGTTCAAGAGACCGAATACCCACCGGAGAGACCCTCGCTTCTACAATCATCAACAACAAAAGTCGTCATGATTGTGGATTCCGTATCCCCAACACCTTTTGCGCTGCTGCGCCGAGCAAACCATTTCCAATACCGGGACGACGATCGAGCTCTTCAAGAATTTTCAGAATATGAGGATCCAGTCAAGGCTTTGACAGACGAGTGCCGTCGGGTCCTGAATTCTATTTCTTCAGCAAATCAGTCGCAAGTATCGAGCGCGAAAGATCCAACTGGGTTGCCTGAAGCTTGGTCGAGATTCGAGGATATAGGCTTCTCAGGTACGTTCGACGAGAAGGAAGAAGAGGATGATGATGGCAACATTGTGAAACGACGACCCCAAGGTTTGAAAAGCGCGCCGCAATCCAGAAGTGTCGGGTCGGGTAGGCCCACTACCCCTTCCTGGGCCGATTTCCTTTCTTCTGGCTTCGCGGATGATGAGGGATTAAGTGGCCCTGCGCCTTTGTTGCTCCCGCCTGACAAGATTCTCCCTCCAATTGATATTAATAACCGGGGAAGAAGCTCCCAATCGCATCGGCCAAGGCTCGAGTCCGAGAAAAATCTAGAACCTGGCGAGTTGGCGAGCATTACCAGACTCGATCTTGACGATTCCTTTTGGTGGGTCTGGATTAGCAGTCTGGCTGGTGAGGAACCTGCGCAGAGAAAGGCAGCCTTTGGTCGATGCGCACTGATTGAGACAATCATTCCTCAGGGAAGATGGTTGGTAATGGAAGAAATGGTCAAGGGAGCTGCCCCTAAACCAGACCCTAATGCATATATTGCCGAGAAGAAGAGCTTCTGGGGTCGATCAAGGAAAAACAAAGGTATAACGCGGAGCAAGTCTACGGGGAAGCAGGCCTTGCTGGACCCAAGTCAGAATGGACGTTTCAACCAACAACAACAGGGCCAAAGTGCAGCAAGCAAGACAAGCATTGGGCCTGACCAGCACGCTCGAATCCAGGCTGCCGCGATTCAGTTACAAAAGAGGGAACGAGAGCTAGCAGAAAAGACACAGGAGAATGCGCGACGAGGTCGGAACAATTCCGACACTGCTACGCAAAACACTAGCAGTGTCTTTACCCTGCAGCCAGTTATCATGAGCGAAGCTTCACCTGCTATGAAGTGGGCTAGCAAGTACGACAAGGATACTATTAGAGAGGCCTATCTTTCTAATTCAAGTACCGGACGAGGTGCTAGCGGCGCAACGACTCAGACAAATGGGGCTGCAAAAAGTCAGGATACTTCGAAGCCAGCCCAAAACCAGCAGCAAACCAAACCTCAAGAGCGAGATCTCCCTGCTATCCCATCTCCTCCAGCAGCTCCTGCAGTTCCGTCGAAGACACCTACCACCCCGCCAACAAAACTCCCGCCGACGCCTACTGCGGACCAGGATGAAGAGCACATCATCTTATCCGAAAAGGCTACTGAGGTTGAATTCCCACAAGATCCTCATCCGATCGATCGCAAAGCTGTTCCGACTTCATCCTCTCCTGTTCCACCTGTAGAGGCGCGGTCTGAGACCCCAAGACTTTCCGTAGACCAGAGTGGATCAAGTCCAGAGAGCAAAAAGCACAATAGGTTGAAGAAGAGGGACCCCGCCAGTGGCGGATTCCGCAAGATGTTCGGCCGGAACAAGAACCGCGAATATCAGCCCTCCGAAAATGCCCCAGAAACCCTAAACGGTAGCCAAGGTCTTCAACCTGGGGGTGCTTCTATCGGCAGACGCTTCTCTAGTTTTAGAAAGAGGAGCCCGGTCTCCTCACAGACTGATGCAAGCCCCAATCTTGCACCCTCCCCGGCCCCAATTTCTGAGGATGACATTACTCCCGTCCCAACGTCCCATCAAAACTACAATCCCTCTTATGAACCTTCGCTCCACAGTATGTCTCGTGTTGATACGAACGATGCCGATGAGGCTCACCACGAATTCTCCAAATTCGACCAAGGGCCTCTGGAAGATGTCCCTGCTTTCGTACCTGACTCACCAAAACTGAGCGAGGAAAGCGTTACTCCCGTCCCGCCACCTGTCACTAAAAAAGCATTAAACATAGATGACGAATCAACTAAAGACTTACCTCCTGCCTTGGCTCGCTGGGCGCAGATCAAGAAGAATGCTGCAGAGCGTGCGGCGAGACAGAGTGACGAGCAGAGTGGGGGAACCTACAGTCAAAAGACAGATGGGGATGATGGAGACACTAGCGGGGAAGAAAGTAAGCAACTCTAATCAGCTCCCAAAGCATAGCATGCTAATGAAATATAGCCATTGAATCCCGCGTGGCAAGGATTAAGGCCCGTGTCGCTGAGCTGACCGGGAATATGGAGTCAAGCGATACTCCAATAACCCGACGTCCATAAATAACCAGTCGCAAAACACATACACGTACTCGGGAGTACACAACATCAAGTTCCCTGTTATTTTCACCTGAGGTCTTGAGACCACAGACACAACACAGCTGCCACACATCTCACATTTCACATGTCGAAGACTCTTCACCTCAATAACTGGACGGCCCCAAATCTCCATACTTTTCTCTCCGTCTATTTTGATTTTAAAGATTTTATTCGACCGCCCGATTCACAAACTTGGTTTTGCTTTGCTGGTTAGCAAGTTACCGTTTTCCACTTTAAGATACCACTGGACTCCAGATTGCTAGCGATCTCTCTTCTGTTTTTTTTTTGCCTTTGGTTTTGTTTATCGGTGCTTGATGGTTCGGTAGATTGCTCATCAGCTGCTGACTCCCTGAGGGGTGGTGTTAATTTTCATGTCTGGTGAAGGGTTTGAGAGACCTCCTGCTGGACGTGGTGGAAAGAAGTGTGAGAAAGTGGGAGAAATGAGAGGGAGGAGCGAGCTGATACCAAAACCAAGACATAATAATTGAGAATTTTAATATGAAACGAATTTCGAATGCTTGACCATGCGCGCTTTGGAATTCTGGAAATCTAGCGGAACTGCCTACCTATCGTATAATACCATCACAACCTTGAGTTGGTGCCGACTCTTCCACCCAGCGAGAGCAGAAGCCGTCTGACTCCGATACTCGACTAGAGATATCTATAGCCCTTCCCTTGACTGCTGACTAGAGCAAACCTCAATGTTTTTCAACCTTCGATATTAGGACAGTTATAGGGGATATGGAAGGACTAAGGGCTACCTCTTGTACCTACATTCAGGGCCGTGACCAACAACATTCAACTACCTTTAAAAGGCTTTGTAGTAAATAGATGGGTTTCCTTTCTCGCGGCAGTCTTCTAAGGGGTTAGGTCCAATAATCCACACAAGGAACAGCTTTCCAGGCAGCGTACCCCACTATGAAACCGACACGACGACGTTCATCCCTCTATCAGGTTTATCAGCCGCTCTGAATGCCGGGCCTAGAGCAGTACCGCATTCCTCATCCAGCCTAGAGCGTCGGGTTGAGTAACTTTTCCGGGAAGCTGGTAAGCACGACAATCCTCCGTAATAACACAGAGAGAGTTGCCTCTCTGTCAGGGGCTCTCTCAAGAGCTGTGTCTGATGGCTCCGTGGCTCCGTGGCTGGCGAGTGCCGGACGAGGATCGACAACGGTACACCCGCTACTGTGCACACGTGGGGCCAACTGCGCGAGCCCTTGGAGGCAGATTGTTCCATTCTTCTTCTTCTCCGATCTTGTTGGTCCGCACCGCATAGAGCGATCCTTGATGCTGGCGGCGTTGGCTGCGCTTGAAGGATTCGCGCCTCTCGCTTCGGGAAGGTCAAGTCTCCCGGACTCTCCCCTATCTCCAATCACACTGCAGACCTCGCCTTCTTGGGAGCCGCGGGAAGGTTGACGGCGGGGTTCGATACTCCGTAGTGGAGGTCAATACTTGCAAATGGATATTCTGGGAAGCTTCTTCGTACGGAGCTGCATCCGGAGGTACGGTTACTGTGCAGACTCGAGTCGGGTTAGGAATCTATAAGTATAGAAGCGTCTTCCTGATATGTCTCTCTTTTGTTTCTCTTCTCTTCAGGGGCTCTCTCCAGATCTCCAAGCCTCCGACTCCTTTCCCTATAGCTTGTCTCCACTTGCAATAGAAACTCCATCACCATGAAGTTCCTCATCTCTTCTCTCGCGCTCCTCTTCGCCGGCGCCGCCATGGCCCAGATCTCTGACGAGCCGAACAGCTCCAACTGCGATGGTTCGTGCCTCCCCCCTTCCTCCCCTCCTCCCCTTCACGCCTTTCTAACCCCGCCCTCCAGGAACGACCTACAGCCAGAAGAACATCGACGATGCCGCCACGGCCGCCCTCAACTACTACGCCAACGGCCAGACCGTCGGCAAAGACGGCTACCCGCACCAGTACAAGGACTACGAGGGCTTCGACTTCAGCTGCTCCTCTCCCTACCTAGAATTCCCCATCCTGACCTCCGGCACCTACGACGGTGGCAGCCCCGGCGCGGACCGCGTCGTCATCGGCTCTATCAGCAGCGACGAGACGAGCGCGCAGTACTGTGCGCTCATCACGCACGATGGCGAGAGCGGCAACTCGTTTGGCGAGTGTACGGATTCGTAGATGTCTATTTCTTCTTTTGTCCCCCGAGATGGGATTTATTTCTGGGGACGTATGAATGAGATGGCTTGGCTTGGCTTATTGGGCATGGGAAAAGGCCAGAGAGAAGAGACGCGCTATGAAACTCTTAGGAAGTGAGACGAGGACAGGGTCCAGGATTGGAATATGGTAATGGGGTATTTATAGAGAGAGAGAAAAGAAGCAGATCCGCAAGCAACTAGGTACCTAATCCAATAGCCATTCTTCACCTGCTTCTTCCTTCATCTTGATCCTATCCCCGAGCAGGTTGCAAATTTATATTATGTTTTATTTTTTGGATCATGTTGATAGTAATCAAAGCACCTACTCAAAATCCGGTAAAGAGAGGAATAAAAAAAGGCTTTAGAAGCATCAAGTCGATGCTGGAGAGCGGGAAATAGAGAAAATAGTTCAGGTGTCAATTTTTCAATGTGTATATTACTCTAAGGATCGGCTTCGAAAGCTCGGTTCTCGCGCCGCGCATTTGCACTGGTGGACTTGTTTGGATTTGAGATGATGGGAGAAGGGGAGGATTAGTTTGAATGTGTGCTTTTTGGGGTAAAGAAGTGGAGAAGAGGGGGGTTGAGAGGGGAGAGGGGATGAGTTGGATATAGGGGTAATGGATTATTTCGTCTGCTGATACCGCGCTTGAGCGACTGACTACACATATCAGTGTTTCTTAGAGCAGAAAATAAAAGAGTGCAGACTTCCCTTAAAGATGACCAGACAGGCTCCACAATATACCATATCGAATCAATTCAAACATTTGCTCTATACGGACCAGCTTTCAGATCTAATCTATCATCTAAGGACCTAAAGAGAACTTAATCTAGATCTATCGTTCTATATCCTTTTTTCTAAACCTAGGCTTCTCATGTATTGTTCTATCTCATAGCCCTTCTAGCACCTCGCGAACCTCCGCAAATGTTGGTCTCTCCAAGACTACCGGATTTGAGCACTTGTAATGCAGCTCGATTAAGCCCTGAATTGCATACGCCTCCTTCTCACCCAATGCCCCCTCATCATCTACCCTCCTCTCCGCCAAATCCAGCAGGTCCTCAACCAGATGGCCAAAAGCGAAGACCTCCATCTTCTCAATGGCGTCTCTCTGGGCATGTTCTCTCCCATAGATCGTCGCTGCGCCGAAATCTCCAAGGAGCGCGTGGCCCGACGTGTCGATCAGGATGTTATGCGCGTAGAGATCGCCGTGCGCGATGCCGCGCTCGTGGAGGTGGCAGGCGGCGCTCGCGATCCCAAGGAGGATCGCTCTACACTGCGAGATGGAGAAGACAGTATCTGGATGAAAGACGTCGCGCGTGCAGCTGTCGAACGTGGGAGGTAGGCCGAGGTTGGTATAGTGCGGGGGAATCAGCTCGAGCACCAACCCTTTCTTCTCCTCCGGGTGGTCGTGGATCCTTCCGATCGGGTTGATCAGGTTCGGATGCTGGCCTGCGGCTATACAGGCGTTCATCTCGTCGAGCGGTGAGCCGTCAGACGTAACTTCGCCCTTGAATAGTTTGATTGCTACTTCTTTCTCTCCTGCAGGGCTTTCGTACGCGCCTTTGGAGATGATCCCCGAAGCTCCTTCGCCGAGGAGGTGTTGCACGGAGAGGGAAGACCAAGATACAGAGGACAGGGTGGGATTCTCCGAAAAGGATGGAGCGCAGGGGTTTCCTGCAAAGGAAAGGAAGGAGAGCTCGGGCAGCTCAAAGAGCCAGGATGGGAGAGAGGTGAGCTTGTTGGATGACAGGCGGAGAAGACCCAGTTTCCGGCAATATGCCATCTCGTCGGGAAGGGAAGTGAGGCGGTTTCCGGCTAACATACACTTCTGCAGACGATGGCATTGCCCAATGCTAGTGGGGAGGGAGGTGATAAGGTTATTGGTTAGGATCAACCAGCGGAGTTTGCGAGGAAATGAATCTGGCGGAATAGTGGCCATTTGGTTGTTCTTGAAAGCAATCATCTCGAGGGAACGGCATTGTGCTAGTTGGACAGGAAAGGTGGTGAAGTTGCAGTCAGAGAAGAAGGCAATTTTGAGTTTGTGGAGACGGCTGATATCTCTAGGGAGGCTGGAGAGAGGATTGCCGGACAGATCCAGGATCTCGAGCGTCTCGAAGAGGTCGAGAATCTCGCGGGGAAATTCGGTGAGATTGCACGAGAGTTTGAGCCGTTTGGCGCCCTTGTATTGGCCAGACCGGAGTCCTTCTAATGTTTGGGGGGTAGACATTTTGCAATTATGTTTTAAGGGGGCTTGATCTTCCTGAAAAGGAACGATATATGGTGAGGTGTCAACTTCAACCCTTATCAGACTTTCTGAAATGGGAACGGGGGCACGATCTGAGGAATTAAGCGCCTTCAAGCATATATAGGAAGCCAACTAGTTGAGCAACATATTGCCTTGCAAAGCATATAGATAAAACGAGTTCGTTAAAGGAGAGGAGATCTGGATAAGAATTTCAGTCTAAATTTAGATATGGAGGTGGAAAGAAGCAATCTGGGAATCTTATCTCAGCACGTGCCCCGCAAGAATGTTTTACCATTCCCGGCATAGTCACGTGTAAAGATAAAGGGGACTACCTAGGTATCAATGAGTAGCAGTGGAATTCTAGGGGCTCAGAAGAGAAGAGGGAGAGGCCGAAGAGTTCAGTATGGAATTTGTCATAACTTTAAGAGAGAAGCCAGAGTAACAAAATATAAATATAAATAAATCAATAAATAAGAATGGAGGCAATTCAAAGCCTAAAGGTCACCCAGGACTTCGCTGAACGCAAGGGACTTCCCTTCCTGTCTATGGTAAGGATTGGAAGAGTAGAGATCAAATCTTAGTAGCAGATAGGATATGAAAACACCACAATTTGAACGAGTTCGACACATTATCAAAGTATCGGTAGGTAGATATGTTCAAGTCCAGATGAATGCGGGGTGAACTTACAGTTAGACTATCTGGTTGCGTCATTGTGCGATAGAGGCGGCCGTACTCTCAATCCTCTCAGTCGCGCATCTTCAACTGCGACTTGAATCGCATCGCGAAACACGACCACAATCACCCATCAGCAATTATCTTCTACAACTTCGATATTGGGATCGCTATCTCGTGTCGCAAACATGGCATCCCAACCACTGAGCTCGTCGGTGCAACCAACAGATGTCTACGGCGGAGGTAAATCCTCAATATCCCATCACCAAAACCTTGATCTAATCCTCTCGTTCTACAGATGAAGTATCAGCAATCATTCTCGACCCAGGTTACTCGAGCGTACGCGCCGGATTCGCAGGAGAAGATACGCCCAAATCTTTTCTTAACTCGTACTATGGAGTTGGAGCAGACAAGAAGCTTGTATTCGGCGACGACGCTATTCACAACCCTCTAGCCGGCCTCGAGATACGGAACCCCATGGCCAAGGATGGGACCACAGAGGATTGGGACACGGCTACGCAGTTATGGGAATACGCCATTACGTCGCGACTCACAAGTTTCAAGCAGGCGGATCCGAGGACCAATGGTTTGAACGACGATCTCAAGGACGAAAAAGATGTCGATGCGGAGATGGAGGGCGTACAGGAAGGGGAGAAACCGTTGGAGGAACACCCCTTGTTGATGACTGAAACGGCATGGAACAGCACTAAAAACCGAGAGAAGAGTATCGAAATTGCGATGGAGTCCTGGGGGTGTCCTGCATTCTGGCTTGCGCGCAACAGCGTTCTCGCTGCTTTCGGGGCCGGAAAGGCTACTGCGCTCGTCATTGATATGGGTGCTTCTACTGCCTCAGTCATGTGTGTGCATGATGGCTTGATCCTTAAAAAGAGCGTCCAAAAATCACCATTGGCCGGCAACTGGCTCTCATCGCAGATACGCTCGTTGTTTTCAGCAGCAGATCCAAAGGTTGATCTCGTCCCCCACTACATGATCGCATCCAAAACTCCAGTCGACGCTGGAGCTCCAGCACAAGCAGTCTACCGCAAATTTGACAACCCGCCGACACCTTCATTCCGTGCCCTGGAAGAAGAACGTGTATTGACGGAGTTTAAAGAGAGCGTAGTGCAAGTCTGGGCTGGACCAGGACGATTAAACTCGCCTACCCAGGCAGGAAGTACCAATTTAGATTTTGTGCGCTCGCAGCCTGGCCGTGTCTTCGAATTCCCCGACGGCGCGAACCGTATGTGGGGTGTTGAGAGATTCACCGCCTCTGAAGGCCTATTCGACGCCTCTGCTGCTCTCCCTATTCCCTCTGAAGAGACGCCGGTTCAGAAATCCCAGACCATTCCGGAGATGATCAAAGCATCAATTTCGGCTGTGGATGTGGATCTCCGCGCAGCGTTGTTGCAGAACATCGTTGTCACCGGTGGTTCGAGCTTGTTAAATGGTTTCAATGATAGATTGAATAATGAGTTGATAACTATGTACCCCGGCGCAAGGATCAAGATTCACGCTGCAGGTCTTACAGCAGAGCGAAGATTTGGGAGCTGGATTGGGGGCAGTATCCTGGGGAGTTTGGGAACTTTCCATCAGATGTGGATTTCAAGGAAGGAATACGAAGAATTTGGGGTGTCCATTATAGAGAAGAGGTGTAAATGATTGTATTTCCTATCTTTCTTGCTCAAAACAAAAGTGTAAGAAGGGAACGGAGAAAAGTTCGGTGCATTGGAAGAGGGTTATTGAGGATGGCGTATGGTTTTGTGGATATACCTTGTTTCTAAAACGTATCAACACATCTGGAGTGAAATGATTATCCAGAAAAAAAAAACTTCCTACTCCTAATATCTCTCCGATATACTCTCCGATATACTCTCCCGAAAGAAACACTTGAAAGACGATTTTACCAACCCCTGCATCTCACCCAGACATCAATAATCTCATCTTCCCTACCCGCTCTCCTCTCATCAACAACCAAATAATATCCAAAGCCCGCCCCCGTAATACAAGCATGGTTAGGCCAAATCCTTACCTTCTGACCCACCAGCAGCTTATCCTCGCTACCACTCGGGCCATTGAAAGCCAGTATCCCATGTTCCTGGGAGACACGATCGACAAACCAACCTTCGAACTTCTCCGGACCGCCAGCTGGCATCTGAACGCCCGGTCTATTCCAAGGCGTCAACATGCCCCAGCCAGGATACGCCTTACAGGGTTCTCTTCCCAGCGCCAGACAACCGGCCGCGATCAACACCTCAGGGGTGCCGTTCTTCCCACGCCCGGGATAGAAAGATGCTACTTCCGCAACGACTGTAAATGCCAGATCACTCCACGTCAGCATCGCATGCGGGCCTTCGGTAGGCAGAGCGTGGGTCGCTAGCTGTTGGAGATCCAGGGTCGGGTAGACACCAGCGTGTATCTCGATCTTACATCCCGCGTCCCGGATGCTGGAGATGGTGGCGCGCAGAGCAGCAACTGCCTGAGCTTCCTCCTCTGACCTACTGGAGTCTTGCACTAGTAAATTTCGCACACTGGTCGTGGTAGGTGTCGCGCCAACGGAGAGAACTAGTGGTGTTGTGGGAGAGATGGCTTTCTCGGAGGACGTGGAATGGACGACTTTAGCGGTCAAAAGCAGCGTCTCGAACTCCTGGCGGAGAAATTGGAGGGCTGAGGCGCGGGAGTCGCTGGAGTAGGAATGCCCGGCATGCGAGTAGAGGCCAAGGAAATGACAGGTAGGTACTGTGGTTGAGGAGAGGCTGAGTAGAGAGCTGATCAGCAATGTGCATTGCTGGGAGAGGGGCTTTACGCCGGCACGGTGTCCCTCCAGGTCGATTTTCAGGAAGACTGAGGGCGGTACGCCGGATTGATCACGCAGGGCTTCGATGAAGGGAATTTGGTCGGTATTATCGACCATCACCGAGAGCCCATGGGGTCCAAGAGACTTGGATATGTGTGAGAGACGGCTCACAGCGGAGGGCGTAATAGGAAAGGAGTAAAGAAGCTGCAAATTTCAGTTGGGATTTGAGAAGAAATTGCAAAGGGTGCTACAAACGTTGACGGCGCGACCTTGGGACTTGTATTCGAGGAGAAGGGGAAGAATGAATTCGGCTTCGATGAGAGTAGAAACGATTAGGTTTACTGGGCCAGTCCCTGGCCCAACTTGAAGACGAGTGAGTTCGATGGTCTTGGTGGAAAGGTTAGTTAATACACCGTTGGTTGATGTACTGAAATTCTGAAGGAAAGTAGAGAGGACAGTCTGTAATGAGCGATGTATAAGGGAATATTGGAGAAAGGGATCCCAAGAACAGGTTATATGAACTGCATACTCAGGATAAGAAATATACAGTAACTGATTTAGAAGTACCTTGTGTGTTTTGATATGGGCTCTCCATTCAAACTCCAGAGACGCACATGCTTCCAACATGCGGTTGCAATTATTCTCCAACTTGCTGATATCAAGCACCGCAACAGGCGTCCCTACATCCTCGATTGACCTTCCCACGAATTGTTTCACCAAGTCCTCCTTGACAGAAACAGGATATAATGATGTTGCTGCCATGATCGAAATAGTAGAGGCTTCTCAACACATGTGGCAGTAGAGGACGCAAAATACCTTTAGGGTCCTTCGCGGGGTCCGAAAATGCAATGTATAAAGTAGATAAGGTTGCGGTTCACTTGAAGCGATTCCAAGTCCTTAAATTACTATTTATAATAGACTTTTTCCACCAAAAGTGGGAGCGATCCCTTCGTTGTCGTCGCCGCCAGGGGACCAGCCGCCATCCGCGCTACACATTACATAGTGTGGGGGAGTACGTGGTTGCGCCTGATCACACTTTGTGATACAACTGATAGACAGCAACAAAACAAGAGACTTTGATTGTTATTTTTGTTCTTTGCTGCTCTCTGCATTGCAAATTCTGAATCGAGAGGTCTATCGCTGTATAGCCTAGAGGCGCGAGGGCGTCTTAGCAAAAAGTCCAGATACGTTGTGGCGGCTGATCACCTGATTCAGCCTCGCGTGCAGATTGCGTCGCTGGCTCGCGTCGGCTGACCTAAAAGCTCTCCGCGTCGAATCCACTCTTCCTTGACGTGCTTGCATCCGTCCACACTCTCCTTCAACTCACTCACCTTTTCAACGGCTGCGACTCTTACCTCGATAAACCGACAACTTCGAGCATAACACAGGCAAAGCAACTGCATCCCACACGTCGATGTTAGAAGTCTCTTCTGAGCCCAAAACCTCGTCCGGGGAGGATTAGCAAGCAGAACAGCAAGCATGCCTGATACCGAGCCCTCTGACTTCACCAGTTTCACGGAGGTTGACTGGAAGCGACAAGAAGAAGAGGATCAGGCTGTTCTTGGCGCCATCCTCCAGGCCCGGCCTGGTGAAGAGACCCTCTACGACCTTTCGCGCCCTCTGGAGGTTGGCGAGAAGGCTGACGATGCGGAGGACTACGAGGACATAAGTGATGATGACTTGCCAGAAGAGGAAGAGGTATCAGGCCCAAGTGGAGGCGACGTACCAGCCTTGACAGATGATGGAGGAACTAGCAATGATGTGGACGATCTCTTCGGTGACGATGAGGGAGAGGATCACGACGCCCTTTTCGAAGCACAATCGCCTCACATCAATGGAGGATTAACGCTCCCATCTGCAGAACCCGAGTTCGACCTCGAGCGCGAACGTCGACAGAACTTTCCTGCATATTACAGCGAGGCGAACCAAGATCCTGACATACCTGAAGTCGCAGAGACCACAGAGGACCTGGTTAAGCAGATGTGGCCAGGCTTCAAACCGGGAGCTATCTTGAACTGGAACGATCTCCTACCACCGAAGCTAGCACACTTCATTCCGAAAGTCCCTGTCAAACCACCCAAACCCCTCGTACCCACCAAAGTCAGCCTGGATCTCGCTCCTGACCAAGAGAAATCTTTCCGATCAGCAACGTCTGCATCTTCAGATAAGCGCAAGCGTTTATTGGAGGCAGAGACCAAAGGAATAGTGACAATCGAAGAAGAGTCTTCCGCTGAGGAGAGCGAAGAAGATGACTTCGACTACTCCCTTCCGGATCCAAATGAGAGGATAGGAGGGGTGACTTGGGCAGATCTTGAGATCATCTGTCAAGATTGGGATTCGAAGATCAATCCAGTACGTGCAGAACTACAACCTGCGGAAGCTCTAGAGGAAGAGCCCATGGATGAATGGGAGCAGGAGGTTCTCGGACATTCTGCCAAGCGAAGAAAAACCACGCACGAAGAGCCAGACTACATGAACATTCCGCGATTTCCAGTTCCTAACTTGGATGATTTCGAGGCAGCCACGGCCAAGATTGCTAAGCGCGTGGTACTGGATCTCAACGACCCCTACCTTCTTCTTGACGTGCAAGAGTACAACCCAGCTCCGAAGCGGCAAAAGCTCAGTGGTGGGCGCTTCAAGCGGACAGGAAAGGGCGGTCTTTCAGCCAGTCTCAGTTCACGGTTCAATATCTCCAACGATGAAGCATATGATGCACTGAAAGAAAACCATCAAAGCAAAGTTCGTGCAACTCTTGGAAATGTGTCTGTCGAACACAGCATGCCAGCTCTCAAGCTTCAGTGGCCATATTACAGAGTCAAGCTCTACACTCGAGACGCTCGCTCATTCCATCGACCATCTCTCAAGTTCAACAGATTCGTTGGACAGACCATACAATTTTCTAAGCCTGGTATGCGGAAGAAGAAAACCCTCAAGGGTCTGCCGATAGAAGAGATCTTCAAGGAGTCTAAGGATCTCTCACTTGCTGATCATTATTCTACCGCCACCTTGCTTGAATACTCCGAAGAGCATCCTACAGTGCTTTCGAACTTTGGTATGGGTAACCGTATTATTAATTACTACCGACGCAAGGATGCCGAAGATGAAGAGAGGCCCATGCCTGAAGACAAAATTGGTGATGTGAATGTACTTCTTCCCGAAGATAAATCTCCATTTGCAAACTTTGGAATGGTTGATCCTGGAGAGACGGTGCGCGCGATCCACAACGCTATGTACAGAGCTCCTATCTTCAAACACACACCCAAGAGCACCGACTTCTTAGTCATTCGCAATAGCACGGGTATCGGCGGTACCAATTGGCATATTCGCAACATCGATAACCTCTTTGCCGTAGGACAACAATTCCCCTCTGTCGAGATCCCTGGACCACATTCTCGAAGGGTTACGAACGCTGCGAAGAATCGCATGAAGATGATCGCATTCAGAAAAATCAAGCACAGTCCCCATCACAATTTGAAGATCGGAGAAATTACCGAACATATTGCAGACTCGAGTGATATGCAGAATAGGCAGAAGCTCAAGGAATTCATTAATTATGACAAGACTGAGAAGGTCTGGAGAATGAAGCACGGTGAGACCATACCTGATGAAGCCACCATTCGCTCCATGGTCAAGCCAGAAGACGTCTGCGTGATCGATGCAATGCAGGTTGGTTCGCGATATCTTGAGGATGCGGGTTATGCTGCTCAAGACTACGATGAAGATAAAGATGGTGCCATGGAAGGAAAAGACCTCGAGCAGAAATTAGCTCCTTGGTATACGACCAAAGCCTTCATTGAAGCATCTCAAGACAAAGCCATGCTTGAACTCCATGGTGCAGGGGATCCTTCGGGTTGCGGGTTGGCGTTCAGTTTCATCAAGACATCCATGAAAGGAGGTTACATTGGTGCTCTTCAGGGGCCGGCCGCAACCTCGGAAGCTGCCATACTGGCAGAGAAAAAGGCAAATGGTGGTCATACCTATAATGTTAGAAAGCAACAAGCTCTATACAACGACGCCATTCGCGATATCTGGGAGAAGCAGAAGGCAAACCTGTCCAACACCACTGAGCCTGTTGAAGATGATTTGGAACGTGAGCAAGCGGATGAGGATGAAAGATTTGGTGTTGCACAGACTCCTCATTCCACAGCAGCTTTTGATGACTCTGCTAGTCAGTTCAGCGTAGGTGAGCAACGAAGTAGCAGGGCGATGCGCATTACCCGCACCTATATCAACAAAAATGGGCAACCCGAAGAACGATCTGAAATCATCAAGGATGTTCGAGTTTGGCGTGAATATCGGAAGCGTCGCTACGCACTCGAAGCTGAGACTTTGAAGTAAGATATTCCGCCCATAACCACATTGAGATGTTGCTAACTCTGCTGTACCTAGTGTATACGAAGCAAAACCTACAGGTAATGCCGAATTCGACAGACAGGAAGCTCTCCGGTATGTAATGGAAATTTCCGGCTCCAGGTATAATGCTAACCAACCATTCAACAGTATTAAGGAAGAACTTGCTCGTCTGGAAAGAAACAAAGAGCGCCGCCATGCTCGTGAGAAGGCAAAGGCGCCTCGTGCGTCGGCGGTTGAAACAGCCAATGCTGGCTCCCCATCCACCCCCACGCAATCTATCGAGAAGCCTACCGGAACCACGAGAAAATGTGCAAATTGCGGACAAGCAGGACATATCAAAACGAATAAAAAGTACTGCCCCAAATATAGATAACTGATTCAGCATATTTTATACGCCCTTCAGCGTTCAACTCAGTGGATGAGGCTTAGTAGCTCTCATCAAGCGAGACTTTATACGGACATCTATCTATTTAAACATTAGTGCTAACACTTGAAATCTCAGGCTCTGCCCGATGCTCAACGGTACGATGAAGCCGGAGGATAGCATGCCTAATCATGGTGGCTTTGGGGCTATCACCGCGCCGTCGTTTGGTTGATGGCCATCACCAACACGCATAAATACCGCCTCTTCTCCTCTCCCATCCCCTTACACACATTTTCACACCTTTTCCACCGATGCGATTTGTCGCTGGGTCGACTGCTGGAGGACAGAATATAGTAACATAAGCTCCTTTTGCGAGGCGCTCACGAGGGTTGTTTAGCCGGCTGATCAGCATGGAGGTTCCCTCGTTTTTCACTTCTCTGTACAATACTTTGGTCGGTAGAGGCCGCAATGCATTCTGGGTGTTTTTCAATGAGACGCGCGGGTCTGGGAGCAAGAAGCACTTTGTTTCTGGGAGTTATGGATGGGCTCGGATGACGTGGACCTGAGATGGGAACAAGGCCGAGTTGTATGACCTTGCAGGTCAGGGCCATATCTGTGTAATGAGCGGTGCGATGAAAACAGACTTCCAATCAGAGAATGAAACGTTAATAGAGACAATAATTGACACGAATCAGAAGCAGATGAGATGAGATGCTACCAAGCAACACAGGAATACACATAGTCCTACTCGCGTGCTCGTTCTAGAAGGGAGTCCAAAGCATAGCCGGACTCGCGCTCAGCGTTGCACGTCAGCCCGTGTAAAATCTACGTCTGTTTATCTTATACATATGTAAGTCTGTGCTGTGAGCAAAGACGGAGGTAGCCCCGCGGCAAGGCTGTACTGAGCGAACGATCGAAGCGTTATCTTAGTTGTGAGGGGAGGAGAGGGAGGAGAGGGAGGAGACAGGGATAGGAGTTATAAATAGAGAAGGGAATTGACCGAACCTATCGCAGCTACAGGACTGGACTGGACTGGACTTGATTGTAGGACGACAGGTACTGGGGGTGCGGGTACTCTGGGATGGGGGATCGAATGCGGGGAGCCTCATTGCGGATCTGGAAGCTTGATAGAGGTGCTTGTAATGGGTATTTTGGGGAGAGAGGGGATCTTTCGTTCCTGTCTCGCTACTTACGGGGGGTTCACACTCCTTGATCCAGGATAGAAATTAAATCTGCTATTAAGGTAGAGAAGGGAGAAAGCTATATTCATTCATGATCCCTAGTGTTTACATCTAAGGCGAGCGCAGAAGCATGGATAGTGACGGGGTGATTGATGATGGGTTTCAGTGGTGACGAGAAGAGAAAGGTGACGAGGGCTTCTCCTCTTGGAGATGAGTTCTCAATGTGCTGTAATTTACAAATCATGGTCCATTAAGGATATGTGGGATTCGGGCTTTTTCGCCGCTGGATCAAGATAGGTCGTGAAGCACAATCTTAGGCCAGACTCCAGGCATGATCTCGGAAGAGATCTAAGACACAGGATATCTGGTCAAACAAACCATGCAAGCCCCTTCAGCCTTGTGTACCGGCAGCATGGCTCTCTTGGGTATAATTAGCGGGCGGAGAAGACACCAAAATGGCCTTCTTCCGGGCTATTTTGGGGACTTTTCCTCACCCCTTGCAGCACGGAGTACCTGAAGCCTGAAGGACATATCCAATCCGGGCTCTGACAGGTGACAGAGGGTGGACAGGGCCAACCACGGCGCCTTGACTGGGCAGCCGGGCGCTTAGACGGGTGCATGTACGGACAAGGAAGACTGCGCAGACGAGTCTGGCCGTGCGGCAGAGTAAACAAGCGACGGTGTGAAGAGTTGTAGACACTTACCAGTCTGTACTTGATCTGATGTGTTGTATGGGAGAGGTGCTGCTGTGAGGTTGAGATTGAATGAGGCTGTAAAGGAGGGAGACAGTAGTAGTACTGCATAATTCTGCCTGGTATGTCAGGCCATAATCAACATCTACGGTACGGCACACACGCCCACCCCGTCGCCCCGGCCACCGTAGGACCACGGTTAATAATCTAATCATGATTCCTCTCTCGTCGACAACTTCCAAGGGTCGAGTCTCACCTCTTCTTCTCTATATTTAGCATCATCCCAGAACCTTACCTTACCTTACATATCATATCATATCATATCCCTATCCCTATCCAGCCTTCACAGATCTTCTCGTCGGTCTATCTATATCTCTGCCGCTCTATCAATAATCGATCGTCGCATGCACCACCGGCCCTCCCATCACCCCTCCGCTCTCCCTGCCCACCAGGTACTGCCGTGCACCAACCGGCGGCCGACAATAATATAACTCCCTAACTTAGCCTCCCGTCAGACTCGGTGCTCGTCATTCTCCGCTGCACTGCATCACCATTGTCCGCGTCCATTGACGCTTCCCGAGTCTCAGCCGCGTCGACCTGGCCTTTGCCATCCTCGTCGCCCGCCTCCCGCGTCACGTCCATTGTCGCCGACTTCATCGCCGCGTCTTGGGATCCTTCTGTTCATCACCGCCAACGTCGTCGTGTCTCGACCATCATTGGGCCAGTGGTGATTGAGGGGCGACGAACACCGGCCGCACCAGCTCCTGTCGGCCCATCATCGTGGAGCAACTTATAACAGAGTCTGCCTATCTTCCGCAGCATCTGCGCGTCGCAGCAATGGGACGCAGGAAGATCGAGATCAAGGCGATCAAGGATGATCGCAACCGCTCAGTGTAGGTGTTGGTGTTTTCCCGCTTGCGGCACAGCAGCTAATCATTCCATCTGCAGAACTTTCCTCAAGCGCAAAGGCGGTTTGTTCAAGAAGGCACATGAGCTATCCGTCCTCTGCTCCGTCGACGTCGCCGTTATCATCTTTGGAAATAACAAGAAATTATACGAGTACTCGAGTTCCGACATTGGAGAGATCCTATCCAGATATCACTACGTACGTTCCTACCCGCGCACATCCACGGAACATAGCTGACGTGACCTTTTTCAGTATGGAGGAGCCAACGAACACAAGGGACCCGCGGACTTTACGGGCAAGGGGAAAGAGATGGATGATGATGACGATGAGGATGGGTCTGGGATGTCCCAACACGGCGGCTCGGTCGAACCACAGATGATGCCTCCTCAGTTCCCGAACCAACCTGCTTTCCAACATATCAGACATCAAGCGCCGTCGGCTTCACCCCCGATCCCAAACGGTGCATTTCACCCTCACGCACAACAAAGACAACATACCCCGCAACATGATTCTCGTCCTTCCTCTAGAAATGCCCCTCGGAGGCAAAGCTCAAACCTAGTCCCGCAACAACATCCTCATCCTCAGCCTACCAATGGCTACGCGTTTATGCCTAATCCACCAATGTATAATCCCCACCAACCCGGCTTGCCACCTCATGGGCATGGATTGCACATGCAGGGACCACCTATGCAAGGACCTCAGGGTGTTCCTCAGCCAGGACCGCAATATCCAAACTATGGACCACCACAGCAGCACCCACAGCAACACCCGCAACAACATCCGCAACAGCATCCCCAACAACGCCCGCATCCACAGCAGGTGCAGCAGCTATATGCGGAGGAGCAACAACGAAGAGCTTCTATGCCCCCGGCTTTCCCACAGCAAGAAAGACCGCAGTCCCGTCCCGAAGCCTCTCCACAGCCGCAACAACAACAAATTCCTCAACAGCAGATTCCGCAGCAGCAGATCCCCCAGCAGCAAATACCGCAGCAGATCCCTCAACAGCAAATACCGCAGCAGGTCCCTCAACAGCAACAACCAGAACAACCTGAAGAAGAGCAGCAGCAGCAACAACCGCAGCAAATGCCGGAGCCAGTGAAGCGAATGTCGGTAAAATCCAGGAGTATATTCACACCTATTGATGAAAGCCGGTCTATCCTTTCTCAACATTGGGCTTCATCTACGTCGAACACTGAAGCTCGAAGTGACGCAGCTGCTCCAAATAACCGCTCGCAATCAGTAGATGCTGGGACGGCCTCTCGTAATACAGAGCAGACGCGTTCCCCTCCCGCTCGAGCCCAGACCCATGACAAGAACCGCAATATATCCACATCCTCGGTACCCGAAGGATTTCATCCGCCTTCGCGCACAAATAGCGCCTCGCAAGGCGGCGGGAAGCGTCCAGTCCTGAAAGTACAAATCCCAGACGAACCCTCGGATGGTGGAAGTGCAACGGCAGATTCCAATTCCTCACCCCGCTCATCCGCAGACCCAGCCAACGCCCGCCGAAATGGTAACTCGCAAGAACATTCCTCTGGCTCGGGTGTCGTGCTCCCCCCTCCCTCCCCATCCGCATCTGCTCTCCTCTCAGCCGGGGCCTCTGGGCCACCTAATCCATTCGCGCGTCCGCATCCAGTTTCACAGCCCCCTCAGAACGCCAACGCTAGCGGCGGAACTCTAATCGATACACCGGTATCTGCACTGCCTAGTCGCTTCATGAATAATGAGTTCTTGCCTTCTCCATCGTCTTTCTACCCAGAATGGAATTTTAGCAGGGAGAACAACACACTTCCTTCACCGTTGAATTTCGCGACGCCCGTTGTGGGAACGGGGCCGAGCTTTCTAAGGGAGGATTCGGGGGAGAGAGACAAGAATGGATCGAAGAGGAAGACGCCCGAGAGGGAAGGGGGTGGTAGTGGAGAGGAGGGAGGAGATGCGAAGAGGGTGAAGCATGAGACGTGACCCTTGCCTTTGGCTCGGGGTAGTCGTTCAGTTTAAAACGTTTGCTTTGGTGTGGTCATGAAAGAAATGCCACGATACTGTCATGATACGATACTCTAATTCTCTTCTTTTGATACCCATTCTCACATTTCTGAGTCCCGGGTTAGGTAAGATAGGACAGGACAGGGGCGGGCAGGTTAGCTGTAGCTCTTGTAACCCTATCCACTCACTTATTGATCTGCGCTTCTTATTTATTCCTGGATCGTATATTTTCTCTCGTTTACATTTTGCATTTGCATCGGGGGCGTACGGTTCTGCCGGGAAAAAAAGAGGAGAGAGGTAGAAAGGAGGGAGGGAGCGGTGGATAAGGTAGCCAGGCGGGGGGGTTATCTCTCAGACTATCTATCTGTACGGGTGGATGGTCTTGACTGTATAAAATTGAGAATCAAGAGAGAATGATCCAAGTCTTGTGTTTTGTGTAGTGAGATGTTGAAGCGTCCCGGATCAGCGTAAGTGTCTTGGAAGTGAAGTTGGTTTTTGCATGTCATTGTAGTTTCAAGTTTGGACTTTTCATGAGTGATGAACAATGATTATGTACCTATGTATGCATATCTATCTCACTTCCATTACGCCAATATACCATGTAGATCATCAGACTTTTTCTTTTAGAAGAGTTACCTAGGTAGGGGTTAATGGAGCTGCTGCACCACTTATTCTCCAGGCGCAATATCATATTCTTTGCTTGCTTGCCTTGCTAAAGAATCGCCCGGACGGAACTCCACTGCCTTATCGCCAATTTTACCTATTCCGGAAGTATACGCCCCCCTTATTCAATTCAAATCATGACTATCTTACCTACCTATATCGTGCTGTTTTCTAGTGTCTAAGATAGATAGGTAGAATACAAATATACTGTTGTAAAACATTTATATTAGATAATAGGTAGCGCTGGAATTGTTGGATTGAAGAATTATCTGAGCGATTTTGCTTAGGCCTATACAAACATTCACATGCTCGAAAAAGCAAATACCGAATTAGGGATAAGCGATTGTAAAGTAAGGTACTTCTCTTCTTCATTACTAGAAAACCAATTCCCTAGAGAACCAGCTATTTCAATTTCAACAAAGCAAAGCAACCACAGCTAGAAGAAGATTCTCTAATTCTCTTCTTAAAGATGTCCCTTAACATACTGTGTCAGCTCTAACTAATTAATCAATACCTAGTCTAGGGTACGTAAGTAAACTGTGAAAATAATAAGAAAATATAAATCACAATGATAATTTTTTTTTTGTTTTTTGTAACAACGACAAGATAATTTTAGATAAAAAGAGCGGTGAGGATTCAGATATATAAAATACTGTACAGAGAGGAGGACTAAAGTAAGAAAGCAGATCTTACGCAAACAGACAGACAAGACAGACAAGACAGACTGTATGATTTGGTTTTGGTTTGAAAGATGTTGTAGATAAGAGAAAGAGAAAGAGGCCGGGGGGGGGGGTTATTTATATAGAGTTATGATTTATGGTTAAGGGGGCTGTCGTCTGGGTAGGAGATTTAAAGATAGGTTTAAGAGGAGAGGTTTACAGGTGGATTGAAGGGTAGATAGAGGTGAATAAGATAGGTAAGGGAATGAATTATGAATGTTGTGAATGTTTGTGAAAAGTAACAGAAATCATACATAGTACATAACCTACCCGAGGCAAGATTTGTACTGTATTTATACCATTCCCTCTTCCTTCCTTCCTCTCTCTTCCCTTACTCCCTAAATGTCCTCTTACTTGGCTCCAGCAATAAACCCCCCTGGCCCTAGGCTTGATGATTCTAACAATAGATCGATAAAAACTTATCGTTCTTCGTTGTGAAATCTAGATTAGCGTTATGTTGTTGTTGTGTATTATTATTTTTTTGTTGAAGTTGTCACTTGTCACTGAATAAAATACATTAACAACAATACATTACACTACCTACCTACCTACCTATGCCGCTGTGACATAGGTATTGATTAAAGGAAAAATGTCTTGGCGTAGCGTACTAAATAGAATGTTCGAGTCTCCTGTGTGTTCTAGTCCTGGAAGACTAGGTAGATGAAGGAACTGCCGTTTACCTACCTAGGTACATACCTTATTTAACAACACATACCTTATATCATACTCATATCCAAGAGAGACAAATCACGCCTATCTATCTATCTATCAAATCCTAAACCCACCACACCATACCTGAAATAAGTAGAAAATCTACCTTACCTAGAAATGAGCTGTTGGAGTCGATATCTTAGTTCCGGTACTGGTACTGGTTAATCTAGAGAATCATGGGAGAAAGAGAAGGGAGAAAGAGAAAAGAGAAAAGAGAAAAGAGAGAAGAGAAAAGAGAGAGTGGTGATGGATGGTTATATATAAGGTAGGGTGCAGTGGGGAGGAGGTGGTTGATTTGCTTTTCTAGAAAGGGAAGGAAGGGTGAGAGGGTAAGAGGGTGAGAGGGTGAGAGGGTGAGAGGGGGGGAAGTGGACCAAGGGATTGAAATAGAGATAGTTATTTATTTATTATGATAAATACAATAAATGATACCGCCAATGCTAATGCTATGCCCATGTAAATGCTTCAGAAATGAGTTGAGGTTCCCAAGAATGCACCTTTTTCCTTTTGTTTTTTTATGTTCCTCCGTTTTCTTTTCCTTCCCCCGTCCGTTGTTCAACCATGGAAGCCCGTTTTGTTTTTATGTTCCGTTTTTCTTTTCCTTCCCCCGTTGTCCAACCATGGAACCAGATCCATATGCAATCCCATCCAAGTAGTAATGCTAAACCCCCTCCTTCCCCCTATTCACCCCTTGCCTCCCTTCCTTCGTCACCTCACCCCCCTCCTCCACCAACCCCGTCCTCGTAACCTGATGTTCCGTACTCAGCTGCCTCTTCCCAATAAACAAACTCACAACCAACCCCGCCCCCGCAAACGCCACATACATGATCCACATGACCTTGATCGCCCCAGAAAAGGCCTTCTGCGCCACTACCTGCTGAGCCGGCGGCAGCTGCTGCACGACCCCGACGCTCGCACCCGCCGAGCCGCCCGAGAGCAGCTGCGCGGTAGCCGGCCCCAGCGCGGCCGCCAGCCCGCCGTACCGCTTCTGCATCTCGTTCTGGAAGACCACGCCGCCGATGACGACCGAGATGGACGTCGACAGGTTGCGCGTGAAGCCGAAGGTCGCGATGGCCGTGGCGATGTCGCGCGGCGCCACCCGCGTCTGCAGCGCGATCAGCGGCGCTTGGAAGTTGGGCCCGACGCCGATGCCGGCCACGATCTGGAAGAGGATGATCTTGGCCCAGTCGTGCCCGGTGCCGAGGTCGACGAGCAGGCCGAAGCCGAGCGTCATGACGGCGAGGCCGAAGTAGATGGGCGGCAGGTACTGCCCGGTCTTCTTGATGTAGATGCCGGTGAGGGCGGAGACGAAGGAGAGGGAGAGGGAGAAGGGGATGAGGTAGACGCCGGAGAGGAGAGGGCTGCTACCCAGCACGGCTTGGAAGTAAAGGGGGAGATAGTACGTCCCGCCGATGAAGGCAAAGCCGTGGCAGAAGCAGACGCCGAGCGAGGCGATATTGGAGCGGTGCTGGAAGATGCGCAGCGGCATGACCGGGTAGCGCGCGAACTTCCACTCGTTGAGCACGAAGAGCCCGGCGACGACGATGCCGAAGACGATGAGGCAGACGACCTTGGCCGAGCCCCAGGGGTACGTGACGCCGCCGAACTCGAGGCCGAGCAGGAGCATCAGTGTGCCGCCGACGATGGTGAGGCTGCCACTCCAATCGACGGCTTTCAAGCCATCCCAGACGGGCGTCTTGGGGTTATGAAGACGCAGGAAGAAGAAGAGGAGGATGGTGACCGTTCCGGTGATGGGTACTACCACGGTTAGCTGGGTGATGCTGCTTTGATGCCGTGCTGCGGGATGGTGATACTATGGAAGTCTGTGAAACGGAGACCTACAATTGATATAAAAACACCATCTCCAGCTCACCTTCTCCGTGAACACTCCCCCCAGAATTGGTCCAATCGCCGACGCAAGAGCCCACACCATGCCCACCATACCAAAGTACTGACCCCTCTTCCTCATACTAAACAGATCACTGATACAAATATTGACCAGAATAATCAAGCCGCCGCCCCCCACGCCCTGAATCGCCCTCGCCGCGATCAACATGCCCACGGAGACACTGACCGCTGCCAACAAGCTGCCGATGAAGAACACGACAGCCGCGCACAGCAGGATGGGTTTCCGGCCCCAGATGTCCGAGAACTTGCCCCAGGACGGCGTGCTGGCGGCGTTGGCCAGCATGTACGCAGACCCGATCCACGTGTAGCCGGCGCTGGAGCCGAAGTACTCGCTGATGGTGGGCAGCGCGGTGGTGACGATGGAGGTGTCGAGGGCGGCGAGGAAGACGGATGCGCAGAGGGAGGCCATGATGATGATGATCTCGAGGCGAGTGTGCGCGGCTTCGGGGTCGGGAGCATTGTCTGGTTTGGGGGGGAGCGAGGGCGAGGTTGTGGAGGAGTTCTTCTCGTCGTCTGGTCCTTGGATGGAGGTTTCTGGGACGGCATTGACCTCTTCTTTTGCCTCTGCTTCTGTTTCTGCTTCTGCCATAGCGGATCCTCTGTTGTGTGTACCTCTGTTGTGTGTATCCTCCGTCATCCTCTCTTCTATTTCCCGTTCGCTCAGCTTCCCCGCCATCTATGCAGAAGACCTCTCATCTCACGTCCGGTGCATATACGTATAGGCAGAAGACAGCCGGACAGCCATGAAAAATCGGTCTGGTCCTTTGCGCGATCCCTGTCATGTTGGGCCAGGGCCAGCAGTGGGGTGATGCAGGGTTGCGATGAGATGCGATGGATCGTCTCTGCCATCGCTGCTATTCCCCAGGCCGATTAAGGTATAATTAGCTTATTTCCCCGTATTGGGCAGAGCAAGGCATCAAGGCAGAAATGCCCACCCCAGTACTGTAATTTGACTCGGTACACCTGATTTACCTTACTGTACTGTACGGTAAATCCCCCGTAAAAGCACTTTATTTACCTTGCTGATCTTGATCTCTCCCCACAATAGAACTCCCCACAACTCAACCCAAACTCCACGTCTCCACCCACAGAGAGAGATGTCCCTGGATAGGTAAATAGCTCAACCGCAGATCCAAAATCTCGACCTCGACTTATCATAGATAGCGACTAGCTTATGTTATGTAGATGCGCATTCGCAGTCTCCATGACGCGCGCATCACCACTGCCTCACATCGAAACTCTCATTGTTTTCGGGAGAGGTCTGTCTATTCTATAAGTACTGGAAAGAGTAGCATCTGGTAGCTGAGATTGATTTTTTAAAAGCAAATGGATATTTCGGGAGCCGTGTGCGCCCGTGCATTAGATATAATATTATTACTTCCCACCCCCCCAACCCTCCATAGACGTCCAGTCCAGTCCGATCCAGTCCGCAACCCCGATGGTATACCTGGGTAGCAGCCCTCCCAATTGCGTCGCTGAATTACTGACAGAATAACAAATGATTATCTGTGCATGAGCCCTTTGCCTCGGGCGTTCCACCGCTCGTCGTCGTCGTCGTCCTCCTCAACGATCGCCTCGGGTTTGTGGATCCGGACAACCCAGAGGAACCAATCCTCCAGCGCCAGGAGATTCAGGAGGACGTCGTTGCCGAACCACGCAACGGCGCACACCACGCTGCCGGCCACGGCATCCAGGATGAAGTGGTTGGCGGTCGCGAGGATGGCGACGAGGATCAGCGCGGGGTAGAAGGTCCCCAGGAAGATGCAGAGGAGCCTCCGTCGGGATGGCAGATTGATCTTCGGCGCCAGGGACAGGTGGGCCTGGTTGAAGAAGGGGAGCCTGAGGCTCGTCGTGGAGTCGTGAGCGGGGCTCAGCGGGATTGTCGCGATCGTCAGGCCGATCAGCAGGGAGTAGCCGAAGTGGAGGGACGGCATGGCCGCGAACTTGTTGGTGAAGCGGTTATCCGTCCAGATCGAGCCCTCGCCCCCTGGCCCGTGGACGGTATCGACGAAGCCGTAGCTCCTTGCCTTCCTGCCCGTCTCGCCCTTCGAACCATCCGCGCTCAGGAGACGCGGGGGCATGCACGGCCAGGCCGTGAAGATGACAAACGCGAGTAGATTGCACAGCGCCATGGTCCGCCGGCGGGATTCGTACAGTCTCGGCCCCGCGAGCGCGCGCCTCGTCTCGCCGCCCTGCGCCCGCTGGCTCGCATTCAGACGGTAGCTCCGCGCGTGGGTGTGGTAGAAGAGCCAGATGAGGAAGGCGATGGAGCCCGGGATGTGGATGAAGGAGTACACGCGGTTGATCCAGGTCATCACGAACTGGTTCTGCATGAAGAACTTCTGGATGGGGATCTCATAAAAGATGCGCAGGCGCTGCTCGGCCGCAATGACCTGCAGCGCGTGCCGGCGCGCCGTGTGGATGGTGCCCTCGACGATCCATACGGCGGTCGCGGCTCGTCCCAGCTGATAGACCTATATATTTTCTTATCAGACGGGGCCGGTTGGAAACACACCCGAGGACATCAAAATGGCAGACATACCCAGTAGATCAGCGCCCAATACCAACACTCGACCAAGAAGGGGAAGCGCTCGAGCAGGCGGCTCAAGAAGTAGCCCTTGAACCTGCGCGAGTTGGGCGTGGTCAGCGTCATGGTGAAGGAGCCGAAGCCGACCTTCCTCTGGCGCCATCGCGGCTCCTCGGAGACCAGCAGACTGGGCGACATGCTGCGTGCCTCAACATCGACGGGCACGGTCATGTTCATGGTGCTGTCGGTGGTCCTGCGCACCTCGCGCGGGCGTCGTCGTCTGCCCGGGTCGGTATGGCGATTGATCCACGTCCCGCCGATCAGCAGCGCGACGACCACCAGGGGTTCTGCGACGGCGCCGATGCCTCCCATGCTACCTATTATGGTTATCGTGTCTTTCAGCGGGGAAGAGCGGAGGGGTTCGAAGAGACCAAAGTTAATTTGGACGTCGGAGTTGTCGCAGGGGAAGCAGGACGGAGAGCAAGTGGCGAGCAGGCAGGATGTCACTGGGAGCCAGAGGATGTCACTGGGCGTCACGTTGACGGTTGAGGATTCACCGCGTTGTCACTGGGCGACGGCTAGTGGAGGGAGGCGTCGCGCGAGGAGCGGCTCTTGTCGAGGATATCGAATCGGATGACGCGGGAGCCGGGCAAGGGCCGAGAAGGGGGGATATACGTATGCGTGTATAAGGTACAGGTAAGTCGAAGGACACGAGAGAACAGAGAATCAATCAAAGATAAAAGACACCACTTTCCTACCAACAAGCTGCAAAGAGGAGAGAGAGAGAAGAGGAGAAGAAGGGGGGGGAGAGAAGAGGGAAAAAATCAGGCGGATGCAGTCGGGCAGAGAGATCGTTGGACGGGGCCAGAAGAACCTGGATAAGCCAGGAATAAGAGGCTGGATAATTACCCGAAGAATAATCCGAACCGAATAGTGAATAATAATACACTGCCGTCGCCGTTTGCTGAAGAAGAGCCCAGATCCCCCGTCAGCCGTGCCTCTTCGGTCTGCAACTGGCACCTGCCAAGATCCACAAGCGCGTCATGTCACGAGTCCGCTTGCCTGTTGTGGCCTGGCGTCGTCGTAGCTGTTGCTAGGCTTGCTAGCGCCCCCCCGGAGCGTCGGTGCTCTCCCCGCAGTCCTGGGATCTGATTCGCGGGGTTATTATTAATCACGGCGAGTCGGACGCCGAGATGAGCGCCAAGCCGCACTCTTCAATGTTCCGGCTTCCGATCCACCTCGTGCGCGGGCCTTTTGTGCTGACGGGCGTCGTCGATGATGAGTAATATTGTAATATTGCCCGTCCCGGGGCCTTTTATCAGTCTGATCATTGATGATCCCCCAATGGTGCCAAACGTTAATCTGCCACGCCGGCACGTGCGCCCTACCACGTGGGGGGTCGTTTGCTTGCAAGTACCCCAAGGTCCCTCCCTTCTCTACAGAGGTACACAAGGAATGATGTCTCCATGCTACACCAAGGAGAGGCCTCGGGTTAAAAGTACCCTGTGGCGGCCATCTATCCTTCCATACTCCCAAGAAAAAGCAGCCTACCTTATTTAGTCCTCATGCCTGCCCGAGAACCAGAGCGCCCAAAGAAAGCCTCGCTGGTTTGGATCCTGAACATCCACGTAGGAAAGGCTCACCCGAGAAGACCTGCAGCACCATATTGAAAAGGAACACGGAAACAATTACAGCCTTCAGACTCCCCTTCATAAATGGCCAGCAGCTGGCGTGCCGCCCTGTGCCTTTCGCTGTCGGCTGAAGCCCCTTTTCCACCTCGTTTGGCCCACATCTTCGGCGAGATAGGGGTCGAGCGTAGATGCGGCATCGCCGGCCCTGATCTGCCCAACGAGAGCTTCCGCCATACTGCGTGAGATCTCCCTCGCTAGAGGACTGCCAGAAGGAGCCGACCTGGCCTTGGGCCGGCCCTTTTTGATCCTGCCGTCAGATGAGGATGTCAATTTCGATGTCTGCGTTGGCCTCTCGCGCTGAAACGGGAGGCGGAGCGTTTGACCTCCTATATCGTCGGGGCTCTGCGGAGAGGGAGAAGCCCGTCAAATCGTTGCTTTACCCTTGCGGACGGGCGTTAGAGTTGGATAACGGTCCTGGGATGGAACTGGCATCTGCGATGCTTCCTCGTAACAATCCTGTGCTGACCGTCGCTATTCCGGCTCTATGACCGACATACAGGCCAACAAGGAATCTACCAGTTCCCCGGAATTCTGACCCTGGGCTACCTTTATCCTCCGAGGCTCCGACACCATTCCCGTCCCCTGTATTCGCCGAGGAGCTTGTAAGCCAGTTGAAAAATAATGACACCGAGAGACCAGATATCAACGGCTGCTGTGTATTTTGCCTTGTTATAGACTTCAGGCGCAAGGGGTTATATTCCTCGAGAAGTTTGGCAAGATCAGTTGCCGCTCGGCGTAAGGTAGGACGCAACGAGACTAGCTGAGGCGTTTCAGCCCTTTTATATTCGGTAGGACAGTATCGCATTTTAGATCCGTTCCCAAAACAAAGCCCAAACGATTTGCTGGCCTGGGTCTCGAATGTTTAACTGAAGTCCCGGCTGGGGTGGGTAGGTGCGAACTTTGGTTCTCGTCGTGCTCCGGACTTCCATGCTCGTTATCGGCCGAAGCTATTGACTTACGGCTCCGCGGACTTCGGCCCTCATCTGGCAGAGCTGTTACCATACGAGGTATCGTGAAAGATTCTCCTTTATCTGAATGGGTGTCCAGTGTCCAGTCATCGTAAGAATGGATACCAGTAAGAAACAAGCAAGCAACCTGGTTCAGATCCTCCATCACTGCAGCCTCATCTTTATCTGGCGGTGGAGGGAATTGCTTTCGCCTTATGTGCAGCAGCAGCGAGGCTCTGGCTGCGCTGCCTATCCAATTGCTGCAGCATACTGTGACTCAGTACTAGGGGCATGATGGCTCAGCTGGGTGCGTACTCAATGTTCGCATGTAGCACTTGCTGCGACGATGATATTTGCTGGTTTGCTGGTTTGCTGGTTAATAAATACGGAGTAGACGTCTTCCAAGTCCGCGCATACACGATGAGCACGAGCCACCCGGACCTTTAGTACCTTAAATCTGGGGACGGGTGGGGCCGTACCTGCATACCTACCCGTATATACTCCGTAGGTCTTCTACTAAAAGAGGGAAGCTCCGGACAAACAACCATCATCTTAACCGTTCTCTATTTACTAAGGTACGGAAAAAACCATCCTATCTCTGTATGAATAAAGAGGAGCAATAATCTTGGAATCTGGAGCACGAGATCGAGATTTATGATTTTGTAAAATGATTACGCTTCTTGGGAGGTTTTTTTCAAGAACGAAAGAAGTTATATCGTGAGCTGTGGTTACAGGATGGATGGATGGTGAAGAACGATGCATACATAGCAGCGTAGCATACCTAGTGCTGCAATGCAATAGGCGCTCCAGTAAGTTCTTTTGATTGAGCTCGAGTTAATCCCCAGGAAAATGTCTGGAGAACGACTTAAACGTGGAGAATAACAGGAGTAAGCTCAAACGTGAATTGAGCTGAACCTAGTGAAGAGCAGGATGTGGGAGGTACTTTGTTTCTATACTGTCGAACATCTGCAGAAGACTGAGCTAGATATATTCCTACACTGACAGCAACTACCGGGCGGGAAAATGTCAGAGAGGCGTGGGCTGGCTTGGCTCCCTCTTTGTCTCTCAAGTCAGGTTCATTCATCATCTAGCTATAATGTACTTCTATACTTCTATACAGTGCACTCGTTCTCCCCACTCACTTGTCGCAACGTCCATCTGCCCATCCGCGTCCCCCTACTCCACCGCCCGCAGAGGTCGATACGCCGCATCCCACATCTGCTCCCTAACCCACTCCTCCAGCTCCTCCTCCTCCCGTGGGATCCCCTCCATCGTCGCCAAGCCCTCTTCAACCGCCTGCCTGATCACCGCACACGCAATATGCACACTGATCTCGCGCACGTGCACGACATCCGGCAACAGGCCCTTATCGGGATCCTGAAGCGCGGGCGACTGCGCCGCCAGCGCCTTGACGGCCGCGACCAGCATCTTGTCCGACAGCAGCCGGCAGCGGGCCAACACGCAGCCGAGCCCGATCCCGGGGAAGCACGTGCTGTTATTACACTCGGCGACCTCGTACTCGCGGCCCTGGTACGTGACGGGCGGGAAGGGCGAGCCCGTGGCGATCAAGGCCCGGCCTTGCGTCCACTCGTTGATGTCCTTGGGGTCTGCCTCGTGCAGCCGCGTCGGGTTCGAGAGCGGGAGCACGATCGGCCGGTCTACATGCGCGGCCATCTCGCTGATGACTTCGCGCGTGAAGGCTTTGGGTTTGGTGGAAGTGCCGATCAGAACGTGCGGTTTGACTTCTTTGATGATGGAGAGGAGGTCAGAATGGTCTTTGCCTTCCCATTCGGAATCTTCGCGCGCGTACGGGACTTGGGCGGGCGTGAGCTTGTCGCCGTGGGACTTTAATAGGAGGCCGGGCTTGTCGACACACCTTAGTTGGTGGTCTGTTAGTGAGTTGCGGGTAGGGAAAAGGAGGAGGGGCCGTACCATATTTGCTTCGCTGCTTCTTCCTTCGACTTCCCACTGTCGGTAGCGATGGCATCGCGCACCTGGTCTGCAATACCTGTCCCAGCTGTCCCGGAACCAAAGATAACCATCCGCATGTCTTGAAGTTTCAACTTGGTCACGTGGAGACCTGCCATCACCGCCGCGAGCGTGACGCATCCAGTGCCCTGCACATCGTCGTTGAAGCAAGGAATCTCGGGCCTGTAACGATCCAGGATTCTTCGAGCTGTGGGGTATTAGCTTCATCCAAATCAGCAGCGGTTAGCGTACCATTGGGCAATCCAAAATCCTCAAAGTGGATATAAGCTTTTGGATACAACTTGCGAGCAGACTTCACGAATGTATCAATAAACTCATCATATTGCTTCCCACGAACCCGTGGCTTCCTGAGCCCAAGGTATAATTCATCATTGAGAAGCTCTTCATTATCAGTTCCGCAGTCGAGAACTACAGGAAGTGTCCTGTTAGGATGGATCCCAGCACAGAGGGTGGTAAGGACCAATTTGGCGATTGAGATCAGAATCCCGCCTACGCCCTGGTCACCGATTCCGAGGATCTCTTCGCCATCTGCAAAGATCAGTTGGTATTCTTGCCAAGCTTTGGAAACTAGGAGGTTGACAGACCAGTCACAACAATATAGTCGACGTCGTCCGCAGTACCGTACTGGGCCAGATCCTCGTAAACACGACCAATGTCGTTGATATTAAGGAAGCAGCCTTCTGGTCTGCGAAAGAGTCGAGAGTAGTTCTGGATAGCGTCACCCTCTGTAGGTGTATAGATGACGGAGAACATCTCTTTCAGGTGGTCTTGGATCAACTGGATGGTGTCAGAAACACTTCACACAGTGAAGGGTGCACTTGGTGGAGAGCGGCTGGGTGAAAGACACAGGCACAGATCGGATAATTAACGCAGTAGATATGGTACACTGGACGAGATGCGGAAACAGAAATTCAAGCTGTCGCTGGACAGGCCAGACATAGCTGGCGCTTGAAGGATAAGAGCGCCCCAATCATGTGATCTTAACTCCAAGTCAAGCAAAGAACTACTCAAGGTAAAGCTACTACATAGAGACAGACACCCGGCCCTGATATTCGACTCACCCTGAAATAAAGGACCAAATTTTGCGACGCCAAGCTGGTCATGAAGGTATTCTTTGCCAAATCATCGTGCCTCGAGCAATACTGCTCGTAAGCGCGCTTCACCTGCTGATCCAGCGTCTGCACATTCTGCGGCAGGCGCCCGGTGAGCTTGAACTGCTTTCTCTCCTCGGCAGGGAACCCAGCGCCCTTATTGTAATACGGATTGCTCAGCAAGGCGGTGCCTTTGAGGGAGCAGTCCAGGGGGCCTGATGTAGAGAGCGGGAGATGCCCAAAGGTTGGATGTTTAAGGTGAGGTTTGGTGGCTTTGTGATCTGAGGAGATGGAGGGGATGCGGTGGTGGTGGGGCGCCATGGTTGACTGGTAGCGGCTGGAAAGCCGGAGTGTGAAGCTGTGATGCGTCGAGGTATGGAAGGGGCTTTTGACAAGAAGATGAGGAACGGGTTTCAGCGGTAAACCTTGGGCCATTTACCAGTCAATGTTCATAGGAAAATCAGCTTGAGAGAAACAATTCCTCAAGCTTTAATGATGTAGGGTGTATCTGAAGGAGACAATAGACAATGACATGAGAGAGGGGCATCAAGGGCGTCAAGGGATTGGCGTCGATGACGTTGGGGCGGGGTCTATCTATAAAAGCGGCGTGGGAACGTATCCTGCCGACCTTGACTCGACTTCAAGCTGGGCAGTGGGTAAATTTAGGGGCAATGCCTCTGTAATCCAATGGAGATCCGCACATTGCTCTTTGCAGAGGAGCAGGATGTGGAAGTTGATATTGTGCACGTATGTAAGTTCACGAAGAAGCAGGACGTCCAGAAGAGGCCCACAGAAAGCCTTTTCCCTCTGCCTGAGGAAATCCAGTTTCATGGCGCCAAAAAAGTCACGAGAAGACAAAACTTGTGTCATTATCCTCCATATCCGTCCCTCTCATTACAAGCCCTCCTTATCTGTAAAATAGAGACAATCGATGGTCAAATGTTGGTACGCAAGGAGCCACGCTCCTGTGGGAATCTCATAAAGAGTAGGAGCATGGACTATGAAGGTCCAGTATTGGTTTCGCAGTAGTCCTCTGTGGAAGGGCAATCCCGAAGGATCATCCTCCTTCTCAACCTCCATTCGACTTCGACACAAGACGCGAAGATGCCGAAAGGCCTTTCGAGAAAGGTCTCATTTGTGATGCCGCCAGGCTGAGTGATTGATCAAGGTACTGCTAGAGTGTGGAAGATCGGGAAGAAGAAATACTGGAAATAATACCTATCCTTGTATAATGTAGACTCTCACAAGATCTCCCGCTCTGCTGGTGGACAGCTGCCAACTTCCTTTGTGATGTGGTTGTCAATGATGATAATGATATGTTGGAGTTTCTGCTACAAGAGGCCTGAGACGCCTTGGAATAAATTTTGTCGCTAGCGGCGAACTATTCCAGATTGAGACAGACATCGACTATTCCCAGATAGGCATACTGCACTCCGGGGCTCTCCTAGGGATTTTCGCGACTTCATGAGTCCTCCTTCAATCCGCGTCTTCACCAAGTCGCATCGACTTCTTCCTACACTCGCATCCATTACTCCCCCTCATCCACCAGCAAAATGGTTGGCAAGAAGAAGCGCAATCATCCCGATATTGAGGAGTTGCTTGCCCGGCCTTGGTGTTATTACTGTGAGTTCCGTCCCAGCCGCTCCATTGATTGTTTGCTAACGTGTCGCAGGTGAGCGCGATTTTGATGACTTGAAAATCCTTATTTCCCATCAGAAAGCTAAGCACTTCAAATGCGAAAGATGCGGTCGCAGACTCAATACTGCCGGCGGTGCGTTTTTACTCCAATCCCCCATCGATCTAACGCGCGATGTTTGCTAACTCTTCCCCCAGGACTGTCGGTTCACATGAATCAAGTCCACAAAGAGACATTGACAAGCGTCGATAACTCTTTGCCGAATCGGCAGGGACTGGAGGTTGAAATATTTGGTATGGAAGGCATTCCAGAAGATGTTGCTCAAGCACATAATCAGCGCATCATCGCAGGTTACTACCAGGCCGAAGCTGAACGTCGCGCTGCCACTGGAAACCCTGGCCCAGGCTCAAACCAAGGCGGACAATCTAAGAAACCAAAATTTGAATCACCTGCGGAGTTGAAGAAGCGGTTGGCAGAACATAAGGCCAGGAAGGCCGAGCAAGCTGCAAATAGTAGTGGTGGCAACACACCAATGGATGGTATGGGTCAAAGTCCGATGGGACAGAGTCCTGTCGCATACGTAAGTCATTCGCATGTTTGTATTGCCTCTAGCTAACGCACCATCTTACAGGATGCTTCTGCTTATCCTCCTCCACAAGCCACGTACGGTAGTTCACAAGGTGCGGGTTATGGGTCATTTCCACAGGAACATACACAACCTGCCGCAGCTTACCAACAGCCGCCCTACAATCCTCCATACTCTGGCCCTCCCGGCCCTCAGTACCAACAACCTCAATATTCTCCGCCACAACAATACCCAGCACAGCCATCCTTCCCCCCCTCAGGCTATCAACCTCCACAGAATTATGGTCCGCCGGCGCCTTATAGCGCTGGCTCCCCTCCGGGTTCCTTTGGCGGTGTCCCATCTTCTCATACACCGCCCGCATATGGTGGCCTTCCTAACCGGCCGCCGAGTCTCCCCCCTGCACCTGGTCTGCCTCAACGGCCGTCGTTCGGCGCACCTCCCGTGCCTCCACACCAAATGCAACAAATGCATCAAGGCTCACCAGCATCCTACGGCTCACCAGGGGGTTGGGGTGGCAATGGATGGAATGGTCAAACTCAGAACTCAGCTATGTCATCAGTTCCTCCTTCTCAAGGTTACGGTGGTGGTTATTCGACTAACGCTGCGGTTAATGATCTGGTTTCAGGAGCTGCAAGAGAGGCTGATGACATTGACAAGATTATCAGAATGGCTGAGGCGGGTATCAAACCTCCAAAGAAGAGCGAAGCCCTACAGTCGCCTCCTGCTGCGACGACGCCTTCAGCCCCAGCTCAATCTACCGGAGCAACCCCTACACCTGCCCCAGAAGCCATCGACAAGACCGAAGCCACCGAAAAGAAGTCGAAGAAGGATAAGCCGATGAAGATGGTCTATTCTGACAATGAGGTTAGTCCGGAAGAGAAGATGGCCCTTATGCCAAGGTACGCATTCGTCCCAGATGGAAAGCCTGAAACAGCTCTTGTCGATGCCAATACACAACCTGGTGTTGCTGGTACAGTCGATGCATAGATATCGACGATTTGGGCAAGTCATTCCGACCTCTATTCAGTTCTTCTCTTGGACAATCTGCGACCCGTGAATACCTTTGCCATTTCGTCATTCGACAGCAACGCACTTTTGGCCGCATAACAATCAAGCATGAGATGGGAGGCATTGAAGCTGAGGGTGCAGCTAAGTCGTCGACAATCTGTGCTAATTGTACTGTTTAATTCTTTCGTTTCTTTTGATGGTTTTGCATGTCCCGCATCTGGTAAGTTAGCAGGTGAGCTGGGATGGAGTTAAATTGATGGTAGACGCGGGGGAGGGATTGCGAGGGATTCAAAAGGCTGCCATTTCACAGTAGACGATAGATGGATATACGGCAAGGTTTGTGTGGCCTTTGTAAGTAAGTACCTAAAGGTTGGCAATCCCTAATCATGCATCTTGCTGAAAATCAATGTCACTTATGAAAGCATCTTGTGTTGAAATGATCGGGTCGCTTCCATATCTTGGAGCTAACAAAACTTCTGTATTAAATGGTTCCTATCATCCTATTTTTATAATGTTGATTCTCTACATTCTGTTTGAATATCACAGTTGACAGAACTAAGATTTTCTTAGGCATGATTGCCAAAATTTCCCTTTGATTGATTATCCTGCATTACGGTTAGTATTCATACTTCGCAGTTTTTGCATTGGGCCCCATGTACATACATGAACCTGTTCAGGCTAAATGGCGACTCCCCCCTCTCTACCCCGCAAACCGATTTACTGAACTCAGCACAGAATTGCAGGGAGTATAATTCAAACTATGGAGGTACCTGTGGAGGTACCAGCATCAATATCAGATCAATACATAAAATATCATATTATTCGGCTGAATGGAAATCAAGCCATGCTGGATATTGTTCGGAACATTCATCGCCGTGTTGATCTCCAATCTTTCCCAGAGGTAGGCTATTTTTCATTTATCATGAAGCAAAGGGTATTTTTGAAGTTCAATCACGCACGATCATACACGAATGGTTTCTATTTTCCTATTCCCCTTGAACACGTTCTTGATCACATCACAAGATGAAGCCACCCTCCGCTTGCTTGCTTGCACTTCTCCCGCTTGTACTAGCACTTGGGCAGAACCGAACAGTTACCCTCACAGGTGAAGGTGGCTTGCTACAGTTGGCGGGCTCAGGCGTGGACGGTCAGATCCTCCTGAGCGCGAATGATTGGTGGGGTGTAATCCGCGCTGCGGAAGATCTTGCTGGGGATGTGGAGAAAGTCACGGGCGAGAAACTGACTTTGGGGCATTGGGTGGTGGGAGAAAGTATGAATGGTACGAAAAAAGCCTGGAGGAGTGGACCAGCTGCTTCTGCCTCGGAATCGGGTTCCTGGGGATCTCCTGATGGAGAGACTGGGCATGGTAGTACGGAAAAGAGTAATGGAGAGACGACGGTCTTGTATACGTATTTCCCGACAACTAATAACGTTAATGTAAGTCCATAATTCACTCTACTCCAACGAGGAATCAACTTTCAACCCTTCGAAGCTGACGAGCTGAACCGAAGTACACTGTAGGGCCTGCCGAGAACTTCACAGGCCCCACGCTATCCTCCAACTCCCCCGCGAAAACTGTCATCATTGCCGGCACCGTCGATAAATCCGATGTGATAAACGCGCTCATTTCCTCAGGCAAACTCAACGTCTCCAGCATCCAAGGACAGTGGGAATCGTTCATTTCTCAAGTTGTTGATTCACCACTACCAGGAATCGAGAAGGCGCTGGTAATAGCCGGGAGCGATCTGAGGGGTACGGTATTCGGCTTATATGATGTGAGTGAGCAGATAGGGGTCAGTCCCTGGTGGTGGTTTGCAGATGTGCCAGTTCGGAAAGCGGAGGGCGTCTGGGCACTTAGGGATGGAAGAAAAGTGCAAGGGCCCCCAAGTATCAAGTATCGAGGCATTTTCATTAACGACGAAGCGCCTGCTCTAACGAATTGGATCAAGTAATGCCTTCTTCCCCTGAGTTCTTGGTTCTTAGGAGACTTGAAACGCTAACGGATATAACAGCGAGAATTACAAACCAGGCAAATACGGCCCAGGTTTCAACCACTACTTCTACGCGCACGTCTTTGAGCTGCTCCTCCGGCTGCGCGCGAACTATTTCTGGCCCGCTGAGTGGTCCTCCATGTTCGACGTCGACGATACGGCGAATCAGCCCCTGGCCGATGCGTATGGGATCGTGATGGGCACTTCGCATACAGAACCAATGATGCGGGCCAGTAATGAATGGACGGTGTTTGGGCCGCTGTATGGTGGGAATGGACAGTGGGAGTATGACACTAATAACCAGAGTCTGATTCCGTTTTTCAGGTATGGAGCGCAGAGGGCTAAGCCGTATGTTGGGAATAGTTTGTTTACTATGGCTATGGTGCGTGATTTTCCTTGATATACCTTTTTGTTCTCATTCCTTGCAAGGCTAGGTTTATAGGTGTATTTCAAGGTCCTCTTCTTGGGTGCAATCGCAAAGCGGCCCTGCTGACCTTGATCACAGAGAGGTAGTGGCGACACATCTATCAATATGCCAGCAGTCGAGGCAGTACAGATCCTGAAGGATGTTGTGAATGAACAGCGCACAATCCTGGGGCAAGTCTTCAACGGGACCAATATCACGGATATCCCGCAGATGTGGTGCTTGTACAAGGAGGTCCAAGGGTATTATGAGGATTATGGACTCACGGTGCCGGATGATATTACGCTGTTGTGGTCGGATGATAATTTTGGCAATATCAGGAGGTTGCCACTGGTCAATGAGACGGGGAGATCTGGGGGCGCAGGTGAGTTGGTTTCCGTGTTCTCTTTCTAATCTTCTGGGGATCATAAGGATTAATATGGAGAAATAGGAGTATATTATCATGTGGATTATGTAGGCAGTCCAAGAGACTACAAGTGGATCAACACGATTCAGCTTGAGAAGACCGTTGAGCAGGCAAGACTTCGTCCCCCTTTTCCTCTCCCAATGTTAACAAACTTAGATGCAACTTGCGTACGCGCGCCAAGCAGACCGCATCTGGATTCTCAACGTTGGCGATTTGAAACCCCTTGAGATCCCAATCAACCACTTCTTGGACATGGCATACGACACACCCATGTGGAGTTACGACAGCGTACCTACCTGGCTCAGGCTCTGGGCAACACGTGAGTTCGGGCCCCAACTTGCTGACAACATATCTTCTATCCTCGACCGCTACGGTATGTATGCGGGGCGCCGCAAATATGAGCTCGTAGACCCGACCACATACAGCGTAAATAATTACAACGAAGCGGATGCTGTTCTTTCTCAATGGTCCTCTTTGGCCTCTGACGCTCAAGCTGTCTATGATTCATTGGATTCCGAGTCCAAGGCACCGTTCTATGAGATGGTTCTCCAGCCGGTTCTTGGAGGAGAGGTAGTGACGCAGATTTATATCGGTGCTGCCAAGAACAACCACTTCGCCGAGCAGAAGAGGAACTCGGCGAACAATGTTGCGCAGGCGGTGCTGGATTCATTTCAGATGGATCATGCTCTGACGCAGCGTTATCACGATTTGCTTGGTGGGAAATGGAATCATATCCTCGACCAGACGCATCTGGGGTATGATTACTGGCAGCAGCCAATGCGAAATGCCCTTCCGCCCCTCGCCTGGGTCCAGGAAATGGAAACGTCGCTCGCGGGCAATATTGGTGTCAGCGTCGAGGCTTCAAATGCTACAGTGAGTGGAGATGATAATTATCACGCCCTCTCAAGTAATACACTTGTGTTGCCGCCCATGGATCCGTATGGACCTAAAACGAGGTGGATTGATATCTTCGCCAGAGGAACTACGGGCTGTGAATGGATTGTCACACCTTGGGAAGAGTATGTTATTGCCACTCCCTCGACCGGCACGACAGGAGGCAATAACGGGACAGATACGAGGGTTTACATCTCTGTAGATTGGAGCAAAGCCCCAGCTGCACCAAACACCACGACAGTGAACATCAATATCACCTCTTCCTGCCCGGACTGGGGCAACTACCCGCCGCCGCAAGTGCAGGTCCCCATCGTATCTACAGCGATTCCGCACGGATTCACCGGCTTCGTTGAGTCTGACGGCCACCTCGCCATCGAAGCGGAGCACACCTCCCGCAGCACCGAAGTAAACGGCGTATCCTATCTCACGCTCCCCAACTACGGACGCACCTTATCCGGCGTGATGCTCGTCCCTGCCCTCGCAGCCACCCAGTCTCCAGGCGAAGGCCCCGTGCTGGAATACAACATATATACATTCACCTCCACATCCCACGCCACCGTCACTCTCTACCTCTCACCCAGCCTGAACCAAAACGGCGCCGTGCGACCCCTGCGCTACGCCATCGCCTTCGACAATGAAAGCATGCAGGAAATCCAATTCGTGCCCGACGCCTCGGATGGCAATCTCCCCGATGGCTGGACCGGCGCCGTCAGTGACGCGGTCTGGGGATTGTCGAGCGGGAATCGCACGACGACGATCCATGATCTGAGTGAGGCGGGCGCACACACCCTGAAGATCTGGTGCCTGGAGCCGGCGGTCGTGATCCAGAAGATCGTGGTTGATCTGGGAGGCGTGCGGCCGAGCTATCTGGGCCCGCCCGAGAGCTTTAGAGCGGGGGTTGATGTGGTGGGTGGGTACGAGGGGACGAATGCTTTGGGGGTTGTGCTTAGTCCTGGAGTGGGGAGTGCGTAGGTGCGTGGAATATAGGCGGTGAGATCTGCTCAGTGAAGTTTGGATAGGGGCCTGGATATCTATATGGGATATGAACTAACTAACCTGCTTTCCAAGATCCATACATTTTAGCCAGCAATTGTAAAGGTGAACGTGAAAATAGGGGCAGGCTGCGTGCTTTCATTCCCAGAACCGCACTCGAACCTGTATCAATAGCAGCAATGGCCTTCCTTGAGACATCATCAGCTTACTCAAGGAAAGATGAGGGCATCTCAACACCCCTGAATAAAGAAATTCTCATATATCCATATATAACCACGGAAATTCTACCACGAAAACCGACCCTACCAAAGTCAATGTCCATTTCTGTCTTTGAATCTAAGCAGTTGTTGCTGTTTTGACCTGAGCTGAGCCCTGAGCCCTGAGCTTTATCACTTAAATCAGCCTGAGCCTAGGTATAGAGGTGTCATTTTCCTGCTCCTTGAAAATGGGTTGCAGTGTTTCCTATTATCTATATGTAAAGATAGACAACTTTCTAGTCTCTGATGCCTTGAACACAGCCATCCCCAGGCTCTTAAGATGGTCGGTAACATTTATAAGCAAGGAGTCCGTTCTGGCTTCCTGATAACCAAAGGGATTTCTGCTAGAGTCGACTTTCGATGTTAAGACTCACAAGAGTATAGAATGAGTTTTTCATTATCCTTCTCTGGCTCTTTGTATAACACGATGTTCATAAGATAAATCATCCGCCTAAGCTCAGTTCCATTTACATACCTTAAGTGTTTCCCGCCATTTTATAAACACCGCCTAAGCAAAAACTCCATACCCGAACCCCTCATGATCAATCATATAATAACAGCAGATTCCTCCTGCTGCGAGCTGTCCTTCATCTTCCCACACGTCGAGCATGTCCACCAGCTCGATTCCATGACCGTACTACATACACGGCATCGCCACGTCTGCACCTTGGGCCGTGATGACGCTTCTTTCTTCCTTGCTTCTTCGGCAATCTTCCACGTGATTTCAGCTGGTCGCTGGGACGTGCAAGCGTCGCAGGCGAGGAAGTCAACGGGGTTGTGCAAAGTGCAAATAGGACATGTCCATCCGGTTAGGGGTTTCGGTGCAGCTGGGGCCGGAGCTGGCTTATGTGATGGGGCTGGCGCTGGGGCGCTGGAAGATTTTGAGGTGACGGCCTTTGGTTTCTGTTTCTTTGAAAGAGATTCCGTGACTAAACGGCTTATGTGTCGAGGCTCCTGCCTAGAAGCGCCAAGAGATGCAGCTGAACCAGAATTTGAGGAAGAAGAGCGTCCCGACGCGGCTGGTCTCTGGCGTCCGATTTCGCCGCCTCCATTACCAGTAGGGTTCGAAGGTGTGGCTGGTATAAACTGATCCCCATATTCTCTCTTCTCGTCCTCCTGGACAAGCTCCCACAGCGCCTGAGCAATCGCCCGGTCGTTCGCCTCATCCTCTTCTGCCTTTGTCCTGAATCCGTTTCGTGTCGCTTGGCTGGCTAGGTCCTCGATTTCCTTATCGCTTCTCTTTTCTGATCCACAGCCTTTCAAAACCGTATTTCGACGTTCAATGGCACTCACGATGACCTGTCGAATGTCCGTTCCAGCGCGTACTGGAGCACCACCTAGTCTCTGCCCGGATCCTGAGGAGAGAGTTCGTCGCTTCTCCGCAGCGGCGCGAGCAATCCTCCTCGCCTCATCTCTTGGAACCCTCCTACCACCCAAGCGATGGCCATTAGACAGGAAGCCTTCTCCTGTGTACCCCTTTGCCAACAGAGCTTCATATTCCTTGCGCAACTGGTCCCATAAAGCATGAAAGTTCGCATCGTGTGGCCCGTACACAATATGCGAAAGCTCGTGGAGCATCGTATCGACAACTTGTTCCATAGGAAGGAACTGATTCTTGTCGCCGGGATACCGTAATCGTAGACATATTTTCTCGCCTTTGTTTTGATTGATTCCTTGCAACAGTCAGCTTCGGCTTCTTGTTTGGGTTCCGGGCGTAGCCTTGCGTACCTAGGAGGTTCTGTGCATCGGGATAGAACTCAGCTAATGTGCCAACCTTCCAACTCCGTGCTCTCATGATAGGCTTCACGAGAGAGGAAATCTTCTTTAGGGTGTGCAAGGCCTCCTTCTCCCGAGGGAAATTCTTGAGGTGAGAATATTCGAATATTAGAGCGTCTCGTTCCGCCATCCTTTGAGATCCCGGCTGTTTACCCCTGTTTGTTGATTTCAAGTAGACGGCAGATAGTTTTCCAAAAAGAAGGGGAAGCTCCTAGATCAGAGACAGAGATGCAGCGAATGAATGAATCCTCAAAGAAGGCGTTGGAAGGCTCCAGAAGGCCTGCGGTCTGTGAAGATCTAAGGTAAGATGGGAACCAGGACGGCGAGGCTGAAAGATGGAGTAACAAGACGTAGCGAAGTTCCACGTTGGTCCGTGCCAACCACGAATACCGATCCGTGCTCTGTACGGGCTTTATGCTTATGTTTCGTGGCTGGTACGATTATTCACGATACACGGGATTACTACGTACGGAGTATGGCTCCTTTGGGGTGCGTGCCATGAAACATATTACAAATTCATCCAAATATTACCTTACCTAAGGTAGTTAAGGCAGTCTCTATTCAACACCATATATACTGGAGTCGAACAAATTGAAGCTATTCCCCGGTCTGACAGTGACTATCTCATTGCCTCCAACTTAATAACACCTCGATTCAAAATCTTATAACACAGATGATGACAGGTCTAATTATCAACATTAAGCCTGATTAGATGCAGAAAAAAAGACTATGGCTCTTACCTTTTTGTCGCGCGGACACAACGATTATAAGAAGCTTGTATCACTACTAGAGTCTGGCGGCGAACTCGGCTCATATTGCTACAGAGAGCTATTTGTCTGAACACGGAATCATTCTCTGAACCCAGCCTCCTTACTCTTTTCTTCTAACTCATCCTCCACCTACTGGAGGTGTAGATACATCTTGGTCCTCAACCTTGACTATCTGCCAACTATCCACCTTGGCAAATGATCTTGGCCAATATCTAACTCTCTTCTCCACCCCACCACTCCGAACAACAAGTTCCATATGTGCCTGGAAATCATCCACACACTTCCAGAGATGAGAGCTCCAGATGATCTTATCCCCTTCTCTCAATCCCGCGTTTGCAGCTCTGCCCCCCAGCTTCAAGCCACTAATCATCCCCTTCTCAAAGCTTTCCCTGTCCATCCCAAAATCCAAGACTTCCTGCTGAACAGGTCTCAGACGGTAGGACTTCACATCAGAGATTTCAACCGGCAGTAAGATGACTGACCCTCCGAGCATACTCTTATATCTCCCCACGACTTCCTCGCCCATGAGCGGATGCAGCAGATCCATCCATTCCCATATGCCATGCTCCTCGCCCCTTGCTCTCTTCTTCGCTAGAACTTTGATAGAAAGATCTTCGACTGGTCGCTTCAATTCGGACAGTTCCCGAGCCCGGAAATCTGTCCCGGCAACGAAAGCCCAAGCTCTTGCAGCAATCATCTCCTTTGCGTAGTCGTTGGTTGGTGCGAGTATCATAAGGTCGGCAAGCGGGACGCGAAGGAGGGGATTGGTGTAGTATTTCATGCAAAGCGTGTTAAAAGTTGACGTGAAGTAGTCATCTGTTCGGAAGCCATTGCGGGAAGGAAGATAAAGGGAGAGAAGATTGCTGATTCCTTCGTAAAGCCAATCTATGGTATCATCGGTCGATGGGGGTCCAAGCCAGTTATGAACCATCTCGTAGGACATACGTCGGACAAGGTCATAGTCATGCGCTTGTGCGATTTGGTCATCATAGTCAAAGATATGGCTTCGAGTAAAGCCGGTCCCTCCAAAGCTCATAACTGCGCCATTGTTTCGCACGAAAGCTCGATACGGATTACTCGCAGATGGAGGATCTTGGAAGAATTCCGATACCTTCAGGAGGAATTCGTAGTGGATATCTCTGATGGCTTGGATATTGGGTGGTAGATCACCAAACCAGTAAAAACCATAGTAATCTGGCAGGGTCCAGGGGAGGGCAGCAGATGGATTACTTTGGATCTTTCCGACCATGTAGACTGACTCACACAATATCGAGGAAGGACCCGTCATCTCCACAGGATCTGGACCTTCACCAAATGTCCATACTGCTCGTGTTCCTGAAGGTGCTTTGCTGAGATCCCATGCCACAACAATTCGGCAGATCTCCTCGCTTGCAGGCAAAGGGATGAATGCTATTCCTGAACCCAAGAGTCCTCCTTGATCACAGCGAAGGTCGACCGCGGACTCGCGTGTGCCTTTTTGATCGAGCTCCAACGGAGAAGCACGGCATATTAGCCGCATGTACTCCGGCGTTGATCTTCCTTCCACCCATTCGATATTGGAGTTTTCAAAGCGGGATTTAGCAAGGATGAGCAATTGTGCAAGTGTGTCAAAAGCTTGTCCTGTATCTTCTTCTTCATCTGAATCACTTGATGCGCTGAAACTATTCGTGAAAGAAAGCAGTTCACTATATTCTGGAAGTTGGCGAACTTGGTCAGATGGCACAGTCAGATCGACAAGAAGGCCGGTGACATGTTGAGCCAAGCTGTACTCAGGCGTAATCAAGACTTTGATCGTTGGTAATTCTGACCCCGGCATGATAATAGGATTGTATGAATATCAAGGAGAAGCCGAAGGGCTCGGGGGGTGAACAAAAAGAGAGGAAGGGGGATGTGGGATGAATGCGAGAAGGGGCTGCGACGAACAGCCTCTTGGCGAAGCGTGTTGCTGTGCATCTCTGCTCATTAATCCTTTACCCACAGTGTGAACACACAAGCCATCCTGAAAAATTCGAGTCTCTTGAGTCGCATATATCTATTAGCATCATGGAAGGTATTAACCGCGAATGTGTATATCCATGGATCAAAATCAAAACCAACACAGTATGTCGACCGCCAAGGCTGCGGGAGCTGCCGAGACCTCGCTGATGCATCAACCTGCTTCCTCACCCCACATCCACCTCCTCCATCTCCATCCTATATCACCCACCAGCCTCATCCATTCTCACCCGCGATGTCCGCTGACGATTCTGTATTTCTCGACGTTGTAAGTATTGGCCAGCCCCATCCAGAACCCCAGGTTAAGGATACGGGCAACTGACTCGGCATAGCTTTCATCTGTTCCCAATGACATCAGACTCTACTCCAACCAAGTCGCCGACTATGTAGACAAGCACGTCGAACGAGCATCCAACGCCCTACGGAGCGCTTTATCTTCGGCGCCATGGCTTCCTGAGTCTGCGCGTCCTCGCCCACCTCCACCACCCCCTCGGTCCTTTGTCCAGTCTGCTGCTTCGGCATCGATTTACTCTCAGATCTACGACTGGGTTTCCACGAACAAGATTAAGACGGCTATTGCCCTAATTTCAATCGGAGGAGGGGCCTACCTCCTGGTGAGAAACAAGAAATCCCGTAAGAAACGGAGAGCAAAGAAGGCGAGCAATGGCGCAAGGCTCGAGGTCGTCGTCGTTGCTGGACCTCCGTCCGAACCAATTACTCGGTCCATTTCCTTAGACCTCGAGCGCAGAGGTTTTATTGTCTATGTTGTGTGCAATACAATCGAGGACGAAGTCCTGGTACAAAATGAATCAAGACCCGATATTAGACCATTGATGATCGATATTGTGGATGTAAGTTCCCTCGACTGCTCTCGACCTCAATTCTAACCAACATACCTAGTCTGAGAGTGCTCGTGCCTCCATCGACCGCTTCACACAGTACCTCCAGTCCCCACACGCCCCCTTCCAAGGTGCAAGGCTCCACCGCGTAAACTTACGCTCTCTGATCCTCATCCCATCCCTCACCTACCCCTCCTCGCCAATCGCCACTCTTTCGCCCTCAACGCTCAACGACCTCATAAACACCCGCCTTCTGAATCCCATCCTGACCATACAGACATTCCTCCCACTCCTCACCTCGAACTTGAATTTCGGACTCCCACCAACAGTCCCTAAGCCCTCAGTTCTAGTCCTCACACCTTCTATAATACCTAGTTTGTCACCCGCCTTCCACGCTCCTGAATCCAGCATTGTCGCCGCACTCTCCTCCTTCACGTCCGTCCTCTCCTCCGAACTCTCTCCTCTCTCCATCCCAGTCACCCATTTGCAGCTTGGGACTTTCGACTTCTCCTCTTTCTCTCCTCATAACCGCCACACCCCAACCGTGCAATCCCAACGCGCGGAGACCTTGACCTGGGATGCGCACTCTCGTGAGACGTTCGGAAGGAATTTTGTCGCTGCTAGTTCCAAAGGCTTGGGCAAGGGTAGCTCGCTTAGGGAACTGAACGATGCGGTTTTCGATGCAATGGTTAGGGGGAAGGGTGGTACGGTGAGGGTTGGGATGGGGAGCAAGTTGTATGGGTTTGTCGGGGGTTGGGTGCCGAATGGTTTGGTGAGCTGGATGATGGGTGTTCGGAAAACTAGAGATGATGCGAGAGGGTTTGAGTTTGGAAGGAGTTTGATCACCGCGAGTGAAGATGGAAGCAGATCTACGAGTCCCGGGAGCCCAGGGAGTATAGGCAGGGGAGGGTTTGGGGGCAGCGACTATATTTCTGTGCATGGGAAGGAATCAGAGGATTGAAATGCTAGCCTGCGGACAGACTAATAATTTGGAATAGAAATCCCTCCTCTGACATTCAACGGAAAAGCACCCAGTTCTTATCAACAGGATTTTCATGATTTGGCGTGAATTTTGTTTGGGTACCGTTACACTATTACAATTAACCTCGTTGCAATGTAAAGCACCCTGGGTATCTCTCAACTCCAGTAACCACCCTAAATGTAATAGTTCCACTCTTTTGTGTTTCCAACGCCATCCTTCCAAACATCCGGATCCTCAACCTTGCCCTAAAGATGATAGTCCTAATAATGCCCTCTACCCCTCTGCCGTCTCTGCCCATCCAGCCCTCCACCTCTCCCACCCCTACCCGCACCAAACCACCGTCCCCTCCCTCTCCCCCTCTCCCCTTGCCCTCCCGATTCCGTCGCTCCATACTTCTCCCTCTCCCGCTCCTCTTCCCTCTCAGCATTCTCCCGTAACACACGTTGCTCCTCCTCGATTTCCTCGGGGGTCTTCTCGACCCTCACCGTTGGCTTCGGTAGGTCCGTGGGGAAGCGCGGATGCGCCTTCTTGCATTTCGGCCCGTCTGGGCAGAAGCCCGCCAGATAGAATTCGCAGAGAGTCTTGCGTACGTGCTTTTTTGAGCAGTTGGGTCCCAGAGGGCAGAAGCCGCGCTCATACCAGGGACAGGGCGGGAGGCGCGAGGACGGATCAATGTGTAGGTATAGGCATTCATCTACGATTATCCCTATCAGTATTCTCTCTTCCAAGTCTATTTAAAAACAACGACAGAACCAAAGGGCAGGTAGGCAAAGACACCGGAAGAATAGAAAAAGTGAGGTCCGTACCTCCATTACTGCAATACCCATTGCGCACAAAGAAATTACACTCGGGCATCTTCCTCAGGTTATACTCGTGTAAGAACTCGCAGCTCTCGCCTTTCTTGCACAGGCCGCGCAGCCAATGCTTGCAGACCAGGTTGTTGAAATTGCTGTTGCTGTTGGGCGTGACATGGCGATCGGGACACGCATTTCCTAAGGGGCAGTGTCCTTGCAGGTATGCTTTGCAGATTGGCCGCGTGGGCGGGATCCCAAATCGATGTGAGGCAAGCAGGAATGGGCTGAAGGAGAACGTGTAGCTGGGATTCTGGTGCGTGAGGATTTGGCGGGCGAGGTCGTGTGGACCTGGGCCCGGAGAGATGATTTGCGTATCCATCGTCTGATTCAAGAATGTGTTTTGTGTAGCGCTGTTGTTGATCTTGCGATGGTACCTCAGGTAAGGTACCTTAGTTGAAGTTGGCGGTTGAGAGAATTCAGGGAGGTTGATGTAGCCTCGCTTAGTAATCGGTTCTGGAGGCTACGACTTTCTTCTCCGGGAGACGTATTTACTCAACCTCCTCTCGGATCAATATAACTTTTGAATACTTTGCTGTCCATTCTCTACGTCGGGAGACGAGACTCTTTGGGTTCTTGATTTCTTGTATGATTTGGATACTTGGAAGAACCCTGTGCCTCTTCCTCTTCTGGGTGCCTAACTACAGCTCTGCTCTCGACGAGTCCACCTCTATAAGGGATGAAGAGAAAGCAAGTATTCTGTGGTCAAACTCGTCCGTAATACCACCCCGGGGTCATGTGGCATGTTTATTAATCATAGCAATTACCCACTCCATGCAGTTTCTATGCAGTTGGGGCTTAAGAGGCACAGCAGCTCCCGATTCTAATGCACGCACAATCGATGCTGGCGCCTGCAGGAGCAAGATATCCCCATAAGCTCAAGCTTCGACCAGGCATGGCGGGAAGCCTAGATGATGTGTCACGAATCACGGACTCGCGGCATCTCTAGTAAGCGTTTTTCCAGGATACACGGCTGCTCTTCTGCAGTCTTGCAGCGGGACTCCAGACGAAAAGAATAGCGGTGAGGTGGTAACTTTGTGATTGATCAACTCACGGCTCTTTTGAGGATCTCGCTGGTGACCGAGAAACAGGTCATCTGAAGGCTCCCTGTGACTGGCTTGGGGTTCTGGTGCTGGCCGAGGCAACAGGAGCCAGGCCTAATGAAGTTATATTTGTCGGCATCATTTGTCGGCCTGTGAGAATCGGGACTGTTGGAACTTGGAGAGAAGAGGACCCGGCGCTCTGGATACTTTGCTGCAGATGCCGATATGAAAAGAGACAAATGCTATTATTATCCTGCTTTCTGCCCCCCGGTTGCGGCAAATCGATCGACCTCGTTGCTATCTCGATAAACATATGATCATCTGGCTGGAGCCTCGTCTTGATCAATGCTGAGGCCGGCACATTGTTTTGAGGATTTCTAAAGTCCGAGGAGGCCACGCTCCTGCGTGTCACCGGACACCTATGCACATCAATACGGTGATGGGCGGGGATAGGCCGTCTATCATCATCCGTCGACTCCATCCCGCCTTACAACCCTGACTGGATCATGAATCCTGATGGGGCCAGTTGTCAAATCCATATCCGTTCTATACCAACTACTAGCCTTTTCCTAGATGCTCGAGATCATCAGTGTTCACGACAATGCATCGTTCGTCCCCACTACTTCCACCCTTGAAACTCAATGCACCTCCGAGCATTTAGCCCACGGGACCGGTCTCTCTTGCATAAGCAATAGATATCCCTCCTCAGTGCTTACTGTTGTGTAACAGCTAGCTGCTCTCCATAAGCACAGCTCTTCCCTCACTGCGTACTGTGTACACAGTAGAAATTCACCGGCTACTCCACTTGTCCACATCTCCGGAAGCCATTGAATCCGTGCTTGGCTGCGATGCTCGTTGGGTTGGGGTACCAACTCGAGGCTATCCATATCAGAGCAAATCCACATCTTCTTCGGCTGTTCAGGTACAGCGTATGCAGCAGAGGCAGAATCGGGAATGGCTCTCCTCCCCCCTTTCCTAATCGTTAACTCAATGCTGTTGATAGTTCCGGTTTTTGGGCTCTTTCTTGTTCCTCCCCACCCACAAACGCATCATCATCGAGCTGCCACTCTTGTATCTTTTCCAAGTAAATGTTGCTATACTTTAGTCTATGGGAAGGATCTGTATTGTGATTGGCCCTCCACGGCTATGGTCGTTGACGTGAGCAGGTTGTTGATCCATCGCATGGAACCCCTCCTCGGTTGTTGTCTCTCTCGTACCAATCCCTCGGTATCATCATCAGTCACTTGCTTTTTCGTTGCTTGTTGGCATTCAGCCTCGCGGCAAGGGCAATCTCCCGCTTCTGCATTTTGGTGATACCTAGCCCGGGAAATTGGAAATCCAAATCGATGGGATAAGGCCATGCAGATTTATTCTTCGATCCCCTCTTTTTCACGGCCTAGAGAGTAGATGTTCAGAGGAGATAGAACATTGAATCAGTGAATCGTTCGCTCTGAGTGATTCTACGATGGCTTACTTTGGCCCTGTGCCTCCGCCGATACCATGGGATTCAAGGTTCCAGTGGACTCAGCCTAGGAGGCCCTCCCAGCCTGCAGTTGCAGAGAGCATCTCAAACCTCATGTTTAAGAACGCAGTGTACTATCCCAACTATCGAGTGTATCGAGGGGAGACTCCTGCCTCGATGAACTATAATTGTATCAGTCATGTTTTCTATGCCTTTGCTCATCTATCCCCCGATGGTGGCATTTTTGTGAGTTCCTCAGCGTTTGTATATCCTCAAGCTGATCGTTTCTAGTTGAGCGACGAGTGGGCCGATGCACAGATGGAGGTCGATGGATCCAGAGCCGGTTGCCTAGGCTCGTTCACGCGTCTCAAAAGGCAGCATCAACACCTGCAACTCATCATATCCATCGGCGGAGGGGGCGCCTCCCAGAATTTCGCGAGTGTAGCAGCCAGTGCAGCAACACGAGACAACTTCGGACGTTCTGCAAAAGGACTCGTAGACGCATCTGGCTTCGACGGCATTGACAGTACATCCCCTCCCTCCTCGTCTCGAGTCTACACTAATGTGAGACAGTCGACTGGGAGTATCCTAACGACGTCGAACAAGGCCGCAACTTCCTCGCGCTCCTCGCAGCCATCAGGCTACATCTCCCAGACGACCGCTATCTACTCACGGCAGCACTTCCCGCTGGCCAATGGGCGCTCCAGAATATCGATTTATACAAAGCGCAAGACTACCTCGACTTTATCAACCTCATGGCGTACGATTTTGCCGGTCCTTGGTCCCCAACTTCCGGTCATCATGCTCAGCTCTTCCCAGGGTCGGCTGGTGAACCATCGGGGAGTACGGCGGTTGAATACGTGATATCGACGGGCTTCAGAGCGCAGAAGATATTGCTAGGTGTTCCGGTATATGGACGTTCATTTCTAGGAGCCACGGGGCCGGGACAAGCATACAGTGGGACTGCAGGCGAAGATGGAACGTTCGAATACAAGGACCTACCAAGACCCGGTACGGAGGAGATTATCGACAGGCGTGTGGTAGCCGCTTTTTGCACAGGTGGTGATGGTGGGTTCGTTACGTACGATAATCCGGAAACAGTGAAGGTTAAAGCTGGTTATTGTCGAGAGAAACGACTTGGCGTAAGTTGCTTTCTTGCTTGCCGATATGTGGTGACTAATGATACTATAGGGACTATTCTACTGGACTGGTACTGCGAATGCCCCTCCCGGTCCCAGGAGCTTAGTATCGGAGGGCTTCAAGGCGCTTCATAACGCGTGACTGATGGCTGTTCGAAAGTGTCTTTGTATTTGTACGGATGGACGTATGGCCTCATTGATCAGAGTATATGACAATAAGATGCCTTTGGGAATCAGGGATACAACATGCAACGGTTGGGTACGAAAGGGGTTAGCTTGTCATGGTCAGGGTGACAAACGAAAGCACGGGAAGATCACCCGGAACGCTGTCCGCAAAGTGCGAGGATATGAAGGACGTTAATTTAACCTCATGTTGCACAGTATTTCTCTGGGACGGTGGATTGGCTATTACTATAATAAGAGGGGCATATAATCGTTTTGTTTCTATAAACGGTAGAGGACCCGCCCACAACAGCATGATAGCAAAACCCCTCTGCTTACCTTACATGTAAGGGCCTTTTGCCTCGGCTGTTCTTGAGCCCATTCTTCGCTTCACTACAACATTTCCAACATGACTGATAAACCCAGCACCTAGTCGCCAGCTATCTGTGGAAATCGATGGTTCGGCCTCTGTTCATGAGCCTCGACAATCATCATGAGAAGATGAGGTTGACCACCGATTTGCAAAAGACCAAGCGAATCCAAATGCGAGTTGTGAGATTTTCCACTCGAGGATAGTCGGCCTGGAATCTAGGCCGCAGTATAATCTGGGCTGTTGTGATTATTCTCGGTCAAGGAGCTCTCGTGACGACCGTAGCTGTCCTCGTGATTCTGAGTCTCAACGTCTCTTTTCCGTGACCAGGTCACAGCTCAGAGTAAGTCTTCAAAGCAAAGAATTGTCTCGGATCAGCCGCCTCAGACTTATCGGCCCGCTTTATCATTCATACATCGTTAATGCGACCTTTATTAGTCAAGGGATCAGCGTAATGCCTCCAGTAAGAGGAAGTAAGGTCTCAGTTTCTCTGGCTTCGAAACCTTAGTACAACGTTACCCCAAGTTTGAGTAAAACTCCTCGAGACAGAGGTCTATGTGATTGCGGGGAAATGGACATACAAGGATTATGATCTGTTTCCCTGAAAAAATCGAACTTTCCTTTTCATGTTCTGGCATCCATCACTTTCATACTCTCCAAGTCGTGGATCAGAGGACTGATATCCTTGACGTATGTTACTTCTCGTGATGCAATCTCTGTGGTATTTAAGAATAAGGTTAAGATCTCTTGCAGCCCCCTATGTTGTTCTTTCTCTCCAAATCGTAATATGCTCGGACCCAGAAACTGGGCCTCATAACCTCTTTATGTCCAGAGAACCAGCTGGAGCATACCACAATTTCCTACCTTCATCTATCTACCTATCGAGTATACTTATTATTGTGACTTTTCAGCCCATCACCACTTCTCATCAAGAAGCTGTCCGATAAAAGGTACTGCAGCACACGGTGCACACCAAGACTCGGCAGCTACGACTATGTGTTCTGTTTCAAACGCAACCACAACGACTCTGAGCGTTGCTCTTGTAAACCAGACAACCTCCAGCAACGTATATGCTTATATCACTGGTCAAGCAATCAATAACAACAATGCTCTGGTCCTCCTTGAGTCAGATGGAAAGACGCTCTATTATCCCACTTCGCCGTCCTCGGCGGGAACCCCATTAGCCGTCGACTGCGGAATCCCCCTCGGCGCCCCAGGCTCGACAACTAATGTCACGATCCCTCAAATTGCAGGGGGGCGGATATGGTTCTGCATCAATGACACCCTGACATTCCTCCTCAATCCGGGACCAGGTCTCGTCGAGCCATCCGTCAGCAATACGTCGGACCCAAATTACAACAAGACCTGGGATTTCTGCGAGTTCACCTTCAACAGTAGTCAGCTCTTCTCAAATATTACCTATGTGGATTTTGTGTCTGTGCCGATAGCTCTGACACTGCTCAGCACTTCTGGTGCCTCACAACACGTATCCGGGATGCCAGCTGACGGTCTCACTACTGTGTGCAATGGCTTGATCGCGCAAAATGAGAAAGATGGTGCTGGATGGGATCAATTGATTATCTCCTCTGCCAGCGGGCCTCTCAGAGCGTTGAGCCCCAACACCGGAATCGTGATGAATCCGTCCCTGTTCTCCGGCTACTACGCTGACTATGTGAATAAAGTCTGGTCTCAGTATACTGATAAGTCTCTGACGGTCAATACACAAGCTCAGTGGGGCAACCTCACTGCTACTGTTGTGAATGGTGATCTCGATTTCTCTGGTGTCGGGACTTTCTCTCAACCTTCAGCAGCCGATATCTTCAGTTGCTCCACCGGCCCATTCGCAGGCGCTCCTAATAACACAGCAGAGATGGGGGCCATTACTGCTCGCTTGGCCGCAGCGTTCAATCGGTCTACACTGCTTCTCGATTCAAACCAGCCGGAGAACGAGGTCGTCTCGAGCTATTATTCGGTGTCGCCGACAAATCATTATGCGAGGATTGTGCATGCGGCCAACCTGGATAAGAAGGGGTACGCATTCCCGTACGACGATGTGGGACCAAGTAATGGCGTCGATCAATCTGGGGCCGTGAGTGATGGAAGTCCGGCATTGTTCACCGTTACGGTTGGAGGAGCCAACGCTTCTGTGACTACAGGTGCGACGACCAGTCATGCAAAGGTCTGTTCAAAGCTGGTACGGGAAGTTGAGCTGCAGTGGCGGATGCTGTCGGGCCTGATTATTCGGTTTATTCGAAGGTCAGAATGATATCTTCTTCGTTGCGTCTCTCCTTGGATGCTGTGCGGAGGAGGTTGTCGTTGGATGTCAGAGATGGGAGAGGATTGACTCGGGCACTCCTTAATATCCTAAATTGATTCATTGAAAGTACATATAGCCATCTGCTGCGAAAGCGTGAACAAGAGCAGGCAGCATAAAACTCCAAAAGGGTATTCTTGTGAATTGTATTCGAAACCCATTTACCCAGGTAGTACATGACTTGAAGATTGAGGGCAGCTTACATTCAGTGCGGGACATCTACCTTGATTTATACAGGGGAATCTATTCATCAAGTTCCACATCACCATCACTATTACCATTACTGCTGTCATTGTCGTGGTGGAGTGAATGGGGTGTTGGAGTCAATAAATAACCAGGGACAGAGGAACGTCTTCAAAGTAGACTAATGCTCCTCTGTAAGAGCCATGATTATAGGGTTTGCCTTTGGAAGATATGAAATAGAATCAATCTCCAGATTTGATGTCTGTTGGAACTTGGACGGTGGTGGCCAGATTAGGTCTAGGCCGATCGTGGTAATCTGAGCTAGCCTGTTTGTGGAAACATCCTACGAGCACCAAACCACGGGCGTGAAGCGGGGGCGGGGCAAAAGTCATTGGCCAACATCATCTTCGTGCAAGGAACCGACTCTACTTTTTCCCTTCAACGAACATCATCATTACCCGTCGACCTCGCTTATTTTCGACGGTGGAGTGCGAAATGGATTTGCACTCGGAGGACCCGGATTTCTACGACTGCGAAACTTGGAATCTGATTCATCTCAGTCGGCTGTCTTGCCTGTCTTCTTGCTGTTGCGAATAGATATACGGTTCACCTTTCATGACCGACACTCCTAGCAGCAGCCAACCGGACAGCAGAGAGGCCGAGATCGTGTCTAGACACTTGCCTCCAGGTTACTCAGCTGGACATGATGTTGTGGCAGACGATCATGGCGCTGCCGCTGGATCGGCGGCGGATTCTGAAGGGCCGGGACAGGAATCATCCCTAAAGCTCCAAGGCGGGGACATGCACCGCGATCTCTTCAAGATCAACGCGAAGGCCAAACTGCTGCAACGGCGATCCAGGACTTTCTCTCATCCAGACCCGCCGAGATCTTACGGCAGTGCGCCGGATTCCTCTTTTCACAATGGGACGTTCTCAGCAGTCGAGCAGCGTGCCCCGGGGGGGTTCCGTCGCCAGTTTATCCAGCAGCAGCGGGGTCGGCTGGAGAGTGTCACGGCGCCGGTGACGAGGAACTTTGTGGCATTTCTTGATCTGTACGGCGGTTTTGCAGGAGAGGATCTGTATGAGTCCGAGGATGACATCGCGGTCGAGTCTGGGGAGGACGAGGAAGCCCAAGCGGCGGGCGGCGAAAGAACGCCTCTCCTGCGCCGTCGAAGGAGTTCGAAAGCGAGGAAGCCGGGTGACGCGGGGCAGATGAGGGCTTTCTTCACGCTACTCAAAGCCTTCGTGGGGACGGGGATCATGTTCTTGCCAAAGGCTTTCAGTAATGGTGGGATCCTCTTCTCTTCCATTGCGATGGTGGTGGTCTCCATATTGACGTGCATCTGTTTTCACCTCCTCCTGCAATGCCGGAAGCGATATGGAGGCAGCTATGGTGATATTGGAGAAGAGATAGGGGGTCCCAGGATGAGGTCTTTGATCCTCTCATCGATCACGATCTCGCAGATTGGATTTGTCTGCGCCTGCATCATCTTCACAGCAGAGAACTTCTCGTCCTTTTTGGATGCCGTTACTCCCACAACCACGAGGCCGTTGTCGACGGCCGCCTTTATTGGCCTCCAGCTCCTCTTGCTCATCCCCTTCTCTCTGATCCGCAACATATCCAAACTTGGGCCCGCGGCTCTCGTGGCCGACATCTGTATCATGCTAGGCCTGTCCTACATCTACTACTACGACATCTCCAGTCTAGCCAGTCGAGGCATCCACAAGAGCGTAGTGCTGTTCAACCCAGCCCAGTACACGTTGACCATCGGCTCCTCCATCTTCGCCTTTGAAGGCATCGGACTGATCCTCCCCATCCAATCATCCATGGCCGAGCCCGACAAGTTCTCCCCGCTCCTCTACCTCGTCATGCTCCTCATAACGCTCGTCTTCACGTCCGTCGGCGCCCTCAGCTACGCCACCTTTGGCTCCACCACCATGACGGAGCTGATCTCCAACCTCCCGCAGTCCGACCCCCTCGTCAACGCCGTCCAATTCCTCTACGCCTTCGCCGTCCTCGTCGGCACCCCCGTCCAGCTCTTCCCCGCCGTCCGCATCCTCGAGGCGCGCCTCTTCGGCCACCGCTCCGGCAAGTCCGACCGCGTCACCAAGTGGCGCAAGAACGCCTTCCGCGCCGCCGTCGTCGCCGTCTGCGGCCTCGTGTCGGTCGCCGGCGCGAGCGATCTCGATCGCTTCGTCGCCCTCATCGGCTCTTTCGCTTGCGTGCCGCTCGTCTATATCTACCCGGCGCTGCTGCATTACAAGGGTGTTGCGACGTCGCAGGCCGTCGTCGTGGGAGATGTGCTGTTGATGGCGCTGGGCTTGCTGGCTATGGTGTATACTACTATCGTTACGGTGGCGCAGTGGTCTTAGTTGGCCTGCTCCCGTCTCCGCTGGAATTCTATAATTACTGCACCTACACCTACACCTGCTGCTGTTAGATGTTTTCGTTGTTGCTCATTTCTCATATAAAGTACCAAGGAACTAGAAATCAGGAACCCGGAAAATTAGAAACCGGAAATATAGAATAAAAATAACGTGTGATACATATACATACCTTACCTTACCTTACCTATCTACACATACCTACCTACCTAGTTACCTATCTATCTATCCATAATGAATTGATCGAAGCAAACAAGCAAGCAAAGCAAAGAAAACAAAAGAAAAGAATTCCATTTTCAATTCAATATAAAAACTACCTAATACCAAAGCCCTACTCAAAGCCAACTAACTACCTTAACTAACTAGCTACTTTGATACCATACCATACTCTTCTAATATAATATAAAACTTCTGCAATGCCCTACTACGCCCACTCTAAACGCCAGTCCTGCCAGGATTTCTAATATTGATGTGATGGGGGGGAGGTTATTATTAAAGGACTTCACACTTTGCTCTTGATTCCTCATTCCCTTTGAAAGGCTTCCTTTTTTTCTTTTCATCTCTTGAGGAGCTTGGTTGCGTGGGTTTGCTTTTACAAGCAAAATGTGATATGATATGATATGATATGATAGGGAGTGGTAATGGTTGTGAAGTAAGGTAGCTGATGTAAAGTGCCACGCACGCACAGCACGGGTCTACGCGAGCGGCGCCCCCAAGCTCTCCATCTCACGCACGTACTTCTCCCAATTATCGATGATGCCCTGGTAGAAATCCGTGTGGGCGTCGGCCAGGGCGCCGAACTGCGTCTTGAACTCGATGCGCTTGATGCGCTCGAAATCGGCCACCTCGCGCACCACCTCCTCGTCGAAGGCCTCGGTCGTCTTCTTGGCCTCCTCGACCTCGCGCGTCAGCTCGTCGATGCGGAGCTCCAGCCGCCGGAGCCGGTCGCGCCGCGACTGCTCGTGGTCCACGCCGCGCACGTCTTCGATCTTGCTGCGGATGAAGCCGCCCGGTCCCGTGAGGCCCGAGGACCCGTGCGAGGCGGCCAGCACGTCGCGGTCCGTCGTCGCCTTGGTGAGGTATTCGGTGAGCTGTTCGAAGTCGAGCTGTTTCTGCTCGCGCGCCTTGAGGAGGTTCTTGAGCGCCATACTGTACGCCTGCATGTCCCGCAGACTGCCGAGGTAATCCTGGTCCGTGTGCTCCTTCAGCAGCCTGATGCCGCCGCTCATCTCCTCCACGCTGGCGGCGAAGGCATGCACGCTCTGCTCCACCCCCGGCTCCAGTTGGACGAGCTTTTGGAACTGCTCGGCCAGGTCTTTGTAATCGGTCTCGAGATCACCCTCGCGGCGAGCGACGCGGACAATGATCTTCTCGACGTGGCCGAGGTCCTCATCCAGCTTGTCTGATTTCTCCCGCACTTCGATAAATCGTCTGTCAGGCTTGTGCACCTTGGTAAAGGCGTTGATGAAGGTATCGGTGAAGTTATCGAAGACGCCCGTGGAGCCCTGGTCTGATGCTATCGAGCCCCGCTGGGGACGAGTCCGCATTGTAGCATTCCAGTCAGTGCTTTCGAGGAAGATTATAAGCAGGGAGCTCCTCCGCAAGATGGGGTGCAGGGCTAGTCGGGTAAGGAAGCGTCCGAGAGAGTTGGCTCGTCGCTGTGTGAAGTCTGGGCCGAACCGGTCGCCCCGGACGTATTCCATCTTGTGCTTGTCTGGTAATGGCGGAACCGCACATGCTGGGTATTCTTTGGTAAGTGATTTGTAGAGAAAGACGAAATCCGTGAAGCGTCTGCGGACAGTCGTTACTGGTTTCTGGAACGAGGGGAATGTGGTCTGGAAGGGTCAGCTTGAGCTATAGCCACAACACGGATAGACAGACAGTTGTAGTAACAAGATACGACACATAAGCATCTTTTGTCCCATCGTTCTCCTTCATAGGCTGCGTGACTGTGCATTCCAACGTCCCTCCTTCCAGCCCCGCGACGTCCAGCGCATCCGCGCCTCGCCCCGGCTGGTTTACAGGCGGGCTGCTGTGTCTCCTCCCGTTTGCACCTCCTGCGGGCCCAGCTTCGCTCCGGTGACTGGAATACACATCGTCGAAATCATCGTGCTCCATCTTCCTTCTGGTTCCCTGGAGGAGGGTTCAGTGATCGAGCTGCGCGGGGCAGGGGAGCTGGTGGGTGATTGGACGGTGATGCCTCAAGATATACAGACAGGGTGGGCTGGATCGGCGATGCTATTCACACTTGTTCATCTGTATGTGTCTCTGGCAATCATTGACATTGATCAATGCAACAAGAGATGTGTACGTGCTGTCAAGAGTGATTGAATTCCAAGCTCGCCGGCGCAGGCGTCATCGCAAGGGACGGCGCTAGCTAGCGAGAGGCACAAGCTCTAATCCTTGTTTGTTTCGCGTTCAGATCAGATCCATCTCCTCCACACCAACTCTCTTGAAATTCACAAATTCCCACATTCACAGATGGTAAGGTGCTCTGTTTCCATTGATGTTTTTTCTTCTTGTTGGTTTGAGTCTTTTACAATACAAATGCTGAATTCAAGATGATCCAGCGATCTAGTGGTTTTTCTCTAATTTCGTCCCGATCCAGTCCCATCCACTGCCATGCATGACCCCGTCCCATGATATTCTGACATACAACTACAACAAAAGAAAAGTTATGAAGTTACATTAAGCGGACTTCTTAGTCTCTGGTTCCTGCTTCGCCTCAGCAGATTCCTTCTCGGCGTCAACTGCTTCGTTGACTTGGCTCTTCCCAGCAGCATTGGCTGCGGCCTCCATTCTTCGTTCTTCCTTTTCATCAATGTCTTCGTCGTCGCGTGGAGTAGCTCTACCCGACTCCTTGTTCTCTTCATCTTGCTCGTTCTCCTCCTCAATGAGTTCCTGTTGCTCCTTGAGAACCTCAAGACGCTGCTTGTTGGTTGCAGCTCCCTCGGCGTTGTGCACCTCAAGTTCAATCTCGTGGAACAACTCCTCGGGAATGGATGACAGGACACCGGTGAGGGCCTCGATCTGGGTTGAGAACTCGGAGTCTTTGCCTTGAGAGTACATGAACGCGTTACTCAAGACCAGGAGCGTTGAAGGTACGCCATACTTGAGTCTCAGGTCGAGCCAGGTCTGCAAATCTTCCCGTAGTCGGGCTGGAGAAACACCGTGGGTTCGGATACCACGGCTAAGACATGCAACCTGGAGTTCTGGGACGGACAAGCTATCAACACCTTCGAAGCTGATTGCCCGATCATCGCGCTTGATCTGTCTCATGCGGTGGCGGATCTGGTATCGAAGCATCATGTCCGTCCCGAAGGTGTTGAGATTCATGTACTTGCACATGCCGACAAGTTGTGGTCGGGACAGGTTGTCCAGTGTCAGATCATCCTTGAAAAGCTTGCAGACCGTGATGACATCTGAGGCTGTTGGCGCTTCTCCGGTTGCTCGAACTTTACGGAAGAACTGCGTGAACTCCTCCCTCTGAGCAGTGGCGGGGCTCAGAGGCAACCCAGTCTCCTTCAATGTGTTCCGAAGAAAGTTACCGACTTCCTTTCGAGTAGCTCTCAGACTGGTGGCCTTGGAGTCCTTTGACTTCTGCCCCTCGTAGGTGCTAGGGAGCATGTTGGGGAACAGCTTCAAAGCCACGGGAAGTAATAATTCGGCGAAAGGAACCAGGACGAAGACCGAGAATGGTACTAGCCGACCGATATCCTGCACGGTTCTCCGCAGTTGCCTGTTCTCTCTCCGACTGAGTTCATACCCCGCCGCCATCTTCACAGCTAAGCGGGTACTGATCCTGACTTCCGTCGCCAGCAATTTTGTGCCGTCCCAGTAATGCTGGGCCTCCTTTTTGATCTTTTGCATCAGTGTCAACTTCTCCTTCTTCCCGTCCTTCTTTTCCGCCACCTTGTCGGTTTGACCAGCTAACTCAGATAGTGTCATGGCTTCGGTGGCGTCTGTCTTTGAGACCGCTGTGGCCTTGTCGGTGGGGACAGCCTCGATGTGGCTCTCCTTTTCCTTGCGTGCGGCCTCTTTGATTTGCGCACTGGTGGCGATGGAGTCTGGGAGAGGCTTTTTCGCCTGCTCAGCATTGAATCCCGGGGGCGGGGCGGTGGGAGGAGCGCCAGACGTATGGGTATCCGTTGAGACACCTCTGCGGGGAATCAGGATGGCCAAGGCCGGCATCTGAGATGGAAGGGATCGAGCATTGCGGCGGAGATAGGCAGCATATGCTGACTGAGGACCGAGGGCAGAGCGAGGAAGCGAGCGGCCTGGAATACTGTTAGAAAAAAGAAAGGGACGCAAGATGCAGCAAGACGGGGCTACGTACCTCCATTCACGAGCGAGGACTGTGCTGCATTGCGGATGATTCTCGATGAGGCGCTCATCATTGATGACGAAGGCCCGTAGAAGCGGACGGAAACAGGGACCAGGGAAGGGGGAGGATGAAGTCTTGAGAGAATGTGGGTGTTCAGTGATGGTAATGTAATGGGGAAGATTAAGTGGCCAGCATGGTATGTGAAGGGGGGGGGAGAGTAGGAGAGAGATGAGAGAGTTCGAGATGGAAGAAGAGAGAAGAGAGAAGCTTACTGATCCCGTCTTGATGGAACAAGTGTTTTGTTTTCCTGAGGATTGAAGCTACGAAGACACGAAGACACCGGCAGCGCACTTTACAAGGGCCGGCCAGGGATTTGCCGACGGCCACGTGACTGCGCGCCCCACCGTCACGTCATGTGCGGATCGAGGGTTTTGCAGGTTTCGAGGGTTTCTGATTGGTATTTTCAATGTTTTTATATATGTACATATATATATATATCATGATCAGTGAGATGAAGATATAATCATGATATATATATATCACTGATCCAGATATCTATCTCTGATTATATATCTCTGATCATGATATCAAAGAGCTAAACACGAGAACCGAAGAGTGCCTCAACAGCCAAGAGTCTCAGTCAACATTTCCCCTGGCGCCGCTAAAGTCCGATGCGGCGGTCACTGGTCAAGCTTCCCCCGCAGACACATGTTACTGGGACTGGGACACGGCTTTATGCGGATTTTGCTTATGCGAATTGTTGAAGGTTTTATTATTGTATTATTTTATTATTATTTGACTATCTTCATCATCTTCTTCCCAGCTTACTATATCCTTCAATCGCCCTCTCTCCACTCCCCACTCTCCACTCTCCACAATCTCGCCATATCCATCTCCATCTTCCCATCTTTCCCTCTTTCTCTTTCTCTCTCTCCTCAATCCAACCCTCTCCTCCTCCTCTCCAATTGCTTCTCCCCCACCATGACTCTGTCTTGACGCCCCTCGGCCTTCAGTATTCCCACGTACCAGGCCTGTATCACCACCTACAAATCCTTGTCTGCCAGGCGCAGGCGCTCCTCGCTCCTCGACGGACCCCCGACCCGGACGTGAAAGGGATTATCTTCTCCTGTCCATCCGATTCATTCTTCCTTGTTTTACTACACATTATCTACCCTCTCCATTCGCTGAACACAAGAGCCCACGAGAGCGCGCCCCGATGAGCCTCAAGAGAGCGGCGCGAGTCATCCTCATCGGCGCCCCAGGAGTTGGCAAAGGCACACAGTCGGAACGACTTCTGCGCCGCTTTCCCCAGCTCTCAGCCATCAGCTCCGGAGACCTGCTCAGGGACAATGTCAGGAACAGGACGCCCCTCGGTACGATAATATCATTCATTCATTTTCTTCTCTCCTATATCTCCCTCCGATATCTAAAACATTTCCCCAGATTTTCGCGCTTTTCCCCCACATTTTGCTAACAGGAAAAAATCCAGGCATCAAAGCCGAATCCGCGATGCGCGCCGGCACCCTCGTCCCCGACGACATGATGGTGCGTTTGATCCTCAACGAGCTCCAAACCCGCGGCTGGCTACTCTCGCCCTCCTCACCCTCTCCATCGCGCCTCACTCTCTCCAGCAACTCCTCCTCTCCCTCCTCCTCCTCCGACTTCATCACCCCCACCGCCCTCTCCGCCGCCTACCCCACGCCCCAACCCTCCGACCTCCCCAGCGCATCCTTCATCCTCGACGGGTTTCCACGCACCGCCGCGCAAGCCGCCGCCCTCGACACCGCCATCCCCATCAACCTCGTCGTGTCCCTCTCCACACCCCTCGAGATCATCCTGTCCCGGATCGCCGGCCGCTGGGTGCACGCCCCGAGCGGCCGCGTCTACAACACGACCTTCAACCGGCCCAAGGTCGACGGCCGGGACGACATCACCGGCGAGCCGCTAACCAAGCGCGACGATGACGACGAGCACGTGTGGCGCGAGCGCTTGCGGAAATTCGATGAGACGAGTAGGGAGCTGGTCGACCATTATCGAGCGAAGGGCGTCTTGTGGGAGGTGCAAGGCGCGAGTAGTGATGAGATCACGCCGAAGCTGTTTAGGGAGTTCGAGAGGAGGTTCGTGGAGTAGTTAGGAAGGTAAGGGGGGAGAGCGAGGTCGGAGAGGAGAGGAGAGGAGAGAAAAAGGGGGGGGAATCACGTGTGTACGTTATCATTGTACTATAAAGGTAACCCAGGTCGCCGGCGTTTTCGATCCTCGCTGGATGGATGTTATGAACATCCGCCTCCATACCCCTGAAATGATATGATGAGATGAGCTCTCTAGATCCAATGAGTTTTATCATTTTATACCATAACGCCGCCGACTTTGTTGTGACGAATACATAAAAATCCAATTGATATCGCTTCATTCCTTCCCCCGCCCCAGCCCTCTCTCATTCTCTTTCCAATACTCATGGATCTTACAAGATCAACAACCCCTTGTCTCCATCTCCATTTCTATTTATTTATTTCTGTCCTTTCTCATTACGCCCCTCGGCCGCCTCTTCCGCCTCTTCCTCTTCATCTTCATCCTCACCGATTACATGATGTCCCTCCTCCTCCTCCTCGTCGTCATCATACAGCATCTTCTCTCCCTCGCCCCCCTCATCCAGATACTCCGCCTCGCCCTCCGACTCGTCCTCGCTGCCCGCCGCGAAGGCATCGTACAGCTCGCCCGCGCGCCGGCGGCCGCCCTGCTTAGCGCCCACGGCGCGGCCTTGCCCGTTCAGGTTCTCCGCCTCGTCTTCGTCCAGGAGGTCGAATTCCCACTCGTCGCGCGGGTTGTTGCGGAGGCGCTTGCGGCGCGCCAGGTAGAGGTAGACGCCGAGGCCGATGCAGAATGCGAGGATGAGGCCCGCGGCGCCGTAGATCCAGATTTGCGTCTTGGAGGAGACGCCGAAGGTTGGGAAGAAGGAGGGCAGCCAGCTGGAGGAAGTGCTGGTGCTGGCTGCTTCTTCTTCGGTCGAGGTTGAAGAGGGGGTCGTCTCTGCTTCGGTTTCGGTGGGAGTTTCTGTAGGTTTGGTTTTAACAGGGCGGTCTGGGTAATCGGACGGGTTGCTCGCCAGGTCCGAGCTGGTCGGGGCTGGGGTGACTGCTTGTGTCGTGCCTGTGATCGTTGTCGTGGCGATTACTTCGTCATGGTTGTCATCCTCGTGTTCCTCTGGCATGGCAAGCGGGACTGCTTTGGCTGGATCGATGGACTCGCCCCAGAGTTTAAGGTGCCAGTCGATGAAGGTTCCGTTGAACTCATTTACTATCGTGTCCTTGACAACGATGGTCCAGGTTCCAATTCCGGATTCGCCCCTGTGTGTTGTTAATAAGGATTGTGTGTAAGTTAGAAGGAGCAACTGACCAGTGAACGACGGACATGAATGTCCAATCATTGTAGCCCGCATTACTGGTATCAAATTTACGCGTTGCAGAGAGATGGCTGATCACCCTATCAGGACTCACAAGGTCCACACTCAGATCGCCTCTCCTGCCATGTTCAACGTTCATGGTAACCGTGACATGCTCGAGGCGCTCGAGATTGGCCTCCTTCAGCATGTCTTCAGTGACTTCAAAAGAAACTGCAAGTCCATCATTTCCCTGGGGAATATCCTGATTGACATGAATCCAGGGAGAATAATACCAAGCTTGAGGCTTGACATGCTCGAATGTCTTCGCGGCCTCAATGGTTGCCCAGCTGTCGATCTTGCCATATCCAAAAGTGTGGCTGAAATGCTTTCCAATGGACGTTTGTTGCCAATCGCCAGAATCCAAGTTGATTGGTACTGCAGTTTGCATAACCAAATATTGCATATCTCGCCATGTGAGATCTGGCCTGATCTGTAAGACCAAAGCGAAGATACCGGCTGCAAGAGGTGCGGCGGCAGAGGTACCGCCGTGGCCGTTGTAGCATGCATTTGTGCCCACATCAGTGGTGTGCTATAAGTCTGTTAGTAAAATGCAGATATAACTGAATCAACCACTCACAATAGCATCATTGCTACCACTGCTGTACGTCACAACTAGCTGAGCCGAGCACTTCTCGGAATAGTAAGGATGGAGCCCCTTTCTATCAACAGCACCAACCGTAATACTATAGATACTGTTGGTATACCCATCGAAATTGCAGTTGTCATCATTAGAAGCGCCATTTCCAGACGCAAAGACATAAATAGACCCCTTTCCGTCTCGTCCATTTTGAACAGCATTGAGCATTGCCTTTCTGATGAGAATACCCGGTGCATCCATGGTCCTTCCATCATCTGGAGGGCCCCATGAGCAAGAGTAAATCTGATTGCGCTGGTAGGCGTAGTTCATAGCCACAGCTTCATCGGCATCGCTGATCAACTTCGATAGGATTCGAATTCCAGCAACCTTCGAGTCATATGCAACTCCCACCCCACAGACATTGTTCTTCACTGCAGAAACCTCTCCAGCACAGCGCGTACCATGTCTGTCATCTGTTAATCTGGGCTTCGGTTCCAATGAATTGTCGTTGAAATCATAGGAACCTTCCGCAAAGTAGTTATCTTTCAGATCGTCACTGTACATATCCAAACCATCATCAACAATTGCCACGGTCGCATTGAAACCCGTAATTCCTTGCAGCCAAACATCCGTCACGTTGACATCGTGGCCGACCTGGATTGGATTGAACAAATGCCACTGTTCATTGAAGATAGGGTCTTCAATCCCAAGCCTTTTTGCGACCAATGTCTGCCTTTCAACGGCCGCTGGATCAGCCGTATCTTCTCGTTCTGCTACCGGAGACGGGAGTCCTTCGGGCCTTGGGGGAATCACGCCCCTTTTCTCCATTCGAGCTTTTACCTTCTGCTTCTGCGCAAACTTGACGCCATCGAGGACGTCCCAATCGCCGAGTGATCGTTTTCTTCTCCGTTCCTTCAGCGCCGTATGCACCACATCTTCCTCCTGTTTTTCGGTTGAGAAGATGTGGTGGTCTGCCAGCTCCCCAAGCTGACCTTCGTGGGTCAAGCCCAGCTTGATAGCCACCTCCGAAGGAGGGATCGCGGGATCAAGATGCAAGACATAGTAATCTTGTTTTTCGTAATCCCGACGAGGCAGATGCGCGGCGGATGCTAGGAAACCCAGACCAAGCAGGCCTAGCAGAGAGGAAAGCCTCATTTCGCGAATCGGGTCTCTAAACCGCAGCCCATGTATTAGAACCTAATGTCCCCTTGGGCGCTCGACCTTTCTTGGGATATTCAGGAACTGAGCATTGACGAGTTCCCTCGATATCGTAGAGTTTGTCCTGGCGTGAGACCGGGGGGGTTGCTGGTTGTAGAAGATGGATTCGACGGAACGGGGAGGGGGTTATAGTCGGGGTTGTGAGACCATCGTCTCGTCGCCACGTCGGAGGATAGTTATGCAGCGTAGCAACAGATGGCAGCCGTGTAGATGGGTTGTTCTGGATGTTGTCGAGCAGCGTAGTGGGACGTTGAGCTTTTGGGCCACAGCATAAGCTTAGGTGGCCTCGACAGGTGCCGTCTTAACAGTCGTAACAGTCTAAGCAGGGGACAAAGCCACGCTCGAGGGAGTCTTGGGTTTCGCCGCACACTACTACGGAGTACAGTAGCTCCAAGGCCAGGATTAGTATTCGGAGACCTCTTAGCGCTCGATGGGCTCCGACTTACCGGCAGATATACCGTGCGAGGACCTTGCATATGACAGATGGTGACAGGAGGTATGATGTAGATGACAATGGTGCGCGACGCTGTGGGTTCATCTGAAGCAGCGATTAAATTGTCCGTGGCGGCCGTGATTCAGGTTCACGATTCGAGTCCCTCGATCCACGGCTGCAACGGGCCTAGCGGCTTCCCGACGAGGACTGAATACAAGACAAGTGGGTGCCTGGATGCCTGATCTGTGCCTGACGAGTGATCCGCGATGTCTTGGCTGGGGACAGGAGCCACAAGGCCAACAAGACTATTGGGCGACGAGCTGGTCGTGACAGCATACGACCAACCTCCCGAGCTTGTATATAAAGTCTTCGAGGACGACCTGCGCGTCTCTGCAGAAACGGAGCTTGTTGTGCGTTCTCTGTGTGCAATGTTTACTCTTCACTGACCTTCATCATGTCCTTGCGACTGCTGCCCATCCCACCGCTCGACCACTGCTCCGTGAGTGACTGAACGCTTCACAAGCCTCCAACAGCTCTGCATATCCAAGTTGCAAACAAAGCAAAGCAGAGCAAGCAAAACAAAACAAAACAAAAGATCCAGTGCTCAATGCCGGCCTTCAACCTCTGCTCCTAATGCTCGATGGACGATTGAAATAAACAAGGAGTGAAAGAAGCTGGATCTCCATCTGCATTGAGGCCATATAGCTTGTACACGCTCTGCTGAACCAACTCTTCTTCCTGGCCAAAGCCCTAAACTCAGTTCCACACCTTTCTCCCAAAATCAACAGCCATCCACCTTCACCATGGAAGCCCCCTATGTGGGACAACCTCCTCCCCAAAAAGTAGGCCGAATGATGGCGGCCAAACGTGATGCAAACCCGACCCTGAAGGAGCCTCTTACGATCAATACGGACACGAAGGGCTACCGTCTGTCGGGCCAATCCTCCATATCGCAGTCCAGACAGAACAGGAACTCGACCCTGACAGAGGCGCCGACTGTTTCTACACAAAGCCCGTTCGTGTCGCCGACAGCTTCGAGCTTTCGTGGAGACGGGTTAACACCTCGACCTCCATCGTTTGGATATGCCGGAGTCGATTACAGCAAGGAATTTACGGACAGACGCCGAAGACGAGACTCGCGGAACAGAGAACAATACTTCGACGAAGTCCCACCCCCTGCGGCACCAGACGCCCCCAGACCTCCTCCGCCTACCAGCTACAAGCTGCCATACAGCAACGGGGCGTCCCCAACCTACCAAACTGCTGTTCGTCCAAGGTCGGCTCGAAGACCTGAAGGACCAATGAGTCCTGGCGAGATCCCCCAGGATTATATTTACGGTATGAGAGACGGATACAGAGGCACAGAGAGAACAGGTGGTAGTGGCAGGGGGGTGGGTACCGCATCTGGATGGAATCATGAGAGGTCGGAATACCTTGATGGGCCCCAATCACGGCCAAGGAACGCATCGATTTCAGAAGGGGGGGCACAACGACGTAGAGACTGGGCGCCAGACAGGTCCCCTCTACAGAGGCTAGAACGGACGCTAGACGGAATCACCAAGGAAGAAAAGCGAGCCCGTGCTGAGCAAGCTGAGCTTCTTGCAAGAGAGGCCAAATCTGATCGTGGAGATGAGCGAACAGCACGAACTTCTGTTCGTTTCAGGAATCGGCCTGTTGTGAAAGCGCCAGAGTCCAGCTCACAGCCGGGGCCCCAGACTGTACCTGAAGCTGGACTGGCCACGAACCCAAGCAGGAAACAAAAGGAGCAGCCACAACGAAGTGGTACTGTTGAAAACAGGCGCGCAGTTCCAGCTGATGTACCAATCCTTTCACCCACAAGCAGAGGTTTCGATTATCAACCGCAACAGAACGTTGATCCCCAGAAACCACAGAGCCGTCCTACTTCTCGACGCGGATCGAGCACTCATGAGCGAGCTGCCATACCAGCTGTAGGAGCAGCTGGAGTAGCCGCTGGAGTAGCTGCAACAGCATGGCTCTCGTCCCGCAGCGAAAGCAATAAGTTGCAGAATGAAGCACCTGGAGATCCCTGGATCAGTCGTAGAAGTAGTGCTGAGAAGCAATATCAGGAGGTCACTGCCCCGCGAAGACCGTCCGTCAACGACAGTTTTCAACAAATTGCGACCGGAGCGAGCCCTCCTAGGGGCACCGCATTCAGTAGTCATCCTCAAATCTCCAAAGACAAGCAACTTCCCTCATTGCCCCAGGAGGCGCTTACATTTGCAGAGCCTATTGGTGACAATGGTAACGTCGGGGTTGATGCTAAACCTACTCGGCGAGGAGACTCACGAAAAATTGAGCAATTGACAGGAGCTCAGGCACCCACCAACCAGCATCAGATGTACCGCAGTGGTTTAGGTGGCTCTGGAAGCCTTGCACGTCCTACTAGTCAACGCCAACCTGGAATGGCTCAACCTGCGACAGTCAACGGTGCCAAGAGCGCAATTCTTGCACCCAACAATGGAGATTATGTGCGAAGTTCGGATCGCCAAGGGCACCAAGGGGGGCATCACATCTCCAATATCTTTCATCCTGGGAGGCCTGCAGGACCAGGAGTCTATACCCCGAAGAAACGCCTGGATGAATGGAGAAAGGGTGGGGTTGTTCTGCTGGATGGAGCAATGCTCGACCTAGACGTGATGGAAAGATCGGAGGCAGAGAAGAACAAGGCTTGGTGGGAAGCAGGAAACACCGGTAGAAGGAGGAGCTCTACAACACAACGGAAAATAGAGGCTTACGATGGGGAATATGATAACACAAATGGTACAGTACCCGAAGTTCAACTTTTTGATTCAGCAAACAATTGTGAAAGGTGTATTTCTCAGCAGAACAAGCCTTCTTGGCTGCGAAGTCATGTTCAGTTTCTGGAAGGCCAGAGCAAGAGTAAAGCGAGAACACAGACTGTCATGGCCGCTCAACCTGAATCTTCAAAGTCGCTGGCATCTCGTGTTTTATCTCCCATTTTGTCTCCCGTTTTATCTCCTGTTTTATCACCTGAATCACCTGAATCTAATGACCCCTACATTCTAAAGCCTCATTTGCTAACCTGTCCGACGCGCCCTCATATAGCCCCTACAAGATTCACACCACCTTTGTTCCTCAAGAGTGGCCCGTTATTACGGTATTGCGGCATGCGTCGGGAAAGACGCCAAGGTCGTTATCCGCCTAATGTTCCGAGACCTGAGCGAGAAATATGGAGAGGAAGTGTGATGATAGTAACTGAAGACTCAAGGTCTTCTTACGAACTTGCGCCGACTCTTCGGCTATTCGTCCAGCCGATGGACCTTTTACCTCCTCCTCCAGCGCGTGTTGATGGGGAGGCTGGTGAGCTTGCTTCTGAATACATCGATCCAATTGCAGGTCTTCCCAAGGTTGGACGAGATGGCAGAACTCTATACGTTCGACCTGTAGACCATCTTAACGAGATGCAGGACTTATCCAAGGAGGAATCAGATCAGGGGATCTTTGAAACCCGCCCTACCCCACTCGATGGCATTAAAGATCCGAAGAAGGCTACGCGCAAGATGCCATATTACGATGGAGAGAAAGCCGGGAAGTACAAAGAAATCCGAGGCTTCCGACTGCATACAGAATACGGGGTTACCTTCTGGAGGTTCAACATTGAAATAGAACTTCGAGAGAAGCAACAACGTATTGCTTATCGAATCAATCGTGGCCCTGCGACTGGATTCTGGGTCCCGGCTCGTGACCAGGTCATGAACATCATGTTCTACAGCTGCAATGGTTTCAGCGCAGGAGTTGACCCTAACCAGTTCAATGGTCCGGATCCAATGTGGCGAGACGTTCTGAACACACACCAAACCCAGCCATTCCATGTCATGCTTGGCGGTGGAGATCAACTATATAATGATGCTGTCCAACACGAAACTGTACTATTCAAGCAATGGACTGAAATCAGAGATCAACACCATAAGCAACGTATGCCATTCACGCCAGAACTCCAGGAGGAACTCGAATTGTTCTACCTGAATCGATATTCAATGTGGTTCTCGCAAGGTTTATTCGGTTTTGCGGCCTCACAAATCCCAATGATCAATATTTTTGACGACCATGATATCATTGATGGTTGGGGGTCGTACCCTGATCATTATATGAGGTCGCCGATCATGTCAGGTCTGGGATCAGTCGCCTTCAAGTACTACATGTTATTCCAACACCAAAGTAGCATCGACGAAGGGGAGGACACTGAACCCAGTTGGATTTTAGGTACACATCCAGGTCCATACATTCCGGAGTTAAGCCGAAGCATCTTCACGCATCTTGGACGGAGTGTAGCTTTTCTTGGCCTTGATTGTCGAACGGAGAGAACGAATGGCGAGGTTGTCAGCGCCGAAACTTATGACAAAATCTTTGACCGACTTGAAACAGATATCGTTAAGGGAGAAACAGAGCATCTCATAGTTCTGTTGGGTGTTCCGATTGCATACCCGAGAATGGTCTGGTTGGAAAACATGTGAGCTTTTAGTATCACTCCGTTATAAACACAAGCTGACGTCCCTTTAGCCTTACATCTAGAGTCATGGATCCCGTCAAAGCACTTAGCAGGATGGGACTGCTGGGCAAAGGTCTCTTAAATCACCTGGATGGAGGAGTCGAAATCCTGGATGACCTAGACGATCATTGGACAGCTAAGCATCATAAAGATGAACGGTATTTCCTCATCGACGAGCTTCAGAACTTGGCTGCCGAGAAATCTGTCCGCATCACAATCCTTGGGTAAGCGTTCTTTGTCCCTACTGCAAATATGTTTCTAATCAGTAAAGTGGCGACGTCCATCTCGCTGCAATCGGCCAGTTCTACTCTAACCCGAAGCTCAACATTCCGAAGGATCGTGACTACCGCTACATGCCAAATATCATATCTTCAGCCATCGTCAATACGCCTCCACCAGATGCGATTGCTGATTTTCTTAATAAGCGCAATAAGATTCATCACCTCGATGCGGACACAGATGAAGATATGATTCCGATTTTTACTCACGATGTCAATGGAAAGCAGAGAAACAACAAGCGATTGCTGAATCGCCGTAATTGGTGCTCAATCCGTGTTTATGATCCTGAACGAAGCCCTCCACCAACCGCAGATGAAGCGTCTTTCGACCGAAGCCCGAGTCCACCAAAACGTGAGGGTCTCCTCCGACGCCTCTCAAGCTCCCGAGGCCGAGGACCCCGCTATCGTCCTGACGGTGGCAATCCTGATCCTTCCCGTCCACCTCTTTCAAACCCTGGCTTCTTTAACCGCCGCCCATCCTTTTCACGCTCACGCCGAGGCTCTACCGAGTCCCAGAGGTCGAATAGTGTTATAAGGCGAACGCTCTCACTAACCCGCAAGGATTTCTTACCGGAGGGTCTCTTCCGCCGAAATAGTAAATCGAGACCTGACGATGGCGGTATAAACGGCTATGGAGCGGATAGCGATGACGACGTGCCTTACCATCAACAGGATGTTCGCTCCGGACTCCGCGGCGGCGGGCTGGAAGACGACGAACGTTACTTCCCCAAGCCTTTCGGTCGCACACCCGGCCACCCCGTCGAAGATCCAAGTATGTCCATCGCAGGCCCATACCCTCAACCTCAACCTGCTCCCCCAACCAACAAATACCACATCGTGCCTACCTCTCAGTTGGAAAGACCTGGCAAGGCAGTGGGAGGAGGAGCTATTAACCTTGAGGGAGGCTTGGACATCTGCCTCAACGTGGAAGTTAATGCCAAGGATCCGGCTGGCATCACCATGCCATATCGATTATTGGTACCGAGACTCTGGTATGAAGAGGATGCGGAGCACCAGGGACAAGCGGCGGAAAACCTCAACACCGGCTTGAAGAGGTGGGAATCTTTCTCCGACAAGAATAATCGGAGAAGAAGACTGAGCTTCACCAGAAGAACGGAGGGCTCCGCTAACAGCGGACAGGGTTGAATTCATGAGGGACACGATTAGAGAAGAGAAATGAGAAACATGAGGAAATAATGCCAAAGGGGGTTCGTAGAATGGTTTGTAGAATACCTAGATAGATAGAAAGTTTGAGAAGTCCTCTATCTCTCTCTCTTGTACAAGTTATCAAATCAATTTCTATCTACCCCCGTACCACCCTCCATATATCTATCTATCCCTACTCCCTTATATAATAGGTACATCTCGGAGGTCCCTCGTGAGTCGTGACTTTACTTTTCCGCTTCCCGGGAGGCGTTTCAGAGCGCGGAACGGGACGGGGCGGCGGATTCCTTGCTTGGTATCGGAGTTCGCTTCCCCTATTTATTCTTAGATTTTTCCCTTCTTTGTTGAGAGTTGAGCACGTTTCAGGAAAGAAGTAGTAGTAGTAGTAGTAGCTTGGCTTGCGTTTTGGTGGAGATGTGGAGATGTGGATAAGGTAGGTAGGTAGGTATTAATTAAGTAAGTAAGTAAATGGGGGGGATTTAGATATAGATCGAGATATATATAGGTATATAGGTATCGTGAATGAAGAAGGAAAGGCCAGAAAGATCATCCCCTGACCTCTTGAAAACCGTGCGTTCGTTATCTTCCAAATGCAGTATAATCGATACTCAGGGGTATATATTCATTCAAACAAAACAACGAGAGGAGGAAGTAAAAAGGAAATACCCAGATTTAAGAAACTAAGAAAACGACGCTAAACTCCACGCTCCCTAAATGACCCGATTCTAATATCCTGCCGCGTGAACTGGTGAGGAGGGGGAAGGTTCGATCGATTAATGGAACCGCAGTCTTGCGATGGAGAACAGCATGTTCTGTAACACGTGCACCATGACTATCACGCCGGTAGGGAGCAGTTCTGGCCACATGGCCAGATCAGTGCGCGCCTCGCCCGTGACGTCCATCTTCCAGCCGAGCCAGAGGATGCGCCTCACGATCCAGCCGGCCACGATCTCGCATGCCCAGGTCACCATACTAGCGTACAGGGTGAGCTGGAAGTTGTAGCCCTCGCCACTGCCGCCGATGGGGAGAGCGGGGGATCCGTTTCCTGGCGGGGGGACGGGGGTGGGCGTCTGCTCCTGGTCGAAGGCGAAGTAGGGGTAGACGTCCTTGTTGCTCCCGTAGTGGAGGACGAGGATGGATCCGAGAAAAGTGAGCATGCTGACGGATTCGGAGAGGGAGCGGATGAAGACGTTGCGGGCGCAGAACTTCTGGTACGATTGGAGGGTCTGGCCGTTGATAGAGAGGAGCGTGAGGAGGGAGTGGAAGGGGGCGGACATGGTGAGGGGCCCGAGGATGATGAGGAAGGAGGATGAGAGGATTTGGAGAAAGACGAATTGCGCGGGAGAGCGGAGGCGCGCATATAGGGCGCGGACGTATGTTTGGTAGGTCAGGGAGAAGTAGCTAGCGAATTTTAGCTTTGCTTAAGAGATGGGCGCGGGGGCAGGGAGACGTACAGTTTGAATATCCATCCCAAGGGATAGCTCCCTACTCTCTGTCCTTCGTTACCGCCTAATATCCATCCGACTAATCCATCTAGTAAATGGACCGTAATGACCCAACTATAAACGTAGAAGATCGTCTCGATGGTGTTATGCGGCAAAGTTCTTAGATAAATCTCCGCATATGACTCTCCTAGTACGTAGGCCATCATGCCTATAAACAGCGCCGTGCAAAACCATATAAACCTCACGAAGCTCGCCGGGAGCCATCGCTTTCTCAATGTCAGAGCTCGCTCACGAGTATAGTTAGTCATGTCTGAAGCCAGAACCACGTCAAGCGGGGCATCTGGATCAAAAGTCCCTTGGCTCGCCGGTGGTCTGCGTGCTCGGTCCCTGGCTGATAGGGTATCTGAGTCGCCAGTCCACCAAGAGGAGGTAAAAATTCGTTGGGTCTCGGAGAGGGAGTGTCGAAGGCCGAGATGTCGCTCGTGGTTGAGGAGGATGGCAAAGGCTATTATGAGGGGCATGGACATGATAAAAAATGTCCAACATATCCATGATGTGTTGTGGTGTGCGATGAATAGGGTCTGTGGGAAGCAATATATGGGCATCGGACCTATGATCGAGATAACTGCAATTACTGAGACTGTCAAGGGAAAGCCTAAACTTTGTGGCCACCTTTTGCGAGGTCAGTAAGGTATCTCGAGGTAAGGGAAAGGGACTGACCAGTTGAGACTGTAAATATTGAACACCTTCGTGATCCACATCAAAGCAGTAATATTGTACAACCCGTAGTATACGAACAGGAAGAACCAGAAGTTGATCTCAACCCGCGCTTCTCCATGACCTGGTATCTTATGTCCCAGTGGGCTTGGCTTAAGAACCAGTCCATCATCGTCGTCGTCATCTGGTAACTCGTACTGGGGAAACGGTAACGCGCACCACGCCACAGCCTATACGCAGAAATTATCAGTCTCGTTCTCTCCACACGCGTTTTATCTGCCGCACGTCCAGGGCAGGCAAGGCCGAGCAGTACTCACCAGAAGAGCTGGCAGAACAGCAAGGACAAGCCACCTCTTCCACCATTTGCGCACCACCCTCGCAACGACCGCCTGCTTAGGTTCTATCCAAAGATCTCTCATCAACCTCGCCCACCGCCTTAATGCGCCGGTCTCCTCCCCCTCCTCTCCCTCCTCGCCCTCATCGCCGACCTCCCCGTCTCTCTCCCCGTCCCCAAATATTGAATCATAGCCTAGCCCTAAACCCGGCCTCGAGAAACCCGTCTGCGAGAAGGTTACGACGCTATTTCGCTGGTTGCGCGGGACGGCGCGAAAGCGTCCGAGGAGGGGAGAAGATTCGTTGTTCGAGCCCCGCGATTCGGTGCCTTGCTGGAAAGTGAAGAAGGAAGGCATTCCATAGCCCTATTTACAGGTTCACGCGAGAGCCGTGGGACAAATCGGTGTTGAGCATTTTATTCCAGATGTATGCTGGTGGTTTCTCTCGTTGATGTCGGCTCTTGTGATGCGTTTATTTTTGGGGCCAGATCGGCGCGGGAGTTGCCGCTTCGCCGAGGAGCCATCTCCCATGCTATCGAGTTTTGATACTTTTGATAAAGGCGTCAAAGCCTTGTTCGAGATCAGGAGAAGGGGCAGGGGGGCTAGACACAGAATCTGTCTTATGGGTTTGAGGAAGGGATCATGGCCGTGGCAGTGTCATATAATATATGAATTATATCTGCGGAACCCTGGCATAACACCTGATGACTGAGCCCTTGGTGGGGGTTTACGAGGTGAGACGCTTCACCCCACTCAGTACAGTAGTCAGTTCATTTCCGTGCCAACTGCTGACTCCTACAGTCCTACTCAAGGAGCAACACGCTCCGGATTATTCACGCATCTGTCCTGAGAGACTCGGTGGATCCTTTTAACTTGATAATGTGCTTTTGCTATTGAAACTAGCCTCGTGGGGCCCGGAAGCCTTTGCAGTCCAGCAGTAGCATGTGCAAGAAGAACGATACAGCTCCAAGATCGCGCTCAGAAATAATCCTCCCTTCCCTTCCGGTTCCTTATCTTCCCTGCCCTGTCCATCCCGTCATGAGATGTCATTATGCAATGTTTTTCTATGTTGAATGCCCACCAACGCCAAGGAAATCCTCCTGATGTGAATGAGAAGGGTACTCCTAAAAGCCCCCTGTGAATTATTTGCCCATAACGTCGTCCCGGAGAAGGGTTTCGACCGGGGCATTGAGCTTGTCTCTGCCCTTCAAGAAATCGAGTTCGAGGATAAATAGATAACCCATTAATGTCCCGCCAAGTTGCTCGACGAGTTTTCCAGCGGCAGACGCAGATCCCCCTAATGAACGGCGTCAGCAAGGTAGTTCCTTTCAGATGGCAGACCCCAGGTCCGAGCATAGCTTACCCGTTGCGATAATGTCATCAACGACCAAGACGGTCTGCCCCGGCTTCACAGCATCCTTCTGGATCTGAAAGAAGTCCTGGCCGTACTCCTTCTCAAAGCCAGCCTGTTCCGTGGGGCCAGGCAATTTTCCCGGCTTCCTCACAGGCGCAAAGCTAGCCCCCAGCCGCAGAGCCAGACTTGGACCAAACAAAAAGCCGCGGGCGTCGAGTCCCACTATCACATCAGGTTTCTTGCCGTTGCTGAAGGCGAGGACCTGCAGTTCGAGCGCGCGGATGAGAGATTCGTGCAGGGCGTGCGACGCGAACAGAGGGAGGATGTCGACGAAATCAATGCCTGGGATGGGGAAGTCGGTGAAGTGTCGCAGGGCGGCCTTCAGGCTTATCTTTGCACTGGCGAGTTCGGCGGCACTGGAGGAAGCGGTGGAGGACTGGGGCTCGAGTCTCGTGGCATTCTCTGTCGCGGGCGCAGAAACAGGGAGGGAAGAGGGTGGCGGGGCAGTCATCTTGGAGAGAGGAGGAGAAGAACGAGAGGAGAGGAGGGGAGGGGGGAGATCAGGAATGGAGAGATAAATAAAGTCGAAAATAATTAGGGAAAACAATGAAAAAACAAAAATAATCAGGGATTCAGGGAAAAGGTAAAAATAATCCGGAAAAACGCCCCAGGGTCCAAAGGGGTCTAAAGGGACTTCCAAGAGGGGTAAGGCGGCGCGGGTATTCTAAATCGGGCGCGCTAGGGAGGCTAGTGGCAGGCTGACTCGGCTGAGCTGCCTCGTGTGTCTGGGAGAACATGAGAGACGGGATATTCTAGATGCAGCGGCAATTTTACGATATTTTACCTAGAGTGGGTCTGATATACGGTACCTTACGGTGCTTGCCTGACGTTGTGCGACTTCTATATATATATATATGTATATATATATATATAAGGTAATATACAGCGGTTGGACAGGGTGCGGAGAATCACGTGATATCGAGACCCCTGGAGAAGGGATTCAGCAGAGCACAAGAAGAAAGAGTACTCTGATTAAGGTAGGTAGATATGTATACAATCCTTTATCTACAGAGTTTACGAACCAGAACTGATATCAAGTCAGCTCACACATCGCTACAGACCGCCCTCGGCACACAATCCCAGGGACGCATGTCGCGAGTCCTAAAGCGGCGCCGTCTAATCAATAAATCCTCCCTGTCGAGATAAAGACCAAGATAAAGATAAACATAAATATGCAATGCGGTACAGCACAGGACTATGATCTATCCCTCCAGTATCACTCCCCCGCAGTGCCTCCTTTCCCTCTCGCCGTGCATGTCTTCCTGCTCAGCGCTCAAAGGCAAAGGCTGGTAAGTTGTCTTGGAAACAAAGGGCAAGGTAGGTCTGTTCTTTACTACGACTGCTACGGAGCCTTTCCTCCGCACACTCCTCTGTAAGTACGCGAAGTCGCGGGCAATCCAGCCTTTTTCTTCTTCTTTCTCGTCCAGAGCTCCCCCTTCCAGCCATCGTCAAGGGAAGATGTCTGCGTTCTTTGGCAGTAAGCCAGCGGCCACGCAGAGTAGCAACACCGGTGGCGATCTGAGCAAAGATGTTCAGCTCTCGTCTCCACCAGAAGATAGCATCTCTGCCTTGTCGTGGTCCCCCGCAGCTAACCACCTCGCTGTGGGCTCGTGGGACAACAAGGTTCGCATCTACGACGTTACCCAGAACCCGCAAGGTACTGGTGTAGCGGCCCTCGACTTCGCTGGCCCTGTGCTCAGTTGCGACTGGGCAAAGGTACGTCTGTGATTACCGCAGAGCTCCATGCCCTGAAGCTAACCTGGGATCTCCACAGGACGGTCAGAAGGTTGTTGGCGCAGGTTCAGATAAATCTGCTAAGCTGCTCGACCTTGGCGCAAACGGCGCTCCCGCCCAGAATGTTGCGGTTCACGATGCTCCTATCCGAACCATTCGATTCGTCGATATTCCAAATACGAATACCCCTATGCTGGTAACAGGTTCCTGGGACAAGACTGTCAAGTACTGGGACCTGCGATCATCAACTGCTGTTGCTACTATACCTTGCCAGGAGAGAGTCTATGCAATGGACGTGAAAGACAAGCTCTTGGTCATCGCAACAGCCGAGCGACACATCAACATTGTCAATCTCGACGACCCGGGCAAAATTTTCAAAACTGGACAAAGTCCTCTGAAGCATCAGACCAGAGCAGTGAGCTGCTTCAAGGATGCCAACGGATATATGATTGGAAGCATAGAAGGAAGATGTGCGTTCCAGTATGTGAACGACAAGGAGGCTAGGTAATTGCTCGTCCCGAAGATATCAAAATAAATGCTAATATCCCTAGTCTTAATATGTCATTCAAATGCCATCGAGATCCAGCAGTCAACAATACGATCACGGTTTGGACGATCAACGCTATTTCAACCCACCCCGTTTTCGGCACGTTCAGCACTGCAGGGTCTGATGGCACATTCCATTTCTGGGACAAGGATGCGAAAAGCCGGCTCAAGGGACATCCTAGTGTAGGAGGATCAATCTCTGCTACGGCCTTCAATAGGGACGGGACTATTTTCGCATATGGTGTGAGCTACGATTGGCACAAGGGATATGCATCCAATAGTCCTCAATGCCCCAACAAGGTGATGCTACATCCGGTCGTCGCGGACGAAGTCAGACCAAAGCCGCCTATGAAGAAGCGGTAATCAGGATTCTACGGTAGTTTGGAAGTAAAAGCCAATGTAGACTAGAAAATATCAATGGTGGAGTTTAGGGATCACGGCTTGATTACGCTGATAGCGAGGAAAACGACACGAGGCAAAGATTGTATTCCAAAAAGTGTATTAAATCGAGATAGTTTACTCTTGTGAATTGGATCTCAAATTGATATTAACCGAGCTGTCGGGAGCATCCGTGGTGATTAAGAGTCAAGGACCCAGAGAATTGCAAGAGTATTTGAATGAGGCTCGACGAGGCTGAACCGCGGCCTCATTCCGTGACGCGTACTAACCCTTTCCGTTCACTCAACACCACTTCATCCAAATATATCAACAACATGAGTGCCGAACCTCCCCGACCTCTTCTCTTGCCTCGCAACCGGAAGCTACGACATCTCCAAGGCATATACCTTCGAAATCTTACATTTTCAAGGCCGCGCGGGCGAACAATCGATGATGCGGCTCTCAATAAGTCACCCCAGAAGATCGAAGCTCTACGAGAACCTCAACTCCACCATGCGCGCTCTTCCTCAGACCTCCAAGCGCAAGGGCTACAAAGAACGAACACAAGCTGGGGTCCTGAGAGCCCTGACTCTCGGCAGAAGAAGCTGGAAAATGTCATAGATAGGAGGATGGCGGACTCTTTCTTCACACTGCACTGCGAGGGACAAGAAGATCCGATATACATCAGCGAAGTGGTGGAGAAGGCAATGAATCCTACCTTCCGCTTCTTTGACCTCTCAGGGATTGGTCCTGCTACTACTCGACTCAATAGATTGACGATCAAGATATGGGTTAAAAGACAAGATTTCTCTCTTCTTATCACGGAGGAAGTCAATCTTCAATCGCTTCAGTTCATTGGGACACTCGAGAATCAACCCTTTCCGCCAAACTGTATACTTTTCCACCTAATCGATGGTATCTACTCGATCGACCTCGCCTCGAAGCCTCCAAAACCAAAACCTGCGCCAACTCTACCAACTTCTTCCTATAGCGCTTTAATGCGCCTCTCCAACCTTGATGAATCGATCCAAGACGCCCTAGCAACGCGCGAAGAACTTGCCTCCCAAATCAACTCCATCCTTCAATCATTACCCGTCGACGAAACGTCCCAAGCCCAAGAGCACGCTATCCTCGCAGAACGCTATGTGACCGCCTCTCGAAAGCTCCTCAAGCAATCCCTCCGCCGCAGGACCGAACTGAAAACATCCATCGCCGCTCGCAGAGCCGCCATCAAGTCCGGGCGAGAAGTGCAAGAACGCGCTCAAGAAGACGTTAACGCGGCGCAGGAAAAGCTGCAGACTTGCCGCTCTCTCCTGCAAAGTACAACTTCTGCTATTCACGGACAGCGTCGGAGAATATGTGAGGAGCTATTGAAGATCTTCCGTATAGAGGCTACAGACCATCCTCTCTTATTTACAATATGTGGATTACCGCTCCCCAATTCATCCTACGAGGACGCTGATGAAGATATCGTCTCGGCCGCCCTCGGGTACGTAGCGGAGGTCGTCGACATGCTCCAATACTACCTCTCGATCCCCCTCCCCTACCCAATCTCTCCCTTCGGTTCACGCACCATAATCCACGACCCCATTTCCCTCCTCGCCGACAACCAGCGCACCTTCCCCCTTTACATGAAAGGGACAGTGCGCTTCCGCTTCGACTACGGCGTGTTCCTCCTCAACAAGAACATCGAATGTCTAGCGGAAAGCCAAGGCTTAAAAGTCATCGACATCCGGCAGACGCTGCCGAATCTCAAATACCTGCTCTACGTCTGTGGAGAGGGCAAAGGCGAACTGCCGGCTCGCAAGGCGGGGGGCATCCGCGGCTTGTTAATGGGCCGCACGACCCCGAGCCTGAGCAGGCGCGGAAGCTCAGAGAGCGGAACAGGCTTGGGTGTTGGCGAGATGGCGAGGAAGGCACTGGAGGTTGCGAGTAAAGGGAACGGACAGGCGAAAGCGCCCGAGAACCGGGAAGCTAATGGCAATGGGAATGGGAATGGGAGTGCGAAACCGAGAGATGTGGCGGGTATGCTACCCTTCAGAGATGATAATAGGCTGAGTCTACGGACTAGCGGATTGAGAGAGGGACTTGGGAGATGAAGTCGAAATAGTATTGTCGTGTACCTTAAGTACCTATGTAAAGACTAATAATGAACGACGATGCTTTTTATGATACTAGCTTCACACTTCGTGATGATTGCTAGGTATATAATAGTGATGAGGTGAACTATATATACAATCCCTCTATTAACAGTCTTCCCTACTAATGCATTACTTAGTGCTATAATAATAACCCCTCAAACCCGCAACGTAAAACCTGAAGCAAGGTTTTCCCCATTTCTTTCCTCTCGCTTCATGCTTTTGACTCCCCCTTTTACCTACATAAACAAATTGAGGCTACCTATTGGTGAACCCGATGAGAAACAAGATCACCACGGATCTTGACCCTCGTGTGATTGATGTATGGGGAGAGAAGGAAAAGAACATGTAGTATTGGATTCGGATACTGGTATATATATATAATTTGTCACTACTACTCATCGAGAGGGCAAACATGGACCGCTTCTCGCCTTCTTCCGTGCTTAGGATCATGTTGTTGGTGTTATCCTGCATTCCTAGAGCTAGCTAGCTTGCTACCTTGCTTGCTTGCTTACTTATTGCTCATCAGGATTTCATGCCGAAGCCCTCAATGCGAGTAATGCGAAATGGCCACCGACCACAGGGCGCGCTGTGAAATCCCCGGCGTTTATGGGCCAACTATGAATATCTCAGAATCGGGTCTATCTATAGATTGAAAGGGAGGGATCTAAAAAGAAGAGGAGGGGGAGGAGAAGGGAAGATTATTCAGAGAAAAAGAAGAAGAGGAAGAGGACTCACTTCCCAGTCTGTGCATCATACAAATCCGTCATAGCTAGATTCGTCGGCGTCTCATTAATCCAGCTTGCCAGATGGCCGATCAAGAGCGCTTGCGTATCGGGATTCGCGATGGCGGCGCTGAACATCTCCCAGTCGCTCTTCGTGTAGTTGTGCCGCGTGTCCAGGGGGACGCCGTATTTCTCGGCGACGGTCGGGTAGAAGGTGCTTTGCATGTCATAGATACTTTGCGGGACGAGCCCGAGATTCAATTCCGCGTCGCTGTACAGGTTGTATAGGAGGCCATGCGTATCATTGAGTCCGTAGCCCAGCGTGGTGTGAGGAGGCGTGGCGTCTTGAGCAACGCCTAGGACTTGCCATTGCGTGATGTAGGAATGCGCGATATCGCTGTAGTTCTTAGCATCTGCTTCATTCCCTGTCAGGTTCGCAATCACGGCAAAGGCTTCGATGCCGATTATTCCCTTGAGAGCTAGGTTGGTCTGGTTAGGGAGAGCGCCGGCGAAGTCGTCGGTGGAAATCTGGTTCGCTGGGATCAAAGCTTCGGCTACGAGGTACTGCGTCCATTGCTTTAGGATTTTGTAATGTTTGGAAAGGTATGCAGTGTCCTTGAGCCTTTGGGCGTATGCGAGGGTCATGATGAGCATATTCCCGCACTCTTCTAGCGGTTGCTGCTCGTCGTTTCCCGCGGGGTGGCCGGTTGCGTTTGGGTAGGAGGATCCGAGATCGTGCATGCTCCATGCGTTGGGATACTGGCCCGTTTCTTGGTTCTCGAAAAGGGGATCCAGGAGTAGTTTAAGCAGGGTTGAGTTGGTATACAGGAGGATTGGGTGGAAGGGGAAGATGACATCCACTGTTTGAACGTTACCGTCGGAACTGATTTCTTTGAGGAAAAGATATTGCTTGGTTGAGTTGCCGACGAGTTGGACTGCCCCGAATGCTTGACGGGCTGAGAGGGACGTGATGGTCAAGTAATTTTGTCCTGCTGCGGCCATGGAATCGGCAGCTATCTTGTTGTCGAAGCTGTTGGAGGCATAACTGGCAGAGCCGTAGTCGTTGTAGAAGAATGAAAGCTATATCAGTCAGAAATATTGGCGCAAGGAAAATTGTGAGAGGCTTACAGCATCGGTTTCACTTGAAAAATAGCTCGTCCATAGAGAAGTAAGTGGTACTATACCAGTTTCACCATCAAACTGTAGAGCTTCCTCTTGAGCCAGACCAAGAGTGTAGAGGGTACTGGTAGGTCTAGTGATTCGGCCAAGGTCACTGGAGAACGCAAACACTGGCCAATCTTGGTTAATGGGCCGGAAATTGGTATCACTCGAGTCTCCTATTGATCCATTGCTAGCGAAAGCACCTCGGACAACAACATCCTGACCAGAGCGGTAGTTCAGTCTTGGCCCATTCTTTGTGGCCCAGTACCAGTAGCCCCAATCAGCTTGTTGGTTGGTCTCGCTGAATAGGAGTTGCTCCTGTCTGTATACTCTGTGGTACGCAATGTTATCTGTAGTGATGCCATTTTCCCACTGTGCAACTGACGAATGGTCTCCTGCAACCCATTCTTTACTTCTGGTCAGTTAATGTTACAAAAATCACATGATAGGGGTACTTGGACCTACCTGCTGAAATATCTGCATACAGTTGCACATCATGCGCAGCGCCATCCATAGGCTGTACTACAACGTCCAGATAAGTGAAAACGAGAGATTGTCGCTTTTCGTCATCTGGATATAGAGGTGAAAGAAACGTAATATTCATCTCCACCAAGCCTCCCACATTCATCGTAAAGATACTCTTGGTTGACGTATACTCAAACGCAGTTTGCGTGACTGGTGGTCCTACATTTTCCGGAGCTCCCATCCAAGTATATGTAGTACCATCGACGCGAATCAATCCAGTCCAAGCAGTGATTTGGCCTCTTCAAAACGTCAGTCTGGTTTTCTTTTTGGGTAACTATCTGAACCTTCGACTCACGCCCAGAAGGTTGGCCATTGTCCAGCAAGGTATCCGCCATTTCCTCCATCACCCCCTGCAAACTGCCACGTGCTTAGGTAGGGCGACTTGACCCCGAGGGGTATCGCAGGTGGTCGGGCAGGACTGAATGTTGATTGAGCACTAGCCACGGCAAGAACTGCAACGCAAAATGCAGCTAAGACTCCCCGGATAGAGAGACTCATGGTTACAAGCTTAGAATTAAGGAGAAAATTTAAAGCCTTTGGAATCGTAGGTTGAGGAAGAGAAATCTCTTGCTTTTCCTACCAATAAGGAGTGTGTGATCACTAGGCTTATATACAGCTTTCTCTGGAACCCCTAGGGTGAAGCTGATATCTTATAATTTTTGCTAACATAATGAATGCGGGGGAATGATTGCCAGTTATCGTGCAGCTGACACAAGCTCAAGAGAACAAAACATACAGCGAAGGTCGGAGGTGCTTACCGTTTCATAAGGAGAATAAGAGAGGCTTACATCCTCGCAATGCACATAAGGGCAGGACCCAGGGTACATCAACCAAGGATCAGCTGGGTGCCGGATACTTTCGGGGTCCAGTAACAGTGCTATTGCTGCTGAAACTTACCCAACAAGGGAATGCTACGTAAAGCGGTACCACCAAGCTGAAGAGAGGACGTAGAACGAAGGCTAATATAATTACCTTCTTGATAGTGTCAGACCCCCTGGAGGTCATCACTGCATCAGTTCAAACAAAAGACAGAATCTTTAGCGAAGAACTTCGCTTAAGCCGCCGAGGGGATGGTTGGGCTCCCCGCACTTGGCCTCTTTAGGCCTATGCGGGGGATCGGTGCTATTTTGACCCGAACTCGGTCGTTGTCACAGTCTCGTGCCTTTACATACCGTGGATGTAAACCCAAATGCCGCAATGGGAAGATTTGAGGTTCTGATGATCGGCGGTCTGGCCTTAATCTTCTTCGGGGATGACCAGGTTCGGGCATTGTGATAGGTCGGTCGGCTCGCATCAACTGTAATGCGGAGGAGGACTATCACCCCTCGGTTCCCCTGCTATCTGTTCTGGTTGGTCCCGGTGTCCGAGGGGAAAAAGGCCCTTCTCTGATGAAGTGTTCATGTGAGATGTATATCAATCTCACCGGCTGATCTCCGCTTCTGTGATTTTGACTCGGTCGTGACTTGTCCCCGTGGGGTGATGAATGCTGGGCATGCATGGCAATCCCTCTCCGATGCAACGTGCTATGTGTAGGACTTGGTGAGTGAAGAATTCTTCCCTGCATTCCCATGGCTACCTAATCTGTCCAATTGGTGAACAGTTGAATGGAGTTAAGGACCATTGTTGTGTCGGTGAACGAAGGACCCGGAGGCTCTCGTTAACCCTATCCGGTGATCTTGGAAGGACGTACGGTTCTTAGAAAAAATTCCCTTTCAATTTGTCCTTCAGACTCATCTAAAGGCAACTGTCCAGGCTCTTTTCCGCTTCTGTATTCGTGTCAGCGAACTGTCAGTATTTCCATCTCACCGAGGTCTGGAGTTGCAGATTCACTTTCAACCCTTCCACTACCAATCCGCATCTAGAACCAAATCACGCAACCATCTGCAATGTCACCGTTCAACAAGGTCCGGCATCCCTGCTCAACAAGCTGTCCTGGCCAGTCTCTTCGATCTCGGGATTCGGAACTTGCAGACGGATTTACATTTCCAGAACCGTGCCAAATTCGGGGGTATGGCTTGGTGATGGTAGGCTGTTGATGAGATTGTTCACACAAGAATTGTTGCAATTTGATGGCGGAAGAGGCCCCTGTATTTGTGATTGTAAGTCATGAGCAGTAGTCATAAACTCCTGGAGACTTTTGAAGGAATTCGACCATACCTTGGCCACGCTTTGACCGCCACCAAGAAGCCTCAGTCTAGCAGAGTTGGCAGTCAATATCATCTTGCGTTATCAAACCTCGTTTTCTTCCTAAACATGATGTCTTAAAAGGTTCAGAAGAGACAAGCATCCGTGCAGAAGTCCCGTCACTTGATGGTACGTCCCAACATGCCGACAGAGTATTTCTGCAATATCAGAAGCATCAGGAATGATTCTCAGTCCGCCGAACACTTCCAATCCTTTCCTCAGAACTTGCAAGCCTTGACAAAGTGATCGCAGCAGCATCTGGGGGAGGGCCTTCTAGTAGCACGAGGTTCCACTTGTAACCTTATCACCGGACAGAGGAGAAATCATCAAACTCCCTCCAAAAAAATGCCTTGAGTCGCCTCGTTAATGTCATCCTTCACACCTTCTCTCTTCCAAAACTCGTCCTTCCCCGTCTCAGCAAGCACTGTTCTCACCCAGGTAACCCCTCCCACCAATTTTCCAGGGCTCTGTGACTCCATACGTACCTTCTCAATCTCTTCCCTCAGCACTGATTCCGAAAATGGGAACGTGCCATTCGCAGCAATGGCCACGGCCACAACGGCACCATCCGTCCCGTCTAGATCTGGTAGCGCTTACATCCTTTCATGATCATGCTCTTAAAGTAGATCCGAATGAGCTGGAACTAGAAGAGATTGCTCGTATAATATAGGATGGAAGAGCAGCGCGAGATGGCACCTTGCGATTGTGATGCCCGCCCATATTATTGCGGGATGTAAACGAGTTGATCAATTCAGAGGTTTGAGAAAGGCGTCTTGAGCACGTTGGCTGGGACTAAGTAGATTCGAGGGGGTTGGGATGAGGTGACGTTGGTGATGCGAATTGAAGGATGGTTGATAGAGTGGAGTCCCGACTGAGCCGCGTACGCAATAACGTTCTCTGCATGATAACTAGCTTGCCAGGAATGATTTTTGGGTTTATTTCCATTCCTTCTTGGATCATTCATAGCCTAGAAATACGGGCATGTTTTAAACATAGAGAGAAGAGGTGTAGATAAGGTTGATATTGACTGGCCGTCCGTTTTAAGATCTGATCAACATTAGGGGTCCTAAACCCGGAGCAGATCTTCGTGACATAAAGGGTTGTCGCAACTCCACTGTCTAGATACCTGTAATTTGATATATGGGTATCTTATTCGTCTACGTCGTCTGTATGTGTCTCTCATGCTCATGGCGACCATGTCATCTAATACTTCTCAATCCATACTCGTCTGGACTCCAAGATTCTGAAAGCCATCTAAGACATCCTTATCAATGTTCACCAGCCAATTCTTTTGGAACTCCTCCTCTCCACCAACCATGCTTACCAGAGCTCCCAATCTTTGCTTCACGAAATTAAACGTGTGAATAGTATGCACCGGATCACTACCATCCTGCAACCTCTTTCTCACATCTTCCGGTCCCTCAAACTCATTGCCTTCATTTGTTTCCCAGATGAGGTTGTCACCACCATCGTCACGGCCAGAGATCATCTCATTGATGACTGTGGTCCACATAGCAAAGTAATCTTGCAATTTATCGAGGATCATGGGTGTTACTGGGGGTTGTAGTTCTAGAAGACGGGTCAGAGCGAGGCAAGAAAGCTTTTGTCGGTCGATATTCGCCATGCTGTCGAAATGACGGAACCATTCACTACTGAGCCACACCCAGACATCGTTCACATTGCCTATTGTCGAGAGCATGGTAATGAAGACGGAGGGATCAGCGAGCGCTATGCGGGCAAGGATTGTAAAATAATCCGTTCTGACTACATCGTCCTCTTTGGGGTATCTTCGCTCTGGGCCAATGGTTTGGTTGGCTTCCCAAGCATCGCGTAGACCCTCAAAGATCTTGTCGGAGTAGCCTGATTCGTGGAGGTCTTTTGCAACGAGCGCTACCCCATTTTGTCCGCCTAAAGCTTCGGCAGCACGAATCATGTTCTCCACAATCGTGGTAACATGACCAGCGAGCTCTCTTTTTGAAACACCTAGAATATTTGCCATGTACGACAAGATTCTGAGTCTTACAGCATCTCCCAGCATCGCTTCCGGAGCAAGAAGGATGTATGATTCAACAATGTTCAGAACAACTCTGAGATTATCGGAACCAATTTCGAGTAAGGGAAATGCGGATTCGGCGAGTACTAGAACATCTTGTGATGCAGGTGCTGTAGTTTGAGCAAGAATGGCAGACCAGAGATCGAGAGCTTCTTCCATCAGATAGACTTGCATCTCCGAACCTGGCTCAACGGCTCGTTGGATAAGAGGTAATATCATCGAATGATATCGTTGCGACTGCTCCTTCATGGATCCAACCAATGTTGACAAAAGGGTAAGGATTGCTTGTTTTAGGAGGTGTTCTTCTCCCGAGGCTTCCCAAAGTCCCGGTAAAAGAGACACAATCTGATCCGCGAAGGGCGAGATGTGGTGTTCGAGTCGCACGGCTGTTGCTCTGATTGTTTCCAGTATAGCCATTTTCGTTTCTGTACTTTCCACTTCCTGTATCAAGGCCATTATTCTGCCGAGGATATCCGGAGCATAAGGAAGAAAACCTTCCGGGTTGAAGCTAAAGTCGTCGACGACAGCCTTGAATTGCCGTGCGGCTGTAACGCGGACGACATAGTCGTTTGTCTCATCTTCCTTTTTCAACAGATGCTGGAAGATCTGATACACCAAAGGCCTATTGGTCTCGGAAATCTTGATTGTAATCCACTGCCCAATCAAGATAGCAATTCTTCGCCGAAGAACCTTGTAGCCAGGACCCGTCTGCTGAACGTCATTCACCAGAGTTGATGTCAAAAATGCATCAAAGTCAAAACTTTGGAACACAACTGGAGCTGAAAGCCCCATGGCTGTGTACACGGCATCTTTTGTGACCACAGTGCTCTGTTCAGTCCCGGCAACAGACATAAAGAATCCCAACAATGGCTGAACCAGAAGATGTTTGAAGTTGATAACGAGGTCCATGAATAGTTTCTCGGCACATGGTCGAACCTCGAATTCCCACGTATCACCTCCACCCTCTTCTCTAATTTCCCATTCATCTTCATCCTCCTCCCAAGCCTCCAGATCGACTTGGCGAAAGACGAAAAATTTGGTAACAATCACGCTAGCCATCTGGGAGACCAAGTCATCAGTAAGCAACTGGGTCTTGATAAATGTCATAGCTTGTTGTTGCTCCTCTTTCACTTCAGCCGAGCGATACTTGAACGACTGCGCAGGGCTGAAAGACATCTTCATGCAGGCACGTAACAGAGTGAGGCCCTTCAGGCACAGTTTTTCCATTGCTGGTCTGTCGTTCTTCTTCCCATCGTCATGTTTCAATGCCTTGGCACTGAAATCTTGAGTCTCTGAACCGTATGATTCGCCGAACTTAGAGACAAGTCCCCAGTACGCTCTCACTAGTGGAAGAGAATTGGGTAAAAGAGCAAAAGCAGCAGGGTGTACTTGTGCCATTTGGACGTGGAGCTTTGAATATTGAATGGCATGCTTCTCCACCAGTTCTTTCGCAGGAGAACCCAGAACAGGAGGCTCTTGAGACATAATTTCAACGAACGATCCGAAATGGTCCTGATATTTGCCCCACATTTCCTGAACCGCCTTATCATGGTTGGGATACTCATACCCAACAATAAGCAACCGTCGGATAATCTTGAAAGCCATAAGGCTGTTCTCCATTGCGTCTATTGCACCTCCCTCGTCCTCCCCATTTCCCCTCAGGAATTGAAGCCACTGAGCTATCTTCCTGTCATAGATCTCACTCAACAAGAACACAATCTCCGGTGTGACTGACTGCAAACTGGTTTGAGACCTCCGCAATCGTGCCGTACCTAGCTCCTTCACCACTTGTAACAGGATCAACAGACCTCTCCGTAAATGCAATTGATTCGATTCGTTCGACGTGCGTAAAATCTTGATCAAGTCGGTGAGAACATCTGGCCAATCCTGAGGATAATCTATTCGAACAACTTTCGATACGACTAGGGCGTTCTGCAACGCAAGATTCGGATCGGCCTCTTCGATGCCCCCCTCCAGTAAGTGGGACCTAATTCCCATTTTCTCTTCTTTGGAAATGCCATTTGCCGCAGTCTTTCGCCAGTATTTGTCGATGCCATTTTTCAGTTGAATGACCGCTAGGTATCGCACTTCCGTCGGTAGGGATTTATCCAGGTATACGGCCTAGAGACATCACAGTCAGCTACTGTAGCCTTGAATTTCCAAAAATATGCAACATACCTGCAACAATGTGTAGTAGCCCCGTTGTGTCTCCCAATTTTGTAGCTGCTGAGTGCCGGTCTTTATGCTGAGTTGCTGCGAAGAACTTGCAGATTGGAGAGCGAGATAGACCTGCTGCGGGGTAAGAGGATTTGCCTCTCCGGGCACTTCGATAGAGAACGACATGGCAAGGATCCTTTATCAATCTCAGGACAGGCGTTGTCATGCCCGTCCTCCAAAATGTGAGGTGTTGAACTGTGCTATTCAATGCGGCGGGGATTGAAAGCCTTGTCGTACACCGTAGCAAACAAATATTTAGGTAACATTTAGCGGGGCAGGAAAGCCCATGAATAAATGACATTTAAGCCTATCATAACCTCCGACAAGCCGCAAGAGCAGCAAGATTGAATGACGGGCAGTCCCATCTTTGATATGTCTCTTCACTAGAAATTCAAAAAAAGATCTGCTAACTTCAAGTGGTTTCTCAATTTTATAATCCATTGCATAACGATGGCATATCCATCAACAAACAAAGTACTCTCTTTCGCAACCCTCGCGGGAGACCTACACGTGATAGAGAAGGAAGTGCCTCCTCTTCCAGCGAATGAAATACTCGTCAAGGTCCATGCTGCTTCCATCAATCCGGTCGATATCCAATTATGGAGATCACCTTTAGTAGCTGTGGTGGCTGGTGAGAAAGGAATGGGTCGCGATTTTTCGGGGACCGTGGTAGCTGTTGGAAAAGATGTGAAGGGGTGGACTGAAGGAGATGATATCTTTGGTTTACTCTTTGAAGCGGTAAAGCCCCTTTTCTAGTTGGAATTAGCAATGAGGACTGAGCTGATATAGATAAATAGCTCGGACAAGGAACTTTCAGTCAATACATAAACATCAATCCAAGTTCGACGCCAGTTGCCAAGAAACCGGGCTGTTTCTCTCATGAGGCAGCTGCATCCATTCCGTTAGTAGCACTCACAGCTTACGCCTGTCTTGATTGGCTTCCCCCGCCAGGTCCATCTCAACGAAGAGTTATTGTCAGAGGGGCATCTGGGGGAACAGGGTCATGGATCATCCAACGTTAGTTCCATCTTGAGCTGCACTTGAATCATAAATTCTCCATTACCCTTGCCTCCAACCCAAGACATCCTTCTTTCCCCTCAGAGGCATGATACTGATCTTTTATACAGTAGCAAAAGTTGTCTATGATTGTCATGTCACAGCCATATGCTCAGCCAAGAATGCAGAGTACGTCCGGACCCTCGGCGCCGACGAAGTAATAGACTATACCTCCCAAGATGTGATTCAAACTCTTTTATCCGCCGCCGCCACTCAACCAATGGACCTAGTCATTGATTGTGTAGGCGGTACCGACATCCTCGCACACTACGTACGTTCCTGTCCCTAATATTTCCTCAACTTGTAACTCATTGAACTAGAAACAACTCCTTCACCCCCGTGGCGCATACGTAACCATAGTTGGCGATAAGACCTCCATCACTACCCTCGGGGGCCCCATAACCTACTTTACTAACCCAATCCAAATCCTGCGCTTCATCCGCGGCTATCTTTTTGGCCCGAGATACGCATGTGTTTCCCTTCTTACGAAATCGGAGTATTTGGAGCAGGTGGCACGGCTTGGAGAGCGCGGTGAGGTGAAGTGCGAGATCCAAGAGGTGGTTAAGGGGGCTTTTGATGAGAGGGAAGGATGGAGGAAGGCGGTGAGCTTGATAGAAGGGTGCAGGATTAGGGGAAAGGTTGTCCTTGAGATACCCTAAGTCACAAATAGTAATAGTAAGTAGAGGAAATTTGATTTCTAGGGTAGAACGCTACCAATTTGATGGTTGTTTTGTAGCTACGTGCCTATGCATTACTGCAGTCATGGCGTTGTGAAGATATTAAAGTTGAACATCATTTGAGACCTGCTTCTTCCAATAACCATGGCATTATTTGTACGTCGGTGAGATAAAGCTTACAATAAGCTCTTCAGTAAGTTTCACAATGGATGGGATCTCTTTGGGGTACATATTGGAGTTTACTCCGGATTTTGGACGAAGCGGCCGCTTCGGGCGCCCCCAGATCAATTACTCCATTCGTATTAGCGTTCTAAAATAGCTCCGCTGAACGTTGACCTCGGCTCTTCTACGTCAGCCTTCTCACAAGCTAAGGCAAGGTACAGCATGCCCCCCAACACGCGTGAGGTTTTCACATTCTCACGCTGAATACTTTCCAATGCGCTTTCGATGGCGTCCAACGATTTTGCCCTCGCCCAGCAGCGACTTGTGGCACGGAGACAGGCTCGAGAAGCTGAAGCGCAAGCACGAATAGCGGCGCAACAAAAAGCCTCCCAAGCTGCAGCTCGGCTCAACCGACTACCATTCCCTCTTGGACGTTTGGGACAGGCTGGGTTATCAACATGGGATACTATCAGAGGAAGGGAGGGAACGAGGCCAGCTTTCAGAGTTGGGCAGGTTGATGCGGAACTGTTAGATGAGGAGTTACTGGAACTCCTCAAAGGACAAGTTGGGGAAGCGTTGAAGTACTTTGGATCTCACATACGGGATGACTGGTCTGCGGAGATTATGCTCGCTCTGAGAGCTGTTCTTTTCAAGCTTTCGGTGTGGGATCACGATGCGACATACGGTGCTGCCCTCCAGAACCTCAAGTTCACGGATGCGAGGAAGAAGGGTCCGGATTTGGTGCCTCCCACAAAATTGCAGAAGGCGTTGTATGGATTATTTACGGTTGGAGGAAAATACGCATGGACCAGATGGGAAAATTGGCTCGTGGATAACGATAATGGATACGATACGCCTAGCCCTGCATTGCGGAGACTGTCACGGTTATCAGATGCGTTCTCGACTGTATATTCGACGGCAGCATTCGCCTCCTTCCTGGTTTTCCTTCTGAATGGCAGATACCGCACTTTGCTAGACCGCATATTAAGGTTGCGCTTGGCGACGCCGACAAGTCAAGTGAGCCGAGAAGTCTCTTTCGAATATCTGAACAGACAATTAGTATGGCACGCATTCACCGAATTCCTATTATTTTTGTTGCCGTTAGTGGGTATAAGCAGGTGGCGGAGATGGCTTGCCCGAGCATGGCGGAAAACGAAGTCAGTAATGCGCACTGGCGGAGAAGAGGACGAGGATTTAAAGTCTGGGGAATTTGCATTTTTGCCAGAGCGAACCTGTGCAATTTGTTATAAGGACCAAAACCCTACGTCTACGTCGGAAGCTGAGGTTATGGCGGCTTCAGGCTCGTCAGGAGTCATTGGGTCTGCGCAAACTGACATTACGAATCCCTACGAGACCATTCCTTGCGGCTGCATATACTGTTTTGTATGCTTGGCAGGGCGGCTAGAGGCCGAAGAAGGCGAGGGCTGGACATGTTTGAGGTGCGGTGAAGAAGTAAAGGAATGTAAACCATGGAGTGGGGATGTTCTCGAAGAGGTGGTCAAATCTACGCACTCTTCGAAATCTGTCGGCTTTTCAGATGCTCCAAGTGAGATGACTGAGGTTGAGCCCCGTCAGGAGCAGGAGGAAGAAGGGGCTGAGAAACCTCCAACTGCTGAAAGGGAGTATTCGCCATCTGATGTCGAAGAGGGGGAGGAAGAAGAGGGAGAAGAAGACGAGGGAGAGGACGAGGCAGAAGGTGAGACATTTGACGAAGAGGAGGATGAATTGGAAGAAGACGCTGTTGAGTGATCAAATCCACTGGGGGGATTTTGATTTCAGCAATGGGGATGAAATTCTCAGCATTTAGGCACGGCGTTGGCTGGTTTGATACGTCCATATATTCATATGTGATTGGCTAATACCTAGATTCTCTTTTCACTCCTCTAGAGGAATGCCATCACGTGCCAAAACATACCACACCCCCAATGCTTTCAACGGGTTAAATAAGGCTCGATCTTAATAAAATACAAATCATGAGTTCTTTACTCGGACTTCAAGGGTTCCCAGGTTCAACTTCCATAAGGAGCACGTGCGTGTGACATCATAAGCATCAAGTGGCGATAACTTGATATGAGGAGTTGCTGCCTCTTATGTCAACACCGATATTCCATATAATCAGAATGTAGCAGTTTGTCTAGATCAATTGCAGAAATCTTTTCGCAGGCTTGTGCTATGAGGTTGCCTTAGTTTTGCAATTCATCCAGCAAGCCATCAACGCCTGAACCCTCCCTTTCCAACCGACCAGTATTCATCATGTGGTCCCAGCTGGAGCCAACACCTCCCCATATTGCCTATCTGACAATATCGAGCTTCCTGATAATCTACGCATTATTCTCTCAGTTCATCAAAAACAACCTGCACCTTAGCGAGCCTCCTCTCGCTGTCCTCTTTGGCATCCTCTTAGGGCCCTACGTCCTTAATGTCATTTCGCCGCATGAATGGGGGCTGGATGATAGAATGAGACAAGAGATCTCCCGCGTGATCGTGGGGATCCAATGTTTCGCAGTTGGGATCGAGCTTCCGAAACTCTACTTCACGAGACATTGGAAATCAGTCTTGTTCTTCTTAGGACCTATCATGACTTTCTCCTGGGCGGTCACTTCGCTCTTCGCTTTCTTGATATTTCGGATTGACATTCCTACTGCTCTTATCATCGGGGCCTGTTTATCCCCCACAGATCCATTGTTAGCAGCAAGTGTACTCTCCAAATCTCGATTTAGTGAAAGGGTTCCTCGACGATTGAAGCATTTGCTATCCGCGGAATCAGCCTGCAATGATGGCGTTTCTTTTCCCCTCCTCTACATTGGGCTCATGGCCCTCAAATTTCCTGGCCGAGCTACCGCTGTCAGACACTGGTTTCTCATCACGGTTCTCTGGCAATGCACTGTTGGGCTGCTCATAGGACTGATCATCGGTCGCGGCGCAAATAAAGTCCTCAGATTCGCCGACAGTCATAAATATATCTCCCAGCCCTCATTCGTGGTCTTTTACCTCTTGCTCGCCGTCCTCGGCGTTGGCGTAGGTTCTATACTCGGCTCAGATGACTTCTTGGTTGCTTTTGGAGCAGGCGTCGGCTTCGCGCACGACAGCTGGTTCAGCAAGAAAACAAAATCCTTGCCTTTCCATACGATCATCGAAATGATCCTCAATAGCAGCATGTTCGTCTTCTTCGGCACTATTATCCCCTGGCACTCCTTCGTTCCCAGAGACGTCACCCCAACTTGTGGCACCTGGCAGCTCCTCCTCTTTTTCATCGCCGTCCTTTTACTCCGACGCATTCCTATCGTATACGCTCTCCAACGTATCATCCCCGACGTGCGAACAGCTCGTGAGGCTTTATTCTGTGGTCATTTTGGACCCATGGGCGTCGGCGCCTTATTCTTGGCCATTGAAGCACGAGCGCAGCTGGAGACAGGGACGTCGCGTCCATTACCGAACCCCGGTAATCCTGTACCACCGTACAGTGAAAAGGTAAGAGCAATTCATCTCGTCTGGCCAGTAATTTGCTTTGTCGTACTAGGAAGTACAATGGTGCATGGTGTGAGTGTGCTGGCTGTGTGCTTGATAGGCCATTATAGGAGGCCGAAGGGAGAACGCGCACCGTTGATTGCGGCAGAGGTTGATGCTCTTGACGCGATGGAGCACGAAGGTGGTGGAGGGGAAAGCGAACCGGATATTTCGGGGACGGGCGATGACTCTGACGATTAGTACGAAGGTTCGGGCTGCATAACAAGGAGTGGATCGGAGGCCAGCATCCCGAAGTGACGAATGGATGGGATATATATTTCATTCCATAGCATTGAGGTTGGTTAAACATGAAAGATCGATCTGGAACTCAAGAACATACACAACTGAATTATAGATTTTCCCAACTTATCTGGGCAGGTACTTTAGACTTTCGTCGCTCGTCGGAGCCACTCGACTCACATACCTTGCCCACCTCCTTGGAAAGAGCCAACGAACAGAAAATCAGCAGTGGTCTCCTTCGCAAATGAGACGATACCAAAGCATTTGTAAAGTTGAACGAGGAAAGTCGACTAAACTCTTCGAGAAACACACTTCCTGCGGTATACACTACCCCATACGCGGCAGCAAAATAAGATCATGTGCCTTGAGCAGGACAGAACCTGCAGGAATTGCGATATAACCCAGACAACAATTCATCTTTGCGAGGAACTCGAGAAGGCCCCGGAGCACGAGTGGGGAGACGGGGGCCATCGCATGTGCAAGAACTTCGTTCAGAAAAAGGGATACAAGGCATTTGGAAAAAGTGCCTTGTAAGCTCAATAGAGAGTCCCAGATATATCTCTTTGACTGATGAGACTTGTCCCAGTGAGCATGAGTGCCCCAGGGGGCCAATTAGTTTCTCCTCATTCTTTTTGGCCGCCCTGGATAGATAGGATGACAGAATACCGGAGATGAAACTGGACTTGGACGGGAATCGGGAACCATGGAAGGGTCATGCTCGAGATACTTTCTGTGTTAGACATCTCCATTGAGTATATTCTTCTGCGGGAGTTCCCCATGTCCTGGGCTTTTCTATCGAGGACGAACGAAGCCGGGACCCTTGTGATGAGCAGTGGCCGGCTCGAAAAGCGGCAATGGATGGGAACTGTGGAATTTTCAATACTCTTGTAGGGATAACTGCATAACTGCTCTTGGTGGATACTCAAATCAATTAAACGTAATGGGATTCTGAACGGTGCCTTTAGATAACGAGAATATTGATGTTGATGTTGATCCAGATTCAAATGCAAACGATCTCATTGGCTTGTCGGGCGACGGCGACAATAGTCCGTAGAAGGCAAGGTACTCCAGGTTTGTCAGCTGATCACGTGCTTATCTTCAACAACAGACAGAGTGGCTTTCCCCTGCTGGAGGATCCATTCTGCCATGTTCCTCCTCTTGTCCTGTCCCTTTTCCTCAGTCCTCCTGGATATATACAGTGTTTTGGGGGCTCTATCTTTGCCGTGAGCTTGTCTCCCGAGGATTGTGATTCTATCCTTGCGCTCACATGCCTCTCGCTGTTTCCAAGCGTCGGTGATGCCATTGACATGGCGAGGGCAGGACTCCCGCGCCCCGAACTCTCCAGCCATAACTATTTTCAGGTCAAGATGGATGTTGCTGGCATGCTTCACAATATGGTTGACTCTAGCCAATGCCATGACGCCTGCGCGCATAGCAGAGCTGCGGCAAGAAACAGTCGATATGTTTTACCACGGCTTCGATAACTACATGAGAGTCGCGTTTCCCGAGGATGAGGTTAGAGCTTTTCAAGAGAGTCTTGACTATCAATCGCTAACTTGCATAGCTGAGGCCTGTGTCCTGCGTACCTTTGACCCGAGACTCGCGGAACCCGCGAAATGTCGAGCTCAACGATGTTTTGGGGAATTACTCCCTGACCCTGATTGACAGTCTCTCTACCCTTGCAATACTGGCATCTGCGCCCCCAGATCGATCGTCTACGGGACCAAAGGCTCTGCGCGACTTCCAAGACGGCGTATCCTCACTGGTATTACAATATGGGGATGGCACAAGCGGACCGGCCGGGGAAGGTCTGCGAGCGCGGGGGTTTGATCTTGATAGCAAAGTCCAGGTCTTCGAGACGGTGATAAGGGGCGTGGGAGGGCTGGTCAGCGCACATTTATTTGCTTCTGGAGAACTTCCAATCAGCAGTTACAAGCCGGTAGTGGCAAAGACCGTGGAAACCAAGCCCAACCATGTCGAGACCCCGACAATAGTATGGCCAAATGGATTCCGATACAATGGCCAACTTCTTCGTCTGGCTCTGGATCTTGCTCAGCGTCTACTTCCGGCATTTTATACCGCAACTGGTATGCCATATCCGAGAGTGAACCTTCGCCATGGAATCCCTTTCTATCAGAATTCTCCCCTTAATCACGACACAGAATCAGACGGTTTCATACTTGATGGCGCGCCCGAGGTCACAGAAACGTGTAGTGCAGGGGCCGGAAGCCTAGTGTTAGAATTTACCGTCTTGAGTCGACTCACAGGTGACCCGAGATTCGAACAACTGGCCAAACGAGCATTTTGGGCTGTGTGGAATAGGAGAAGTTCTATTGGCCTCATTGGAGCCGGCGTTGATGCTGAGAATGGGCAATGGATTGGTCCATATTCTGGAATAGGTGCAGGGTCTGATAGCTTCTTCGAGTATGCGCTGAAGACTCATATCCTACTTTCTGGACACGATTCACCGAATTTAACGGCCCCGTTCAAACAGCCGCACGAATCCTGGCTTGACCCGAATACGATCTATAATCCTTTGAGTATCGAGGAAAACTCATCAGAGGCTTTCTTAGAAGCCTGGCACCAAGCACATGCCGCAATCAAAAGACATTTGTACAGCGGCACTCATCACCCCCACTACATCAATGCCCATTTGGTTACGGGCTCGCCACAGGCCTTCTGGATTGACAGCCTTGGTGCTTACTATCCCGGTCTGCTGACATTGGCGGGTGAGGTAGAGGAAGCAATTGAAACGAATCTGCTGTATACCGCATTGTGGACTCGATACGCAGCACTACCTGAAAGATGGTCTGTGCGTGATGGTCAAATTGAAGGAGGTCTTGGATGGTGGCCTGGACGGCCAGAATTCATAGAATCCAATTACCATCTGTATCGGGCCACTAATGACCCCTGGTATCTCCACGTTGGTGAGATGGTGTTAAAAGACATCAAACGACGATGCTGGACTGAGTGTGGTTGGTCTGGTCTCCAGGATGTTCGTACTGGCGAGAAGAGTGACCGTATGGAAAGTTTCTTTCTGGGAGAAACCGCCAAATATCTATACCTCCTCTTCGACCCAGACCATCCTCTAAACTCTCTTGATGCTGCTTATGTCTTCACTACCGAGGGGCATCCATTGCTTATTCCTAAGGAAAAGAGACCTTCCGCTGTTTCACAGAAGCCAGCAGCCACGAAAGATCTTCTGGCCCATGTTGGTGAACAGGGTAGAGACACATGTCCACTCCCTCCAGTACCCATTCCTCTTACGGTTTCAGCAACAGCAGCTCGGTCTGATATATTCCATGCTTCCAGTCTGATTGGCTTGCATCTGATACCCAATTCTCGTTCAATAGAGGCTGGCACACCGAAGAAAGTGGCTTCGGGACCAAAGCTACAAACATTCCCAAACCACACGTACTATCCTTGGACTCTCCCTGAAACACTCATGCCTGTCAACGGAACATGCGATAAACTTCCTATGAAGACCACGTTCACGATTGAATTCCCCGCCAACGCACCACTATCCACTGTCGATGCGTCGAATTTCATAATCTTCGGGCCTCAGGCCCTCGTCCGACTGAATGATGGAATCCTTGTCAGGAGTCTTTCTGGACTGAAGCTAGGTATGGTTTACGAATCGCCATCTCCATTCAGAGCAATTGATGCACCTCTCCCTGAATCTTGGCGAGTATGGACCATCGCCAACATGGCCCTTGGGCGAGACGAGAAGGTCTTTATCCCTCGAGACGTCATCGGAGACATGAACGATCCATCCTTCACACGGGTACGAGACTCAGTCATGCTAGACATTGTTATTCAACTCGAAAATCCCGTGACGAACAACCGAACTTCTTTCGGGGATTCAGAACTCTACTCCCGATCATCTGATGAAGGAAACGAGGGACCGCAAGTTTCCTTCGATGAATCAACCAACGGAGCTGCCGCCGGTCGAGCAGCCGAATACAGAGGCATGCTCTCGTCGCTCATCCACCAAGTCACCTCTGCCCTCCGGGACCCAGCGACCACCTTACTTCCACAACCCGAAATTCCACAAACATATTCCTTCGCCACCCTCCCCGCCATATCTGCAACTGGCAAGGGCGCCGCGCCAATAATCGATGCCGTCGAAGCCCCCGATCCGAACCAGGGTCCCATCTCAGACCGGTTAGCTTGGAGCAAGATCTATTTTGCCGGCGAAGCATGCACAGGCAAGCTCCCCGACGAAGCGGTCCGCAAGCACCAAATCATCGTCATGCTCCGGGGCGGCTGCATGTTCTCGGAAAAGCTAGCCAACATCCCGAGCTACACGCCCTCGTCGCGGGGTCTGAAACTCGTCATCGTAATCTCGAATTCCGAGGACGACGAGGACGATGAGGACGACGATGGCGGCGGCGCGGGTGGTGACGATATGGGATATAAGCTCATCAGACCGCTCTTAGATCACGAGCAGAGAACTCCGAGCGGACTATTGCGCCATCATCAGATCTCGATGGTTATGGTAGGCGGCGGCCAGGAGGCTCTGGATCTATTCAAGAGAGCGAGGAGCGTGGGGTTGAGGCGCAGATACCATGTTGAGAGTCAGGGCATGGTGGTTGGGAATATCGTCGTCGTCTGATAATTTTGATATTGATATTGATATGATGATATATACGCTTACCTAGATAAGATGGTTAACGAAAATGTATGGTGATTGTTTTTCTTTCTTCTTCGATTTTGGATAAATTGGGCGTCCGTTGTTTGGTTGATTGGAGATACCAATTCTTTTAGCCTTTTTTATCTTTGTGTGATATACAGTATGATATCATGTACCTTATACATATTCATTCACATATAACATATCTGTACCTCTCCCACTGCCCCTCCTCTCCCCTCAAATCCCATACTTCTTTAAAAGTAGAGTTTCCATTTAATTCATTACCTAAAGGTATAATAAGTATACCTATCTAAGGTATCTATCTAAGCCATCCTAGTAGCGGGGGGGGTTATATCCATCCATCCATATGTACCTAAATGTTTCTAAAACTACAATCAATAATCGAGCCTCCCCCCAAAATAAAATGAGAAAAACACAGGTAAGGTGGGTAAATAGGTAGGTCTATAGATGAGATGCCTTATTTATCAGATCGAATCGTGAATAAAACAAATAGATAATAACGCCGTTATGCCTCCGGTGACCAACCAGCATGCCCTTTTCGCTGGGTATTCTTGTTTTGACGAATGAAGGAAAGAGAGGTGAAGTGATATATGTGCGTGTCGTGGGTGGGATTTTATGGTTATTCCCCTTTTTTTCCCCTTCTTTTTGCTCTTCTTGGGAGGGTCCGCTTTGTGGATTTGGGGGAAGAGAAGAGGGGGATGAAGAAGAAGAAGTAGAAGAAGCAGATGATGATGATTATGAGGGGCGTTACCACCAACCTCCCATACCCCCTTTAAGATTCCCATCAATACCTCTCTCGCTCTCATTCCCCATCTCGAAATTGCGCACTAGATCATCCCAGCTCTCCCAATTCACATCACCCGACTCGTTCATATCCAGATCCAACAATGCATTCTCGTCCATGACCCATGGCTGCTGCTGTTCGGGCTGCGCGGGGGGTATGCCCAGTGTCTGCGGTGCCGACGGCATCGACATGTCGTAGGGATACTGATGGGAAGGCGCCGCGTGGTGGTGGGGGAAGTTTGGATTCTGGGTCGAGGGCGAGGGGGAGACGAGGTTGGAGACGAAATCCATGGTGGTGTCGCTGGTCTGCGTGAATAGTGTGTCGCGCGGGGTCGAGGCCGGACAGGCTTCGGGTCTGCTGAGGGTGTCGGACATGCACTGTGGGGGAGGACGCACGTAGCGGCTGTCGATACCGAGTTCGAGGGACGCCGGGTGGTGGTCGCGCATGTTCTCTTCGCGCTTCCTCCGGGCTCGAGCTAGGAGTTTGCGCATGGGCTGCCAGATCATGCCGGTCTTCGTGCTCCGGATCTGGCCGCCCCATTCCCTGAACACGCTGTCGACGGCCTTCCATGCTCTCTCGACTATCAGGCTGGGGGGTCGATTGTATAAGTCGCCGAGAACGTAGGCGATGGCGTGCCATTGGATATAGGTATGGAAGAGCCAGCCCCATTTCTTGGTCGAGGTTTCGGCTTCGAGAACCTGGGAGTACTCGATGATTTCTATGGAAGCCATGAAGAGTCGGTCTCTGATGTTTTGGGGCAAGGGATTATTAGAATTCCTGGGTTGGGTTAGGGGGTGGTAGATTATGAGTGTCATCTTGGCTATTATGAGACGTGCGACGGTCGCGGCTACCCAGTAAAGAGGCCCAGCGTTCTCGCAATATTGAAGATATTTCTCTTCTAGATGATCCGCTGTTTCTTTGATTATCCGTTCCTTGTCTTCAAGCGTCAGGGAGAGGGCTTTATCCCGGCCCGGGCCCTGACCAGGGGGGATATATGAGAGCTTTCGCGAAAGATGGCCAATCTCGTAGCGGATCAAGCAGAATGTCATTTCTGAGACACCTGGTCTTGGAGCGGGTGGTTCTGTGGCATCGGGGTCAAGGTCTATGTCGTTGATAGAAAGCGGGAGTTCGGTATCGAAGGATTGATCCATGATCGATGGGTCGGAGCCATGGTCTTCGGCGGCTCGAACGTCCAAGACGCAGATTTGCCACCAGAGTCGTCTTCGCATTTCGGTATCAAAGGGGGAAAGGCCGAATTTGGTGCCATCCCGATGAAGACCGAGTGATTGAGCTATTCTTATAGCAAGTCCTGTCAACGACCACACAAAGCGGGTATCATCATGTCTGCGGACGCAGACCAGGAAGAGCACAAACGCCTGGACCGTCACGATTTCATTCGTGTTGAGAAAGCCCGCCTTGGCGAGAGCCTGTTCTACGCCAAACCGGTACTGCTTGACTAGATAGTCCTTTTCAACGCCAAAACTCTTCTTCACCTATCTAGGATTAGCAATCGAACACTGTAGATCCTGATCTCAACTCACCTCACTAGAATTCATAGACGTAATAGTGGCAAAGTAAATCGCGAACATCAAGGCTTCAGTACTTTCGCTCAATGAAGATAGATTGTTCTGCACCTCCTTGATAACCTTATTCATCGTCTGCGCGTGCAGGATCTTCACCAGAGGGTGCACGTTCTCGAGGAATGTTTGCCAGTAGAAAGGAATCTGGGAGGGTAGGGGATGTAGGCTCTTGAGATCGACATCTGAGGAGTTGTACCCCATTATGAAGCTCTGATGATTCGGTTCAGTGATCGTATCAGTCGGCAAAATAGGCAGCTCTTCATCCGATTCCAAGTGCTGCTCCTCGATGATCTCCCGCAGCTCTTCGACTTCCTGTCACATATTATTAGCAAGCGTTTGCGGGTCTCCAAACGTGGTTCTACGCACATCACTGATGGTTGCCCAGAACGGGCTCGAGACATATTGGCTCTTCCCCTCCTCCAACACCAATCTCCCCGCTGTCCCCTCCGCGTGATGCACCGCGAACTGCGCCTTGGGCGGTCCCGATCCCAGCGCAAACCCTCTCACGATCCAATCCTTCTTCGTCCCATTTCCCTCATCCATCCCAATCACCCTAACGCTCGCAGACTTCTCCCCGCCCGCCTCGCCCGCCTCGCCGTCCCTCGACTGATCGCTCGCCGGCGAATGCTTCACCGCCTCCAACTCCACCTGGCCGCTCAGCTCCTCCACGACGCCCTCCAGCCTCCGCAACCTCTTCAACAGCTCGGCCTCGCGCTCGCTGAGCGGCTTTCCGCCCTGGCGCGGCCGCCGTGGGGCCCGCCCCGGCGCTGGGAACACGCATTGTGTTTGCGCCTTGGTGCAGTTGGAGCACGGCTCCTTCTTGTCGCATTTGACTTTCCGCCGCCGGCACGTCACGCAGGAGCGCGCATTGAGGCCCGTGGGCGGAGCGGTGGGCTTCCTGTCGGCGGGGCTTTGGGGATTCGAGGGCGGGTTGGAGGGGATGGCGCTGCTGCTGCTGCTGGCGGGGGGAAGGGTCGAGGGGGTGGGCGCCTGTAATGGGGGGTAGGTTGCAAACATGGCAGTCCTGTCTGTTGACCTCGGGGCGTTAGATGATTATCATTCGTTCATGTATTCATTCATTCATTCATTCGTCTTCCTATAGTGGGGGTTTGAAGGGGAGGGACGGAGGATATCAATATCAAACGAAGAGCAGAGAGTGAGTAAGAAGAGGCCGAGGAAAAGAGAGCAGGAAAATCGGTACCGACCGTGGCTATGGACGACGGCGAGGTGATCGAGCCTTTGCTTTAACCTTTGCCTGTGCCTTCGCTGGGCTGTGCAGGGATAAATGACTCTGCTGACGCTGCTTATTACTCTGCCGCAACTCGAGGTGAAAGCAAAAAGCGTCGAGTTTCTGACATGCGGCTCCAAGCGACGAACCGGCCGCCGTACTCCTCCAGTGATGTAAGACCTAAACCCCTTCGCGATAACGACGGAGACTTTTCTTTTCTTTTCTTTCCTTTCCTCCCAATAATCACTGGATTCGACAAATCAGATAAGTCCTTTAGTTTCCGCAGTATCAATGATTTTGTTTTAGCTCCTTGCCTTTACTCTATCTATCCTCCGTTAACCCCGAACCCGACCCAGGCCCCAAATCCCCTCAATCCTTATATCCCCCATCTTACACTGTTCTCCCCTGAACCATCCCCTAAACCACCCCCTAAACCACCCTCAACATATCCCTAACTCTCACTCAACTCTCCCTCCCCTCCCTGACTTATCCCTTAACTCCACCTCCCACTACCAACACAAATCCCCCCCTAAAGCAGCTCCCATCTCGGATTTAAGCTTAAATCCCTCTTCTCAAAAAAAACCCGCTATCAAATCCTTCTTAGTCTCTTCCATCCACTTTACCAAGATAAGCTAAGCGGTGCGGCTTAAAAAAGAAAGACGATTCGTGAGCCGGTCCCGTCGGCTAAGGTACGGCGTGACCCGTCGGCTATAATTGTTTGTCTCTTTGTCTCTGGACGAGGTTATTCGTTTCGGTGAGAATATTTCAACGCTGCGAGAAGGATTAAGCTTAATGACATAGCTGGTGAATGACTTTTGAGGAGTTAAGGGGAAGCAATAACCATAATCATGGATCAGGCACTTTTAGCATATATACGTTATCCTTCAAATCAGTCCCTGGGTTTGATTTTGATGAGAGAGAAGTGATTTGGAAGTTCAATAACCAAGGTACCTATCGGTACAAAAATGGGGCCATTGAGTACCTACTACAAGCATTTGGATAGACAGAAACCGAGATAAAGTAATATACTTGCACCTTATGCACTTGAGTCTGATAGACCGCCAGTGTGATAATGACCAAGTCCACTACAAAACAGTCGATTAGATTCGGCGCTGTATGTAGAAGTCAGGCGGACATGGCAACCTGCCTGAGAGAATGCAATTGATGCACTAGATCAGGCCTATGTTTGCCAGCCTCCTCATGCGCAGCTACATACACAGAACATAAGTCTCGAAGAGCTCGACCACATATTCTGGATCATGTTCTTCATTGTACGGCTTTGTGCGTCCAGAGTCAACTGCAAGTTCGATTGGTGAACAAAAACATATGCATTGGCACCGACTAGTTCCTTGCCTCACACGATGTGTATGAAGAGTGAGAATAGGGGAAAAGAAGGGTGTTCCACAGACCTTCTGGACTCGCCCACTCAACGACATATTTAAAAGCCGCAGGATCTTCCTCTGGCAGCTCCAATTCCTTCTCTCGACCGGGCTGAGGATTGTTCTCAAGAGCAGTTCTGAAGTAGGGGACGCAATCAGAAAGTAATTGTTCATGGATGTATAAGAGCTGTCGTTCAGGGCCAACGTAGACCTTGACTATATTGCTTGAAGTGATGTACCTGAATTCTGTCAGTCAGAGGTCCTTGTTGGGCAATGAGGATACCCACTCTCCGAGAGATACATGGTCGCTAGTCTCTGACTGTTCCAAAGTCATCAAAGGACGCGTCCCTTGCAAAGCTATCTCGCGATGGGCCAAGGTCTGATAATCCCACAGGAAGGGCTGTTGGGTCATCGCTGGGTTATCGCTGAGTCGTCGCTGAGTCGTCACTGAGTCGTCGCTCAATCTGAGTAGTGGATACCTACACTAGTTTGTAAACAAGTTGTTGAACGTGATAATTCCAATAACAGATCTATCCATCCACAGATCAACAACAAAGTTCCATATCGCCTATCCACCACCCCCCTCATCGCCTAATTAAGCGGGTGACAACTGCGCAATATGGCTGACCTCAACCCTCGCGCCAGACCCTTTGTTGTGGGTGATAAAACTGATCCAACAACAACATCATTCAAGGTGAGCCGCCTCCTCTTCCAGAGTACTCAGGCTCATCAAAAGGAGTATCAACACTCGTGATTGGACTCGATCTCTGTACTTTGAATAGACAAAGCTAACTTATCGAAGAGTACAGACAAACCTGAGGAAGGCGAATCGTCTAGCATCCTTGGAAGCCAGGTAAGTCCATCAAGGCGCGATTGCCAATCATCAAAGAAGACCTTGACAAGAAGCTGAGTATCAAAAGACAAACCGTTACCTGTTCAGAGAGCTTTATCCAGAAGATCTCCGCGTCATATTACTGGTAAGCGCGTCCATTTTCCTTCTTTCCACATCGGTCTCCAACACGAAATATCGTTGGAACGTAGCTGATATCAGGAAGTCTCGCTCTGAGATAGAGATACTCTTTCACGCGCCAACAATGGCTCCCCCCAAACTTACATCTTATTTGGAGGCCACGGGCGACGGTAGTCCTGATGGTCGTCACGTCTGGCTTACCGAGGCTGGAATGAACGTAGCAAAGGTTGTCCCTGGCATTCCTCCGGCCTTCGAGAAGGAGATCCTCGAAAGTCGAGCTCTTTACGTCGTGGGAGTCCCACAGAGCTGGCAACTCCTAGCATTCAAACAACTCTTCAAAGCCTGTGGCACTGTCGACAAATGCCCATGTATCATTGACTTGGAGGCAGAGCAGACTTTCCGCTGGGTTATCATGAGTACAGAGGACGAGGCCAACACTGTGATGCAGCGAATCGATGGTATGCTCCTCCAAGGCAACACGATACGCGTCTGCAAGGCTCTGCCTCCAGGAGACAGTTTCATCCTCAGCGATGAATATCCACTTGAGAGATTCTTACAGTGGGGCTGGGACAGTGGCAGAGATCCGGCGGAGGCTGGAACTGTTCACGGCCATCCGGCACCACCGGCTACACAGCAGCAACTTGCTCCAACGTCATCTCAGCCAGCGTCATCTCAGCCAGCATCATCTCAGCCAGCATCGTCTCATCCAGCATCGTCTCAGCCAGCAGCTCCTGAAGTAAAGATTAGTGCACCTGCAACTGTTCAGCCAGCACCTGATGGTTTCGTAACCCAAGCCGCCTCCTGGGCAAACATAGCCCGTGCTGCTCGCGGAGGTTCCCTCACTGTCGATCTCCACCCCGAAAGCAGGCCACTTAACAGTGCCCCCCGTCTCCATCCAGTTGGAAGAATCCCCAGCATATCCTCTACTGGCAACATTGAGCCCATGGCCGAACAGATGCGCGTGGTATTCATTCTCAACCTACCTCAAAATATGACTCTTGCCGACATATCCGATGCTATCAAGGAAGGATCTGTAGTAAGTACCCTAGCATCGGAACAATGATGTTCAAGTAGAACTGCGTTGGTGATGCTGACTTGAGATTCTGCAGCACAGCATCCGCTTTGGCCTCGATGAATCCGAGGGAAAGAAGTACGTCGGTGTGATCTTCCAGTATGCCAGCGACGCCGAGAGCTTCTACCAGGTCCTTCGCAAGGAGCGTGCTGACGGCACCCCGGGTCGATTCCGCTTCATTGTCGACGCAGTCAGGGGTGAGGCCTTCTTGGGCGACGATATGATCAAACTCATGGGCCCTCCATCCTTCGCTACCCGTCGCCTCACCATTGTCAAAAGCCGCTTCTTCTTTATGTATAAGGAGAGTGAATTCAGACTTTTCTGCGAGAAGACTGTCGGCCGAGAGAATATCCAATGCATTTGGATATACAATGGAGGAAATGCGACGGTGGTTTTTGCGGACGTCAAATCGGCAGTTCATGTCAAGAGGGAATTGGACAAGAAAAGCGATGTTGCAACGGGCGAGGACCCCTTCCGCGGCTTGCAAGTCACCTTTTCGAAGGATCCGTGTGTCCAGGAGATCAACTTTATTACTGATATGTAGTGATGAAAGGCCGGACAGAGCATCGACGGAGTTGGCATGGTTGGATGGACAAGAGTTTGTTGGACAACCGTGATTCTCTCTGGGTATCTCTCTCCTTCGGGATGCGTGACGTGGACTTTTCTTTTCTTTTTGTTCTGAGCCTGCTTACGCCAATCTGAGGTCTTTTCTCCGATCAGGACGAATGAGGAGCTCCGACTCATCTTCGATCTTGACAGATAATCAACCAAAGATGATAGCAATTCGTGCCCTGTTTCACTGTAAATAGGGTTTTGCTTGCTTTTAGCAGAATACATCATATGACTTCAGTAACTGGGATTCAAATGCAAAAATTGGGGTAGAAAGTCAAGATCAATCAATAATACCCTCGTACCGCACCTACTTACTCCCTTCTACGGGTATCTCCTAGCAAGACGAGACAAACACATGCATAATCTGCTTCGGTGGACCCAGAACCACTATAGTTCTGGCCACTCCCTCAGACATCAGCAGGCAAAATTATCATATGCCATCTCACATACCCAGACAGCGCCAATCCTGACCAATCCAGGTCCGATCAAGAGCGGGGACTCCAATGCCCGAAATTTCATTTACGGAACTCTTTCCAGTCCCATATTTCAATATCTGAGAATATGGCATTCTCGGACTCTCACCCAAACCGCGAATATTATATCAATTGGTATGGTTGCTTCGCTTACCTTTCCGATTGCATTAAATTCCCTCTTCCAATCCAATCTCTTTCTAATTCCAGGCCCATGTAGGAAGTCCCGCCGTGGAAATCGTTCCCGTCCATTTATATCCGCTGGGGAACTGTTGTGGTACCAGAGCAGGAAATGGGCCAGTTCCGTGCAAGATTAGACTCTGTGCAACTACTCTGGCCCTTCAGACACCCAAGTATCTACTGCAATTGCTGGGTCTGGATCGCTCATTTGGTGGATTGCATGGTTAGCTATCAAGCCAAGTGAGCTTCGAGCGAGTGCGAGTGCGGGCGCGAAGGGTTGCGTGTTGAGACACCACGCACTTTCGAGGATATAGTTGACATCGAGACAATAGATAAATACTTATTCGTAGGTAGGGGAGGAAGGTGTTTGCTGATGACTTGCTCCTGTACTCTGGACTCGAAATGAAGAAGCTGAAGTTAACTAGGAGACGGCTTATGGGATGGAGAAGGAATATGCATGCTGCTACACGAGTAGCTTAACGTCTTCGGAAGTTGTAGCACGTCTCTTTGACTTTGCAAATCAATGGCATCTCAACATTTCGTGCTGTGCAAAGAAGAAGAGGGTTTCCAGCTGATGTGCGATGTCAGATTAGAGCCCCTGAACGCACCCCTGTTCATATTTCCATGATTACATAAGCGGACAAACGCGAAGGTCCAACCAGAAGCGCCGATGGTCTGTCAGACCAGCGTGGCTGACGTCTTTTTGAGCCTTCTGGTCTGCATGCACGAAAACTGCGATGTGCAACAAAGCTCGAATGCTAACATCACGTGCATAACAGCACATGCTAACCCAACATCCACCTCTAACTTCGAGTCCTGAGATAAAGGTATCAAGCTTTTAAGCAAGACATGTCTGACTCGGTTATAAGATATGCGTTTTTATCTCATCTAGGTTTAATTTTAAGGAACCTTACTGCCTTCGTGCTAAAAATTGTATACACAGGAATTACTCTTTCTACCTCCCGTCTGTCCTAGATTGAATTCCTTATCAGGAAAGTCTGTAAAGACTCAACTGCCGGCAGATATTGCCTGTCAAATACCTTAAAAAAGTAAGTCTTGATTATCAGAAGTTATTCTCGTTGAGCCAGCAGAATATTGGGTCTCTACCGCCCTCCCCCCCCCCCCCCCCAACTCCCCCCACACACACTCTCTTTCCAACAACCAAAGATTGAGAGACGAAGCATGACATTGGAGTTCCCAATTTGTCTCTCATGATACGAGATTGCTGTTTATATCTCGATAACGGCCTGGATTCTAAGCCCTAAGGATTTATATTTGTATGTAATAGCAGGCTCGAGGTGAGGACTTTGCACAAGTTTTCTCGCCCGATAATTCGGTGTTTTCTCTCGAGTAGTGCGCGTTTGTACTTCCCATTTCTGGCACTACTTCTCCTAGGTATGACATATTTATCAGTCACTGAACTTATCGTAATGTCAATAGAAGGCTTCCACTTGGCCGACCAGTGGAGATGATTCTCAAGACTTCTTTTCAAAATTGATTATGGAACTGAGACTGCGGACCTGCAGTTCCCTCAAATGCGAAAAGAGTGGGAGATAAGAATTGCCGCATGCTTCTCAAAGATGGTTTCTATCTGGACTTACATATCATTTTCCGTGTTGAGCTAAAAAGCTAGAATACCTTGACCCTCAAGAGCTGCAGTACAGAAAGAAAGGGAGTTTTCTAAAACCCGTTGGTTCAAAAAAAAGCCAAGTTTAGAGTTCTAGAGGTGTCTTGCAACTCCCATTGTTCGCTGGATGCATAATGAATCCCTAGAAGTAGGTTCTCGAACTCGCCCAACCTCTTCCTCCAGTTTCCTTCCAACTTGCTTTATATTAGGGACTGCGGGTATTAAAGCAAGGGCACATTCCCACCAACGTACGAAGATCAGGCAATAATACACTGATATTGAGTAGACTCCATCCCGAAGAAAAGGAACACAATCTACAATGGTTTCATCATCTCGCACACAGAAGGAAAAGCCCGACCCTATAGTCTTCAGAGCTCCCCTGCTCAAGCCGGACACGCGTCTCAAAGTCTTCACGAAGGAGTTCCACGTTTCGAGCGTCATACTAAAGCAGAAGAGTGCGTTCTTCAAGTTCCTCGAGTCGCCCGACAAGCCTGCGCCCACGGCTAGGGGGCCTTTTCGGTACGAATGGATCACGAAGGTTGATTCGGATGGGACGTGGAGTTTGGAAGATGCTTTTGATTCGAAGGTGAGTTTCTTCCGAGATAAGGGGTATTGATAGCATGCCTGCTGCTGTGCTGCGAATACCTTTTTCTCAGAGAACTTGGCTTGACGAGATTCTTCAGGAGTCAGCCGGAAATATAGAGGATTTTGGCGGCAGTCCCTATGTTCGAAAAAGTCAGGAAACGGCCTTTGAAAAATTGCTACTTGCGTTCTACGGCCGGCCATACACTATTGAATTCTTCGTAGAGCTCCATACGATGGTACAGATGGCAGAAGATTATTGCGCCCTCCCTGCACTCTCTGCCTCCTTGTCAGGAGCTCTTTTCCACAGTCCAAAATTCCGTTCTAACATTGGATATTTTTCTACCAAGCTGCTTGGATTGGCTATTAAGCTGCGACATGAGGTCCTGTTCAGGGAGTGCTTGATTCATGTTCTTGGACCGTGGAAAAAACCGAGGTACAAGGCCATCTTCAATCCTAACCTTTACAATATCGCGCAGGCAGCCTACAATAAAATGTGTGCAGACCTTGTATCTTGCCAGCAAGAAATCTCACACATAATATTTGAATGGCCACCGAATGAAGTGACTAGACAGACTTGGGAGATCCTCAAGTTGACTGATCAGGGCGACGGCATTTCAATGCCAGCATATTATGCAGCTCTTCAGAAATCTTTGGATATCCTCTGTTACGGAAAGAGTTTTCCGACTCTGGAAAGGCTGCTTTCAAATAATCTCGTCTTGGACCCTTTTGGAGAGACAGGAGTCGACAAATACACGGATTTCTTCCTTTGTGGAACTGACGTCGAGCTACCATGGAATCAAACAGAATCCGACTGGTAAAGAAGGTAAAAAATGCCCCTTTTCTAGTTGTCGTGTGCAGGTTCATCTTTAAACTAAAGAAGAACGCTCCTAGTTGCTTGACAGGATAGAATAATTCTCAAGCTTTGAGAGAGCGACGGAATCTAGCTAGTCACTTGGACTAGACAGTATATCATCAACCTACTCCTGAGACTGAGCCTCGACACAGACACGGCAAACGACATTGAATTTGCAGACTCCGGGTTCCTTCGCTCTCAGTGCTATCACTTGGGCCCCGGAGACTTAGCCTGTTAGATAGAGCAACCGAAAGAACATTTTTCATCCAGCGACTTTCACACTCGTGAAATCACTTCATTTGAATCCATTTAATTTGACTAATTAGTAGCACCTCTGAGCGCCATACTCCCTAACACCAATATCTCCAATTCCTTTCTCTCATCCTCCAACCCACTTGCGCCCAGCCCGCTCGTTCCATTGACGCCTTTCTTTCCTCCATTATTCCCTCCACCGGTACTGTTCAGCTTATAGATCTTCTTTACTCTCGCCAGGTCTGTCATTGTTTGTAACACCTCGTCGCTGAACTCTACTTGCTCCCCATCTACTTCCTTACTTAAGTGGGATTGGATTTCTGTGGCGGTGGCCGGAGACGAGGGAGTTGAGACCTTAATGGCGAGGAGGTTTGTAGTTTGGGGAGTGATCCCAAAGCGACGGAAAGACTCTGCTATCTATTCAGAGAGATCTTGTCAGTGTCGTGCACCGCGAAACCAGGATTGGGAAGACCCACGTTATTATTCGGACTCAAGGAGAAAACAATCTCCGAGTGCACGTTTCGACTTCGTAGTCTGCTCTCAAGCGAGTCATTGACGGCCCTGTACGCTGCGGCTAGAGCGTGCAGCCTCGACATGATCTGGAGTGGACGTGGTTAGCGGGTTATCACGTGATTTGGCGGGGAAGGAAGGACAAGGAGGGGTGATGAGAGGAGCTTAGAGAAAAGGGGGTTGCTGACAACGCTGGCATCAATGAGCGCGTATTCAAAGTCCTTATTCCCTGCAAGGAGCTGTTGGTGGAGGAATGAGGCATTTTTTACGTTTCGGAACAGTGCCGTATGGACGGTGTGACTGGCGGGCAAGTGTTCGAGGGCGATGCTCTCGAGGGCCATGGTAGCAGATGGATTCGGGGAGGCTGTCTTGGATCTCTTAGTCGCGGCGACAAGACAGGGCTGTTTTGGCTGTTCTGGCTATTGTGGATGTCCTAGCTGCCGTGTCATGAGGGGGGTTTCCAGGTATTGAAGCTCCAGCCGTGCGAGTTGAAGAGGTGGAAGAAAGAAGCCGTTCAGCCTTACTTGACTGACGCCGTCGTTCCTTGCATCCGATTGGCTGTGTGGCTGTCTGCGTCTGATTGGCCGTCTCATTGGCTGGCAGATGCACGGCGATGGCCTGCACAGCTTTTCCCCGGGTCGGCTAATAACATTGTCAGAAGCCTTGCAGTGTCAACTTTATACACCGGGCTATTTTATTCGACAGAGTATTCCTCCACAGCTCTTCACAGTCTCAATTAGCCCTGCAGGGTCTTTGCCTTTCGCACAGTCCATGTCCCTTTAGTCGGGCCCATCGCGTCCCTCGGCTACCCCAAGTCCTTAGCGCCCTTCTACGGTTCAACAGTTCAACAGCTCTCTCAGAGGCTCTGCATTCTGGCCTGGACTCTGGTCTCTGGACTATTCGGGACTACTTGGGCCTCGAAGACTTCTTCACTTGGTAACCCCGACCCTCCTAGCAACTGCTCCCACTCTCTGCTTAGTCTCGACCGCTCGAACCCCACAAGACCACTGGCCCTCCCTCCCTCCCTATGCCTATGCGACTCTTCCCCCACACTTCGCGGGCGGTGTAGTACCAAGATACTCCATCCGCAAATCTTCCCTCTCCCGAGTCCGCGACCCTGGGAGCCTCCCAAGCGCATACGGCGCCTTCCAGCATTGTCCGGCATCATCCGCCACATGTTCCCACTATGCCTCCCAAGCGCAACGCATCTGATGATTCCAACGGCGCTCCCACAAAGCAGATCAAAACCGAGCATCCCGAGGAGTTCTCAAATGTCGTGAAGAAGAAGTTGCAATCCTCGTCGAGGACCGGCCAGGCTTGCGACCGCTGCAAGGTCCGTTAATGGCCTCCCATGGAGAGACTTACGTGAATTCTTGGAGAGAAAGTACTGACGCTTTGAACCGGCAGGTCCGTAAAATTCGATGCGATGGACTACCGGGGGGATGCTCGCCTTGCTTGCAGAACAACACAGAATGCCGGACTACCGATCGAATTACTGGCCGCGCTACATCGCGGGGTTATGTGGAGGGACTTGAACAACAGAACCGGGATATGCAACAGAGGATTCAAGAGTTGGAACAGCGGCTGATGCAAGGTGGACTCGATGTCAAACCCTCAAATGGCTACCACGATCCGACTGCCCCGAGCTATGAATATAACCCGTTATCCTCGAATGCGCAAGCGCAGTCTTGGAATGCTTCTACCTCATCCTATACGGCGCAGCCTGGAGATGCCATGGGCACACAGCAACAGGAGACAAACTTGTTTCGTGCGTTGCCAACTTTTCGCGCCGGGTCTATAAATGACAGCTACCTTGGCGTGTCTCCTGGCAACTCCAATCTCAGCTCAATCAAAGGCACTGCCCTCTCTATCCTTGGGATGGAGATTGATATCGCGGATTTTGACTCGCCGGATATGGATGAGCCAGATCCTTCGGTCTTCCATCCCCAGCTGTACAACAAATCATACCAGGCTTTCATCCAGTCCGCTATGAACGTAAACCCAAGGATTGAGAAGGTGGACTTGCCAGATAGAGCTGATGGCTTGACTTACGCTGAATGGTACTTTCGTGTTCTCGGCCCATATCTCCCTGTCCTCCACAAACCAACGTTCTTCAAACTTGTAAGTTCATGAGACTCAACACCCCAAGCCAACAGACGACTAATCATAGAAGCTACTTCGCATTTACGACGATCCAACTTTCCGCCCTACTACGGCCGAGACGGTCATGGTCCACATGATGTTTGCCATAATGTTCTTCCAGTATTCAGTTCGGAATTGGGAAGATGCAACTCAGCGAACAAGCCTCAACAACCAGTCTAATATGCACTACCACTATTCTCTCAGCATGCTCTACCAGCTCGCCCGTAGTCACACGTTCCAAGATGTTCAGGCAATGACCCTTATTTGTGCGCATCTTCGAAATTTCCCAAAGCCCGGTGCAAGCTGGATGTTAACCCAGGTGACGCTCTCATTGGCCATCGAGCACGGTCTTCATCGATCATCTAAGAGATGGGCTCCTGAAATTACCATGAACCCTCTTGAAGTTGAGATGCGTAAGCGCACATTCTGGGGTTTACTCGCTATTCACATCACGCTTAGTGGTAAACTTGGCCGGCCAATGATGTTTGGGCTGCAGGACTTTGATGTTGAGTTCCCAGAGCCCGTCGACGACGAGCTACTCTCTGAAAAGGGACTGGACACCTCCCGGCCTGGCAAATGCCGTCACAACATTGGCTTGGCCGCGTTTAGAATCTTGCCGCTATTCATTGAGATGTATGACACAGTTTATGCGGTTCGGCGCAATCCAGAGACTTACGTTTCGACTGTGAATAGTCTGGAGGCAAAGCTGCGTGCTTGGCAGGATGAACTGCCAGCTGACCTTGTCAATGGAGAGGCAGGCGACAATGAGAACCGGGTCTTTCCACTATATGCCCAAATATGGGCGTATGAATTCCGCCTACTTCTTCGGCACCCGTCTATGTCTGTGACCTCAGATGCCAATTTTAACAAGGAGAGCACGAGAATTTGTATCGAGACCTCTCGCCAAATGCTTGGTGTCGTACGACAACTTCAGAAGTACAAGAGTCTTGATACGACTTGGTATAATGCTGCTGTTTATGTGATGGCGATTACTACGAGCCTGTTCGCTCAGTGGACCAAGCGAAGTGAAATAACAGCGGCTGACTTTACAGCACTAAGAGAAGATATGGATATCTGGTTGGATATCATGGGTGACGTTGGAAATTTGCTAGGTAAGTCAGGTCCATTTGCCATTTTAAACTGGATGACTAACATATGCAGGCTCTGGAACACGTCTGAAGGAAGCAGTTCGAGTCGTCGTAGATTGCACACTGGGCCTCCTCAACCGTAGCCTTCCGCAAAACAAATCCTCTTCCTACACAAATACCGTAGAAGACAACAAACTTCCAAAACAACAATCAGTACCCCATTCCAACCAAATCAACTTTTCTGGGCCATCACAAAATTACAGCTATAATAATGACACGGCGCCCAATGGAGAGAATGCACCTTCGATTTATAATCCACCCGACGGGCAACTTCCCCACCAGCAAACTCCATATCCAGCAGCTACCCAGTACTCCACCTATCCTGATCCAGCTACGAATTCATCAAACTTGACCTACACATCCGACGACAATTTCTCTGGCTACCCTGCGACCACCGATGCAGTCGAAGCACCCCTTCTTGCCGCCTTCGCTGCGCAGGCCTCGCAAGTTGCCCCTGCATGGCGTTCTACTCCAGCATCCCTTCCAGCAAATTCAGGCTCACATGCCTGGCAGCAATGGACATCGACAATGGCGGGTAATACAAATACGGGGAATCTCGAACCTCAGGATTGCTATTCAGCTAATGCGCTGATGCAGCTAGGCGGCCGGGAGATTGGTAATGGAAATCCAGAGAATACAACGACGAGTGCGAGCATGACGGATATGAGCGCCAGCGCGGGATTGGAGCATGGTCATCTGCCCAGTTCGGCCAATGGTGGAATGACCGCTGAATGGCCGTTGAACATTTTTAGTGTTGGTCAAGGATCGTGAGTACCAACAAGGGGTTTGGAGTTTTGAGGATAACATTAGGCATGGCACGTATGGGTGATAAAGGAAGCTTGGAAGAAGTTTGTACGATTATCAAACGATGGAGTTGCTTTTTACAACCGGGGAGTCCTGGCGTTAGGGTGGCTGAGATAACTTATCTGACTTCTAGATAACTTATTATACTGTGTAGCATATTGCACCTCGTCAGTACCAAATTCAACAAGAGTAAATCATGGCTTGTTGTGAGTCGATCGAATCTGTATCTCGAGGGGAAAGCCAGGAGGGCGTTGTACGTAATTCGCATCGTTTTTGTTCAGAGCATTGTATCGCTGTGCGGCAGGGTTGACAATATTCCAACCAAGCCAAGCTCTCATCACAGGTCTTGTAGCTCAGACACGTGGATTCGTTGTTCGTGGGGCTTCTTCATTCCACGAGAAGTTCTGAACGGCTAAGCTTTTACTCCTGATCTGTCGCTTCCCAAAGTGTGCTAGCCTACTCATGCGTTGCACGGAGCAACGAAAACATCAACAAATCCATCATAACCCGAACGACCCAAAATACTTACCTGCACCAAACTATCGACAACATCGGCAGCATCGACAGCACCTAGTTCTCGTCTTTTGTCTCTCCTTTTGTACCATCTAAATCCTATCCCAACTGGTTGGCCTCGACCAGCACAACATTCGCTACAAGGCCGAGCGCGCTTTGTTTACTCGGCATCTTGAACGAACGAGTTGGATGAAGTACAAACAGGATACTTTCTGACAATGGCTCACCCAAATCCAGGAGCATCCTCAATCTCGGTGACTGGTATGCCTTACGTTTGACCTCGAGAATCGAAATACTAATTCTTGCTAGTTCGTGTTCGACCTTTCACAATTCGAGAAGCAGCACAAATGTACGTCGATTGGCCCTGTAAGCAAAGTGCAGTGACTTACAATTTGCAGCACAAAGAATGATGAGGGAACACTCTTTCTCGGCGACGGCTCGCTCGCAGGAGTCCCTACTCCAAAGTTGGGCAACAAAGGTATCCGGCCTGTCATAAAGGTGGTGGATGACAAGTGCCTGTAAGTACAGAAAATCAAAAACGCTTCCAGAGACTGACCGGAATCAGAATCTTCGACCCTCCTGAGGATAATCCGGTCCAAAAGTTTTCTCGAGCAGTTGTTTCTAATATGGGCAAGAGAGTTAAAGATCAGACATTCGGCTTCGATAGAGTCTTCGACGAGAACACAACCCAGGCCGAAGTATACGAGGCTACAACAAGAGGTTTGCTAGATAGCGTTCTCGATGGATATAATGCGACAGTATTTGCGTACGGTGCAACTGGTTGTGGAAAAACTCATACAATCACGGGGACTGCGCAACAACCCGGTATCATTTTCTTAACTATGCAAGAGTTATTCGAGAAGATCGGCGAAAGAAGCGATGAGAAGCATACCGAAGTTTCTCTCTCATACCTCGAAATATACAACGAGACGATTCGGGATTTATTGGTTCCTGGTGGCAGCAAACAGGGATTAATGCTGCGTGAAGACGCAAATCAAACCGTTTCCGTGGCGGGGCTCTCAAGCCACCACCCTCGAGACGTCCAAGAGGTCATGGATATGATCGTCAAAGGCAATGAATACCGCACAATCTCCCCGACGGAGGCCAACGCCACTTCATCTCGATCACACGCCGTTCTTCAAATCAACGTTGCACAGAAGGAGCGAAATGCGGCTGTGAACGAACCACACACAATGGCAACTTTGAGCATTATCGATCTAGCAGGCAGCGAACGTGCAAGCGCTACAAAGAATCGTGGAGAGCGATTGATTGAAGGTGCGAATATCAACAAGTCTCTCCTGGCTCTTGGAAGTTGTATCAACGCGCTTTGCGATCCCCGAAAGAAGAACCACGTACCATACCGCAATTCAAAACTTACTCGACTCCTGAAATTCTCGCTGGGCGGAAATTGCAAGACAGTCATGATTGTCTGTGTCAGTCCTTCAAGTGCACACTTCGATGAGACACAAAATACTCTACGATATGCAAACCGAGCCAAGAATATCCAGACCAAAGTCACACGAAATGTGTATAATGTAAACCGACATGTTAAGGATTTCTTGGTGAAGATTGACGAGCAGATGGCTTTGATTAACGAGCTTAAGGCGCAGCAAAAGGATTCAGAAGCCGTGGCATTTGTAAAGTTTAGGAAGCAGAACGACAAACGAGAGAACATCGCAAGGGAAGGTGTCATGCGTCTCCGAGCAGCATTTGATAACTCGGCGCCTGAACGACAAGAGAAGGTCAATAGTATGAAGAAGCTCCGGCAAATCGAGCGTCGCATTGCTACCTTATCCGCGTGGATTGCGGCTTTCGATGGCGTATGTGAGTCACGAGATGAATATGACATGTACCCAAGTCTGGTTGCTATGCGAAAAACGGCTCAAGGAATCTTGTTGGAACTCGAGAACAGCAGACAACATTATCACCAGAGACTAGACAAGATCAATTGGGAGCGGGCTGTCGATTCAGCTTTACAAAACAGCATTCGGCAACTTACTGAAGTCGATGGGTCTAGCGATGGTCTTGACGTGGCTAGCTTGACCCGCGAGGCCGAGCTGTTGAAGGCCAACGCTGGAAGAGAGGCTATGCTAGAGGTTCTGGAGCAAGAAAAAGGTGGTGATGCGGGCATTATGCAAGTGCTGCTCTCAGCCCAATTCGAGCTGATGTCTTCGCTCAATGAGATCCTCAGCATGGGCGAAGAAGAAGCTGTTCAACATGCTAAGAAGGTTCTGGGTAAACTATTACAGACCTGCTCCGAGGCGGCAGCCCAAGTGGTCAAGCCGGACGGGTCATTAAAAGTGACGGAATCACTTCCTCCACTCAAACGTGGCACCCCGAAGCGCAAGAAGCAGGCGGCTGCCATCGATGGCCATTCGCGGCCTGTTCCACCTATGGCAACTCTCGCCATGGCTCCACAGGTTTTCTCCTCTCCTATGAAGTCCTCGCCGAGACGTCGAAAGGCAGCATTGGGAAAGAAGGGGGTGTCTTTTACACCCAAGAAGAAATCCCCTTCCAAACGAAGCGTTCGATGGCGGGACGACACCGAATCTGGAAAGCTGGCAGAATTTGAGAAGACTCCTCAGAAGATACAATCCACACCCGAGGTTTCATCAGTGGAGCGCACCATCGTGCCGCCCCCTCTACCACCATACTTGGCTGAAGATACCTCGAATGACTCCCTAGGCTCTTCACCTATACCTGCCGCGCCAGAACCTTCAATAGATATTAAGCCGAAAGCGAATCGATTCCAAGCCGGCTTTCTCTCGAAGAAGGCACATGTTGGATCTCCACCACCCCCTACCATCACAAATTTATCTTCATCCGACACCGACCTGTCCCCGCTCCGTACAATCGATCCGGGAAAACTTACGAACCGCTCTTCATTGAACGTAATGCAAACCGCTGACAATGACAACACTACCACCGATAGTGGTAACAACTCCTCTTCAGAGGGCGAGAACTGGCGAGTGGATCGATCTGAGGGTGCAAGTATCAGCCGCGCATTGAAGCGCAGTGGATCTTTGTCACGTCAATCAAAGCATGGCCATTCAATGTCCGATTCAGCCAGAACTCATCGACGCCGAAGCCCAACAGCAGCGACTATGGCTGGCTCACCTCCAAATGAAAATAACCTTTTCACGGCTGGTCATGCAAGACGTATGGTTAATACCCAAAAGGAAACTACGTTTTCAACCAGTGTCTTGAGTCCCCGAAGTAACCCTGTGACAAAAAGCACTAGTCGCCGCACGACGATTGGAGAAGGACGACAAGCAAGCGGTATGGGCAGCCACGCAATCCGCCTTAACGGCACGGTTGGCAGCGCACCGAAAGTGAGGGAAAGCGTAGCAGGTGTTGTCGGCAAAGGAGGTTGGCGATGAACCAACCTTTAGAGCCCGAGATTCACATGTTTTGTTGTATTAGTACAGTTGGCCGATGTTGGTGGTGTTGGTGTTTTAAGGGGTTGGAAACTCAACCAATTGCATGAGCGCGATTCCAAGCATAATGATAATGACTCCTATGTTTCTTGTTTTCAATTTCATAGGTAAAGACGGCGTCCAGATTGGAGTTTTCGATAGCGTTGTTATCTGTAGGGAGGGTGTTTTTTTCAAGACTCGGAGGGGCAAGTTTGCATTATTGGCTAAGTCAACAGATCATCTTCACCTTATATCCTTTGATACTTGTGAATGCCTAACTTGTGAGAATCGAGGAACGAGAGGTAGGTCCATGTTTGAGAGGAGTTGTTTGATGGGGAGGTGAGGTAATATTCTGTAACGTTGCTTGTTTCTTGGGTTTGTTGAAGATATATGCACCGGTTGAAGGTTATACCCTGCGAGATTTACTAACAGACGGTAAAGAAAGAGGAGAATTGCAATTGGAAGCCGGCGGAACTATGTGTATGTACCTCTGAACCTCCCCCCACCTCTTATTGTCCTGACCTCAGCAATGCCACGTTACAAGGCTACCTGGACAAAGTAAACTATTACTGTGTGGCACTTAATTCTGGCAATCTATTCTGCATTTAAATCTAGAATCATATCTTTGAGACTTATCTTCTTTACAGAGTTCTGCTTTATACCTAGGACCGGTTTAACATAACAGAGGTAAGGCCAGCCAATCACCAACTTGTTATTTCATTGAGGGCGAAAAGCGGTGTGAATTCTGCCACCATCCTCCAAGCTTTGGGCATCTAGACCTGGACGTTCGCGACCTGAGAACAATCACTCTGTATGTTCAAAATGCCGCCGTAAATGGCACCCCTTCTGCCAATATGCACAAAGGCAAGATAATGAGAAAGCTCCTAGGGCATCCTACGGCTACTACGAATGAAACCATCGAAGCCAACATCGACTCGCCACAGCTGCGGCCGAGCGCATCACAGAACACCGTCTACTCGGCGCGCGCGCCCATTGCGTGCCTCGACCGGTCTCCCGATGGCAAGCGTGCTGTAATTGCCGGTCCAAAAGTCTTCAAAGTCCTCAGAGTAGACGGGTCGACTATCGCTGAAGACCTCGACCTGCGGAACATCATCACGCGCTATGCGCCTTCGCACGATATCACCGCTGCCACGACGGACCAGCTCAACATCCGGGCAGTCAAGTGGTCGCACAGCAACCTCGACACCACGATCATCACAGCGTGTGGAAATGGGCGGGTTACGCTCTATGATCTGAACCATGTTGGCGAGAATCTGGAGGTCGCTCGTATCCACGAGCATGCCCGCCAGGTGCATAAACTCGCGATCAACCCGTTTGGATGTAACTGGCTCCTCTCAGCCAGCCAAGATGGAACGGTCAAGAGTTTTGACCTCCGAAGCCCTTTTGCGGGGCGCAATGGGCCGACATTTCGAGCGGTACACAATTTCAAGTGCAATGCTGATGCTGTTCGGGATGTGAAATGGTCGCCGACAGATGGAATGGAATTTGCATGTTCTACAGATGCCGGGATGGTGTTGAAGTGGGATATTCGGAAGCCGACTGCACCGATCCTCAAGATTACTGCCCATCAGAGCGCCTGCTTCTCTATTTCGTGGCACCCGGATGGAGAGCATCTGGTGAGCGGAGGCATAGATCAGCATTGCTATGTGTGGGATGTCTCGAAGAAGGCTGAAAGGGGGCAGAAAGCCAGATACTCCTTTACCACACCTGCTCCAGTCTCTGCTGTTTGTTGGAGACCGGCATACTGGTCTGCCACCGCTCACGGAAAACGGGCTGCTCAGATTACTGTTTCCTACGACGATTCCAATGTGATCAGGAGCCAAACAGCTTCTGTACATCTATGGGATATGGCGAGACCTTCCATGCCATATAAGGAAATCGAACAGTGGGATAGTCCACCGACGGGGCTTCTCTGGAGCACCCGGGATCTTCTTTGGAGTGTTGACAAGGAAGGACATTTTAGACAGACGGACGTTGCTTTTGTGCCAAAGCTTATAGACCGTCGCAGTCTCTCCAATTTTTCGTTATCACCGAATGGCGATGTTCTTATGGTGCTTGAAGAGCGACAGAACTCAAGGCGGCCCCGTCCCTCGGTGACTTCGCCTGGAATATCCTCACCGGGACTGCCCTCGCCGGGAATCGCCTCGCCTGGAATGCCCTCACCTGGAATGTCTCCAGGTTATCAGCGTAGTTCTCCGGTGCCTCAACTCAGCGTTAGCCGCAGCGATTCAGAAGAGGACGTTGTGGGGAGCTTTTTGGGTCCCAGGCAACGAAGACGAAGGCACCACAGCAGTCGGTCAGTCCAACAGCTGAGCACTACACCACCTAGCCATAGCGGAATGGCTGAAAATGCCACAATGCCTTTGGAGGAGGCCGTGAATATTACAGGCACCTATAAACCTCAACAGACTATGGCTATCGGGCATGCACCTTCAACAGCTAAGCGAGCGGTGTACAAATACTTCAGTAATAGATATCTGGAACGTATGGCTAGAGATGCACTCTACGAGCTGCAGCCAGCCAATTACCGAATACAATCAGCGATGGAGTATTTTGCTAGGACGGCGGAAACCATGAGGCATTATCGCTTGGCTCAGACATGGAGACTGCTTGGATACACGATGGACCTCCTTTTAACAAGACGTGCAGAGTATCATCGAAAGTATCGGTTGACAGTGAAAGAAGCGCCCTCAACCGAGGATCTACCAAAACGACCGGAAATACCAAAGGACTCAGGAGAGGAAACGCCACGAAAATATCCACGAGTTTCTCCTTCCGAGAGCCCTTCCCTTCCCTCAAGCTCACTCATTGCAGAAGATATCGAGAGCACATCGAACGTGGCGACACCTCTTGTGCGTCCTATGCGCGATAACTTTATCCAGGAGAATCAGGAGGCTATGCACAACCCGTTCATGGGAAATGATACCTTCCGACTTCCAGAAGCAGCTTCACAAGCAGCCTCACCAAGTCGGAACCCGAGCCCAGTCCCTATACCAGGGTCAAGTAGACCCTACGATCGTAACAATTCATCAGGTATGGAGGGATACGATTTCTATGGCATGGAATCATACACTCCAGCCGTTGATCTCGTTGCCCCAAGGAAGATGCCTTTCCGACTTGAATATCCAAATCGTGACGAAACTGTTCGAAGAATGCAGCCGCAACGCCATGATTCTGGAGAAAGCTTCCAGATGTTTTCAACATCAGGAGAGTCTCAAGCTGGCAAATTCATGAGTTCTTCTGGAAGTGATCGTGGCCACGGCCGTCCATTACGAGACATTGTCTCCAGTTGGGAGAGCAGTCTCCCTTCTCAAGCGCATCGCAATAGCATCGATTCAAGTGCACCTGGGCAGTCTGTTGCATCTGACGAACATATTACTTCTAGCTCGGTTGCAGTTCCCCAGGAAATTCCGAAAAAAGCCTCACGTAGCCCAGCTCCTCCCATTTTCCGGATCCAAGAAGCATCTGGACCATCGAAGATTGAGGAGGAACCTACTAAAAAGTCAGTAGAAGAGGAGACAATTAAATCTGCGTTGAGTGAACGGGTATCCGACGACCCGAATATTATCGAAAACGATTTTCTACCCTGGCCAAACGACCCGGAATTCGTAATCCCGCCCATTGACCCAGCAGTTCTGGTTCAACGCTCCATCGAATTCGAAGCACAAACTGGTGCTCTGAACGCCTCCGCTATGTTGCTATTGCTTCGTCCTTTCTTGCCACCCGAAGCAATCGACCATATCCAAGCAGCCGCGATCCTAAAGCAGTACCAGCAGCGTCTAAACAGCATGAAGCTCTTCTACGAAGCAGCTTTGTTGCGCAATCTCTGCGTACCGCTGTATCCCACCGTCTTTGCCATGGCGCAGGAGAACACTACCGTCGGCTACTTCTGCACCGATTGCTACAAGCCTCTGGAGAACGACCCCCTGATCCCTGGTTCCGTATGGCGCTGTCCTCGCTGCCAGCAAGCCATGGACACGTGCGCCGTCTGTCGACACCGCGAACCCCAGGATGACTTCGGCTACGACGCCGAGGACACCGTAAATTCCGTTATTTGGTGGTACTGCCCCGGCTGCGGGCATGGCGGACACACGGCCTGCATGGCCGCCTGGCACTCCGGACCGGAGTACGAAGAAGGCAGTAAGCATTCGGGAGGCTGCTGTCCCCTCGAAGGCTGCATGCATCCTTGCCTACCCGGCACGTGGCGGGAGCAGAGAGCCGAGGAGAAGAAAGCCGCGCGACAGAGGGAGCTAGACTTAACCGTTAGGGAGAACACGAGGCAGGGTAGTCGGGGCAGGACGGTGAAGAGGGATTCGAGAGAGGTCGCTCAGAGTAAGGCGGTCGAGGGCGTGCGTGTTGCCCTGGGCATCGGCGGGCTGGAGAAGAAGAAGAGCGTCAAGGTGGTTGCGCCTGGGGAGCAAAGTGCGGGGTAGGAAGGCGGAGGAGGAGGAGAACGCATTTACAGGATACAGTGGTTGGCGTTTGGGCATATACCCGGTGGATAGCACTGATGCTTTGCATTGAAGTAGATGGATAGAAGACAGGAGTTTGGGTTTCGATTCATGAGGAAATTGTATATAGTGAAGGGATGTATTAAATTAGAGGAAGAGATGTGGGCAGATATATCATTATGATCATTAATACTATATTTTCATAGACCTGGTGCAAATATGTACCGTTACCGTGCGGCTAATTGAGAGATGACATTATCATGATCTGCTCCGGCTTTCCAACGAAATAGATGGTATACATCCCTCCTCAAAACTTCCGCTTCTTCTTCACCGGTGCCCTAGCCTTCTCCTCCAGCTCTCTCCTCAGCATTTCCCGTTTCCTATCCGCCCGCTCCTCCTCCGTCTCCTCCGGCTGAGGCGGTAGCGGAGTAGTCGACTCCTCCTTTTCCTTCTTCAATGTCTCCGTTGGCGCTTCGCTTCCGGCTTCCTCTTCCCTCGCAGCCTTCCCAATCTTCCTGCCTCCTACCACACCCAGTTTCTTCTTCGGACTCGGCGCTGCGTCCGGTTGTGAGCTCTTGGTCTCGGGGGCGTGCGTAGGAACAGGAGTGGGAGTAGGTTCTATACTCTCTTGATCCACTTCCGTCGAGTCCTTGGGTTTTGGCGTGCCTTCTTTCTTGCCTCCGATCCTGCCTAGTACCCTCTTCGGTTTGGGCGCAGCCGTCGAAGAAGCAGGGCGCTTTTCAGGGCTAATGGGCTCTTTGACAGGCGAGGGAGATGTATCGCCTGTTGTGCTTTCATGGCTGATTGGTGGAGAGGGGTCGCTGGGGAGTTCTCTCTTCTTCCTGCCGATGACGCCGAGTTTCCTGGGTGCGGCGGCTGGGGGTTTGGGTTTCGGGGGCGAGGACGGGAAACTATCTGGGATTCGGGATTGTTGGGAGGGGGCGTCGAGATCCTCGTCGTCCTCGTCGTCTGTTGTATCGTCGGTGGGGGGCTCTGCTCCTGTGGATTTTGGGGCGGGCGAGGCGAGATGGGGAGGGGTCCCTTGGATTTGGAAGTCGGAGTTCTCGTCTGGAGCTGGCTGCTCTTTGAGCGTGCGATTGGGGGATGTCTTGCCGTGGTGTCCGTGTGATGGGGTTTTCCCTCCAGATAGACCGAAGCTATCTCCTTTGACCCTATCCCACCAATTGACTGGCTCCTTCACTACATTCGAAGCATTTCTGGTTTTCAGATTTGAAAGACCATCAGCTGCGAAGACTTGTCCTACCAGTTCCCCCACGTCGCGTGGCTCTTCACTGCGTAACCCCCTCCTCCACGCCTCCATTTCAAACCGGCTCAAGCCCTTTACCTTCTCCTCTGCCTTCCTCCGATCGACAGCACGCCCAGCCTTGCCTGCCACCTGCGGGAATACCTGCCCCAGCTCCGTCCCCCGCGCTTCAAGCTTATCCATCAGCTTCTGTATGACATGATCCTTTTCCCGCAGCATGTCTGCCAGGCTCGCCATTTCTCGCATTCGCATCTGCTGCGCCTCCAGCAACGGGACGATCAGCTGATCCGTCAGCAGCTGCTGTGATGCTGCAGCAAGCTCGATCGACCACTCGAGAGGAGCCAGCCCTCCGGGAAGAGGCACCGTCACGCTGAGCGTCATGCTCGGCCGGCCCGCATCAGTATTGACGGCCAGCGCCAGCGCCGTGTCCCTGCCCCCCTCAAGCCCCAGTTGTATCTTGTCCAAGAGAATGCGTAGCTGCTCGCTATCGCTCGGATCAATGCTCGTGTTCACATCCCGGCTGCGGCGGAGGATGCCCCCGCGCTCCAGCGTCTCGCTCCAGATATGCGTGAGGTCGGTGAGGTGGATGGTGTACGAGTCGGGCCCGAAGGAGGTCGAGATAAGAAGGGGTGGGAGGTGAGGCTCGCGGGATGGAGAGATGTCTAACGGCCGCCAGGACATCGTGGGGAGCTCAGCGTGCTAGAGTTGAAGGAGGGCGTGTTGCCTTCACGAGGCTGCGCGGTGACAATGAGGGCCGGTGGATGCAAAACGGTCCGGGGAGCGGGAACGCACAGATACGATCCAGCGACTGGTATCACCTTTGCTCTGCATGTCAAGATAACCCGATGTTACATTGATCATGTAGCTATGCGATCCGCAAAAATGGCAGAGAGGTTGAACTTGGATGTTCTTACATCCGCGAAAAGTACAATGGGCTGCAGCCTTGCAAGGCCTAGCGAGCTTTGGAGCCGAGGTGTAGCCCCTTTAAGCAATGCTTACCGGATATGGTAATGGAGAGAAACGTATCAGTAGCAGTGAGATATCGGTCATCGGATTGAAACAACACAGAACCATTATGGGATTTCTGTTGATATTATCTATTTGTTTTTATGCTACCTTCATGCCCTAGACTCCAATCTAGCTCTCTCCTGATTCCAAAAACACAATAATGATTATACTCACTAAAGGTCGCACATGGGTTGATGACCTTGGCCTATAGAGAGAAGATCAGAAGGATGGCGATGGTTTCCCACGGATTATCGATCCTGCCTACATTACTGTTAGACTGGTAAACTTGGAGAAAACAGGGGTCTGATGCGATTGCGAGGTTTTGGATGACAGGAAGCGTGACACACTACACCAGTAATCTAAAGCCCCTAGAATTTGTCGTTCCACTGGGGAAAGGACCATGAATCTATCATATCAGAACGTAAGTCTATAGCCTGTAGGGAGCTAGCACCGGGATTCAGCGCGTCGCCATATCCAGACTGCTCATTGACCGTACCCGAGCGAAAGAGATCATCAGGCTGCGAAGCAGCCTGATTCGAAAGTATCCGCGCGCATAATATATCATAGCAGATGCGGGTGCTTGTATATGAAGCGTTGGCAATCGCGAGCTCCAGGTCAATATCGGTTTCCATCGACGCAACCTGTCCAAGAATCATGCTGAAAAACTGGTGTGATTTCACACTATTCTCGCCCATCTCGATTCTCTTCTCCGAGAGCGAGAGTAACCTTTTCAGTGACTCTTTCAGCGGTTCTCTGTTGGCCTTGTTTGTTTGCAACATCATGTTCGTGCGATCTTCGTCAACCTGCGTGATGAGTTCAAGGCCAATGATTAAAGCGCATTGCCTAAAGCTTTCCCAGAATAGACCTCCTCTTGTAGACATCAGACGAAAGAAATCATCCTCGTCTTCAGGAGTTACGATAGTAAGAGCGGTTTCCAGAGCGACTTTGCGGGAGAAGTAAAATTGCGGGTTGGTGCGGGCGTTAGTGGTGAATGGGACGTGGAGTGCAAGCAGAAAGCGGAGCAGGAAATGCTCAACCACATTGCGATGGAATGCCGTTGGTCTCGGCATTTGATCGGTAGAGGAAAGCCCATATCCACGTGTTATAAGGCTGCAGTCACGACATGCCTTAGCCATTTGCGAGCCGACGTGCAGGGCATCTACATATGATGGCTCAGATTTGAGACCATTGACCAGTCTGAGTACTTCCATTCTCGTGTGCAAGGATTTGAACAGAGTAATTTGGAATGAAGTCTCTGTAAATATCCCTTCGTCCTTAGGCTGAAGTAACTTTGTAGTCTCATCCATCTCATCATCATTAATGTTTGATGGGGGTTCCGTGTCGAAATCGTCGGGCGAAATCAGAGGCATACCGGAATCCAGCGCGGATTGCACAGCCATTTCCATTATCGTAGCCCAGAGTCGCCTACGGAGTTCGGTCTGTAGTACAGACAGTTTAGTGAAATGGCCTGGATCCCGATGTAGACCCATCTGCATAGCTGTTCGTACGAGAGACCCTGCTGAAATCCATATTGAGTCACAGCATATAGAATGAATTTGGCGCGAAAGAAGTAAGAGGCAATGGATCTGGAGCCCCGAGACACTGAGGCGGTCTTTCTCAAAAGTCCCGGAAAGCCAAACTTGCGCACTGTATATCCATTGCAGAGCGAGGGCGCGTAATCCAGACTGATTATGAGGACCTTCGTATAGGCATGTGCCAATCGCCATAACGAGTAGGATCTGGAGTTTAAGTTCTTCGCTTGCGGCTTCTTGATTGTTCCAATAACGAGCATATTCATTTTGGAATGGCGGGATATGGAGAATTCTGTATGCTGACTCAAATGCTCGTAAATATAGATCCACCAAGTGATCGGCCACCTCTTTGGGAGGTATGGAATTCTTCAGTTCCTGATACGAGAGCCACCGACTAGCCCTAGCTTTGGCTTTTCTGGTCAACTCTTTGCACTTTTGAAGGGAATGAAGAGTTCCAGAACTCTTGGCATTGGATTGTAGCGATGCTGTGCTATTCATATCAGCGCCATGGACGAAGGCTTCTATTTCTTTGAACTTCTCAAGTTAGCACATCTTTCTATATGTATTTCAGCTTTCTTTACCTCCCGCGTGGTGTTTATCCAATGGCTCTTTCCAAACACTCTACCCCTGGACATCATTCCTCGCACATCTTGAGCACCCTTTGGAGAAGCGAGCACAGGTTGGATTGTGTCTGGCTGTTTGCTAGTTGAATCCAGCAACGTCTGGTCCTGTTGTCGTACGCCGTTAACAGAATTCCCAGCCGCCTGTCCTGGATCGGGGTCTTGAGTTGCAGAATAATTCCGGGGCGAATGCCACAAATGTCTTCTTACATGTGAAGTGGGAGCCGTGCTCCGCACCGTCATGGAACCCGATGTAGCAGAATCATTGTTGAGGCCATCCCATGATCTACATCCAGGGAGGACTTCTCCTGGAGCTGAACTGGGATTGCTTCCCGGATTACAGGGCAAATTCTCGATACCCTCTTGCTCATGCCCGGTCGCCACAGATGAGGCTGCGACTGACGCATATGTGCATATGGCATTCTTTGATCGTATACAGCGGTCACAAGGGTCGTTGCGGTCGCACTTGATCTTTCGCCGTCGACACTGGACGCATGACAAGGCTGGTCTTCGGCGTTTTCTGGGCGGTCCCTCGGAATCGGCTCCGGGTACAGCAAGCATGACGTTTATACGGGATAGGTGCGCGCTCTATGTCGGGCCGCAAACGGGAGCAAATGATGGCAAGTTGCACACAGGCCGTAAAGGTACACAGTAGGATGTATTGTCGGCCTTGCAGTTGACGGTCGTCGCATCTAAATGTACGGAATAATCAATAGACCGAAGCGAACACTCGGTGTGTCTCAATATCCCGTACAACTTATCCCCGAGCCGAACGAACCAAATACCCCGAGTACCTTAGGTAAGTGAAGGACTGTAAGTCTGGACCGATTACTATATCAAGTTCACATATCTGATGAACTGATAAGATTAAATCTAATCTACAATAAGCTTAGTCCCCCACTCCCCCCTTTTCGTTGTCGGTCCAGTAAGCGAAGCCGACAATTATCACCGAGCCAATTTTAGCCCCAGATTTAACATGGAATTTTAACTTCGATGACCGAGCTCGAAGCTTTATCGAGGAAATCACCGAGCTTGATACTAAACCCGGGTAAAACAGGTGAGTTGAACGTCGCGAACAGGCGGACATGAGATGGAAGGCGAAACTTCTTAAATACCATGACCGTCCAGCGAGCGCTCTGGCAAGTTTGAGTCCACAGTTCTCTTACCCTCTCTGCTCTGAAGGCAGTATTTTCTTTCATCTCTCTGTTTCCAATTTTGCTTATTTATCTACTTAATACTTATACAACTTCTCAATGTCTGCCGAACTTAAAGAAAAGCTTGGAGATGACGAGGTCCAGGAACAGCCTTCAACACCGACGCTCGCCCCTGAGCACACTTTCCCTGAAGGGGGTACAAGAGGATGGCTAGTTGTTCTGGGATGCTTCTGTGTTATGTTCTTTACATTTGGTTATGTCAATGCATTTGGGTGAGCCATCTCCTGCCATCTGTGCCCTTCCTCCATGCTCTGAAACTTGCGCAGCTAACCATGCTTCCAGAGTCTACGAAGAGTATTACGCGGAAACCTTTTTGAGCAACGAAAGCGCCTCGAATATTGCCTGGATTGGATCTATCCAATCGTTTTTTCAGTTCTCAGCTGGCACGATTTCCGGGCCAATCACCGATCGATACGGACCACGGGTAACTTCCTCTCTGTTATGCCGTGAGGCACATTATTCAATTGCTAATTTTAATGTAGATTATTATATGGACTTGCTCCACCATCTATGTTGTCTCTCTTATGCTCACTAGTCTTTGCAGGGAGTACTATCAATTCATGCTTTGCCAAGGCGTCCTGGGAGGGCTGATGAATGGATTGGTATACACCCCCGCGGTCTCCATAATCGGGCACTACTTCCACCGTCGCCGAGCTATAGCTATGGCTATTGCATCGTCTGGTTCATCCTTGGGTGGAGTCATTTTCCCTATCATGCTCACCCGCATGCTCTATCATACGTCGATTGGCTTTGGCTGGTCCGTTCGAGTAGTCGGTTTCATGGTCATCGGCTTAGCTCTTACCGCTTCTCTAACCATTGCACCCCGCATCGCACCTCGACATGGCACCTTGCTTCTTCCCCGGGCCTTTAAGAATCCTTCGTACTCGTTCCAGGTCGCCGGGATGTTCTTCGTCTTCCTAGGTTTCATGACCCCGATGTTCTATCTCCCGACCTATTCTCGACAACATGGTATGGGCCGAGATATATCATTTTATACCCTCGCTATCCTCAACGGCACTTCACTCTTCGGCCGTCTTCTCTCCGGGCATTTTGCACCCTTTCTCGGCCGCTTCAACTTACTTATCTTCTCCAGTGCTGTTGCCTCCATCCTAGTGTTCAGTTGGATACGGATCAAATCCTCAGCTGCGATAATTGTCTTCGCGGCCCTTTACGGCTTCCCTTCCGGAGCCATAGTGGCCTTGATGCCTACCGCCTTGGCTCTTGTCGCACCAGAACCAAACCAGATCGGCACCTATATCGGCATGGCTCTGGGCTTCTATAGTATTGCTAGCTTGGTTGGAACGCCTATCACTGGCGCTCTCATCTCTCACTACGGCGGCTATGATCAAGCGTTTATTTTCAGTGGTGTGGTCTTGATCTTTGGGGCTTTTCTCCTTACGTGTGCTAGATTCTGCTTTGCTAAGAAAGGAGAAATAGCTGTGTAGTATCATGATGATTTTAGGGTGTAATATATTGTCGAAATAAGAATTTCGGTGAAGGGTTCTGATAGAGAATAGAGAGACAGGTTAGAGAGGGACATGTAAGTTAGACTAGGATAAAACATACCTCATTCAGTTCTTATGCAATCTAAATTAGCACATCTGCGAAAGATACCAACTGGTGCAAACATATGCCTATAATCGTTGAGACGGAAACTAATTACATACACGAGTTCAAGAACAGATGCTCTACATCCTACGCTACCGGGTCCCTAATTAAACCCCTTATAAACCGACGAGCACGTAACATCCAACGCCATCTCATCGACATTTAAGCAATACGCTAGATCCGAGCCACTCGGGCTCACAACCTCGATATCCGCGGCCGAGATATTATTACAAACGGTGCCGCTCGAGCACGCGAAGGTTCCGATCTCCGGGACGTATTTCTTGCTCGTCTTTCCCTTGAAATTCTTGAACACAATGTCCGTGATCGTGAGAGAGGACGGGTATTGCAGGCAAATGGTGGGGTTCGATTGGCCGTAGCATTGGTCGACCTCGATGGCGTAGTCGACGTTGTCGATCAGCATCGTATCGTACGTGATGTTGTTCACCATTCCGCTTCCGCCGCCTCCTTGAAGGTCGCCGCTGAGCTCGCTAGGTGAATCGGGCCATACTTTGATTCGTGCTCCATCCTTTGAAATTTCAGCTGGAAATGTAAAAGCTTTTCATCGTCTCACTTACAGTTGTGTTGTGCATTGAAGCGTTGAAAACATATATGTTTTCAACGATGTCATACTCGCCAACATATTGACCTAGGGAGCCAACGGAGATACCATGAGATCCATTGCAGAAGAGGTTTTGGACTAGCATATTGGTGCTGTTGGGCTTGAAAGCTACACAATCTTTGTTCTTGTCAGCGAGATTTTTAGACGTGAAACTCCGCTGCTCACCGTCTCCATTATTGATATAGGAGTTCTGAATGACAATGCCAGAACTCCGGTACGTATCCCATCCATCAGTATTCTTCGCAACATTTGCACTTGTGCTTGCGCCAGAAATATTGATGTTGTCAAACACAACGTTGGTAGCATTTGCCACGAAGTGGTAGTATTGGGGAGAGTAGCGTAGGGCTAGATTGCTGATGATAGAATCGTGTAGACCATCAATGCCGATCAAAACGGGTCGAAGAATGTAAATATCCTTGGCATATAGATCGTACCACGCCTGACCGTTACCATCAAGAGTACCTCCGCCATAAATATTGACATCATTTCCTCCAAGTTTGAAGAAAGAAGTCACATTTTGAAAACCAAACTTGAAAGAGTTTGCTTGCCAGTACGTTGTGTCATTTGAAAAGAGTACATAGCCTTGGATATCTATTCATTGAATCAGTGTCCGAGTTCGGGAAGAAATTAGGTGTTTCGTACCAATATCAATGTGATCAAGGAAAGTCAAGTCAAGCGCAGTCGAAATGAAATATCGAATCCCTTCTCTGAACACAACATGTCCACCTTTGTTGCAGCTATGTAACGCTTCTAGAATATACGGGGAGTCATCTGTAATACCATCATTGTGACTTCGCACATAGCATATTTTGTTTCGCGGGGAAGGAAATGGCAGCGGTAAGTAGGGGGACTTTGGATGGCAAGATATTGATGGCCTTGGTGAAGTGTGATCTGGGACAATTTTTCCTTGGAATCCTTTTGCCCAATCTTGAAAAGCTTGCCATGTCGGAAGGGCAGTGGAGAGTGTTGCCGACGCAGCCAGCAAGAATATCGTGAGCTGGAATCGCATCTTGGCAAGCTTGCAAGACGTCTGTAATTGACAATGAGCCAGAGTAAAAATTGAAATGAAATTCTATATTGAACTTCATGATGCTTTTATGTGTTGCAGCAACTCGGAGGTCAATTGGATATTTTTCCGGATTGCATGGATCCCAGAGATATGATGGAGAGGGGAGAGCGGGGTTCTAGTGGACTGGTTCTCCACAGCTGTGGAGAAGGATAAGCTCCCCAGACAGAATTCTCCATCCTTTCTCCAAGTCCCAAATAATTGCTGAGGACCAACCGCGTTTCGGATTGTTGATTATTCCAGATACACCGATTGTTGTCTAAACTTAATCCTCCCTCACGTCGACTTACCTAGAGCTCGCCAAGCCTCGGCACACGTGACCCCCCCGGCCGCTTTGCGCCTCGACCTCAAGGTACTCTGTACTTCATGTTTCACTCATCCTCACACACAATTCACACAAATACGATCGCCCTTCTCCGAAATCTGCCTCCCATCGATCTCCTATCTCCCAACAATCAACGTGCCTTGCATTGCTCTCTGCCCCTCTGGGCCCTCCAGTCTGCAGCGGATCGTCGGTCGCGGGTTTGCGATCACACAGCGACATCGCGATTTACCCCACCCCCACCTTTTTCCACAGCGAGCGAACTCTCCGATTGAAAACTTCATATACATACAAACCCAATTCGACCTCGAAATTTGCTGCGATGGCTTCCAATGCGCCGGTTCTGCCTGCTGCTACGCAGACTTTTCCTCACCATCGGTTAAGGCTCTCGCAGAATGACCCCTCCAGAACCCCGCTGGTTCTCGTTGCTTGTGGCTCTTTTAGTCCAGTCACAAACCTCCATCTCCGCATGTTCGAGATGGCGGCAGACTTTTGCAAGTTGTATGTATCGGTAGCAGATGGTCTGTCAATTACTTATGATCCATAGTCACACAGATTTTGAAGTCATGGGTGGATATATATCACCAGTGTCTGATGTAAGTTTCAGATCCTTCATGACTGGGCATTACTTAACCTGGGACTTCGCAGGCCTACAAGAAGCAAGGTCTAGCAAGTTCAACGCACCGGTATGTGCCATATCAATCTATTGACGAGGCGATATTAACGTGTCCAGGATTCGTATGTGCGAGCTCGCTGCGGATGAGGAGCGAGATGGTTGGCTCATGGTCGATCCGTGGGAAGCAACACAATCAACTTATATACCCACCGCCAAAGTACTCGATCACTTTCAATATGAGATTAATGAGGTACTTGGGGGAGCTGAAAAACCTGATGGAACACGAGTACCTATGAGGATTATACTCTTAGCTGGTGCAGACCTCATGCAAACCATGTCCACTCCAGGTAAGTGGGGTCCATCCGTTCTGCTAAGTGTATCGCTAATCAACCCGCAAGGCGTCTGGAGCAGTGATGATTTGGATCACATTCTTCGAGGCTATGGTGCTTTCATTGTAGAACGAGAAGGAACCGACATCGATAATGCTCTTTCGGCTCTTCAAATTTGGAGAGATAATATCTATGTGAGTATAACCGCAGAGCATATATTCTCTGATTCATTGAGTTGCAAGACACTCTTTACTCGAAAAAAAAGCCCCCTATTATCATCCCATGTTCCCTGCTCTTGAAATCATGATCTAGACCTTTCTATCCGACTCCTTAGAGTACTTGCTAACGCCTGACTAGGTAATTCCGCAACTCATCCAGAACGACGTCAGCTCGACTAAGATAAGGCTCTTCTTGCGAAGAGAATTGAGCATAAGATACTTGATCCCGTCTCCCGTGATCGCATACATCGAGGAGAATCGCTTATACAAGGAAGACGGAACATCTTCGATCAAGGAAAAGGGAAAATCGGAAGGCACGCAAAATTCGGGCCGAACATCGCCAATAATTGGCAGCTCTGGGTCTACAAGCTAGACACGAAGAGCAAAAACGAGTTCTCGTGAGAGTCGAGTCACCTTACGACAAGTGACTGTGCAAAACACTACACAAGCCCCAAAGAGAGGCTGCCCTATATCCACTGAATACGAAGATGGAGGCTTCTTCTCAACATCCGACTGAGATTTCAGCAGTTCTCATACTGCTATCTTTCCTCATCCTCATACAGACCCCGGAGGTACTGGCTTCTTGTCATTAGGTCGTCTTTGTTGAGTGCTTTGCTGGGGTGGATTGGATGGTGACCTGCATAGCCGATAATTGGGGTCTGTGTGCAAGTGAAGATAAATAGGGCCGGGATCTGTTTACACCATCGCCATCGCTCTCTGGTCCAGCGACCTTACTCTTGTGCCTTCTTTGGCAGATATACCGAATCATTTGTCGATTGCTATAGACGTGAGCATATTTGAATGCCAGTTATGAAACAAAGAAGTTGAAGTAGTACTTCGCAATTAAAAGTTATACACTCGAATATGACAACGTTGAATTGGTGGTATTTAGTAGATCGTAAGGCTTCACTAGTCACGTGCAACCAGACGGGAGGGATTCAAAATAGCCTCTAAAAGCAATCCTTCAAGGGTAACTTTTCTAACCTTAGCTGGTGATAGCAGGGCAGTTATAGCCGGGTCGAGACAGGTACCCTATCGACTGTTGCTCACTTTGCTCACAAAACTCCTATTGGTGGAACTTACATCCCCGGAATCCCGAATCTCTGGGCCTTGTGCTCGAGAATGTGGCCTCTGCATACCTAGGATAAGGATATTTCTCAACTTACTTCTATGCAAATTGGTTGCTTATACAGCCAATTCTCATTACGCTCAGTGCTCACACGGAGAAAGTCGAGGATTCCTTAACATCGTCATGTGATGTCCGGTATTGACCTGTAGGTACCCGCTCAAAGTACTCGGTGGAATCTCCAATTGACGTATTCTCAAAAAAGAGTCGGTGTAATGATCAGCAATGGGGGATGCCCTCAGAAAACTCAGAAGGATGTTTTTCCCTGCAGTTTCAACTTCGTCAATGGCGATACTGAAAAGGAACATCGCAAGCAAGATTATATATAGATGGAGACCAAAGTCCATAACTTTGAACTATATAAAATAAGTCCTTCAGAGATAGTTTTGTATTAGCTTGAATAATACAGCTGGCTCGTCTTCCATTTCCCACTTAGAACCTGAGATGCTGTAAAGTCAATAATACAGTTTAGTCTTCTGTCTGGGTGTTCTGGCGGAAAAAAGGCTATATTCTGTGATCAGGAAACACACCAAGACGACTCCGCTATCGAGGCTCTCCTGAAAAAACCCCACGCCTAGACCTTAGGCTGCTGCAAGTATCTTGCTTATGGGATATGCACGACGGCGCGTGCAACCGCAGCCCCTGCTAAGCACAAAAAACATACAGTATCGGGGGGTGGAGATCGACAAAGAAAGTGAGACAATTGTCAGATACGAGAAGCGACTTATCAGGGGCCGACGAGGGGGCGGGAGAGAGAGGCGAGTATTTGAAGCGTTTGGGAGAAGAGAAAAAGCGGGAGCTGAAAGAGACCCCCCGACGCTTATGGGCGGCTCGGCCCTTCAGCTTCGCTGTAGATCAGGGTGGTGCAGGGGTGGGATTTATGCATCAAGGGTCCTCGAATGTTGGGATGGAACCTTGGGCGCATGTCTGAAGTCCAATGCGGCACATACGCACGTACCGCCGTCTCACTCGGCCCGCAGCGTAACTGTCGGTTTGCCGATTAACTACCGGAAGTAAGGGACAATGTATGAGAGCCCCAGACGGCTGGGTTTCATTGGTTGAAAAGCGACATCAGAGGGTCCCAATATACGTGATTCCCGTGGAGATCTTGTTCGTTTCCGAGAGGTTGGGCTCGGCAGGGATCACGGTCTGGTCTATATCAGTGATAGGGGCTGCAGATTCATTTCCGGGGTAAGTTGGATGCAGATGCAGACCTTATCGGTAGAGCAGAGTAGACCCAGGTATCTGATCCCGGATCTCCCGAGTCCCCAGCGGTAGATTTTAGCAGGGGCCACAGATCGAGAAAAAAGCTGGGACGGCATTGCATGACACCAGGTCGCTCTCGGCCCCACGCATAATAAGGGTAGGACCAGATGCAACTTGCAAGTCAAATGGGCCTGGCCTTCTTGACCCAGAGACTAAGCTGCGGCAGTTGTTAGCAGGGATCGTCCCAAAGTGGCGAGCTGGGATACTCCTCGAGGTACATATGGGATTGCCAGACCCTCAAGGGCTTGATGGCTCAACCACCATGTAAGCCGCCACCCTCTTCAACTCTCCAGCGGCTCTTCTCAGGAGCCAATGAACCGAATTGCCGTTGTCTTGCACGGGTCAGCACGCTCCGGGAGAGCTCCCCGTGGTAGGGGCCGTAGGGCGTAGTGCCACAGACTCTACGCCAACGTCACCCCATGATTCTCCAAAACCTGGAAATGAATTGATAGATGCGGTAGTTCTCATGCAAGGTGCATACATATTCCTACTGTGGAGTCCCAACGAACACCCAGAAATGATCTATCAAGCTTCAATAATGATGGATTTCTGTCCGCTGAGGTAGATCACACTTACAGCTACCAATACAACTCAACCACGTCCTTCAGCCTCTCTCTCCTGAACTCAATGATTTGTATTAAATCAATGATTTGAATTGTCTACCGCAAGACTGACGGAAGATCACACACATACCAACACAGTGTGATAAGACCGCAACTATCGACCCACATGAATCCCTACGCAGAACTCGAGCCTCCCGTTCACATGGACCAACAGTACCACAAGAAAAGTAGACGCAGCTATTGGTGCCATCAAAGTATCCACCTCTGTACAATAATGCAAATTCAATACCGCCACCAATATCGCGCAATCGGAATGTTCAGTATCGATTGGCGCCCATGGAATGCGTGCTGGTGAAATGGGGATTCGGGGGGCTGGTGAAGGGCGGTTCATTCTCGTCGATGTAGACACCTTGGACAACCTCGAGGCCGCACATGTCCTCGTACGGCAGTTCGAACTGCTCGTTCTTGGGAAAGTAGTATGGGCTCGGAAAGATGCTCTCGAGGTTGGGTGGCGTCAGGGGAGAAATATGTCGTTGTATGACTTCAGTCCTGACATCGTGGTGGAATTGCGCATGGCTTCCGGTGTCAAGTTCAAGACCAGATAGACGTATATCTGGCCGGTCGTCCCGGACCTTTGACCGCTGTGATTTTGTCTTGCCTGCGCAAATCCCCCCCTTTCGACCTGATGTCTGTCTTGCCGGTGCCGGATTATCAGATTTAGTGAACTTTTTGCTGCCTGTTCCTTTGCGGTATCTTGTTGTCGACTGGACACCATCTTTGATAGCAAAGTCCTCCAACACCCATTCCGTTGATTTCTTGGTCTCATCACCCGGAACTTTCCGCTCGGTCTTTTTGAATGCCTATAATGCGTGAGCGTGACGCAAAAGGGAGGGGAGACCATAACTCACTGCATTCATCGACAGGTTATGGCGAATGCTATTCATCCATCCTTTCGTATCTGAGCTCCCCTTAGCTGTGTTATCTCGAAACCATTGGTATATCTCTTGCAAGACCATAGAGTGATTGGGGGCGCTCATGAGCGCTCGGTAAATCAGTTTTGCGTATGGCTCGTCCGCACCGTGGTCTTCAAAGTCCACGGCCGTCATCTCACGGGAGCTGTTTCCACTGTCATCCGAAGCCTCGCTCATTTGCATCTTGGAGCGAGCTGTTCTTCCAAATCCCAAAAGATCATTGCAAATGGCCTCCTTTTCAATCTTGGGGCTTCCGCTGATGCTTCGTGGAAAGTCTCGAGAACTGTCATGACGGTCGTAGACTAGATCAGGTCTCATTACCGCAAAATCTGCTGGTTCTTCCCTGCTCTGTTCTATCATATAAATAGAGGGCTCATAAGCTTTCAGATCCGCCATACCGTCGCTGGGCAGCCTGGAATCGTGGGATAACTGCCAAGTGCGAGGAACACCGTCCAGAGTCAGACCCCGCGAGAAAGCATCATTCTGATGGGCTCCTGGAAAAGTTGAGGAGTAATGAGAGTAATAACTGTAATCATTTGTGAGAGGGGTATCATCGAAATCCGTAGATGCGTAGGTCGGGTTGGCCCACTCAGCTGAAGCTTGCGCGGTCTGCATTGGACTTGTGAAGTTGTAGTTATTCATAGTTGGAGGCCAAGAGCTCAAGAGTTGCTGCTCTGAAGGCGTTCGGGGAAGACCATCGAATGATGGCATTCCGTCGGCTGGTTGAGATGATACTACCTGACTTCCATCATACTGAAAATCCATAGGCAAATCATGCATCTGAGAACGCTGGTACTCCCCCGGATTCATGATGATTATCGTCTGAAAATAGACTTGCAACCTCAGTACCTCTGATGTGGCTAGGAGAGATAAGGTGGTGCTTTCAGTTGGATTGCTGTATTGTGCAACGATTGTGACATCGACTCGGAGAATTTTAATAGAAAAGGGCAGCGGTCTAGATATTCAACAAGAGGAAAGCCCGTACCCTAACCAGACAAGGCCATAATGACTGGCATGCAAGATGGCGTTGACAACGCATGGGAATACGACCCCAGACGTGTGATGCAAGCCTCGTTTGCGTCGGAAGGGAACATGGAGGACGCTTTGGAGAATACTCACACAATTCCAACACTCTGATAGCAATCGCTTGATAGACTCACCCAGCAAGGCACTCAGTCATGGAAGATTGTCACTGGCATGTCGGCTGGTGTACAACAGCCGTCCGGCAAACTGCATGGCACTAGTACTGCAGCGAGATTGTAAGGAGAGTCAACCTGTGACCCGCAAAGGCTACGGATGTTCCACGGCCAGCCTCGGGGAGGCTTAATGGGTGTTGTCTCTCATACGGATTTCCAGCAGCGTATCCAAATCCCGTAGGACGTTTCTAGAAGCACTAGAACCATCTGGCACTGCCATCTGTAAGCTCAGCTATCCGTGGAAGCGGTAAAGAATTGCCGACATCCGTCTTTGAATAATTGGACGTTGAGGATTCCGGAATCATGAAGCCGGGTGAACAGGAAGAAATTTGATGGGTGTAGCCGCAGGTAGCCATATTTCAGGGTACACTCAGCAAGAAGAGCAGCGGCAGTATAACCTGCATCAATGGCTCCTATAAATAATCGTTATGATCATTGCAATAGATATAGCGCCCTGTGAATATGTTGATCATCACCCCGCTCTTTTGTCTACCCATGTATCGAATCGTTGCTGGCATGCAGTGCTGTTGGGACTTTAAACGGGGTTTTCAGAGCGTGGTACAAGGATAATTTGTGCGACTGTTAAACGTGCGTTCTAGGACAAAGTTCTCGTGAGTAATTGTATTATTGTCTACCAATTAGGCCTAAATGGATACCTTAATTCCCATGCCGAATATTCCAAATCGTCCTTGCAAGCAGCCCCAAATCGATCATTTTCGATAGTAAATCTAAATCACGAGTTAGCAAATACAGAAATTTCCTATTCCAATGGCATCAACTCACCTTCTTGTACTGAAAATGTAGTTGTAGGATACCCTGCAAGAATAGATCAGTCAAGGATCTAGGGTAGGTGACTAGTCGGAGTGGGGGTCTGGCGCGCGCCTGTTGAGCCACTCCATAGTGAGAGCATAAACGTACCTTGTCGAAACTACTTCGAAAACCGCGGTCTCTCTTCGCACTATAATCCCATTCCTTATCCACAATACGGAAAGCAATGTCCTCATAGGGAGGCCCTGCTATGAAACGAATTAGGCAAGTATCTTCCTCACCAGCCGGTGCAAATGATTCTCCTCTCTTTCTGCCGTGTTCTCTGATGATTCGAAATGTTGGCGCCTTCGATTTATCGATGAGATCAGGGTAGAATATGTTAAACTTGTATCCTTGGACAACCTTAGGAGGGGGGTTGTCATGATCATAATGCGTTTGGTTGTATTTGTTCCACTCGTAGCCCATCTGTACCCGATTAAAATATCGTGGTTTCCTTGGTCGGTATTTGTCTGCCCACTGTGGTTTTGATGCATTTGCGACAGTCTCTTCACCAGTGAAGATCTCCTCATTCTCGTTGACCCCACGAGCAACTTCTCTCTCGTATAGAGCTTTGGTTGCCTGTGAAAAGTCCTCGTTAACGATAGCCGAAAAGCGCTGCGTGCCTGGAAGAGCGCTGCTGCCGACGGAGGTATTGGCGACTTTACTGACTGCGGTGGAGGGTCCTTTTTCGGCAGTCGATTGGCGTAAAGGAACGTAGCCTAACTTCAAGATCCTTCGGCGATCGGAGACAACCTGTTGAAGAAATGCCGACTCGTCTACCACTTCACTAGACTTGTCCTCCGTTCGAAGCTTGAGCAGAGGCTCAGGATCGTACTTCTGGGAGTACTCAAATCTAGGCTGTCCTCTAACACTCTGCGAAGCACTCGCGCTCGAACTGGCAGGAATATTAGGGCCCTCCTCAACAACGGCGGCTGGTCCCATCAGCATTTCCTGCAATTTTGTACGAACTCCATGTGCGTCTTCTTCCTGCTGCTTCCGTAGAATTTCTAGGCGGCTGTCAAGTACAGACTGATAGACCTTCTTGAGCTTCGCTTTTGCCTTCCAAATGAGTAGACTTCGCAAAAGCTGCTCCCAATAATCCACATCGATTGGCTCATTGGATCGTAGCTTTGCTCTGATTTGTTTCTCCAACGCCTCCAGCTGCTCATATGTTTTTGGCGCCAATAGTTTATCCACATCGGCAGCTACAGAGCTTACGGCTCTGCCCTCTGGGCCTCGAGGTTTCAACTGTTCACGACGATCGTTGCAGATGATTTGCATAGTCTTCCAGTAATCTTTGTTCGTCTTGTTTGTCTCTAAGGCGATATATGAGTTGATATCATTTTCCAGTTCGTGCAGCTGCGCATCACTGAGACCCTCAAAGACCCCTTCAGGATCTACGACATCAAGTTGGACTTCTTCTTCATCATCGTCCAGAAGATCTCGGTCGGGATCGATAATTCGTAGAATGACCGCAAGCCAGTCGATTGGTTTCGCTCTGCCTTCTCGAACTCGGATATCAGCCTTTTTCTTCGCCTGCTTTAAAACAAAGCTGTCCTCCTGCGCGACCCATTGCCTTGTCTGCTCATCTTCCATGGTCTGGTTGTTACGAGGCGGTCGAAAATCGGGCGTTCGTCCAGTAGCTGTTGGGCGGGATGGTTTAGAGATTCGGTTGTTCGGATCATGTCGAGGAGAAGTAATATTTGTAATGGGTGACTCGCGCCGTGATAACATCGCTTTCCTGCCCGGATCCATATTTGCGTACGTGAGACCTTGGAAGGTATTGCCTGATGTTGAAGATGCTCTCTCGAGCTTCCCTCGTCAAAGTACCTGCTGACTAATGCATAAACTTTAAGCCTCGCACGTGCCTCAACTCGTAAGGCTGAAGAAACATCACCTTCCAGGTCCACTGTTAGAGTTTAAGGCACGTGATATTCATGCCTAAGACTGGAGCCTAAGGTACCTATTCCCCTTGAGGATGGACGTCTGAAGGGTGCCTTCTAGATGCCTCAGGCTACATACCTTCTTTCAATACCTTCCTGTCTTAATAGACAGCCACTCCTGCTCACTCTCTGAATATTCCGTCTATCTTTCACTATCGCAAACCGTGTTCTTTCGACATACCACACATTTCACTCCACCCGAACATTGGATTGTCTGCTACTGAAAGACACCTGCCTCGATTTTTCGATGGCTATCATTCGCGACATTCCCGGTGTCAAAGTCAGCATCGAGTCCAAAGGGGGGCCGTTGAAAGAATATGATGACGACGATGAGAGCGATAGCAATTGGAAGCTCAAAGATGTTACATCCTCGAAAAGGAGGAGAATCTCTAAATATATAGAGTGTGAATCAGATGCAGAATTCAACATTAAACTCGAGATCACGAGGGCATTCGACCTGGCCGAGAAAACCGGCCAATATGATAGCATCACGTTTCTAGCTCTAGTTGACGGAAATCCGGTTGCTCGTAATACTCCTCTATATGAAGACTTTCAGCCGAGGGATTGGTCTGGCTCCATTGATGGATCGTATATGAGAGTCAGCCCAACGGAGGTGTCTTACCGTCCTCTAAAATTCTGCTCGATCACGAGGGGTGCGTGGATTCTCAATACCAAAACTAATCCTCGAGTCTACTCACCGTTGAATCTAACAAAACTTAGTGGAGTCTACGGATACTGCCCGTGTTAAACTTGATATGGAGCGAATTGCTGGTCTTGGGGAGATAGTCGTCTTGCTTCATCGCACATGTCACTACTCCCTTCCTCGACATCCGGCTTTTGTAAATAACAAATTGCCGAAAACCATTACGGAGGTTGCAGAGAAGGCATTGAAGGGTCAGGCCTTATCACATGGAATTGCGTAGGTTATTCACAATTGTTGTCAGTAACTATCTCACAATGATCCAGATTCGGCCCTGAGCGACGAATGTATTCGAAGCCCACATATGTCAAGTTTCCAGACGGCAAGGAAAATCCCTTAGGTGTTTTCCGCTTTAAGTACCGTTCTCATGGTTAGTCTCACTTGAATGGGCCACTAGATCTGTCTGACACACATCCAGAAGCCCTCCAAGCGGAATGCATCATTCCTCGGTCACCCTCCCCTGGCGAAGACTCCACGGCGAAGAGGATTGCCAATCTGAAGGTAGAAACAGCCCCCATTCCCTGACTTTCACTAACAACAAGCTGACTCGTCACAGAGAGAAATTGCCAGTATTAAGGAGGAAGAAGAGGTCACGCTAGTAGGAGCACGAAGGAGACCTGCGGACGATGACGGCTCCCAAATTCCGCGAAGCGGAAAGCGATATAAGACCACCCGCGGAGAAGATGGCCAGACCGTCGTTGACCTCACTGACGACTGAGGGTCTATGTCTATCTCCCTCCCCTCCCTTCGCGAAGTATCAGCGATCACCACCCAACATAGCTGCGATTTGATATGCTTTTATTGCACCCGGCGTTTTTCATACATGATACCCCAAATCCTGTTCATGTCAGGCATAGAACTAGTTTAGTTCATTGGGTTCGCTCCTTCACGAACCCTCGAAGCGTTCGTTGAGTTAAGAAATACATTAACCTAATCGAGGTAATCAATTCGATTCCTCTTGCATACTGCATCCATCCATATATACCCAAATGTTACACGCCCCGCTCACCTCTCCCCTTCTGTCTCCCTTCTTCCCAAACGTACCTATAGCGTATTATCCACATCCAAGCTTGGTCCCTCCCCTTCCTACTTTCTCCACTGCATCCCCGCCCCATTGTCCCCGAGCCTAAGCCCCGCGATTTAAAACCTAGAATCCTCAAATCCTGATACGAATCTGTCTTGAAGACCCCATACCAGCTTAACAAGCTCTTCCCCCATGCCATTCGAATCGCGCGTAGCAGAATAAAAGATTCTCATCATCTCTGTCATGGGTTACACGTCTTATCTAGGTACCTAGCCAGGCTAGACACGTGCTGTAGAGATGTACGGAAGGGGATTTTGATTTTGACAGATGCTTTCATTGATTTCACACTATCATGTGTGGGGGTATGACTCCAGCCAGATCCACGATTCCCTTTTTTTTGTTTATCCATCCATCCATCAATCCATCCATATATGCCTCCATCGCCTAACTAGGTATGTAGAGCGCGAGCATTCCGAGATCCCAACGATACAATAAATGCGCAAAATACGTTTTCATACGTTTGCGCCGGCTAGCAAATCCCTCCATCGCCTATCTATCTATCTATGTAGATAGAGCGCGAGCATTCCCGAGATCCAGACATAGGTAAATAAGTGCGCAAATACGTCTCATATGCTTAGCAGATCCCTCGACGCGCATTATTCAACGCAGGCCAGCGGAGCTGCCGTTGCCCTTCTGAGTCAGGAAGCGCACATTCGGGCGGTTGTACAAGCGGCGACTGCGCTCCTCGCCGCCGCTGTCGAGCCAGCGCTGGAGGTTCTTGCATTGGCTCACGTCGAAGAGTTCGAGCTGGTTGCAGCCTTCGACGACGGCCTCGACGCCGACGCCGGTGACGCGCACGCAGCCGCGCACTGCTAGCTCGCGCAGCTCCAGGAGGTGTAGCCCGATGCTGCGGAGGGAGGAGTCTGAGACGGCGCTGCCGCAGAAAGAAAGCCGGAGTGTACGCAGCTGTGGGCAGCCGAGGGAGAGCACCTCGGTGGCGGTGTCAGAGAGGGCGCAGCAGAAGGACTTTATATAATACTGATGTTAGCTTTTGTTTCGTATTCAAAAGGGGGAGTTGGGGTAGGAGGGGGGAGAAGGGTGGTACGGACAAGATCCAGTTCTTTCAACCCTTTTGCCGCATTAGTCAGGTACACAATGGCATTATCAGTCAGATATGTGCAATCCGCCAAGATCAACCGCTCTAAATTCGCGAACTTGTATATGGACCAATGTTGGAAGCCGGCGTCTGTGATCGTCGTGCAGCGTGTCAGATCGATGGACTGTAAGCGTGCGTGGGCGTGAACAGCTAGATGCGCCATCGACCGGTCTGTCACATGTTTGCAGTAACTGAGTGTTAGGCGTTTGAGTTCCGGGCACCCTACTACCGTGCCTACCGGCGGAGCCAAGCTATTTTGCTGTCCAGGATTTTGGCGGTTCATCTGGTTTTGGGCTGGGTTTGGTTCAGTGACGACCCAGCCTACAATCCGTGCCAAGAGATTGTCGGACACTTTGCGGCAATTCGAAAGATCGATTTCCTCGAGCTGCTTGGTATTGTTGGCCATTTCCAGCACTGAATTAGCTGTGATATCCCATACGCTTTTCATCTTCCAGCAGCGGACGTTGGATCCACATTGCAAGAAGAGGGCAGTGAATCCTGGGTCTGTAATGTGGAAACAGTTGCTGATATCTATCGTGTGGGCGCGTTTGCCAACGAAAGGGCAGATAAAGTCAGTGAGTACTTGATTAGTGATTTTTCGGTTGTAGAGGGAGAGATCCAGATATCGACAGATCTTCGGTGAGTTTGTAAGAAGCTTAGACCAGTAGGGCGAAACCACTCGTAAACGCATTAGATGGTAGATGTCTAGATAGGAGAAAATTATGAGTAGGACCTTGTCTGGGAGTAAGCCTTCATTATTGTCCTGACTTGCAGGTATTGAAAGAATCTTTGGCCGCTTTGGACGAAAGCTAGAATCAGAAGAGGTGAGGTCCTCTCCTGTCTCCGAAGGAGTCGTCTGTATTCGCGATCTTGATCTCGATCTGGATCTCATCGGCACCCCGGTGGGAATATTCTCTGGTGGAGAAGATTCTGGAGTAGGTGGCGTAAGAGAGCCTCTCCTCCCTGACCTTGCCCTCATATTATCCATATCAACACTCAGGAAAGGGTCCGGGTCCAACGGCTCCATGACTTCCTGATCCTCAGCCCGACTAGGCTTATGTGGACTTGCAGGTTTTGAAGGTGTCAACGTGACCTGTGGCAGTGTTGAACCGTTAGGAGTCGAGGCACGATCAACGAGTTCAAGCTGGTTGAGTAGCGGTGTATCTATGCCGGCCATTGTGACATCCTCATCTTCCGATTGCCCTATTCGTATTTTGGCTGTAGCTTCCACTTGACGTCGGATATCTGGAGAGCAGCGTCTCCACAACTCATCTAGTACCTCACCACTGATCATCAAACATTCAACGGTTGTGATAGATCGAACTGTGGCCGTCCTTCGCGGCGCCAGGGCCAAACTTGCCACCTCTCCGAAATACTGTCCCTGCTTGAGTCGTGGTCGTATACAAGACCTTTGTGAAGCGTTGTTAATGTCTTGTCCGTTAGAAGTTTCGTGGATGACTTCAGCCTCGCCTCGTACAATAAAGTAGATCTCGCTTCCTGGAGAGCCTTGTACAATAATATCAGTGAATGGGGGATATGTTTTCGGCTGAGCGCTCAATCCGAGAAAGTGAAGGATCTCGGGTGGTAAAGTTGAAAACAGGGGCAGCTCTTTCAGTGTCTTTCTCACGTTCACAAAACCATTACCCAACGCGCTGCCTCCGGCCGCATGGTCTTCAATGCCTTGCGGACTAGGTGACTTTCGTTTCTTAGAGTTCACGACTGCACCATTTTCAACAATCTCCTTGTCTCGCGTCACATGTTCTGCTGGCGGCGCTTCACTTGTGGCTTTTCCACCTCTAGAAGGCAAGGAAGCCGACACAAGCTTCGGACCATATCCACTCTCTTTCCTCTTCTTATTCAAAATTGTCAGTCTCTCTTGCGCTTCATCCATTATTGCCCGCTCCATTTCTGCAAAACCGGGTAGCTCTGCTCTTAGATCCTCTTTCTTCAGTACTACCAAGAGACATTTTGTCCTGGCGATTATCGTGGCTGTTCGAGGCACGTCCATGAGGATTCCAATCTCTCCAAAGAACGCACCCGGCTTCAACTCTGCATACGTGGCTTCACCATCTCGAGATGTGACTGCGACTGCGCCCCTAACCAACCAGTACATTGCCTTTGCATCGTCTCCCTCGGTCAAAATATGGTCGTGGGGCGCGTGTACCTGCGGCCGCAAATGTTTGCCGATGGCAGTCAGAAAGGCTTCGGGAGCTGATACAAAGAGCGGAAATGATCGAATACGATCGAGAAGGTCAAGTGGCATGTCTGGGATCGTCGAAGCCGTTAAAGGCGAAGGTCGCACTGGTCGAGTAGGGTTGGTCTCGATATTGAAGGACCGTATTAATGACAAGGAGTCGGGTATAGCAGTAGCACCATTAGCCCTGAATGGCGAGCCGCCTGGCCCTCGATTCCGCCTCATATTGGATGTATGTATGTGGGTGTGCAATTATGTGTACGCATATATGTTCAAGCCAAAAGTTGCCCTCCCCGCCGACTCTCATGTGTCTATTCCACGGCCTATCGGCCGTCGTGCCGGTGGGCCTGCCAGAAGGAGGGCCAGGTCTGCAGATAATTCTGAAAGGCGTTGTCGCGGTCCTCAACCCTCTCTCAAAACGTCGCAGCGAAATATGAGGGGCGCAGCAAACGACACGGGTCAGCCGCAGCCTGTCTTCCCCTCGTGAAGGGTCTCGCGATATGTACAATGGGGAGTTCGAAGACGCGGTTCTCTACCTGGGGCAGCCAAGAGCGCGTCAGGAGATGGTGTATTAGGTTCTGTGAAGCATATTGTCAGTCTACGTTGGGGCACAGCATCAGGGCTGTTCGGCGTCTCCTGGTGTCGGAGATGGACGGGACGGTTCTGCAGCGCACTTACATTCGGATTATCAGAAAGAGGAGGGGTATCTCTATGTCACAATGCGCAGCGAGGGCAGAGGAGAAGCGCGAGCAGGATGTCTAGGGCTGATTCAGAGATTTATTTTGATATGATATGATTGATTGATTGATTGATAGATTGACTGATTGATTAATTTAATCTGATTTGATTATTGATTACAGAGGGAACGGTGAGGGTATCAGTAGTAAAGGCAGGAAGGGTCTCAGCGGGATGCACGGGCCGCAGAGTGGTTCAAGAGCAGCGTCCAGATTGTATCGACAGGAGACGCGATCCGCTAGGCCCAATGCGGCCCGTCTCTCAATTGGCCGGGGCGGAGCCGCCGCGGTCTGCGCTATGACGACAAGAGGGGGTTGTGACGAGTATTGTATTCGGCGGTGGAGAAGTCTGGAATCAATCAGCAGATGAACAGATAAGGAGATGGAGAAGTAAGGTACTTGGGGGAATCAAAAGAGACGGGAATATAAACATCAATATAAATATAAACGAAGGACCGCACGTACATATGTATCGCTATCTTGCAGTACACTGCATTCTGATATGAGCCAAGGGAGGGGTTCCCGCCTCGCTTGGCTGTCTTCGATTGGCCTTCCAGAAGCTCACAAGATCCTTGAACCCACGTTGTCCAGAACTACATAGGTATGGAATCCCAGCTTTCTTGTCCTTTCTCCAGAATGAGGGGGTACATCGTCAAGAGCATTTACAGAAAATGTAGTGAGATAATGTATCTCTTTCCTACGCAACATAAATCTCAACGGATCTGATCTGTCTGGGTCAAGAGGCTCTTAAGCCATTGTTTATACTGCCTAAATGCATAAATAATAGATCATCATTAGCCGTTTCGTGCCAAAACGTTCGTATTTCGCTTGTGCGATCCTCTCTCTACTTTATACCCTCGCTCTCGAACCCCCTGCTTGAGCTAAATCCAGCTCCTAGAAGCTGGTCCCAAGGTCAACCCTGGCTCAAGGAGTTCTTGGTTGGTCAGCTCATTTGAGGATGGTCATTCACGTCAGGATAGAACCGCGGATTCCCATACCACGCCATGCTTTTGAGAAAGCAAGCAGCCCTAAAGGGGCCTCAAAAATCCCCATGACTCGGCACACCGTTTATGAGATCGTGTTGGCGCTTCAGTCCATGCGTGGGAACGATATCATCCGCATAGGTTGGTTTTCCAAGGCTTCAATCCTCCATATGTCAAACCTCCAGTACTGTATTTGCAAAAATTCCCACAGGCCTCCATAAATCACGACCGAACATTGTTTGGACGAAGTCGGCAGTTTCTGTAAGCAAATGCAGCATGTCTAATCTGGACATTGACTTCTTCTAGAAGAAGTGTATAACATGTACTATACTGAGAAACTAGCCCTGCCTTGCAATTTGATGTATCCAAGGAATTATGCTGGATCGGGAAAGATTCAACCACTGAAATGAGTCTGACAGGTTCGTTGATTTCGTTTGGGGAAAAGATCCTCAAACGTGGTGGGAAAGGAAGCAGGGTGAGTAGGACCCAGTCAAATAATAAAAGTTAAATATTTACCTTCCATCACGCCGAGGGGAGTAATCGAGTGATCAATACTGGAAAATCAGAGACTATCAATTGAGCCAAAAGAGCAGACATCTTTATAGTTGAGCAATTTGGAGCCTCGACTTCGAGGTACCTATGTATGATATGCAACCCAAGCCACAAACATTGTCATGATTTGATTAAATGATTATAGAGTTCAGATGCAGAAACTGGGCTGTCGGGAAAGGCACGCAGAGAAAGACGAGGTAGTTGAGCATGGAGTTAAGACAACCTTAAAAGCGCGTGATGAGTAAGGAATTCGAGATCACGTGAAGGGTGGGTTCTCGAAAGCTCTAGCGGCAAATCGTCATTGTTGAAATACCCGCGTACCTCTCTGCTACCTGCTGCCTCCGCTTGCCACATAACTATCGTTCGTGTCTACCATCAGAGTTGATTTAATCTTAACAGAATCATCTCAAAATGGCATTTACCATGCGACAGCCTTTCAGGCTGACCTCGACTCTAGGCGTCGCCTCGAAATCCGCTTTCAAATCGACCTCGGTCCGGTCATTCCACAACTCTAGACCCGCGGCCAACTTCTTCACCTCCAGAACCACCACTCCCGTCAGCACTCTCACAAAAGCTCGAAATGCATTCCGACAGTCGAGAACATACATCGGGCAAACCGTTGCGCCCGGCGCCGGTGCCGGAAACTTGGTACAGAAGCTGGTTGTAGGAGGGGCAATGTTCGGAGGAACCTTGATCGCATTGAACATAGTAAGTCGACCTCTGGTACGTCCGGATTTCATCAAATACTGACTTGTTGCTTCTCTAGATGTTCAACAGGGAAACCCGTGAAGATGGTGGAATGCCTCCATACGAAAGATCATACCTGAATGACACATTCATGCATACTGGTTTGGGCGTGGGTATCATCGGTCTGTCTGCCAGAGCCATGTTCCAAAGTGGCTTTACCTACAGAATGATGGCCACCAACCCATGGATTGTCATGATCGGTGGTCTGGCGGCTAGTATTGGTACGATGATGGGAACAAGGGCCATAGACCCAAGCAAGTAAGTAGTTTCCTTTAAACTTCTTCGCGGTACATGGCTAATGGTTCAATAGCTACGTTCCAAAGTATGCTCTGTGGACAGCGTTCAACGCCACCCAAGGTGCCCTCCTTGCTCCTCTCCTCTTCATGGCCCCGCCAGCACTCATCGCTCGTGCCGGTCTATACACTGTTGCAATGATGGGGTCGATCTCATTCATTGGTGCTACCGCTAAGCAAGAGAAATACCTCTACCTCGGAGGTCCTCTCCTTGCCGGTGTTGCTCTCGTTGCTGTCTCTGGCTTCGCTCCCTTGGTTCTCCCAGCCACCGCTGTCCGCACACTCGCCTGGTCTGAGAACATCTGGCTGTACGGAGGTTTGGCCGTATTTGGTGGCTTCACGCTCTACGATGTACAGAAGATCCTCAGCCATGCTCGGATGGCTGAGCGAGGCTTGATTCGAAAGGACCCTGTCAACGAGAGTATCAGCTTAGAGTTGGACTTCTTGAACATCTTCATCCGAATGGTCCAGATCTTGATGATGCAAAACAACCGAAGAAAGTAGACGACCGTATACGTAGGGGAGGATCAAAGGGTGTTCGGTTATTAGTTTAGAATGTAATGAAGCGGTGTATATATAGGGATCAGGAGCACATGACTGGGTCTGAAACTGGACTATAGCACGGACGTGCATTGTCTCCTCTCTTTTGTCTGTATAAATTCAATTGATAAAAAAAAGAATTAAAAACTGTTAAAACTGTTCAAAATTGCCAAAACCGTCGAATCCAACAATACGTACTACAAACCTACTTCCAAGAAGAGATGTAAACCTCACTCAGACTTTTAGTGAACCCGTCAGCATTATTTCTCTAACAAGTATTGAAACCTCCGTAGAAGTATATCCCAACTCTCAATTCAACCTCGCGATTTGGATATCTCTAACATCATTTACATGTATTTCACTTTTCAAACCCGCCGCTGCTATTGCTACCAAGCGGTACGCAACACTAATACCTCGTTTTCCGCTACTCGAAACCTATCTCTCAATCCCATCCCATCTCCACTTACCACACGTACTCTCCGACATTCCCCTTAATCAAGGGGCGGAAACGATCTCAAGAAATGGCTTGGGCATTCATAGCCATTGACATTGACCTCCAAGTATCTCTGATGGTAATCCTCAGCATCCCACCACTCACCCGCAGGCAGGATCTCGGTGACGATCTTCCCCTTCCACCACTTCTCGTTCGCCTTCTGGGTCACCTCGCGCGCGATCTTCTCCTGCTCCGCGTCGTGGTAGAAGATCCCTGATCGGTACTGCGTGCCGATATCTGGGCCCTGCTGGTTGGTTGTCGTTGGATCGTGCATGCGGTAGAAGAATTCAAGGAGTTGTCTATACGTGAGTTTCTCGGGGTCATACAAGACTTGCAGCGCTTCAGCATCTATATATTCCCCCCTCAAGCATTAGCAGAAAGTTCCCTTTTTTCTTTTTTTCTTTTTTTGTTTCCTGTTTTTTCCTGAATGGGCAGCAGGGGGAAAAAGAGGGGCACGTACGTCCAGTCCGCCCTGAGCATACAAGGCGATAATTCGGGTTCTTGGCATCGCCTCCGATATACCCAACGCGCGCATCGTAGAGCCCTTTGCCTTGGAACTCCTTGCGGTACATGTGCTCAACGCCCCAGAAGCAGCCCGCGGCCACGGTGGCCTTGGCGGCGCCCTCGGGCACGGATACCGGCCCGCCGGGGCTCAGGCCCAGGCTGGTGGAGTTGCTGAAGGGGCGGATGAGCCGCGAGATGAAAGATGGTAATGCGGATGCCATGGCTGGCTACCTAGCAATGAGGATTGCGCGGGAGAAGGCGGGGTGCGAGACGCAGTGTGGATTGGTATTGCGTGGGTTCGAATAGAGTCGCGGGGAATGGATTATGGTGTTGGATTCGAAGTCGCTGTGCTATTCTTGGGTGGCGACTTGGGTTGTAGAGAAATTGTGGAGGTTCGCCGTCGCGATTTATATCTCGATTCCGCAGCGCGGTATGGTATCAGAATTCGTCATGGAGGGGTCTCGAGTTCTGCTGACAAATGAGAGGCGGGGATAAGGTATCGGGGTATATAAAACCTAGGACTTCTTGCCATTCCAATTCCCTTCTCTACATCTTTAAACCCTTCTGAAGTGTATCCCTATTTCATGAAGTTATCTCCACGGGCCCAAGATGTTATATTAATGGGACGAGATGCCCGACATCACCCTACCTTCCTAGTGGAAGAGGCTGGAAACTCATATGTATCACGTGATCGAAGATACCCCTTTTCTCACTTGTGCCCTTTCAATTCTAGTTCTGCCTTCAGATATCAGTTCAATCCCATTTACTTTCGTAATATTGAATTATGGTTGACGTTGTTTCATCGATATGGCACTCATCTTAGCTGTATAAGTATATGCTGGTCGATGAATATTATATTTGGGGTATGGAAGGTGATGATTTGCATCTGGTATGTTCCAATTTTATATCTCCGCAGTTCCTTTATAAACCATTGCCAATATAACCTTCGCAGAAAGCCAATGTTAGAAAAGAATTGATCTCCTGCATCTTGTTCTCGGGCTAGGCCCCCAAATTCCTCCCTTCGTCAATCTTGTACACCTCCAAGAGCTTGGCCACCAAATACCTTCACCATAGCCTTGTCGTTGGTCTCCTTCAATTCCAATTGACTCACTTCCCTGCCCCCAGCTTTGAGGCTATGGCTATAGGGCTAGCGTCAGGTGAAGTAGTCCTCATCTGCGAGGAGCGAGATACGACCCCGGATACAGAAGCCGTGGGGCCAGTAATGGCGATATTTCGAAATTCCCTAACGACGTGCGGTGATTCTGGTGAAGATTTTGGCATGAGTGTCTTCTTTGGTGTATGATTCGAGGGATATGGAATCTCAAGCGTTGGTCTGTGTTCTGGTTAATGAGATATCGGTTGTATAGGGAGTGTTGATTTGGAATCGAGTGGAATTGAAGTAGTGGAATTCATTACAGATAATAAGTGTGGAGCATCTTCCTATAAACCTAAGGTAGAACAGGGATAACATTAACTGATTGCCACACCAATATTGTACTTCTGTGCCTGATAGGCACTGTTAAAAGCTCAGACGGAAGCCCGCGTGAAAGAATACGATGTGAAGCAGAATTGAGTCTCGGGTAGTCGGATCTTGCTGGATTTGCCAATATTTGGTGAGGTGCTGCAAGAAATCCCAATGAAAGGTGAGATTGTTGGGAAATGCGATATGCAACAAATTTATATATACCTCGTATTCAATACCTTCAAAGCCCATCTCATGAAAAGTGAGGACTTTGGAAGATGCGACGTGCAACAAAATGAGAAATCATTCTGTTGCACGTCGCATTCTTTGGCATCCTCACCTTTGACAATATGAGCTTCGTCCCAACTTCTCGAGTGCTACCTTCGCATTCAATATCTTCACGATACTAGAGAAGTCCAGACGAAAACTCATCTTAAGAAAGATGACGGCACCGGCCGAGAATGCGATGTGCAACAAAAAAAAGTATATATAGAGCCCGTATTGAACACCTTCCTGCGTCCAGTCTGATACTAGAGAAGTTCAGACGAGGATCAATTTTATGAAAGGTGAGAACCATGGGAAATGCGACGTGCAACAAGATGGTATATATATATATAGAAGTCCAGACGAAAGCTTATCTTGTCAAAGGTGACGACGGGGACGGAACATGCGATGTGCAACAAAACTGTATTTAAATCGCGAATTAGAGGCCCTCTTAGGTTCTAGGTAGGTAATCTATGTTGCTACAGAAGTTCAGATAAAGCCCATATTATGAGAAGCAGCGACGATTGTTGGAAATGCGATGTTCAACAAGATCAGATATCACATCACATGATGAAGGACTTCAGGTTTTCCAGTTATATTTAACCTGTCTTTAAACCTTGCGGAGAGGCAGACGTTTCTTAGGAGTGGTGTGCAACTAAAAGTACACAGAAAGCCCGAGTCATCCCAGCTCTGACGTAGGCCGGAAACACAACCTTCTCTCGGCTTTTGGATGTTCCATATATTATGTAAAGAGGGGAGTCAGGGGACTGTATTCGAGGAATTAGAGAAATGGAGTACATGTGAAGTATCGTGAGATATTGTGTGGCTTGAGCTTTGACATCTAGGAATCAAGGTTTGATGCCAAGATCCAGCATAACAGCGGACAACTTGTCTGGGCATTCATTTTTAGAAGCATATTTTCCAAGACTTGGGCATGAGGTTCAATGCTTCATCGAGACCGTGGGCTGAAAGCAGCAAAAGCTATCAGGTGGACTACACCAACAGAGCGAGGGATTATTTCAAAAATGAACGCAAAAAATACAGAAATGAGTGGCCGGCATGTGGCTCTCAACGCATTTTATCTTACGAGATGCAAAGCTGGCACTTCTTTCTGGAAATGAAACTGCAAACTCAGAATTATGCACATCTAGCTTGATCGACGGGATCGCCATCCTAGATGTGCAAGATCCCCGTTAGGAGGCTAGGGAAGATATGTCCAGCATGCCTTTTATCGATAAATAAACCTTCATAATCCGAATCCCGAGCTTAACTCGTATTTCTCATCGCTCGACTCCTGAATCTGCTATCGAGTTGTCCTCGACGGAACACGGCACCCCCCGGGTATGAAGATGCGGGATGTACTGGCCGTGCCCGATAAAGGCAGGCCTGAGAGTAATCAAAGATTAACTCACCAATACATACCGTCCGGAAAAGAGTACCGAAGCTTTCGATCGTCATTGTGGAGCGGGACAGGGACATGAAGAGAAGGCATCAAAACTTTAAAGAAAGCATCAGCCGCGCTTCTTCACTGACCCCTTCTTGCCGTAGCGCACTGGCGCTTAGAATTCCCTTTCTTGGAAGGGTCTCTTGCCATCTTACTGAAGTCCCGCGACCTACGGTGAGCATCTCTTAAGAGGCTATCCATTCTTCCAACTAACATGCCGTCGTGATACGACTTAAAACTTGGGCAAGTTCTGATTTGATTGGTAGTAATACGAGACCTGAAGACCCTTGAACCCGGATAAACTCCAGCGCCGGTGCCTGTGTACTTTACCTTGCGGAGTAGGCAGGTTGCACGTTAACGTGCCCCGTTGTTTTGATGAGATGGTTCTTGGATTGGATTGAAAGATGGTGGGTGGTGGATGGTAGGAGTGGGAACACTTTACGAAAAAAAGCAAAGAAGAGGGGAAGTTGGGTCCTCTTTCTGAGAATCACAGCACTCCGTAGATCATCATCAATTTTTACCGTCTGCCAAGTAGGTAGGGACTTTTATACATTGAGTTTGCTAGGTACCTTAAGGTACCTTAGTTATCAGGAACCGACTCAGCCTCCTATTATTTGCTGATAAGGCACGGGGCATCAAAAACATTCAACGGTCTTATGGTCTAGTGGTATGATTCTCGCTTAGGGTTTACCTTAAGTCTTTCTTGCGAGAGGCCCCGCGTTCGAATCGCGGTAAGACCCCAACCTTCTATCTACCCTGTGGCATTCGGCACGGGCGGCAATCTTTTTTTCTCGCTCCAGATATATATCCATCTACATTTTTGATATTTTTGACTGGCCCCCCCCCCC